CTCTTATAACAATTTACCTCCTTATTTTAAACCTCTCATATCTTATAATAATTTAATACTAATCTACACCTATTTAAAAAAGCCACTCTTATATTAATAACTTCTGTGGTTACATAGATATGAGACTACAAAATTATGTATATAAAGCATAGTGTAACTTCCTTTGTATACATTACACAGACTCAATTCTTGGATATACTGTAGATATATAAGCTCTACTATTATTACAGTATTAAGAGTTTAGAGTATCATAAATCTTAGTCAGAGGAAACTGTTGTATTTTTTATTATCAAATAGTACACAAATACACAAGTAATTGATACATTTAACATTGTATTTGTGTTATGAATGAGTTCCAACTAAATTTACATTAATTTTAAAGGAATAATGAAGAAATTTGGTTAAGAATTGAGTAAGATACAGAGGAAAGTGTGTGCTCACTGTATGAGACAGTGAGCTCAAGGTGTGGCAGGTGGGGAGGGCACAGTTGCCATATAGGGCACTCAGCATACTTATTTTATTTTATTTTATTTTGACTTAGAATTTTTTTTACTATTTAAGTCTAGTATTAAGTACAGTTAGGGAGAAAAGCTCAAAAGGTACCTAATTAGAGGGACTACAAGGGTCTTGTACACCCTCTAATTAGGCCCCTTACAGTATGTCCCTCAGGTGAGGTACACGACAATTTATCTCATGTATATACGGATCCAAAGTAGCAGAAGCATTACAATATTGAGCCACCCTGCACTGTACCCGTATCGACCGGCATTCGTATACCTGCTTCTGTTTCTACTCTTCATCTTATGTTTGGGACACACGGAAACTGTAGACGGAACAATTCTAAACGATCAGCCGGGCTGCTCTGATTCGCTGAGATATGCGCGAGAATGCGAATCAGAGGGGGGAATCACACGTACTAATTCTTGCTAACGACGGCTATTCTTCAACAAGGAACAGCAGAATTTCTGGTCGAACACCCAGTAGTAGCACTCCCTATCATATCACTCAAAAACATGAACAAATCCATTATACAAATACTTTTTTTCCTGTGTCCCTTCCCCTCGTTGCCCTCTTCTCCTCCGCGCTGATATCTCCTCGTCTCTATTTTTTCCCGTCATTTTCCTCCTCGTTTCATTGCGACGAACAAACGCTCTTACGGCGTTCCTTGCGGGAGAATACCACCACGGCCATCACCCCGCGCCGAGCGCGTTGAGCTATAATAGTCATTCATAATGAGTCTTGCCAACCAGACCCAGTCTTTCCGCTTTTCCTCCTTCTCCTCCGCCTTCCAGGAACCATCTGGCAGACCACAAGGCCCTCCAGAGTCTGCTGGCACCAGCAAGCCCGCTCGGACACAGCACCCGCCTGTCTTCGACGCGTGGACGTCGAACGGCGTGTCGCCGAGACGCATCACCGAGGAAATAGTAGAGGGCGACGACGGTGGTGAGGCAAAATCTGTAACGTCTGCGCGCTCCCGACGCGTAGACGGCCACAAACGCGAAGAGAGTGATCTGACAAGTGCGTGTGCTGCACTAGCGTTTTCGCATTGATCTGCTGTCTAACTTTATCACTCCTCCGTCATTGCCTTTCTGCACCGGTGTCCTCTTTTTCTTCAGTCGCAGGCACTATCTCCAACCAGCTCACATACGTCCCGCGCAGAGACAAGGCATCTCAAGTACTTGGCATCCCCCATCGCGCCTCAATGGAACCAGTCAGCGTCCACAAGCGCAATTCTATTATGTCAACGCGTTCGGCAGGAAACAACCCCCCTTCTCCGTCTTTTACGCCTACTATGCCTCTTGCTAGTCTTTACGTCGTCAGTGGTCTGCCGAAACGGCCGCAGACATGGACGCTCGCAGACCCGGACGCGGTTATGGGACTCACCCACTCCGACGGCGCAGTGGGCCGCTGGTGGAGAGCTGAGGTCCTCGGTAGCACCGTTAGTCCCGGTATCGGGGGTGGAAAAAAGAAGAAAACGATGAAGGGTACAGAGACTACAAAGGGCCCGGGTGCGCTGTCGAAGCAAGAGACAGCAAAAATGTTGAGCAAGACTTTGAAGGTGCGTTAGGCGATAGGCATTTTCTTACTTTCAAGGTTAAGGGCCTAAATAAGCTCTAACGCAATTTGCAGCTCTCCTTCACGCGCGAAGTCGAAATTATTGCTTCTACGCTACAACCCGCATCAACTGTGCATACGTTCACATTCAACCTTCCCGCGCCTTCTACCCCTCTTGCGCCGCCTTCCACCCTCGGGTTTTCCGGACTCAGAAACTCAGTTTTGAGTTCGTCCACAACTGATAACCGATATTCAAATGCGCTCGCCTCGTATGGTACATTCCCGTACTCTTACGCTGATACAAATGCACGCCCTTCGTCGGCTTACCTGGGACCGAGCAGCGTCTCGGCGCTGGACACAAATGTTGGTACTGCTGCAACTTCTCCGGACCTTGGTGGTGCAGGTACAGAGGGCCGTGGTGCTGGTAGCGTAACATACCACGGTGTATGCTTGACCGTCTGGTCGCATGCCGACGCAGAGCGCAGTGCCGCCATCCGCCGTACGTTGGAGACTGGTGGCCGATCTCGCAAGGAAAGCGCACAGAGTGCGGTTGCGAATCGCCTCAAGGCACTCCGCGCTGATATGGATCCGGCGCAACTCGCGCGGCGTTCAGTCCGCAGCTCACGTAAAGGGCCATGGAGCGTAGCAGATGGCGAGACTGACGGAGAATCCGAAGTTGGTGATGCGATTAGTGAGAGCGAGTTTGAGGTTGCGAGCTCGGCACATGGACCGGGCGAATCCACTCTTTTCTTGACAGGCGATACCGTATTCTGGCTGCCTTATGCTTTGAGTACGCAGTCTCTTCCAATTCACTTGAGCTCTTTTGATACGTGTTTTGTAGCTCTGGTTTCTAGACACCCGATCTATGACCTTATGCGCGACTATCTCACTCTTTCTTGGGCGCGTTTCAGTAAGGACGTCGCGTCGCACACTCTGCAAATCTCCAAGATATTATCCCATCCTGCTCCGAGAGCGGGAGAGATTGTCAGACTCGACGCGTCTCCCAAGGAGGGCGGGGATAAAGGCGATGGTAGTCTGGAGGTAGTCGCTCGTTTCCCTGGCGGTCTCGATTTCGGAAGAGGCCTTGTTGATATCAATGTAAGAAGCTCACCCTTCCTCCGATTGATCGGATGATGCTAAACGGTCTCTTCAGTTCACTATGTGGCCACTATTTAAATGCCTTAATATTGATAATATTCTTAGTATTTGCGAAATTGCTCTTGCACCCACTGGGCGAATTCTCTTCTTTTCTCGGCACCCTGCAATGCTTGGAGTATGTATCGTTTAGCTCGCCATTCTTAGTTGTATACCTAACTAAAATTCCATTGTTCTACAGATTGCAGTAGCAACTATTAAATATCTAGTAGAGTTGCGTGGATGGAACGGCATTGCGCTTCCGGCTGTTCACGCTAGAGATGCTCGAATTTACATCGAGGACCCTGGTCCGTGGATCATAGGTATGGCATCTGAGATGCGATATGCCGTTCGACCTCCCGCGGAGGTTTGTGTTTGCGACCTGTACGTGCCATTTCTCTTTCTGCAAGCGAATGACTCGACATGACTGGTGAAATTACAGTGACATAAACTACCTTAACTGTGCTAGCCCTCCTCCTGGTTGTCTTTCTGCTAAACAGCAAAGGGACAGGTACAGGCAGAAACTCCTAGCGGCATTCGGAGAATACTATCACCCCGATCACTCGGTGCCTATGTAAGCACCCTTGATCTTAATGGAAAAAAATGAGTTGTTCTGATTTCTTATTCTTGAACAGAGAATTCAAGGAAGCCTTCCCTGGAGGACGTTTCCGCCCAATTTGCAAGATCCAGGCAAAGAGGGGTGCTTCGTCGTCTGTGATCGCGGAGAGCGTGAAAGCTCCGGAGTGGTGGCATTCTACGAAGATTATACAGGCTTTCGATCAAGTCTTGCAGGATAAGTTCAAGAAGCCCTCACTCTTCAAGCGTATCTCCTCCTTCGGTCAATACAAACGTCCTCTGCGCCTGAGCGGCGCCGAACAGCAAGTACAAAACTCAATACGCAAACGCGCCACTGCGTTCGTCGATGCGCGGGACGACCTTGAGACGAAGATTGGTCGTCTTTCGAGGCGTCTCAACTTCTTGATGACGGAATCTGATTTGTGGCGTGATAAGTTTGTGTCGTTCGAACAGTTTGCGGAGAAGTTGAGCAATGAGGCGACGGATTTGAGGACGAAGATTAATAAGGAGCAGAGGGAGAGTAAGCGCTTGACGGGGTTGGTGTCGCTTACTGCGGCGGAGAAGAATAAACTGGAGAGCCGTGCGTTGTCTTCCATTTCTTTTTTTTTTTTTTTCGCCTGATAACCGGTTTTGATTCTTACCACTTTTGTTCGTTGTGTAGAACTTCGTGAGACGGAAGCAGCTCACAGAGACGCCAGGATCGAACTTGAGAACATGCGCTTGGCAATGGAGAAGATGGAAGAAGAACGTACAGAGCTCGTTCACGAAGTCGAACTACAGATCGAACGTGCCCTCCAATCAATGTCCATGTCTGTCGAAATGACCGACTCCGAAGAAGATGGGTCACAGCTTGACGGGAACGAAGATGGCTCGTCGCGTTCTCCTTCCAAAGCAGGATCAAGACGTTCGAGCAACGCTACGCGTTCTCCACTTCGCACGCAGAGCATTGACTCAGCTACGCTTGCGGGTACGGCTGAGAATGAGGAGATTACCAAGCACTCGATGGAGACGACGACGATTACAGAGGAAGAGGAGGAACAGCAGGCGGCGTCGACGGGTATGAATATTGATGCTACTGCGCCGCCTGTGGATCGATCGCAGGATGCTATGGTTGCTGTTGATGAGGGAATACACTCGAATACTGATCGGATTACGCAATCTATGCTTCAGATTCAACAGAAGGTAAACCAAACTCGTCCTCTCATTGTTTCGCAATAATGATTATATACTCATTTGTTTCGTGCATAGCTCGAAGCTTTGGCTCATCCTCGTGTGGCACAATGGCGTCCTTCACTGGACAGTGAGACTGAGGGCAGTGATAGCGGAAAGACAAAGAAACGTCGTTCAATCGGGTACGAAAGCGGTACGAACACGAATAGATCAAGAAGTAATACCGTTTCCTCGTCACAAACGACTACGCGTGCCAGCAAGGTTAAAGCATCTGCAGCAAAACGGGACAAATCTATGACTCCCAAGGCCGCCGAGTCACCTGCCAAGATCCCACAGGCTATGCCGAAAGATAAGCAGGACCAGGACCAAAATCAGAAACATGGCCAGGAGGAGCCTTTGGAAACTATCGCGCAGGAGACTAGTCCTGTTTCCCCCGCCACGCTCAGTCCAGCAATATCGAACGTTCCTACAACGCCCTCGGTTACGGTCGCGCCCACAGAAGACTCCGATACGGACTTCCAGAGTGCATATTCTGCAAGCCCACGGGAGAGTTACTGCAGTCATGAAGACAATGCACCCCACAAGAACGTGGGCAATTCAAGGAAGAACGCATTGTCAGCTGAGTTCGTCAATGACGACGACGACATTGTTTTGAAAGAACCATCCTCCCTCACGAGCCGTATGAGGGACAGAGCGTCTAGTGGTGCTACGGCAAAGGCCTCCGGCGGGCGTGTGTTTATTTCTCATTCAGAGCACATCTGAGTTTCTTTCTCTGTTCGCTCTATTCATTCATTTTACATTATTTTATCGCTTTTTTATACCACCAATGTACAAAAAAACAGCTGGCTCCACCAAGCAGTCAAGCAGTCTTGTCTACCCCCCATTCATTCAAACTTATCCTGCTCCGTCCTCTGCAATTTACCCAATACCTTCCTTCGATTGGCTGGCTATCTGGTTTTATTATTGGATTTCTGTCACGCGAATATCCGCTCATCTATGCGCTCTAATTCCTTCGTTTTATCCTTACAATGCGGATATATTTCATACATAAGATACCGGAATAAATATATACTCAATCGTTGGATGTTACCTTTTCATCGCTCTAGTCTGCGACGTGCGTTGAACGACATGACGACAGCTTTGACTTGTTCAAAGAACCATTCCTTCGAGCCAGAGTCCTGGATGATGACAAATCTGTCTTGTTCATGACCAGCCTTGCTGACGAATCGTATCCCGGTTGATTCGCCTTGGACACCTGCGATGGTCGTTAATGGCATCTCCCAGTGCAAATGTAAACCTCTAGACGAGAATGAAAGGATCCGCGCGTTCGTCAACAAGATAATGTTGTCTGATCCCAGATTGTCTTGAGAGATCAAGTTGTAAGCTACATCAAATTCAACTCCAGCAATCTGGCTCCTTTCACGCACCAATGTGAGCAATGTAATAATCCTTGCGATATACTCCGTCTGAAAGATCTCGCATCCACGACTGGCCTACAGCTTTACGCGGAGAATATGGCTCCAATACACCATCCGCAGGAACTTGGCGTGGCTTTTTTTACACGTTAGTGGGTACAATCAGCTGCACGTTCTCAACACTCACCTTGCGAACGCGATCTCGCTGAGGAGCGTCAAAGACCGTCGTTGTATTACGGACACCTTGAACGTCATATCAGTAATAAATCATTATTCAATTATTAGACGCTCTATCCCACCTTCGGCAACGTTCGATGCTAGATCGAAAACACCGACGACGGGTTTCGTAACGACACTTAAAAAAGTACGTGAGTCTCAATATCAAAGTAATAGCCGCATACAGACTGTACTTACCCAACAAATCCTTTGCCCATACCCTTGAAGAACCCAAGAGCACCCTCGGCGTCAGCCCCCTCAAGTGGCTTCATCTATGCGTCAAGTAAGGCACAGTTATACATACAATGCAGATAGCCACCTACCAGGACCCCTTCGACTCCGCTTGCAACGCTGCTGGCGAATGCTCCCGCTCCTGAGGCGACACCGGTACTAGTTAAGATGTGATGAGGTCCTATGTCGAAGAAATCTCTGTGGCAAAACAGGATCTTACAGTGCATGTCTTGGTTTATTCCTACGTTGGTTCATCCGCCGTTTTGCCTGGAAATCAGCATCAAGTGTCGCTGCACTTAGCCCTGAAATGATAAGAGGTTTAGCTTTGAGCAGTCCGGCCTCTCTCAGGATCACTTACCTTTCCCGACGCTCGACGTAATCTTTGTCATGCTGTCTGAGAGACCGAAAATTGTTTTCTTCACAAAGCTCGCCGCTCCCTGAAACTTGATGAGAAATGTTACTTTACGCATTGATGCAAACAAACTCACCTTAGCTAAACCGATACCGAGCTCGCCACCACCGCGTTGCACGACACCATGCCATGGCTCGTAGAAAATATCCGCGACTCCAGAGCTCACGTTTGTGAATAAACCGACTGGATTCCCGAGGAAGTCTGCTGCACCAAGTACGCGATATATTTGACGTAGCACTTCCTGTCGGTAGTGGTAAAGTATTCGAGACTGGAACTCTGGCAGCGTAAGACGAACGTCCGTTATTCCTAGGGCATTCAATTGCAGTTCGATCCCTTCAGCATTAGCCAACGTCATAGTCAGGACGTTCAGTACAACCGCCAATGGGTTTCTGCTTGTCACACTGCAGGTAACGCGATTGTAAACATGCATTACCCAAAAAAGAAGGAAACCTTACGCTTGCGCTTGGGCATCGTCACCAGATGGATTGATATTTCGCACAAATGATACGGAAAGGAATATCGGTTGCAACTCAAGGACTTCGAAATAGACATCTTGCCCAGGTTGTACCGGTTGCGGTTCTGGAACCTTGTCTGTGTCGAGAACCAAAACGCTAAAAGAGCATGTTAGAATTACGAACACATTTACTGTTGGGAGGCTTGCCCTTCTTCTTCCGTCTCCCAGGTGACACCTTCCAACTTCGTCAGATCCAGAATTGCGTATAAGAAGCCCTCATCAATCTGAATTGTGAGAGCCTGTAACAAGATAGATGCATATTTGACAAAAAGAACTCCATGCGCTGTAGTAAAATGTGAGATCGGCAAGGCTTGGAACAGGGGACCGACAAACCGCTATCATTCAAGATGATCACTGATGCTTGGACAGTTGGTAAAGCAGCTAGACTCCTGTCTTCTTTGGCAATAGGCGTAGGCTGCAGAAGAACGGGGAAATATGCGTCGTGTAACTGGTTGTCGATTTGCAACGTTCCAATTGCTAAATTGGCGGACTGTGCGACAGGGCTGTTGTGATACTCTAGCTTGACGTTCTGGGTTGAGATATATACGACTTCAATCAGACGCTTGTTCAAAAGAGAGATACCAAGTCCTTTAAAGTCGAGGGTGACAGATAACGTAGGCGGTATTTCTTCCTGAACAGCCTCAAACTCCTGAGTCGTTGCTATGGAGTCGCTACGGGATAAATTTGCTCCTGAGTTGAGACGTCTGGGCTTGTAGATGCTAGTTTCCTCGCGGTAATCGGTAATAGTCAAAAGTTGCGATGGACCATCGGCACGAACATCAAGGGCAATTGTACCGCCATTGTGCTAAGGACGGTAGATAATAGTGAGTGATGCAAGAAAGAAGTTTGTTCAGTGTAACGCACTCGCAGCGGTGGGAGGACACCGATCTCCATGATGTCGATCTTACGAGCCCGCTTGTTGCAGCTGAGATACAGCTTCTTCTTTTCCATAGCTGGGAAGTCCCAAGCATAGGGCAGACGGCTGTCGGCGGTCACCTTATATACGCATCCTTTCTCCGGCCTCTCATGCACCTCGTCCTGGATAATAGTCAATTTTACCAATGGAGATATATGACTTGTGCATGACTGACGATTTGGCCAATAGTGACTTCGTGACTACTCTGGTTTTCAATCATGAACGGCCATGGTCCTTCATGGGCAGAAAGAATAACAAATATCGTTGCCTTGTCGAGAACGACATTCGCATCCACCAAGTGAACTTGCTCCGACGTTGAGCCTGCGGGGCGCATGCGTACATGCACAGTCCCAATGGCTTCCATGTTGATCGGGGAACTCCTGTGAACAGATACAAATCCATGGATATCCTTGTAACAGCATGACAATAACGTACCAAATGGTGTTTAAGCCCGGATAGGCTATTGTCAACAACCTGCGATCCTCAAGGCGCATGAAGTGCAGGGGTGCTCGATCCCCAGGATTGAGTTCACCAGACGGTGGTGCAGCAACCTCACGGAACTGGATCGGTTGCGGAAGCTTGTTGTAGATGAAGAAACGCGGTGTGAGCTCAATGACTTTCGACAGCTTGTATTTTCCAGTTCCCTCCGCCCATGAGAGCCCAACATTTATTTCCGCTTTCTGGTTCACGTGGGGAATGACCATAGCTGCCTCCGCACTGGGTGCATCAAATCGCATCGTCTTTATAGATCGGCTGTTAGGCACATGGAGGAGACTGAAAACAGATCTATCGCACCTGTGACCAGCTGGACTCGCCGACTTTGAAGACAAACTCATTCCCTTTCCTGTTGATATGAGACAAAACTAGATAATGATTGCGTCAAGCCCATCAGCAATGAAGAGAAAACAAATCTTACGGAATGGAGTGCTCCTGGTCAAGTCATCTAATCCTGGGGTGAGCAAAGCCTCCACGAGATGAAAAGATTTGTTAACGTACCTCGTGACACAGGTCCGGCGACGTCCCTGTGCAGCCCAGCAGAGCGAACGCATTTCACGCCAAAGGGAAGGCCTGTCTTGTTAACAACAATAAATGGGCTGTAAATCTGAACTTTGAATGCTCCACCAGCATCCGGGAATTTGCTATTAGGTAGTATAAGAGGCTTGTAATCCAACACAAATAAGATGTACTAACATGTAATTGAGCATCAAGTTTAACTTCCTTCCCTGGGGATCTGCTAGAGAAATTTGGTGCTCCTGGTCGAATTCAAATCTCCTGTCGGCGTTTATGATAGTGAAGTCACTGGCTTTGAACACTGTTTTATTCCTTAATCAGCATTATGCTAGTAGAGAAATGAGATAACAAACCGGTGTCTTCAATTGTAACGCTGAGTAGAACTAAATGGCTGAGTTCGACAGAGTGAACTGGTGTATTTCCACCCTTCCTAAGGAAACTATTCCAATTGTGGTTCGTATCCTTGTCGAACACCTTGTAACGGATATCGAAAGGTAGAAGGTTTTCTAGTTCTATAGGTGCTCGAAGGTTCAATTTCATCTCAGGATAATCTCTTCACAAGGCCATCAGACTGAATACACTGTCGTGAAGGGACTCCGCTAACGCACCTTGACTGCGAAGACCAGACGGGACAGACAGTAAAGTGGAACGGTGCTTCCTTGCGATCCGTGTGAGGACAGCGAACTGTAAGACCGCTCGTGTGTCTAACATCGCGGAAATCCTCCCACTTCATCGGTTGCGACCACCTATAACCGAAACCAGCTTTTGGAGATGGAGATGAATCTCATTCAAGTTACGAGAAGAATACCAAACCTGCTCACCATCAGGCTGAATCCTGATTCTGTTTTGTATGACTGCTTCTATCGGCAAGACATAGTCGTCGCCTGGAACTGCAAGGAAAACATTAGACTAGCGTTGCACCGTACCTCTTCTCAGACATACCTATTTTTTCAATGGGATAAACAGGATGTCCAGTATCATCGACCAAGGTGATTTCCAAGGGATAAAATGTCTGGTTTTCTACCTTGTAAGTCGAGCGAAGAGTGACAATCTTGACATTATCTTTGGTCACGATCTCACACATGAGTTTGCTATAACCAGTCCTTGTCCGTGGCCTTAAGGAGTATATGAATTGTCCTTCTCTGTCGACAGGAACGCTACGAAGATTCTCCCATGGTTTTGCGTCAAACCTGACACCAATAGCATTCGAAGTAGACGACATCCCATCCTGAGATTAAACTTCAGTCAAATCTGCTCGACAAAATCAGTACAGCACGCAAACCTCTCTTGTTTTTCTCCAGTCGTCGAAACGCCAATCGATGGTAGAACCCTGATCGACCTTTATGGTGTTGGCGGAGCTGACGCTTGCATTGCCGTTGGAATCTGGCCACACATAGACTGGGCTTCCCGTTCTGTTACAAATGCGATAGGGTGCATAACTTCCTCTCGCTCGCTCAAGGACACGGTCCCCTTCTTTGTTCCATATATTCGCAGTAGTGATGGCCAGTTCAACGAAATTGGAGCTTACGTTGAGATCGAGGAGCTCTGTCGAAGAAAGATCCAAGGAGATGCCACCAGTCGATGCAATCTTGTGCATCTGTAACACCGTGGATTAATGGCAATCCTACACCTATATGAGGTACCACTTGCCTTTATCGAGAAGTTCCAGGGGTCGATTAGAGGTTCCCAGTGTGAGTTTTTCAGATTCCAATAATCAATCGTCAGTGGTATAGTAGTCCTCGCTTGAAGCTAAAGAATCGCGATAATCAGGAATTCATAGGGGTTGCGAATATCGGAACTCCTCACCTGCGTTGACCAGTCATTTACAGAGACAGTGAATGCTTTGGCTGTCATGTGGAGCACGGGGGCTTCATGTAGGTCACCGATAAGCACTAATCGAAGACCTTGGAACGATGCCTCCATCTAAAAAAGATGTAAATAATCTGTATAGAAGGTTTGGTCCGAATGTCGAACCTCTTCAGTGGACATGATAACTTTCGCCGCCAAGTTCGATCTGGATCGGGTAGGAGAGAATCTTGTCATGGAAGACGAGCTTTTCCGGCCATCTCCTGCTTTGCTTCTTGCCGCAACTGCATTCGCTGCATTATCAAATGCAGCTTGCTTCGTCTCTTTTGTATCAACGTCGTCCGTGCCCGAGAACAGAGCCAGAGCTTTGTTGGCAATGGCCGTAATAAGCAAGATGTCTCGATATGACGCCCTGAAGACGAATTCCTGTTCCACGACTATGTTAATACCAGTGAACTGTTTGTTCCATTCAGAGCGGCTCTCTGAAGCTAGTTTGATGTCAACATCATCCAGGAATCGGACGGTCTCTGCTTGTTTGTTCATGCGCAGAAGAGACATTCCTAATCGGGACATGTCGAGCACCATGGCATTCTGGATCATACGTATCAGTTTTCAACAGCCAGTCCCATCGAGAGACACGAAGTACGTACTTGCTGTGATAAGGAAAGGCGGGACAATGAAAGCCTCACGGCCTGCGTGTCGCTCTTCTGATCGTCCTCCAAAACGCTGATCAGTGTATCGTACAGGTCAAAGCGGAAGCTAAGCAACGGAGGTGGCTGAGGTTCGTTTCCGGAGGGCTTCACTGGTTCCTGCATAATCTTGGGCTGATCCTCTGACCCTGATTTTTCTGAGCTGAATGCGCTGAGGAAGAAATTGGACAGAGCAAAGATGGGTTCGATAGAAAATATAATATGCGGAGAATCTATAGTCGCAACGATCTGTGAAGCTGAATTTGACCCTCCGGAAGAGGTGAATAGACAATGGAATTGATCGCGTCCATGGTCGGCGGCAGGAATAATTTCCCTAAATTTTGTCGGTCCAGGTCTGATGTTGTTCATCGTGAAAGCCTTGATCCAGAGCTGGCTTTGCAAAGCACCACTGGTTCGCATGTCCAACGTCATTGTTGTACCGGACAGCGTAAACTTTGTGATCCCGTGCGACTTGAGATCGCTTTCCGATATAGCACCTGAGTCATATAGATGCAGATTTACGGCTTGCATCGTCACAACTAGATCAACCTTCTTCGAATCCACCTGGCCGGAGGGAGGCAGTGTCGGGCTCAGCTCTGGTAAGAGATTCGCTTGAGACTCTGACTGAGCACTTTGAACATGCTGCTGAAGTTGAGGCGCTTCTATTTGGCTTTCCGATGACCCGGAGAATACACCTGGTATTGCTTGGGAGAGTGTAATTAATCTGCAGTACTGCAGCTCCGTTAACTTAAGATTGACATCCGATATGCGGACCATTGTCTAATTTCCAATATTTAATGATAGTGAATAGTGACAAGAACGATTTTCGTACCTTGAACTCCGCAGTGTCTGCCTTCGGGTCATAACTACCAGCTCCTGCCTGCGTTATCTCCGTAGAAACATTCACGTCATCAATGATATTGAGGCGCGCTTTGCCTTCCTCGAAAAACAGTGAGGTAAGCTGTATTCCGTTAAGGCTCCCGGTAATGAGCTGCGTAGAGCTGTCGAACTCATTTTGAGTCGACAGTTCCCCAAGTCTTAGAACAAATACGTCCTCTAGATGAGTCGGGTCCACTGGGAAGACCACTATGGGCGACCGGACGCTTAAATGAAAAGCCATTCGCTCCACCTGGGCCGCTCGCTGTACCGCTACCTCCGTGGCGGCATCGTATAGTCCCTTTAAGCGAGCGAACTTCATCAAGAAGAGATACATGCTGTTGAGTGGAGCCTCGAGGAAATGAAGCTTCAGTGAGCCAGTCGTCAAGTTTACAGAAGAATTGATGCCTTTCTGTATGGCTTCTGCTGGGCTGAACGATTCGTACCGAAGTTCCGCAAGTTCATCACCCTTGATCGAAAGTAAATGTTTGAACTCTGGTGACCTCGTTTGTATGGGAGAGTCATCTGTGAGCTTCAGGCTGCCCAAACGTGCGATAACAACCAGCCCATTTTCTTCTAGATCAACGTCCACGTTTGCCGTGGAGAGGGACATTGTCGCAATACTATCCGACTTTTCAAGTAACAAAACTGTATGGCATAACATGAGCTAAAACCGTCCCGATGAGATTTCTGGATTTTACCTTGGAATTCGGCTAATTTCGCTCGGACACGGATTCGTTCGGGAGATCGCTGAGATGATTGTTCCTCCTTAGGTTGCACACCTTGTGCAGACGTTTCCTCAACTTGTGCTGTTGTACTTCCATTTCGGCTTGGGACGAATGTCGTCATGATATAGTCATACAGCGAAAGTACATGCTCTGGTACAGCGCGTACAACAAAGGTTGTTAACGTGACGTCTACAGATTGATCGTAGCCATCGTATATCGTCAAAAAATCCGGTGATGCTTTCTGAGCACGGCGATAAGCCACGTTCATTAGATTTGCACCCTCGGAAGTATCGGATTCTGTCGAGACAAGAAGAAGCGGATCATAGCCAGCGGGTGAACTCTTCAAGTCGATTGCTCTGTTAGCAAGTTAGATCGATCAATATCCAGAAGTGTGTATACAACAATCTCACTTGAGGTCGATGTCAACCTTCATTTCGTATTTCGCCAGGACAAAGTTGAGTAGAAAATGATCCAATGCTAGATTACCCAGCGCTCTCTCTGAACCATCTTCCGCAGTCCGAGATATCGTCGCTTGCAACGAATCAACTCGGAATGAAAGTTCAAACTGGTGCTGTCGAATATCGGAAAGCTACGAGAACTACTGTCAGCAAAGACCTCAATGTCTTAGGGAATCAGAAATCTCACCTCCTTGGCAGCTATTCCTGATGCATCCGATTCTTCCTCGGATTCTTTTACAGATACATCGTCAACGACATACTCGGCTTGTCCGCTTCCAAACAGCTCCACAGAAGGCTGAAAAGCAGGTTTATCACGTCTACCCGCCTGGGACGCATTCGAGTCATCATCGAGCCGCGGAAGAGACACATCGAGTAATCGCATAAGCGTCTTGTATTTGCTATCTGAGAAGTTGACATGGAGGTTCGGGAGTCTGCCGGACATCTTCAAACGAGCAATACTGCGAGCTGAGGGAACAATAGAGTTCTGGGCCAGTAAGTCGATATTCACGCGTTCTAGCAGATGTAACCTTGGGTCAGGCTCCTCGGCTTGCAAAGCTGAACGACAAGCATCGAGACTATCGCCGATTACAAACTAAGAAATATTAGATGGGTTTTCGCCAATCAAACCAGTATAACATACCTGAGCTGCAACGAGCTTTACTGAGTAGTTGTCGTACATCATCGACTCGAGCTGCTTGTAGTCCTCATCCGTGTACTTGGTCTTCCGCTTCTTTTCAATCTCTCTGATGGTTTCTTTACTTGCCAGTGTACTTTCCACGAGAACACGTCCTGCATCTATCACCAGGTGGTTACAGTGCTTAGACGTTACACTGCAAGTTTCACGTCAGTATATAACGAAACATGACTTGTACTTGGATCGAAACAACCTTTCTGGAATGATTATGATCGGGGCATGCATGTCAAGTCGAAGATCAACGGTCTTATGCGTCTCCAAGGCATATTCCAACCCAGCACGAGTTTCCTTCTGGATTCCTCCCAAGGTCTCTCCAGCTACACTCTGTGTAGAAAATAAGTAACTAGCTCAGAGGAACGAAACAAACCTTCCATACCAGTAGTGCTTCCACAGACTGTAGCTGACTCTCTGGGGGCTTGAAAAATGCGACAATCGCCTCAACGTATCCCCTCTGATATAGGATCTCCATTGATCGTAGTTTGACGGTCAGGCCATTATCAGCGCGTTCGTCCAAAGGCTTGAACTCGTATTTCATATAGAAGAATGCATCTTCAGATGGATCTCCACTGCCTTCCGAAGACTCGGGCTGGCTCTTCGGTTTCTCGCTCTCCTTGACGTGTACGATCTGCTTGTACAAGTCATTTGTAGTGGTGCCATCAAACACGCGGAAGTTTCCTAACGAAAGAGAAGCTTCGAAGTTGTCGCGGCGTTGCACTCCACCCATATCAAAGGAATCAAAGACAAGTGACACAATATCACTTGAACCGTCCGACGGACTTCGTTTGAGACGAAACGAGCCCTGTTTAAGGTGCACCTTTGCACGAGTAGAGATCGTCTCGCGTGAGGGATCGAACGCTTCAGCAAGCTCAGCTCTCTCGTCGTAATCAAGGAATTCGTTCAACCCCTTCTTCTCTTCCTCCGTCATCTGGTCGAGAGATTTGGGCGTATCGTTAGTTGTGCCCCACAGCCAGGATGACCAGCTCTGTTGCTTTTTCTTGTTCTGTTCCAACACCCTGGCAGCACTCTTATCCTTCTTTAGTTGAGACCGTGCAATAGAACGGTAGAATCGTATATCATTGTACGACAACTTCCGCTCCAGCGAGGCGAGATCGTTGACGATTTCCTGGGTTTCCCGTCAACCACCCCCTCTCGGAGGAAGAAACATGAATCTGATGCGTACCTCACTCTTATTTTCCAATTCTTTCTGCTTGAAGAGGTCGACATATCGATGTCGCTCATCACGGCGAGTCCGGAAGTGCTCCCAAGTCCATCTTACGTGTTTGTCATGGACCTCTTCCCGAATGGCAACAGTTGCAAACTTCCATAAAGCTTTGGACTTGTTCGCCTCGAATTCGGACTCATCTGGACGATATTTCCGGTACTTCATCAAAGATAGTCAGTGGCCTGTGTGCAGGATAAATGGGTATCATAGTATACCTTGTGTTGCCTCACAAAAATATGATACTCGTCCGCCAGCGAGATGACGTCGCGGTATTGGTGATTATCCAGATTAAACCCTAACTCATTGAACAGTAGTTGGGCATCATAGTGAGGTTGGCCATTATTTCCCCATTGCTTATTCAGGATTACCTGAGATAGTCAAAAGTGAGCACAACTCTGAGGCAGATCCTTGTTATATGACGACATACACGTCCTTCACCAGAGACCGGTCGTAGGATAAACTGATGCTCGACAGGGTGTGCATCGGAAGATATCTATATCTGGATTTAGAAAAGGTCCCGATCTGCAGGAGTTGATGAGACAAACCAAGTCCCTGAATAGTTTCTTCGACTTTTCGTAGTCTAGGCCAGCGATACTTTCAGAATCGGTATTGAAATAGACTGCCAGCGAATCCAGAGTGGCAAGCTGAAGGTTCTTAGATGAGTGGACATTAATCTACAAAGATTTACATACCTTATGGATAGATTGTTCAGAAGCATCCAGATACTTGGGTTTCCAATCCGCATCTACGGATACTGCTGATAGTCCAGCTAGCGTAATTCCAGCTGCAAAGGGATGCTACGACGTCGGGAAATGAGCGTATTGACCGTACGAAAGAAGCACTCGACTTACCGCGGGCACAGTCTGTTTGTCTTCATAACGTAAATGGATATTCTTAATTTTCACTTGTACGTTATTGACAATTCGTGCGATGATTGAGTTGAAGTATCCGGCCCCGAAAGAAGACGACTCTATGTGTCACAATTCGCTGTTTAGAATGATACTCCCGATAGAGATCGCTAGCATTTGTGCGCACCTGATACCTCTCCTCCCATCCGGAGCGCTTCTGCTCGTTCGAGACGTTCTTGTTTCAATTGCTGCTCCCTCCTCTCTTCATCTTCGCGACTGTATGCCGTTGCCGACGAGGCAGCTATTAGGACTTGCACATCCTCGATTTCAATCACAACTGGTGTTTCCTTCTTCGTCCAATTAATGGAGAGCATGAAACGGCCAATACGACCTGGATAACAAACACATTAGCTCCTGTCTTACTCGAATGAACACTGAACACACCTTCAACTACTCCGAAGGGCAAGTCGAGTTTGTCCAACACGCTCTTCTTGAGGCTCAAATCCCGTAAATCAATATTGCCTGGAGAGCTGCACTGAGTATTTCTCTATATTGCATCTTGACAAGTGAGCATACCCTTGTTAATGCCGACCGACAACTGATCCTGCGACAGATTTTCTACATAGGCACCAATAAAGCTCATCAAGACCTATTGAGCCGCCACAATCGACGCGATTAACGGAATGTTGAATCATAGACGCGATTGTGCTTACCCTATGGACCCAAGGTTTTGCATAGCTAGCGAAATAATCCATGTTTCGTCGGCTATTGGGGTGGAGGACGAGGTGCTATCATTTGGTGAAGTGGGATGAGACGCGCTGGTGCCAGTGGTGGTGCATGAGCGTGGAACAAGCGTATGATACGTATCTACGTCATCTGACGACGAAGTGCCTGACGGAGGCGCGTCGTCCTCAGTTTCTTCCGCCATGCTATAAACAAGCGAATACACATTTTGGAGACTAGCAATATAGCATTAGTTACAGCGTTTATTCATGTTGCTCTTCTTGTTTGTCGACGGTAACCCACCGACTGTACGATTCTTTGGCGCGAAAACGTTCCCCAGATATATAGACAAAACATCATAATTAGTCATGTTTTACCGATTGGGCGAGATTTCTGCGCTCTCTGCACATGTGTACCAGTATTATCATGTCATTGCTTGCCTGCTGGTTATTTCATGACCATGTTTGTTTCATACTGCACCCCCAGATTTTACTTCTTTTTACGTGATCCGACGACGGAATATACTCAGGACCGAAAAGTACCCGTTTGTCTCCCGCTCATCGTCATTGCAACAAGTCTGTCATATTGGTGAAGTACTTTGAGTTTGCGCAAGAACTCTTGTTAGAATCGAAGCCGAAGGCCCCACCCGCTCCGAATTGCGATAGCTTCCACATTGAGGACAATTTGCGAGGTCATGCCACTGCGACAGGTGAGTGCCAGCCCTTTCATTTCCGTATGATGGCTGGATAACATTGACGTACAGCGAATTATCATGTTTCAGAGAACCACCCTCAGATTCAAATTTAGTAAACTGGTGGCCTAGGCTCACTGGTAAACATTAACAAGCGGACGATTCTCGATACGGTACGGAACTTCGGGATGCCTCTGCGTTTAGCACAAATCGAAGCCGGTCTACTCCGATAGAACGGTTGGGATATTGGCACGCGCATGTACACGCCGCTGCAGCGCCTTCTTCTGCATTTAAGAAAGCAAACAACTGGAAGGCTCCCTTCATACCCCAACCAGTCCCCACCGTCCCATCCCATCTCGCAATACGAACTAAAAAATGTCCGTGTCTGTTGCATCCTCATCAATCTGCCTTCCCAAACCTCTCCCCAAATCTCATCGTGCAGATGCGTGTGTGGAAGAGGTCAGGCACACATGACTTACTCTGAAACGTGAGACTGATGAACCTGATTCAGGTCGTAGCAGTGGAGGACAGCGTCCAGCCGTTCAAACAGTGAGAGCGCCCATTTGACGTCCAGGAATACATGTGATAAATTAACGTCTGTTCCTCGTTCAAAGAATGACCGCTAAGACCAATCGATCCTCGCTGCGCCTGGTGTGCACGGTGCCGACGTGGAGCCCATCCCCAATGCACTGTATGAATTCGTTAGACCATTTTCCATTTATAACGCATTCTTATTTAATTTTAGGCCTCGACCTCCATGACCTCCATGATTTACGGAACCGTTCCATAGTCTTCGTACACGAGCTGCTCAAATTATTGCGAGCCAGTGGTGTGAGCTCATGAAGTTCTCATGTCTTCTAATCGCAAAATAACTGAGGTTTTGAAAATTCAGATTGAAGCTAGTTATCGGCTAATTCCGTCGAACATGGATCTCGCGACGATCTCCATATCCACCACAGAAAATTCAAAAAAGCAGCCAACTGTTGACCATGACCTGCTGGCCGCGGCGCAGAGTAGTAACGGGAAGACGCTACTTGCAAGGACAAAGGAGGGGCCTGTGATTATCATGACCTGAATAGTACTAGACGTCGGACATTTTCTGCTTGTTGCTTGCTTTACATGGTGTATCGGTATTCCTTTAGCAAATGTAAGTAAGAATATGTGCGACAGCAACGGCTCCGAAACGGTCTGAGCAACGGTCTGAGCATTTGCCCGTGATTAAAGTATGTTTTAGTCCGTGTGACCCGTCAGACCTCACGCGATTTTTGGTTAGTAAAATGACGGCCTGACCAGTAAGCGATCGGCATTTTTCGCTCTCTTTTCAGACATCCACCGCTCGTTAGCTCGTCTTTTGCCTCCCTCATCGCCCGTCCTGTCTTTTCTTTCCTTCGCAATGGCTCCCCTCGCTGACTTCATCCTCGAGCACGTCCCCCTCCCTACCCTTCCCCACTACCTTACCAGCTATGTGCCCGGGAAAACACCACTGTCTACACCCACATCCGTAGTCGCTGCACTTGTGTCCTACCTTGCAGTTGTTTTCGGAGTGCAAAGAATCATGAAGTCACAACCACCGCTCAGGCTCCAGTTCCTCTTTCAGCTTCATAATATCGTCCTCAGCGCAGGAAGCGCTCTTTTGCTCGCGTTGATGGTCGAGGAAATCGCTCCGATTGTATGGAAGAACGGATTGTTTTATGGTATTTGCAACGATGGGGCTTGGACTCCCGTGTGTTTTCTCTTCTTTGGATCGATGCTGGAAGCAGCTCTAACGTTGTATCTAGCGAATGGAATTCTACTATATGATCAACTATTACATCAAATATCTTGAACTATTAGACACTGCTTTCCTCGCAGCAAAAAAGAAGCCTCTCGGTGCGCAGTTTGCAGTTGACTCGTGATTATGGTAGTGCTGAGCCGCAGTCCAGCTTTCCTCCACGTTTTCCACCACTCAGCAACTGCCTTGCTCTGCTTTACGCAGCTTAATGGCCGCACTAGTGTCGTATGTCTCAATTTTGCTATGACGTATATGACGTGTCGTTGATGCATTTCTTTTTAGTCCTGGGTTCCTATCACGCTTAACCTTACCGTGCATGTCTTCATGTGTAAGTTGGACTGTATGTCGTACCTTTGTCCCAGCCGCTTATGATGCTCAGATTACTACTATTATGCGACTGCCGGAGGGGCGCGCATTTGGGTGGGTCACTACTATATATATCACTTAAGATATTATGATATTGACTTATTTCGTAGTGGAAGAAGTATCTTACGACCATGCAAATCGTCCAGTTCATTATTGACCTCTTCGCGGTTTACTTCGGCAGTATGTTAACTATTACCACGTATCCTGCTCTTTCGTTTACTGATTTTACTCATCTAGCTTACTCATACTTCGTCTCTACTTACTGGTCTGACAAGTTCCCTTCGTACGGAACTTGCGCTGGAACGGAGGGTGCTGCTCTCTTTGGATGTGGTCTTCTCACCAGCTATCTAGGTCTCTTCATCAACTTCTACATCCAGACATACAAGAAGCCAGTAAAGGGAAAGAAGCCAATAGCAAATGGGAATGGTGCTGTGAACGGATTTGCAAATGGAAGTGCGAACGGACATGCGAATGGAAGCGCGAAAGCCAATGGTATAGCGAAGTAAGTCTATGCTCGGGTGCATTCGAGTGAAAAATCTAACATCCTTGGTAGCGGCAAAGCGGATTAGCCCACTCATCTTACGAGCGCACTAATGATAAAATACGGACAGATGACTTTTCTGTAGCATTCACGGGCGACGTTATCTAGAATTTGTGCCTCGATTTCTTGATACCACCCTTTGTCGGATTTTGGTTTTTTTGTGTTGTGCTTTTCCGCTTTAGTTCGTTTATTATACTTGGGTCGTAGATTGGACCAGCCGCTCTTTCTTCGCTCTCAGCCATCCATCCGCTAGGATGATAGGTTATATCATAATAAATCTGCAGATATACAGACGCATTTCAAAATGGACACAACAGATGGGCGTGTTTGCTGAAGAATGAATTGTATCCAGGAGCCAATAATATAAAATAAATGAAGTTCTGGCGTCAACCATGGGAGTATTTCATGCGCATCTTGTCGCGCACCGCGACTGATTGTAAGTTCATGACGGCTCGAGACGCCTGAGCCGCACAGCGATCAGAGGACCCCTGACATACATACTCGACTGTTGAAATTACTGTGAGTAATCTCACGGAGCCGCTCGCGAACGCCGGGCGCAACAGGTTGTACTCGAACCGTCACCTCAGCTTGCCGGCCATGGCGGCCAGCGGCAGCGACGTCCTCATCTCCGACTCGTGGTATGAAGACTCGTCATGGCAGAACGCCGGCACGCGTGAGTTTATGGCCTCAATCGAGTTGTGGGTTCCAGCGAAGGCTACGAACGCGTCGACGCGCAAGGTAAGCGCCTGCCGAACTGCTTCTCCATCGCTCAAACATAGCTTCTTATCTGCGCCTGCTTGGTGTTCCTAGCCTCATCTTCCGCGTAAGGCATCGGAGAAGAGAGACTCCATTGGTGCGGTCTTGAGTGGCGACGAGCGGAAGATTAGAGGTGGGATTGGGCGTTCTTCGACGTCTTGTCCATCTATGCTAACAAGAGTTCAGAGAAACCTAGCTGGTTCCGAAGTCATGTTAATACCGTAGCTGCGAATGGGAGCTGGAGACCCGCTCGCTGTAAGCTGCTCGAAGAGCACGATCGGTGTACCCTCAATATCTACGTAGATGTGCGTGCTAGTCACTTCTATGGACCTTCTGATGCTGATAAGCTTTAATGAAACAGGAAACAATTCTACAATATTCTATATATGTGCATTTATTGCGTTCTACAGATATCAGGCCAGCAGACCGGTCGTTGTTCTTCCGTGACAATTGCCTGGGGATACATGTGAAGCCGTGAGTGACCCTTTCGACAACTAAGCGTTAACTCAACGTTGATGTCGTCTCGCAAGTGGACAGCGATGGCTGGACACAAACACGGAAGAAATTGTATACGTGAAGTTTCCGACCTCAGATTCAATCAACACATGGATTGCCCTTCTTCGCTCTTATGCGGTGGCCGAGATCTACGGAAGAAACCATGCGCCAAAGGATGGCGGACTCTACCGCATGTGGAGGCAAGTCCAACTGGAAATAAATCAAGCCCGTAACCTTGGTTCATCAAAGCCTCCGACTGAGCTGGCCTCGAGTCCGATGTCATCAGAATTTGACGGTTCCAGTGATGGCGTCGACATGGAGGTCTCCTGCGAGGTCTATATCACTGATGAACTGTGTGGTCGGACAACCGTGAAGAAAAGTGTGGGCTCACCGGAATGGCATGAACAGTTTACCTTCAGTGATTTGCCGCCCTTTGGTGACCTTCTTGTTCATGTATACCGCGAGAAGAAAGTCTTCAAGCCGCAATTATTGGGTACAGTTCAGATTCCTCTGAATAATGTCCGAAAAGGCGAAGTCATGGAGGGATGGCATGCGGTCATTGCAACGAATCAGTCCGTTAGTGGCACACAAGTTGGAGAACTTCGTCTCAGAATGAATGTCGACGAGTAAGTACCTCTTAAGATACCGATATGTGATTCCTGACGTCGTTTCAGGGAGATTGTACTTCCAACGTCCGCGTACTCGTCTGTTCTCGATGTAAGCGTATCATTAATTTCTTATTCGCATACCATTCAAGAAGTCCTGTCGCTAGTGCATGTCACAAAGGAATCTCCTTGATCTCTTACACGACTTAGAGCAAGAGCTAAAGCTCGACCATATTGCCGAGCACGTCCTGGCCATCGCTGTCGTCCGAAACGTTCTCATGCGCGACCTCTTTGAATTATCAGAGCGAGAAGTAGATGGCACATCGAGCAGTGAGTTTCTGCTCAACATTTCAATCCGAGTTGTGTACTTATTCCTCGATTTTCTACTTCCAGCTCAAAATACTCTATTTCGCGGAAACTCGGTCCTCACGAAAACCATTGAACTCGCGATGAACTGGTATGGCAAGCCTTTCCTTGAGGCCAGTGTAGGACCAGTCGTTAGGCGACTTGTTTCCGAAAAAGTTGTGATTGAGGTTGATCCAGTGAGAAGCGGCAGAGGCCCGAAAGATCAAGAAAAGAACGTTGACCTCCTGGTCTACTGGTGCAAAGAGGTTTGGAATCATATTTACTCGGTCCGAGACGAGTGCCCACAGTACGTAACTACCAGTCCAACCACGTTGCGTCCTCTCAGTTTTCTACAGGGAGCTTCGTCAGCTTTTCCAACATATTCGTCAATTAGTTGAAAAGAGATTCGAAAGCGGCAACCGTGACCTACGATGGCAGAGTGTATCTGCGTTCATCTTCCTACGATTTATCGTTCCATCTGTTCTCCACCCTCACCTCTTTGGCCTATGCCACGGTGAGCATCCTCCCCATGTCCTGCGTGAATTTGTATTAACACAGGATCCGTTCAGGCATGCCTCCCGCACCAGTTCAGCGGTCGCTTACATTGATAGCAAAGGTGATGCAGAGCCTCGCTAATCTTAATCCGGTCAGTAAGGACTTGACAGCTATGCAGACATATTTGACTAATTCTTATCCGTATTGTAGACTGTCCAAAAAGAAGAATTCATGCGAGGGCTGAAGGACTTTATGCAAGCTAGTCTTCCTGCTATGATTGACTACATTAAGGAAGTCTCAACACCATCTTCCGAGAGATTCCAGTCCCGATTACCTTCTCATGTGGATAAGCACGATCGTATCTGCGTCATGAATGCTCTCCATGAGCGGAAGCCGGACATGCCTACTTTACACCGCGAGGCCCTCCTTTTCCTTCCGCATCTCCTAGACATACCTCGTCATCTCGCCGTATTGACCTCGGCGGTTGTGAGAAACATGAGGGACACGAAATACCAGCGAAATAAGGTTCCATCTCAATACAGCAATTCTCTATGGCACTTTACAAGATGCTGTCTGGAAGTCGAGAACGTTGCCCTGAAATGCGTCAGTCAGCTCCGCCCTCGTATACACGGAGCCCGGTCGCAATCTGCACCCCTGAATCCTCCGTACCACCAAGTCCACTCGCAGGTAGACTCACCTCACGGTGCTCCAGTCGACAGCCCCAGACGTGCCGGAAAGACTCGCCTGAATACAAACCTACCGCGGCCCGCTACAGCTCCGTCCACTCCCGACACGGAAGCTCCATTTGCGACTTACATGGAATACACCGCGAACCTCCCGTCCTCGCCAGCGAGTCCCGTAGCCGAGAACTTGCTCAGATATTCTTCTGGATCGGAAAGTGTACAGACACAATCCACCCTTACTCCGCGAGAGGGGGGTACGCCCAAGGACAAGGACAGGCCAGAGGGAAATGGCAGTCGACTTCGGTCAGGAGGCAAGGTAGAAGACGAGGCCGACACATTCTGCGTACCCGACACAGCTGACGACACCAAAAAACGCAAACGATTTCTTCGAGGATTTCTTACGAAGAGGTGAATATTGAATACTACATGTGTACTTATTTTATTTTCCCGTTCTTTCTTGCTTTCTAAGCGTCCTATATGCTGTGAAACACGCTTTGAGCATTGCATTCCATCCATCCATCAATTCCATCCGTCGCTTGTAATTTGTAAAAATCTGTATACGACTTATGTACCATTGGATGTTGTCCTGGACAATTTATTATAATAATACAGACCGAGTTCGAAGAAAAAAGATTTAAAACCAAACATGAGAGACATGAACAGAACAAAGCAAGAATGCGTAGCTTGAGGGTAAATAGATTAGGTAGCTCCCTGAGCTCGAAGAGGTCGGATTATCAACTGTAATACCTCTGCGGCGACTTCTTCCGATGTACTTCTTACAGTCAATCGACAGAGCTGAATTCAGGAATGTATATGAGCTTCCTTAGAATTACGGCGGAAAAGTCAAGAGAACATACCTTAGCATCACGATTAGGTTCCAGTCGGAGTAGGCATCCAACTTTTCCGGCCGAAGTCGTATGGAGCACACCGGCAGCTACGATATTCGACGGGTTAGGATCAATATCCTCGAGAAGTGCAAAACCATGACCCGAAACTATCGCCTTGTTCTTGATGACGTCAATATGGCCAGCGCTGTCCAAGTCCATCGGGAAAACTTGCTGTGCCTCTCGAGGAGGTCCACCTATAATTTTCCAGCGCTCAAAGAAGTCGGATGGTCCGAGCTTGACATGTTCAACGAACTTCGTGATCACTATAGGTAGACGGACAGTAACGGTTTGATGAGCTCCCGCGAGGAACGCGACGCTCAGAAGCGGAGGTTGACCGAACATTTTCTTGCATTCTACATTCAGTAATTGTTGGACTTGAGTCCGCGAAGCGATTGCGCTGGGTGGCATCTTTAAGAATGATACCGAGACCGCGTCCGGATCGTGCACATGAAGTGTGGCAGTGAAAGATGTGAGCGGAGCGGACATCTTGTTTCCTATGTATATCGCAAGACGACCTTCGTGACTGTGGTATTCAGACTTGATTCCCATCTGTATCTGCACGTCCTCATACAAGACTCCTTCACGGGCATGACAGAGCTTTTCGAACCAGCGATCCACGTTCGCTCCATGCGTAACGGGAGGAATCGGAGGCTTGACTTCGACAGGCACGGACTTCAACTCGGAATTCGACGTCAGGTCAAGCCCAGCCAAGCTACTCAAGATGTCATTACCATCCGCTTGAGCTGACGTTGGAGCTTCCACCCCGTTTTGTTCAACGGAGGAGAACGTTCCCTTCCGGACCGTCTTTTGCCGAAGCAGTTCGCGATCCAAGTTCGCCTCCTTGCCTCCGTGAATCCATGTTCTCTTATCCTCCGTATCTCCAAGTTTTCGGTTCAGCCTCCCGAGAAGAGCAGATTCCCGAGCGGGGAATGGGGGCATCTCTTCGCAGACATTCTGTAGCAGTTCGTCATCGTCGGGTCGTGAGGCGAGAGCATAGTATTCGCAAGCACGTTGCTGTAAGTCGGAATCCAGAACATGCCGGTATCGCTCAAATACGGCTACAAGGTGGGGCTTTATTTCAGGGAAAACATTGACCCATTTAATGTATGTTGATAATAGAAGAGCTCGAGTCGGAGCGGAACAGAATTGCGACTTCGCATGCAGAACCATGAACTGGTCTGAAGGACTGTAGCCTGGTTCGTTTGCAATGAGATGTCCGTATTCACCGAGGACATAACCTGTACACAAATTTATTAGCAACCCATTCAATCATCGTAAAGCAACAAACCACGTACCTCCGACTTTGATCAAACTTTCATGGCTTGAAGGCGATCGCAAGTGTTGGAAAACAACCTTCGCAGCGTACACCTGCAGGTCTTCTGTATTCGTCGTGATCTGAACTACTCGATACCATACTTCCTCGCTGACATGATCGCCTGCTGCGCTAATGAGCTGCAGAATGGTATCAACATACCACTTGTAGGACGTCGAGTATTTTTCTGTCAGGATGGCGATCTTGAGCACCATCTCTTCCCTGAGGCCGTAGTCTGCCACTTTCAAATATTGGAGGAGCTCGCCAACGATAAGTTCCGCATTGTCTGTATCACACATGCTGTATAGAAGGTCTAGTGCTCGTCTTCGAACACTGATATCTTTGTCCCGCAACGAGAGAATAATTGTTCCTTGATGCTTCTTGATAGAGTCTAATGAGTCTACACGAGCAGCCAGGTGTGCCATGGTATCCAAACCGAGGTAACGGACGTTTGTCTCTTTTGAGCTGATGAAACGAGCAAGGAGGATAGCAGCTGTGCTGACTAACGGCGAGTTCGTGTCGAGATGGATAGCTAGCCCGATGGCTTCGAAAAGGACAGCGTTTTGCGCATTGTTGTGTTGCACGTTTCGTGATTGCTCCGCAGAGTTGGTCATGACTGTTTGTAAAACATCATGTAATGCCGAGAGTACAGATGGATCGTCTACAAAGCGGTTGAGTTTGCAAACGATGGCAGCGAAAGCGAGAGACACATACCAGACGGTGGGTAATACTGTAAGAGACGCAGTAACTTGACTTGAAGCCACGGTGATGGAACCTTGTAGTAAGCGTAGGTCGCTGAATATTCCCTCTCAATGGCGAGCTGTAAAGTGTATGAGCAATCTCGAAGGATGTACAGTAGTAAAGCACAAACTCGATGCAACCTGTCAACGGCTTTCTGATAGCACACGGCATATACGTCCAAATGGTCCTGAGCCATCGCCATGATCAAACTAGTGACGCAATTTACGACTCCCTTAAGAAGAACGAGATCAATCTATAATTGACACAAAGAGGCACTAACGATACTCACAAGGTCCATATCATCCATGATTGCCACTATTCGTAAAGCCCATTCAGCGGCAGGTATAACATCTGGATGTTTTCGATACAGTCGCAACAAAGTAAGAGCAGCCTTCTTCTTGACCATGCTCTGTGAGGTTCTTCACAGAATGTTCAGCTCTATGGTCGTCCAATATGATGCCGATGCAATACTCACGGTGAAATCAGCAAGCGATGGACATCCTCCGCAAGCGCCTCTGCCATCTCCTGTCCACCAACATTCGCAATAGCATGCAACGCCAAACAATTATTGACTTCACTGTTGTCATCCAGGTCCTTCTTGATCGAATTCACGACGAGCCGCAGAAAGTCGGAGTTCTCGTGCATCAATAAAGTCACAGCTAAATATCCCTACGCACAAGCAATTAGAATGAACATTTTTAGAGAGAGAGAGTTAGCTCTCTTACAATCTGCTTCTCGCTGTACTTGTGGCTCGAGATGAGGTTGACAGCTTCCATGTGTCCGACATCGACTTTGTACCCCAAGATATACGTGAATATAATTTTTGCAACATATCTACGGCAGACGTCATCGGCAAACCATCCAACTTTCCTAAGTTAATGAAGATAACGTACTTCTTCTTTTGATATCCATCCAGATTTCCATCTGGCAGCGGAGTAAGCAACTATACACACATTACTGGCATGTTGCCTCGCACCTTTGAATTTCTTTCGTATATTCGCCATCTCCTTGTTGATTCTTTTCTCCTCCAGTTCTCGCACTCGTGCACCTCTAATGTCCGCAATGAACTAGACCGTGACGACGTGCACATTAGCTATACCGTCAAGCAGAGAGCGTCAAAGATATATACCTGCGTTAACCCACGCATTGTTGTCGCCATGATTTGTTAGTTGATATTGCGCTCCGCCTTGAAGGCGGAAAACGCAGGCTCGTCTTATGTTCTTGAGGAGGATGCGCTCTGAGCGAAGTAAGATTTAGCTCAGCTTCAAGTTGTTGTAGTCCATATTGTATAGTGATCGAGCCATTAGACTCAAGAATGCATATTACGTAAACACGATTGATCGTCTACTTCTACAAGTACCAGTAATTATAAAATGCTGCGACTGCAGCAGCAGAAGAGCAGAAAAGAGTGGGGAGTATGTAAATGTAGAATGATGGCAATTTACCAACCCCCCTTCGCGCTGAGCCTACTCGGGGTGCCAGGACGGGAGTCGTATCTGAGCGGAGTTGATGCGCCTGATCGCCAGCCAGACCCTGGCAGAGGCCTTGAGGACATCGAAGGCGTGAGCGTCGGTGTAGCAGGGCGAGAATTACGACGAGACTGACTCTCCCGCTGCTCCTCCGCGTATCTATCCAAAATGTTGACAATCACCTGAGTGAATCGACTTAGTTCCCTCATCTCCATGTCCGAGAGTGGACCATGAGACATCCCAACAGAGTCCTCTTCCTCATCGCCAGACTCATCTTCGTCGTTGTCTCGGTTTTGGCGCAACGCTGGAGGAATATATTTGCCTGAGGACTGCAGTGGCTGTTTACTCTGCCGGGCACCTCGCCAATTTCTATTGTTGATACCTTCGAACACACGGAGCATGCAGTCCTCCATTAGACGCTTCAACCTTCGTACATCATCCAATGCATCGAAAGGTCCTATGACCGGTAGCCATTCATCGCATTCCAGGCCATAATCAGACGCTTCGATGTTGTATGCACCGAACAGCACGTAAGTCATAGGGTCCAGGCGCGTAGTTCCGACCAGAGACATCTGTCCGGGAGGCTGACCAGGCATAGACAAATTCTGTCGTTTTTCGGAGTAGGCAAACAGTTGCTTCTCCCTGGGAGCGACAGGACTTTCGTCCATAACACGCTTCCGATGGTTAACGCTTGAAGCATGCATGACAACTGTCTATTATCTTGGTCAGAACACGTAAGTATCCACCCAGAAACAAATCACGTACTTTCTCCCTCGCAGTCCGGTAGGTCATTGGACCCGCCCTGATTGCGAATTTCGGTTGGCTGGCAATTGCAATTAATGCAGCTAACAGGGGTAGTGAATCTCCGTTAACGTTGAGTTCGGGAGGTACTGAGAGTGATCGAGCCGAACGTCTACTGTGGCCATCGCCAATACTGGCGGTTGAAAGATTAGAAATATCCAAAATACCAGTCTGAGCCAGGGAACTGAGTAAATGATCCTTCACTTTGACAGCCAACATCAGAGTTGGCTTCGACAGGAAGTTGTCACTGCAAAACTGTGCGCCACCTCGAATGTCACCTCGCCTCTCAAACTCATACCAAGCATCGAACGCCCTCAAACTCGCGATGGCATCCGATCGGAAGTCTTCAGGGCACCATGAATTCTTCACGGCTTGCGCTTCTTTTCTCATTGTAGGTGGAGAAAGGAACGGATCGCGACTAGAAAAAATTGCAGCTAAAGTGAGGGCTGGATCAAGGCACTTGAAGAAGCTGCCAAGAAGCACAAGACGACCGAGCTGTACTTCAATAGGAAGTTGAAGCAGGAGACGACCGAGAGAAGTTAACTTTTTCCCTTCATCCAGGGCGCCAACGATCTTTAAGCTCTCCATGGCTGCGGTGACGCGTTCGACCGAAGGCGGCTCGATCGTCCTTGCCAGGACCTCCTCTGCTTCCATACCAGGGAAATCCAAGGCTTTCACATGCATGACAACATTGGTCAAATCCATCCGTTTCATTTCAACAGTTTGGTGTGGGTGCAGAGCATCGGCTCGTGACTGGCTAAGAATACCATAGTATTCCCCAGGTCTGTGGCGACCAGCCCGCCCAGCGCGTTGATTGAGATTCGATTTTCCCACCCAGGCCGAAACCAGCGATGAGATGTGTCTTTCGGGATCATATCGGTTTTCTTTAATCTTAGCTGTGTCCACAACATATACGACGTCGGGAATCGTTACAGACGTTTCGGCGATGTTAGTGGAGAGGATGATGCGACGGACGCCCTCAGGAGGCGGATCGAAAATCACTTGCTGCTCGGCCAGAGGAATGCTTGAGTGTAGAACATGTAAGGAAAACTTTGAAGGGTCGCCGAAATCAAGTCCGAAAAGTCGAGAAGATTCTCCAGTAGTCAGCAATTTCTGCACGCTCTGTATTTCTTCCCAGCCCGGTAGGAATACGAGAACATGCCCCGAGTCCGAGTTCTTGAGGACGTGCGAAATTGTCAAACCCACTAAAGCGTAAGGTATTTCGAGCTCTTCTTCTCGTTGTTCCTTTCCGAAGACCTGTCTCAGCGCTGGTGATTCGGGAAGAAGACGGGCAGCGTCAGGAAGTTCTTTGTAGATATACTTTACTACCTTCTCGTCTGTGAACACCCATCGACAATTTCTGTACTCCTGAATCATCGACGGCAGGAATTCGTCAAGAAAATGCTTCTGCACGGGGAAGGAACGGCCTGGTATCTCGACGACTCTCGCAGGTGTGCCATTTGCATCTGAGAAGTAGTTTCGGAATAAAGTGGCATCGACTGTGGCACTCATAAGAATGACTTTGAGCGGGTTGCCCTTCGTCCTCCTATGCTCAATTAATCGCTTTAGAACGACCAACAAAAGATCCGTATCAATGTCGCGTTCGTGAACCTCGTCTACCACAATGTGTGTGACGTTATCGAGAACCCTGTCATGACCACGCTGCAGGGCTGTTTGCATACGCCTCAGAAACACTCCGATGGTACAGTACGTCACGGAGCCATTCTCATCGGGTAGAGACGACTCGAAGCGGACCTGATACCCAATTGAACCTCCTTCTCCGACTTGTTCTCCGCGTTCTTTGGCAACACGTTGTGCCACACTGATGGCAGCCAATCGCCGTGGCTGAGTGCAAAATATATTGCATCTAGATCCTTCCTGTCTGTCAATATACGAATCGAGGATTAGCTGCGGGATCTGCGTCGTCTTTCCCGAACCAGTTGCAGCCATGAGGATAATCACTTCATTTTCCTCAATCTGCCTCAGTGCATCTTCTGCCTTCGAATACACAGGAAGATTCTGGCGCGTTTGGCGTATCTTCTCGTGAGAAGGGTCCGAGAGATAAGCCTTTCTACGACGTAACAGTTTTGCGGATTTTGCCTCCAGGGTTTTATTTTGATAACCACTGCTCGATAATGGCGATTTAGCGACATATGCAGCCTGTGCTGCAGCCGCCGCTTCTGGTGCATTGCGAAATAGCATGCTCCTCTTCATCAACCAGTTGAGATCGCGGATGTCATCCTCCAGGCGCTCCGACATCTGCATATATACCTTGGAAGCAAACCCCAAGTCCTTGCCCGTCTTCGCCTTCGCAACGAACTCCCTCCAAAGAGCCGGGTCGCAATCCTCCAGGTAGGTGACAACATCCAAGTAACAAGCTTTAGAAGCATCTTTCTTGGACTTTCCGCCAGCCATTCCAATCCGACGTCCTCCGACCGTCATGACAGCCTCCCAACTTCCTTTTCTACCTTTCATCTCTTCGAGCTCAATGAATGGCTGTTTGAAACGATATTTCCGACAATAATAGTCCATGAACTGTCTGGCCATTTCGTAGGTGACTTGAGATCCATCGGATAAAGAAACTTGTGTAGGCGTTTCTACTGGAGGCGCGTTCTCCTTCTCCTTCGCTTTCTCTCTTATGTGCTAAGAAGTGGAGAGTAATCAGAGCACGGATTAAATTCTCATATAGTTACAGACATACCATTCCCCTTGATATTATCTCATAGCAAGCTGACAGACAAGCTGCTTTTTCCGCATGTCTCTTGGTACCTGCGTCGCCCACACCAACCACATCATCGACCACATTTACTTTAACTCTTCACATGCATCGTTCAATGTAAATCGTATACGAAGCAAACCACACGCACCTTGCCATCCTCGCCCCATCCATGGTTCCGTCCTCAACATCGAGTTCGGCAGTTCGGCCAAGTTGCGTTTGCATGAAGTTGAACAACGCAGATTTCGGATTCCTCTGCCAATCTGCACTAAGCTTCGATCCCTTGACGTTTCCTATATCGACATCCGCATACTTCTGCTTGATGTAAGCTTCGTCCATGAATGGTTCAGAGAAAATAGCCTTGCTCGAGAATCCTCTCGATTCACCGCCCACACTCTTCATTGGGTGGCCGGAACGACTGTAACCGGACGCTGGTCGGTATGTGTCCGCCTTTAAACGCCCACCTCGGCCACCCCGTATGGGGCCTCTTGGAGCCTTATCTCTCGCCGAAGGACCAGGCATATCGTCTGGCAGGTCTTGTGTGGCAGTTCGAACGTGTTTATAGTCTCTTGAATCGTCTTTCCTGGGCAATACAGCCTGGCTTGCTGAGCGTTTCTGAGGTGTAATTCGGGCTGCTAAGTAGTTCGACGGGTTCGTTCTAGTAGAGTTGAACGGCATGGGGAACTGGAGACGCCTTCGCCGGAGAAGAAGAGCAAACCGCATTGACACGATGCTCAGTGGCAAGGCCTCTTGTGGAGATCACTCGTCTGGTGACCTCATCAGGTCCAGATTAAAATCCAGCTCATTTGGATGTACTTACACTGTATTGCGCCTCTTCACCTATTAAAAGGCAGAGACGTCATGAAACCTTTCGTGGGTAGTGGGCGAAGGAATCGCACGGACAGTGACTGTAGAAGATGAAACAATAGTATCAAAAATATGTAAACAAATAAACACGGCACGTCGATCCTTCCTTGCCGTCAACTACTTCCGTTATTCCAGTATTGCCGTGCACATTGCAGCACAAAATCCAATTATTTCTTTCTAACATAACATTAACAAGCTGTATATGCTACTGTCTACATCTACAGAGTCGGGTCATGCTTTTGTTAATTTCACTACTAATAGTTAAGGATAGTCAATTTATCGTGATAATGAATCCCACTTTTCTTTTGCTGCCAATTGGATTCCCTCCAAGTACTTCAGCTCCACTACTGCATCTCTTGCTTCTTCCCATTTCTTCTCCGCAATTAGGTTTTCTATCTTATCGTATACTGCCTTCATTTTTCCTGGTAGGAGTTACTGTGAGGTGATAACAATGTGAAAAGTAGGGAGACTATCACCTTCGTTCTCGGAGCGAAAGCGTTCAATATCTTCCAAACTTTCAGCTTCATCCACTTGTTCTCTTGCTTCCATAATCTCCATTACAAGTCCTCGATCCGTCAACTTGTCGGTTTCCGATGGAGGAAACCCTTCCTGTATTAAGATGTACTGTGCTCTCAACACAGGCGATTGAAGAGTCTTGTAAGCCTCATTCAGTGTAGACGACTGCGCAGCAGCTACATTGTGATCTTTCTTTGTATGCATGTATTAACGGATTATCACGAATGTTGAAGTAAGAACAAGCGCACCTCTCCTCTACCGGACCAAGCATCGGGATGACATATCCGCTGAGCTTGCAGAAATCGACGCTTCAAGTCTCTAGTGTCGACATTGAAGCGATTTTGAGAGCCCTGAAGGCCAAAGATGTCGAAGTATGTGGAAGTACTTGGCAAGGGCTCAATGTGGAAGCAATTTGGACATGTAGGTAGGGCTGTTGGAAGAGGCGAAGAGCATGAAGGGCAAATTCTTGACGTCGAGTACAGACGCGATGCAGTTAATAATCTCGCATTGCCGACATGAGGTCGCGAGCGACGGACGGCCAGTCTCAGTGTATTCATGGTTGAGTGCAACAAAGGAAGAGTCGAAAGATGTCCGCGTCTGACGTCACTTCGGTTCCGAGCGCTGAGTGGTCACGTCGGGCTCAGGACATAACTATTCTTGCTTTGCTCAACTACTACTTACTGGGTTGGCGTCTTACATCCTTGTGTTTAAAACTCGCCACATATCATGGACACATCTTCCACTCCGCCCAAGTCCGCAGGGCTACAAGACTACCCACCATTACCTGAACCTGGTCCTCCAGAAGACTCAGACCTGGCTCTCCTGAATTTCTCAGAGAGAGAACGCCTTTCTAGGTCGTGGCACGCTCGCCTTTTCACTAGGCGCTCAACGGGTGTAACGCTTCTTGAAAGGCGTAGCAGTGTACTCAGCGAAGACTCGGACGAAACCAGCTCCCATGCGTCTGCCTCCAATCGTGATGTACAAAGGGAGGCTCTCGGTGGTGCCGAAACAGCGGATGACAGTCACACACAACGTATCGAGAGCTCCTCTATAGAAATACGCGTCGGCCAATCTACAGACACCGGTCGCATTTCGTTGCGTGAAGGTGACGTTGAAGATCCTACAAAGGACCAACATTTATACCGCTGGGTAATGGTCTACGAAAACCAGAGAGGGTAACTGAACAGTACTTTGATAACTGGAACCTTCAAAACTGATTGTAAATCACTTTTTCATTTAGTATATCAATATTCTCTGCACGTCGCTATTCAACCCAGTCTTTGCTACCACGCGACCCTCCCCCTTTCTCGTTAGTAGCTCCTGGATCGTCATTGATTGAAGGCCGCCCTGTCAGGAAGTCACAGCAACCGGACATCTCTCTTGACGATTTCCCTCTTCCCGACGGCAACTGGAGATGGGCAAGTAAAGAGTGGATGGTTGACATGCGTGAAGAGACTGTACAACACGACGGTTTTGAGTATAACTGGTTCTTCCGATCCAAGGGATGGCGTCCAAAGGCAGGACGTTTCAATGGTGGAGCTTGGGTGCGAAGACGACGGTGGTTACGCCTCATGGAACGGCCTCCTATACGTGCAATACAAGAGGGTGAAATTAAGATATATGCAGCCCAGACGATCCTACAGACTTCGTTGCGAATAGACGAGGTCTTCCGCGGAGACGAAGAGGACTGGCCTCGTGCACACAGAACATTGCGCGAGCTCGGCCGCGACGGCCGGAAACTAGAAGTTTGGAAGGGTTGGATTACTACTTCCAAATCAAAAGAAAGTGAAGACCAATATATCGTACGAGCCAAGGAGGCAATTGCTAAAGCGATTCGAGATCACGTACGTCTTCCTAACCCTTTATTAGGATTTGCTGACGATTATTCTTTACTGCGTTTTATAGATGGATGAATTACTACGCTCTTTTGTCTTCCCTCAGTCCCGGATTGAATTTCTTGAGATGGTGACAGAAGGAGGCCTTTTATCTGAGTCCGATGTCCTTGGGTTAAGCTCTTGCTCACCATGTTTTGTTGACCATTCTCACCTCGAGGAAGTATTACCAAGTAAAACATCGGCTTGAGGATACCCATTACCTTTCTCATTCACTTTGCTATGTCTTTATCATTAATATTGGGATTTTTCTTCCTTCCTTCAATTGTTCATATTGGTATTGGTAAAGGATGAATGTAATGTACAAATAGCATGTGATTATCACTAGTCTCCACGCCACGCGCTGATCCCGAAGGCGTCGGCACGACAATTTCGTTAGTGAGCAAAATACAATGATATTACTCGATGCCCTTGCTCCTTTATCCCTCGCCACTACATGGCGCCCGACGCAGACGAGCCAACCGCCCACACTTCTCTGCAGCGGCTGGCGACCAGAATCATACCCCGAACTATCCGCGAACTTGAGCACGATCATCCAGCATGGGTGGCGGCGCGTACCTACGCCCTTTCTCTCTCCCTGTCCCTAGGTCCCGCCTTGATCCCTCTCCTTACGGAAGGCAGGTTATCAAAGACGAGGAGGAATAGGCTTGCTTCTATATTACGGAAGGAGCTGAGTCTATCGGGATTTGCGTTTTCTATGACCGTTGCGGCCGCAGGTGGTGCTGCCGTTGAACGTTTTTGGGAACGACTTGCGAGGAAAAAGGACGGTCATGCTGCACAACTCAAATATACCCATAATGGCTCCCCTAGCCTTTATGATATTCTCTCCAGAGTTGCAGAGCTCAACCCTGTCTACCGGACGTTCATTAGCAATGCCGTAACCTCCCTTCTTGCCATCCTCTTAATGCATAGTCGGAGGCGCTCCTCACGAACCCCCAGAGCCGACATACCGTTCACGGTACCCCAAGAATCGGGAGATAAGAAGTCGCCGGCGACACTAGACCTGACTCTGCTGTTATTCGTGAGGGCGATGGACTCGATCGTCCAAACACTGTTCCTTCGCAACGCGGAAAAATCTGAAGACACGGCTCAAAGGAAAGAACGCAATGAACGATCTCCTGAGGAGAAACACCGCACTCGAGAGCGAACTATGGTGCTCACGAACAAACTTGACGCATTATTTTTTTGGGCTGCATCTGCGAGGTGGGTGATTAATATAGTTATTTCGTTTGATTGTTCTCTCACTGCACCCGCTTTATCTAGGATAATGTGGTGCTTCTTCTATCGACCAGAAAGGTGAGAAAGTACGCGTTTTCTGTCGTCAGGTTTTTAACTTATAACACCTATAATAGGCTACCACGAAGTTACGTTAGATGGTAAGAATCTTCGGTTTGGTTGCCGCCATCGTCACTAAACGTCGTAAAAGGATTGGAGCATTAGCAAACGTAGATCAACGCCTATTGCTAGCACTTCGCAAGCTTAAGGAAGGGACGTGGGGTTATGGATTGGAGCAATCCCACACACTATTGACATCAATGGCCGAGGACCTGGGATATCCACGTTCTTGGGGCGACACCTTACTCATTCCGGCCCGCGGCGGTAAGGTTGCTGATGATACCTGGAAACGACTCGGCGTGAAAGGTCGATCCGGTGTTGGCGGTCTGCCTTGCGAAATCGTACATGGCGGTGTGGGTAGCACCGTCGTGTCGGGAGGAGTGCATGGCAGCTGTGCTGCAAACTCGCTAGTGAGAGGTGGAATGGGTTTCCTCGAAGGACTCGCGATTTACACCCCAGTAAGAGTCCTTCTCATCTCCTTCGGTATTTCTACTCACATTCTTTAACTTAGGTACACATCCTACCTGTCTTGATTACACGACCTTACGAGCTCCTCAGCTTCATAAAGATCAGGAAACTCGCATTCGCCTTATTCCGATCATCGCTCTTTTTATCCATCTTCATATCCTCAATATGGTCGGCGGTATGCTTTACGCGTACTCTGGCAGTCGCGAAGCTATTCCCTCGTTTATCTCATAATTTCCTTGATGGGCCTTTTGGTTGTATTATGGCCGGATGTTTGGTGTGTGGTGGTAGTATTTGGATAGAACAGGGTAGAAGACGGGCAGAAATAGCGTTGTATGTTCTGCCTCGAGCACTCCGGACACTCCTCAGCGAGTCTTGGTTGAAGAGCGGCTCGAGAAGTTTGAAGGTCATAGAAAGGTGAGCTGCAATTACTGATTCCTTGACTTGATTTACACAACAGTTTGTGGTAGGCTCACATTCGTCCTGTCTCTGGCTTCCATCCTTACTGCTTCTCGTCATTATCCCGAGTCGTTACGCGGACTGAGTCGCTGGACAGTAATGTTTATCACAAAAGGGGTGCCTAGAGGCTACTAAGGACTACGGACAACTAGATTGTTCGATATACACGAACGATATTCAACAATCATATATTAATGTTCAGCTAGAATGATACCGTATTCTAACATCTACACCCTCCAAAGATGTAAGGCGTGATCGTAGAAGGAACAGCTTGCAACTACCGTCTCCTCGTCTTTTCCAACCCTCCTATGTGACCAATCGACACCATAAGCCAAGCTTTCGTGTTCATCAAACCGTTTGACGATCTCCCATTCTCGTTCATTCTCTTCGTGTTTCATCGTGCTATCGGGCGAGACGACAGAAGGTGAAAATCGAACGACTTTGAACCCGTCGTGCATACACGCGACTGATAAGTCTGTACTTCTTGATTCGTGTGGGTGCCATTTGATGCGCCAAGCCCCACCTCCTACATCGGCTTGAGTGATTGGCACGAGTGGTTTTCGAGTGTCGAAGATGTGCACTGTCGAAGCGTAGCTGTGATTTTGTTAAAATCCGTTAAGTAGCTTGCTATCCGAAACTTACCTTCCGACAGCCAGAATGTGTTCTTTGTGTGGGTGACTTTGAATAGAAGTTACTCCTGCGTCAAACCTGGACCAAGAAGCAGTTGAGCATTTCTCGACTCGGACAAGCACAATCAAAAATACACCCAGCCTCACCTTTTGTTTACGAAAGTCGGCGATGAGCCACGTTGTCGAACATCCCAGCCTTTCAGCCTAAGATCATCCCCGCCTATATGCGTCCTTTAATTGTAAAGAAGGTTTGATATGAATCATTAGGATTACCCGAATAGAGGACGTTCGTATCCCAGTAATCCCATGCAGTTATCCAAGGCTCGTGATCGTGTGCATGCCAAGATTCCGTTTCACAAAATGTCCCAGTATTGTCGGGGGTCAAGATGGACAGTGTCCCGTCGGAACAAGAAACGGCGATACGTCCAGCTTCACTGTAGAGCTCTGTCAATAAGTGGAGTGAAATGGTGCGGATAATGGTAATCAAGACTGACCTTTCGTTTCGTCGATCAGACCAATCTAATGATAAACATAGAGTTTCTGTGGGTCGACATTGGACAGTCTGGATTTCATGCAGTTGTTCCTGAAAAGAAGAGTATCAATTGAATAGCAGGAATACATTCCATCGTCAATACTTACATCCGTGTCCAGCTGAAGCAGAGAGATACGTCCTTCAGAGTCTGCAACAGCAAGGCGGTTGGAAGAATGCGACCTACAAGTTTCACCAAGTTTTAATACACTAATATCCCCTAGAGGTGTTTGATAACATCAAACTTACCATTTCATATCCAAAATGGCAGGCATATCAATCTCCTGAAGGACTTTTCTAAATTTCAAGAAGTCAAATGTCTATGCTATTTGACATAACGACTTACAATTCATCGCCATCATCTCCTTCCGTGATTTTGAAAAGCATACATTTGCCTATCCTCTTTCGAGAACTAGCCAGGTTTGACGAGCCTGAGGACTCGGAGGGCGTGTTTTCTAAGAGCTTGTAGGTTCCACATACAAAGAAATCTTCGAATCCACGAGCAGGACAGAACTCAACAGAATCAGCCGGATAGCCAGTATCAAACTTCATTGGTGGTGGGGTCTGAACAAATTAAAGTTTCAACAACACGGAATGAAACCGGACAGGGTCGAGTCTAATTAGGTGCTTAGCACATCAGCCATCAATCAAGAAATAAACAGGTACGTGACGCTGCGCGTCGTGTTCTTCGTCCCGCAGCTCTCTACTTGAACATACTCCTCCACCAAGCAGGACATAAGTAATCATAATGGCAGACTATCTCCAAAGCTTAGACCCTCGTAGCCTCGTCGTTCTCGAATCTGTCCTCTCCTTCATCATCAGTCCCTTCCATGCACCAGTCTACAACCTCCCAATCTTCCTTTTTGGCGTCTACGCCCAAGAAAGCACGGAATCGAACCAGTCGCTGCGGCTGGTGCGTATCTTTCACTGTTTGCTTCATTATGATAAAATGATAGAGCGTGTTATGTAGTTCACTGGCCTTCTGGGTGTATCTGCCGTGTTCGATATCATCTGGATGGTTAGGAATTCGCAGAACTGGTTGATCAAGTTATTTTCGCTCCTCATCCTGATCTTGAAGGTTTGCACTGCTTGCAAGTTTGAGCGTTTATTAATACTCATGAACGATTACGCATTCTCTAGGCACCGACAACTCTCGCCTTCGTGTCCGCTCTCAAGCAGCGTGGCGATCACTTTTCTTCATTGAACATTCGCGGCGGTGACCTGAGCGGCCCAACAGGTGAGAATCCCCTATTTCTGAAATATAGATACGCTTCCCCACGATATTGACATTTCTTCAGTTTGGTCAATGCCAGGTGGATTCACATCACTTTCTGGAGGACGAAATGGATATCAGGATGTCGATGCCCAAGCGCCACGCGACGTTGAAGCGCAAAGGCCAGCTCCTGCCGCTGCACCGCCCGCCCAACCACAACCTGCTGCTGCTGCTGCTCCGCCCCCTCAAGCCCCGGGAGGCTATCAGACAACTAATACCCCTAAACCTTGAAATATTCATTTGCTTCAAAATACATTGGACTTTATTTGTTTTCTTTTCTCATAGTAATCAGTAAAACTACACAGTAGGTTATGTGTCTTCATCTCGTATCCATATGAATCCGCTGCATCGCTCGTATCGGTGTTTTGAACCTCCTTCAACGCTGAAATGTGTGGTCGTTCCACCCCGCACCCATCTCGTCCATGCCTCAGTATAACCTGCAATGCGCAATAAAGCCATAATTGTTACTTACTTTGAAAGACAAGACGCACCTTTCTCAAGATTACGCGTCCAACGACGACAATCGAAAAGCGGCATCACTTCACGATTCATGAAAAGATCGTGTCGCAACTCAGCAAGCTCGCCGCGCTTCGTTGACCCAGCGTCTCTTCTGAACGACGTCGGCGTTACACTCAACGCAAGGCTTACAGCTCTTTCCTCGTAGGCAGCCAGCGAGTCAACCACCATCCGATTCCCAAAGCCAGTGGCGAAGGCGATGCTTGCTCCGACTCGGGAGCACATCTTGAATGTGTACTTTGGCCAGGTAATTATGGGCGTTCCTCCCCACAGTACACTGTAAGAAATTATTAGGGCGAGTCTAGAGCAGATAGTTGCGACGTACTCAGCAGCTATAGTATGAGCATTACACTAAACGGTGCTTAGTGCATATCTTAATGCCAAAAACGCCGTCCGCGCACTCACTTCAACAGTATCCAAGAAGATATCCGCCACTCCCACTCGTTCGATATGCTCGTCTTTAGGAACTACGCCTGTGAAGCGCACTCGCGATGCGATCTCAGCAGACGCCCATTGTTCAGCAGTCCGAAGTAGATGTTCTTCTCCGGCAGGAGGGAAGCGTAAAAGCCACAAAATACTGTTCGGCACTCGCTTTAGGATCCGAAGCCAAGTTGCGTACGTGGACTAAATGTTACGATAAAAGGTTGTCTGGTATGAGAAATTAAACAATAATAAACAACGTCACTCACAGGATCGAGCTATTTTAGGTGAGTTGCAATCAGCGAACAGTTGACCTTATATAACTCCGCCATACCTTATACATCTAAACCTGAAGTTAGTACGACCGAGACTCGGAAAACTATATCTTACTTGATTGAAATTCGCAAAAATTATAGTATCGCTAAATGTCGGTTACACGAGCATAAGTGTGGTGCGTAATCTTCAACGACAGGACTTACTCGAAGATATCTGGAAATAGTTCACGCCTGAGTTTGCGTCGTTTGTCCTCTGCATCTTTCCACTCCCTCTGAAGATCTGCGCTATCATTACCGCGGGTTCTACTGCCATAGCATTGTTTGTGATCCGTTATAAGATACGTGTGCTTCAAATTCGCTGGTGAATACAAAGGATAGCATGGATAAATGCGCTATCACTCACGGGCATATAGATGAGTCTCTCAGAACTACAGGCATCAAGCTTCGTATCGAATAGAAACAATAAATAACTTACTACTTCCACTCATCCGTAGAATCTGGATCGGGGCCGAAATCGAACTCGACAATGCTTGAAACATCCGAACTTGATCCTTGGGAAGTTTGGTGAAACGATTCAAATAAATCACAGAGCTCGCATGCTCGTGTGTTCGGCGGGCAAACAATGGGATCACAGATCATATAATCACACCAACCTAGCGCTCTCCTCTCAGCATTCATGCAATGCAAAGAACGAAATGCTTGATACCAGAAGCCAGCGTTCCTGCAAATCCCAGGAATGAAATCTGAATCGGACAAGGTCTTGCAGCGAAGACGTCGTTGCGAGCGCCTTTCGTGTAACCATTTAAGTTCACAACTATTGAGTCATAAACATTTGCTTGAAATACATTTATAAGTTAGGACCGCTTACGAATATGGATCCCGTCCCGTATGATTTGCTCCACTACTTCTTGCGTTGCTAGGTGTTGTGTCAAAATTAGTGTCAGTTTCATTTCGTAAGTAGAACAAATAGTACTGCTTGAAGAAACATCCCGGAACGTTCCCTCAGTTTCATGCTCAATCTTGGTTCTGTACGTTGATCCATCAGAGACACTTGTCGCATACACATAGACAGAAAATTTTGTCTTGTCATGCATCCCAAATAACGAACTGATGAGGTGAGCTGTTGGGTGGTCACTATGCAAAGAGTTAGAAAATGCTCTGCAAATGCCTTTTCCAGCGAAGTAATCAAACTCCTACGTGAAATCACTTGAAACGTAACCGACATTAATTTTTGTCCCGGGCGTGGGCGGCGGATAAACGTGCTCGGGAAGCCAAGATCGGGTCAAGGTAGAGTGTGAAACACGAAGAGCGTTTCTGTGAGCTACTAATCTTATCTCACGAGCACTGAGCGGATAAATGAACTCCAGAAGATATTGAGTCAGCGTTAGCACAGAAATCATGCCAATACCATACCGTATGAAATGGGAGAACGGAAGGAATCGACTGAAGAGTCATGAAAGGCGGTAAGTGGGGTCTGCTGTACGTGTTCCCTGACTCTTGGATCGCTTCGGCACTGAGCATATCAGGCTTGTGGTGCGCAGACGTAACGTTCCCAAAGGCATCAATGTACCACCTCCACTGGATATGGCGCGTCAGCCATTCTACCATTCGTATAGTAAAACTACCTTCATTTAGAATATCTCTGTCGTCGTTAGTACTGTTGAAGAACGGTTGCAAGAGTGAGAGCCATCGATCTCGTTGCTGCGGGAGGAGTTTCTCATTAATGCTTTCTTCGATCCACGCGATCCAATCCTGCAAAAGCCCAATTGACTTCACTACGCCGACGTTTTGCTGATACGCCGCTGCCAGCTGCTTTCTTGTCGTCTGTATAAGCTGCAACATCCATCCCATCTCAGGAGTGGCACTGCCCCTCGGGCGCATATTTCCATCTGCGTCAATTGCAGCATCTACATCAACCGGGCCAGCTCCTCTCCAGTCGCAAATGGACCACGCTGCATGAGCCAGCCCGCATAGCGCTTCTGGCAAGTCGTCATTTACTTCAAGAGCACGTCGGTAAAATTCAATTGACTCCGACAATCGGCCCTGCAGACACCATTTGAACGTAGGCATCTCGAGAGGACTATAATAACTCACCGAATCCTTCATGGCATTAGCAAGATTCGCCAAAGCGATATCGAAAGTTGGCCTCGCTTGAACTGCACGCGCATACATCCTATGACGATGTGAGAATCCAATATTCAATTAAAAACACAAAGTTATAGCATACTCAATAGCAGCATCAAGTTCTCCTTTTTCTTTCTTAAGTGAGGTTAGGGTAAGAAGAAACGATACAGTCTTGCGGGAACGAGCAACATACCAGCAAGGAACCTAGATTCGTTAGTACGTGAGCATGAGTCCCGTCAAGCTCCAATCCCTTTTCGTAATATGCCTGAGCAATGTCGATAGCTACTGAACCACCAATATCCATCCATGGTGTAGTAGACAACATGATTCCGAGATTGTTACAGACAGACGGGGAGGGGAAGGCTGCGTAGGCCAGGTAATAAAGGAGCAATATTAGGGACGGACCGACGCGTATCGAAGCTTCAAATCTCGGCAGATGCACACTAGCCGATCCGGATTCTTGTAAAAGCTTCGCGATGCTCAACAAGATGTTGGACGTCATTTCGCTAGCCTTACTCGCGACGTCCTCCCTAGGCCGTTCCAGAGATTCGCTTGCTTCCGACCATGAGCACAGGGAAGGGAAAAGACCAGAGGATGCATTGAATATAGTGCTGAACAGGTTCGTTGCTTGCGCCGGAGACATAAATATGGCCGGGACCATTCCTCCTCCTTCTTCTATAATCAACTGCCACAATGCGTCATCTGTGCTTCTGACAAACTCTAAAATATTGTAATTCATTTCCTCTGATCTTTGCAATAGAGCCGAATAGCCTGCGTTAGAGGCGAGCTGCACGATAGAGTCTGGTACGGCGGAGCTCATTAAAAGGCCGCCGACGCAGGCTGCCAAAAGAAGATGTTTGAAGTTGTAAGACACCGTTGACTCAGAACCTTTCATTTGCAGAAGGGTTTCGATGGCGGAGGTGAAATCTCGCAGTCCATTACGAGAAGGTGATTGGCCAGACATGCTGCGTATGCTGCCGCTCACATAGAATAGGTTCAGTAGGTGATGCAGATCCTGTGGTGCGATTGACACTAGAAGCCTCCCATTTTCCCCAACTAGCTGGGTCTGAACTGTTTCGCAAAGCCGCAAAGCCTCGGTATATTTTCTGTCGGAGGGGGATTTTGAGCGCTCCTGCTCGCCCGCAACAAGGGCACCGAGGAGATTGTTCTGAATCTGGCGTAAGTAACTTTTCTCCTCGCAAGGTACATGAACCATTCATTACCACCGCGTCCCAGTAGTTCGGCCTTAGGTGGATAGCTTTCCACCACCACTGGATTGCATCCTCTGGTTGACCCATTGCCTTCAACGTTGTCCCCATGTTTGACATGGCCTCAACCTGCTATATCTCGTGAGTAGAACAGCACTTACCCTGGCACTACAACTTACAAAATCCGCATCAATTTGGAGGATCTCCTCATTGACGGAAAGGCTTTCTTTGAAGTTCCCGAGTGCGTAGTGTACACATCCGAGGAGAAGAAGAGTAGGGAGGTGCCTAGGGTGCAGTGCGCGAAGTCTTTGAAGGAGCGGCAGAAGCTGGCGATTGTAAGGATGGCCTGCTGATGCGATATTGCCTGTACTACGAGGTACATCCGCGAACACTGTAGTCGGGGCAGACAAGTTGAAAATCCGGTGGGCGTAAATAAGCAAGGAGTCCCGGGCTAAAGTACTTGCCAACGGATTAGGTGTGATCCCACTGGATGAAGAACCTTGCTCCGCGCTGTTCTGCATTAGCAGTGTTAAAGCGGCTCTGACGAGGCTGTCAGCAGGGTGACTGGCATTTGTGACTCCTGCAAAGGCCGCGGGGAGTTGGGGAGCACTTCCTGGATATGGGGCCAACGGCAACGTAGTCTCTATTGCGCCGGCAGTGCCCTGATGTCGAGTATCGACTCTATCACGGTCCAAAGAAGATGCCTCGTGGCCCATTCTTTCGATGGCAGCAATGGTAGTTTCAGCTGATGGGAAAGTAGTGGCTCCAGGGCGAGAAGCTATACTGGTATTTGCCGTTGCGTCCAGTTCGGCTTGCTCTGCGACGAATGAAAGCGGCATAGATGTTGGTGTCGGGAGATAGGTGAATTGCTGCTCAGGCCAAAAACGCCCGATAAATTCTGTAGTCCTAGCATGAAACGACGGTATATCAAAAGCGGGGTCGGGATGCATCTGCTCGGAGACTGAGTCGCGTGTATTGCTCGTCCTGCCCGAGGCAAACGAAGGAAATTATGAGAGTGAGAGAAAGCAAGAATAAGTCGACGTGTTATATAATTCCGGCCCAGGCGGTAGGCAATTAATGAGACTATGACGCGAGAGAAGAGCTGGCAGAAGTCCCGGCAAGAAGCTCAGAGCCACATCACATTTTGACTCGATACATGTCCCGGAGATTGCACGAGGAGGGTAAGGACACGTCCGGGGGGAAAGACCATGGGCTACAGCGAGCTGCAAGTCAAACGACGGGGCGCGGAAAAACAAAAGAGACCGCTTGTGAGCTGGGAGAAACTGCAGGGTGGTAAGCACAAGGCAGAGGGGAAATGTTAAGAGCAGTAGTAACTATGACGTAGACATACATTTCCAACCTGTCAGAATGCCGTTTGTAGGTTCACTACCGAGAAGCGCTCAGTCTAAGCATCCTCAAATGCTATTCCAAGGGTATAATTGACCTAAAGTAGCACATGCTAGCCGGGTGCCACCCTTATCGACCGGGCCCGGCGAAGGAATGTTTTCCATGCGATTGAAAGACATTACGAGGATTGGGAAAAGCAACTCAACGCGTCATAGGCAGGAGCCAATAGGAAATTTTCTCGACGAAAGCATCAGATGCGAAGTCCTGTAGCCCTAATATTGAACGACCTGAGCCGGTCCGACGGGCCATTCTTGCATTTATTCAGCCATACGTAGCACTGGTTTGTTTTTCCAAGGGCTGGATGGGCAAATGCAGAGCACGACGTCATAACCGAAAGGGGATGGTCCTGAATCTTAAGTAATTTTACATTCACAGCCGTTTGCTTATCCAAGATACTCTGCTTACGCTTCTGTCCCTGATCGACGCGATTGTTCCTGTACGAACGTGTGCCAACAAAATTCCACATGCTGCGCCAACTACCATGGCTTCACAGTTGACTTCTTGCATCCAACCGACCACTTCTTCAACTCACAACTATGTCACAGGATGATGCAGTCATTCGCCCATATGATCACGATGCTGACAACAAGCTGGTCAGATTCATGGTTGCAAAGTCTACCATGGAACCACTTGCTATCGCAAACAGGAAAGGTCAGTGCACCGTAACTCATGATATTTACGCCAACTTAATTCCTCATAGCTATCCTTCACCCGTTAACTATAACTATATGGGTCGCTCTATCGTCTGTAGCCGTGCAGTTGCTCGGTTGGTGGCCAGACGCCCAATACGGTGTCTGGGGTTACCTACGTCCCTTACCTGCATTCGCGGCACTCTTCCTACCGTTCATTTTCTCCATTGACTGGTGAGTTGGTGCTCTTGGATTATAGTTATGCTTCTCAAAGATTAACTCCCCTTTTTCTACCAAAAGGTACCAGCGTCCTCAATTTGACGCAAACTCAGTAGAAACGTTGAAACGACCGGATATGAACGACATCAAGGAATACTACGGGCGCTCGCCAAGTTCTGGCCTGTGGATATATGAGTACGGAAATAACTTTGTAGGACTTATCGCTGTCGACGCCTCGGTTGATTCCCTTTCGGAAGAGACGTTGTCGTCGCCCTCGCAGAGAGTAGAACGACAAGGCAAGGGCAAAGAGCGTGGTAGTTCAGGTTCGAGCACAGGAGATTCTACAATAGCAGTAGTCCGTCACTTGTATGTCGCGGAGCAGTATCGTATTGCTGACGCGCAGGACGACCTTATTTCTTTTGCCCTGGAGCGCGTGTTCGGCACCTCGAGCTCTGTCGAGCGCATCAGGATCATACCTTCGCCTCTTATAACATACCTCGGTCCTTCATTGAGAAAGGCTGGCTTTGAAGTGATCGGACAGGGAGACCAAATTGGAGTTCTGAAATGGTCAACATTAATCTTTGAGCTTACGAGAGGAAAATGGGAGAACCCCGCCTCGTAAAGGACGTAGATGTACATTTGTTCCTTTTGATTTTCGACGAGTTTTATATAGGGTACTAATAGTATTTTCGTAAATTGACCCAAAGTTACCCAAAGTTGCGTAAGCTGGCTTAAATTAAAATGTGAAAGACGACACCTAATTGGGCCGGATAAATATCGGATGAATTCAATAGATTTTTACATATGCTTAAATATAAGTAGAACGCCGTTGCTCTCCATTTACGGTCGCAGATTCATGATGTCATTCCTCTCAACCTTACTTTCTTCCAAACAATCCGCCTCGAACACGTTTACCTTTATTCAATCTTCTGCAACTCAATCAGCCCTGCCCTTACTACAAGCAATAGTGAACGCACAAACGAAATGTCAAATTTTGCTCGTGTGCTCTTTATATGCGCCTGCAACTTTGCTCAGTCGAAAGGGGTCGAGCACGCCCAATAGTGTAGACGTACGAGTAATTGACTGGACAGAAGATGTGCCAGGATACAGTGATAATCCTGTAGATTGGAAGGCGAGGCTAGAGGAAATGCAGAAGGTGATCAAAGGTGTGAGTTGTCTCGATCTTATGTTGACAGGCGCGCTAACACTTGCACACAGAGTCTTCACGGCCTGTGGCCGTTGCCATCGACTCTATCGATACGTTAGAAGAAGACTTAGAATCACCATCCAAAGCGTATAAGTTTCTTTCACGTATCCTCTCTTCAATCAGTTCTCGTGAAGGTAAGTTATAGCATATTGCTCCTATTTATTCGAATATACTCGAAGCTAACAAAACCAATCCCTAGACGCATCCCATCTAATATGCCACATAACATCTCACTCACACGTTCTACCACTGCTCAAACAACCTCGATTCTCGTCTTCCTTGCTTCACCTAACAGCCCACCCACCAGCCCTCTTGACACACATCTCCCGCGCCTACCTCACCTCTCCACCACCCACCTCCTCCCCACCCGACTTCCCAGAAGCTCTCAAATTCTGGCGCGTCTTTATCCCACTATCCGAACGTCCTATTGACGTCGAAGCTCTCGTATTCGGCTCAGACGAACACGCAGAAGGCGGTGGATCTCACAATGAATTCGTCGTAGAGGTCCTTGTACGCGGACGAGGTGCAGATGTCCCTGTCATATCCACCGTCCCAAATTCCGGAAAGCGCAAGGGCGTTGAACGCCTCCTTGAAGGATGGTCAATATCAAAAAGTGGACCTGTCCTACTTGAGGAATTGGATTCCCTAAAGAGTGTGTGGCGCAAGAAGCCCATCATCGAGGAGGTACGTTTCTTCAGCCCACGCATCGTCATAAAATCCCGTCTCATTTATGATCTCGTCAATTCTAAATGAACAGGAAGCTCCAGATCCTACAAAAGATCTAACATTTAACCTCATTCTAACCGATTCCCAACAAACATCCCGTTCTCAAGTTCCTCTACCCTACGAACACAACGGTATGTACACCTTATCATCCTTCTAAATATCAATGTTTCACACTCGGAGCTGATACACTTAAAGGTAAAGCTCTAACGGCACAAAATCAGAGCGCCCATATCTTTTATGATCCCGATTCAGCAGACGATTTAGACGACGAAGACCCTGATGAAGACTTGGATTTATAATATTAATAGTCTCTTTTTTCTCTCCTTTTTGCATAATACGCATACCAAAAATTGAATAGCATCATTCACATGCAAAAAGACGAATGCATAGCCAGTTAGCTGTCCGTTGTGGCACTTCACATATGCAGCAGAGACCATGAATTTCTGAGCCTACTGTCTCGCTAACTAATAACGAGAGCTAATAAGGCATAGGGTGCAAACGGGCGGTGAGCATGGAAAACGGCACAGACGCGAAGTTTCGAGGGTAGGAAGAAGGCCGTTTATCAGAACAGATCGAGACAAGTTAGGCGGACACGAAACGATGACTAGGGGGAAAGGAGGGAAAGCGACAGACTACGATAACAATCACGGGGGTGAGACACACAAGTAAGAAAGAGGCACAAAAGTTATTCAGCGTACGGAACAACGGAAACAGAGAGGGGAGTAGGGCGTACAGGTGCCGCGCCATTCAAGACGGAAAAGGGAAGTTGATTTTACGGTTTTAAGGGTAAGGGAAAACACAGTCTAGAGACAACAACCGGGCGCCGCGACAAGACAGGAGGCACGGAAAGACAACTTGGAACGGGTAAAACCATTCAAGCAAGTCTGATGAGGAGTCGGGTGTGATTAGGGCAGCTTCGTATCACGCGGTGCCTTCCTGCTGCGCCTCGCGTCCAACCCTCCTCTCCTTCTCGCTCTCCAATTGGTTGTAGAGAAGGAAAAGAGCCTTCTCGTTGGCCTGAGGGGTGCCGACAATAGTGAACATACGCTCCCCGGTCTCGTCGTGAGGAGTCTTCGCAATAGAGATCTTTGACCCCGAAAGGCGGCGGATCTCAGTGATCTTGGTGCCACCACGGCCAATAATGCATCCGACCATGTCCGAGGGGATGGAAATGTTCTGCGTTCGCAGGTTCGCAGATTGCTGAGGGCTACTCGGAGGAAGAGACTGGGGTGGCGTCGGAGGTGGAGATCCGCCACGCGCGCGATCTCCGTTTGTACGACGAGAGCTAGTAAAGGAGGCGGAGGAATAGCCGTTTGCAGAACGCCGGCCAGCCGACGCGTCGCTACTGGGCCCCGGATGGAAGAGCACGGTGCCTTGACCACGTTCCCAGTCCTCGAGCAGACACTTGCCGATCTGCTCTATGGCTAAGCCGATGGCGTCGGCGCTGCCTTGGACCTCGACAATGCGCTCGGTCGACTGAGGAAGCATATCCTTGGAGGCGACCATACGGGCACCAGAAGCATCTTGAATTGCCTTGATTTTAAGTCCGCCACGGCCAATGATGGTACCCATGAGATTGTGAGAAATGAGGAGGCGGATAGAAGTGTTTGAGGGAGGTGATGTTGTTGTTGGTGAGGGAGGGCTAGCATCAATTAGCTGGGCAATTATAAGACGATATGCCTGCGAAGAAAATAAAATAAAATAAAATGGAAATTAGTAACCACACAGAAATATTCATTTGCACGAGCATTTATCTGCTTGCCTTGGCAACTTTTTCGACGTCACCGCTAACGGTGAGGACACGCTCGTGAACGCCGGGGACGACCTTGCTAACGCCGGCCTTGACGCCTGTCTCGTCTCGGAGATCGGCGACGTTTTTGCCACCTTTCCCAATGATGACGCCGGCGTCCTTGGTGCTGACAAGAGCGCGGAGGGTGAGCGTCTCCTGGGGAGAGGTGGAAGCGGACCTTGATTGGTCCTCGACAGAACCTGAGAGAAGTAGAACGGAGATAAAAAGCGGGGTAGATCAGTGCGAGTCGAAGGCAAGGGACAAGAAGCGGACGCACCATCAGCCATGGCAGAGAAGAGGAGATGGAGGGGACTGTGGGAAGGAAGGGAAGGAGAGATGAGGGAGACTAGGGAGGACGGGAGGAGGACGAGGGTGTGAAGGCGGTAGAGGAGAGAGAGAGAGGGAAACGGGGATGAGAGCAGGTTGGAAAGCACGGAGACGGACAGCTCAGTCACGTCTGGACTCGCAGCAGTTACCATTCGTGGGAACTTTGACTCAACACTCTCCGCCCGCGCTTCCGAGCGTCCGCGTGCGTAATCATCAATGCTAACGCTCTCCGTTATCACTCGAGTACTTCACAGTCATTCTGCTGTTCATTTTCCGTCGTCTTTTCTGACTGTGTCGTTTTTATTTTATTTATTTATTTATTCTCCTAAAAGATTTAATTTATTGTAGTTTTCAACAGCATCCCGTCTCTAGCCCAGGTCTGGCCAGTGAAAAATGATCTGCTGGTTGTCTAGTTCGGTCGTTTCTGATATTACCCCGGATCACTGCCAAACAATAAGGATATCATCATGTTAATAATCACTCTTCGGAGTCTTCTACTCTGGCTAGATCGCAATTTTTAGATCATGTCTGTGCAGTGTGTGCTGTTTGTGAAAGTGACTTGCGGCTACCTCATGTCTTCGCTTACTAGTCACCACGGCTCAGCAACATGGCCTGCTCAGCTTGCTTCATCCCCTTGTTACTCTCGCTGTCTGGCCACTCGCTAGCCCCTCGCAGCTTATCGTTACCGTAACTTCTTCCAGCTATGCGAAAGGCTACTCAGACAATCCAATACCACCCGGTTTTCTTCCTCCTCATGGCTCTCGTAGCCATGGCTGAGCTGGGTTTAACGTCCTTCCTAATAAACGCTGGAAATGAGAGCGATACGTGGCCCAGCACTCGCTACCATAAATTGTACGTATAACAGATTCACTCTAAACTAATGCTTCAGTTAATCTGCTCTAGATTGATATTCTTCTGCTTCAATTCTGTGTGGACGACGTTATTCGCTACTTCCTATGTTTTATGGGTTATAGACGGAGCTGTTCATGCTCTTGCGGGCATCGCCAGTTCTGTTGCCTGGCTTTTCCTCAACACCGCTCTATGGGTAAGTGTCCGATTGTAAGGAAGCTCTGGCGACTCAACAAATTCTTGTAAAATTATCAGGCCATCGCAGCGGCCACTATGCAATACACTCGCGGAGGAGGGAATTGTTCTGGCCAGAAAACGATCTCACGGTTTGTGCTTGACTATGTTCACACCTTTCTCGCAATTTTCGATTGCTGATTTTAATTCCTTCGCAGATGCCGACAATCTTTGACAGTTGAAGCCCTCGGCTGGACCGAGCTTGGACTTACCATAGTGACTCTTCTCGCTACTTGCTGCTGGGTTAGGGCAAACAGACGCAGGAGCTATGTTAACGACTCTCGCCGTCTCGTATAGACACCATGAGTCCATGACTGACACGAGATTGCAATTGTATAATTCGCATTGCTGGAAATGGACTTATTTTGTATAGCATTCTATGCTCTGTAACTTTCATTTGGGGCAGTTAGATATGCCCTACTTACGTGCTATCGTATTATAACGAGGGAAATTAATGTTCAAATGTTTAATCTATAATTCTTGATAACCCGGATTAGTCACGTGCTATAACATAAGTATTTTGGCTCCGGCTCTCCAACCCCACACTTGGACCAGAACGACGACCGTGGCGGACAGTCGCAAACACCACCCCCAAGTGACCAGGCCATTGGGCCCACTAGGATCACTATTTAACTCCCTTCGCAAACGTATGCGTCTATCGTCATGGCGTCCACAAGCCGCCAGTTTACCATCATCGTCTCCGAGCCTACATCCACCGCGCCGATCGCTTACGGAGAGCCAACGACGTATGTACAAACTCGAACGCGCAGACAACTTCAGGTGGATAGCTCGTCTCCTATCCTCTCCCTCGAAACGCGTGCTCACGTCCGCAGACCTCGTCTCGAACGACGTTCAGCAGGAGATCGCTAACATAGGTCAATATGCGGAGCTCGTACATGGTTTGATTGACCCTGCGTTTGTCTGGCGAAACTTGAATAGACTTATACAACCGACGTACCCACTGGAGGAATATGACGCGCTTGAAGGTTCGACGCTTATATGCGTGTTCCGTGGAGAGGTTGCGAAGCTACAAGGATACATTGTTCACCGACCATCATCTCGTCAGTTGATTGTAGCATTCTCTGGGACTTCTTCTCCCTTGCAGGCACTGCATGACGTGGATGCGCGTATGGTGCCATATCCTGGTGGCCACCACAACAGCCCTCAAACGACAAAAGCGGAATGCAAGGTACATGCAGGGTTTTGGCGGATGTTTCAAGGTCTAAAGCAGACGGCGCTCGCACATTTGACCGACGCCTTGACGTCGTTGGATGTCAAGGAACTAGTCCTCACCGGACATAGTCTAGGAGCCGTCCAGACCTATCTGTTCACTATGGAACTTCTGAAAATCTCGTTAAAACCTCCCGATACCGAAGACGTCCGTCTCCCTCCTGGATTGATCTTCAAATTAGTTACGTTCGGCTCGCCTAGGATTGGCAATGAAGCTCTTTCCCTACTATATCGCAAGCTTGTTTCTGAGTACCGTTCAATACATGGGGAAGATAGTTTCCAAGAGTATTCTGTAAAAGGTTATAACGACGGTAAGCACACTGTTTTTTCCTACTGCAGTTCATTAACACTAACAGTATCTTCATAGGTGTTCCATGCCTCCCTCCAAAAGCTATTGAGTTCAGACATCTGACACCATCACCACTATACCTTTTCCATGGCAGACTTTTCCGTATTCCACCCTCAGAAAACGAGCATACTATCTTTCCCGTGCAACTTGAAGATGACGAACTACCCCCAGAGTTTCCTCTTGGCGGTCATAATTACTACAATAACCGAGATATGGAAGGATGCCTCCGGCGTTTGCAATGCCTTGATGTCCTTAAACTAGGCGAGACAGGATGGGAGGAGCGTTATCTGAGGTCCTGGAAGAAAGGGTCGCAGAGCTGACACCTTGGTTGCACCTGACAGCTTCATGACCCTGCTGACGAATATCACACATTTAACACCTATATCCAATGTATGTAATCCGATTGCAATAATGCCTAGAAATACAACGTACATATGTATCTACTTTATGTAACCCGTTAATATATATATATATCATGTGGACTCTCTGTCTTTCTTCGCGCGAAGTCTAAGGAACGCCGTCCCAATGAAAAACACCCAAGCAAAAGCGATAAGCAATATGCCAATTACACCAAATACCTCTCCACGGAGGTGTTCACTCCTCGTTTGAGCTTCTCCTGTTGCCGGCGTCTCTACTACATTCGTGTGATACGCAAGAGGTTCATCGTTCAAGAGTGGTTGAGCTTCTTCCTCAGCTGCACGCTCTGCAGCTGATCCACTCGCGAGGGGTGTAATCGTCGACTCGCTCGACGCCGACGCCTCTCTGCGTTGCAACGAATGAGACTCTGACGTATGCTCTTTGGCGTGCAACGACAGCTTTCGACGCGATTTCGGGGACGAACGGATGCTCTCCTCTAATTGGTCCTCATCATCATCACCTTCAGCACCACTACCTTCCAGTCGTGCTAGCCGAGCTCGTCGCTCAACCTCAGCTGCTTGTCTCTTTCGTCGTCGATCGAGAGCCCAAAGTCCGATTATGGAGAAGAAATGGAAAACGTTTAGGAGTAGGAAGAGACCTAGGAGTTTCTGGATTGCGTCGAGTTCACTTGCTTTGTCTTGTGCTTCGCTACCCTTCTTTAACTTGTCTAAGAAGAGTCCTGCGAAAGTCCTACGATAATATGATGACTTTAAATATAATGACCTTGGGAAAATTATACACACTGGAAAATGGTAGTTCCAGTTTGCTCCAACTGTCATAATGTCAGTAGAGTGTCGAATATATCACAAACAATAACATACACTTTTATGCGCCCCCAGCGTCGTCGGTACATATTTCGAAGAAACAAGAGTGGGAACAATAATCACGAGGAGTACTGGAGCAACACGCATGAATTAGCATACACGCTACCCTGAGAAACGTTTAGCTCACATGGGGCAAAACCTTGTCCAATTCCATAGAAGGCCACAGCGGGAACGGGTGTACCAGTTATTTTGGGTGGTAGGACCAGCCAAAAGTAGCAGAGAGCCGTAAGAATCGAAGACAAGAGGAACAACTGATGGAGGATAGGACGATGTTTCATACGGTCGATGAAGTAACCGCACTATGAAACATACGATACGTTAGGATTTCCCCGGAAGGTGCGCACGTAAGGCACTTACTAAAGGATATAAAAATACGCTTCCCGCAAGTAGGAAAGATGCATCGTTGCTGGACTCGCGCTCTGACAATCCGTATCTTTTCTCAAATATGTTCCTTAATTGGATGAAATAATACAAGGTGAGTGGCGTCCGCACAGAATTCTGTTAGAACTTACGCCGCTAGATGGGTAAAAGGCGACCAAATGGCACCGCATAAAATGTTAAGACCAATATAGCTAAAAGAGACGCAAATGTTAGGATTAAAGCAGTGTGGACGAGCGACGACTTACGCCCAGAATACGTCGCCAAGCTTCGTTATGTCCCGAATGTGCACCGTTCGCTTCTTCGCGACTTGTTTGAGTGCTTGTGCTTCTGACAAACTCCCAACAACACGGGCTTCCTGATGGAGCTCAGATGCTTCTAATTCCGTTCCGGAACTCTTAACAAGCCACTTTGAAGCAGAAAGGTAGACTAGATTCATGACAAACGAAAGCGCCGCCAACGACGTGGCCGCGACAAATGGAGCTCTCGGGCCAAAAGCTTCTGAGAGCGGATAGGACGTCCGCGCGGAAACGAAAGAGGACGCTTTGCCGACTACAAGTCCGAGCGCCATAGACAAGCCTAGACCATGGTCTTTGAAAAACCGGACGATTATAGATTCTTGTACCACAGCAAGAGGACTGACGCCCAGTCCAAAGATAAACATTCCGAAGGTCATTAACCGCACGCTTTCTATCATATCACCGAATAGCAAGATAATTTGTCCTGAACCGTACATTGAGACTAAGATAGTACGCCACCGGAAAGTAATACACACCTAGAAAAATAAGCCCAGTTGCAAGCATGCTCGTTACAGTCGTTCCGAGATGTCCCGCTAGGAAACCACCCAGTAAAGGTGTCCATGTACTATTGAGACTGAATGCAGCAATGAGGAGACTAAACTCGGTATTCGACGTGCCCATTTCTCGGGAAAGCCTTGTTTTAAGAGGACCGAGAATATACGACGCACTACAACCAAGTTAGACATACAACATTGCACAGGTACATATAACACGACTTACTAGTGACTGCCTATGCTTAATGAACAAGCACATGCTAAAGCTATTGCCCTGACGAGATGCGTCCGTGCACCTGTGCGTCGAGGTAATGCAGTGTCGGACCTGTTTACATGCTCTGTGCTTGATCGGCGTAGTCCATGTCGCACATCTTGTTCGGAAGCTGGTGCACTGTCAAGTAGCGACCATGGAGTGCGCATACTTGATCAGAGTGTAATAGCGCAAGATGAGTGTGGAATGGGAAGAGGGGGATAGAAAGAGGGGCAGTACTGTTGGTCAGACTCGGTCTTGAGCAAGTACGCCCGGAGTTGGAGGCTTGAGCAAGCGTGTGAATCCGCCGATCACTGGATCGAATTTCTCCCTCAAAGGCTCAAACTAGCCTTCTCTCCGCTTCCGCTGGCCAACGCGTGCCATGCAGTCCCTCACAAAACTTGCTAGATCTCGACTGCCTCGCTCATCTAGACAATTACACTCCTCTCTTTCTACCTCTTATCCTCGTCGTGCTGCAGTTGGCATCCCCGCTCCGCCTATTCTCGCCAAAACTGGCTTGTTCTTGGACGAAGACCCGGACATCGAGAATGACATTCCTTACGAAGAAAGAACTGGACACGGAAGTAGTTCCTTGGGTCATCTCCTACTACGCCAACAGCGTCATTTGCTAAACTACATGCGAATAATTGAACACGATATGCCCAACCTCGTCCGTGAGTCCAGTCCGCCGCTTGCTGGCAAAAGCACTTCCATTCACATTCACAAACATTTATTCGTCCAGGCTTTCGAGAACCATTTGTCCCGCCATCATCTGACCGGCCCCTCGTTGTACGCTCGATCGATTATGGTGGGGAAGAACATCCCGCAACGGCAAAACGAACCGTAGTAGTCGCCGTTTCACGTTTACCTCTCAAGGGCCCAAACGCACAACATGCGTTTAAACTTCTCGCTGGTCCTCGCTGGTCCCCCCTTCCACCTCCAGACTCCGGAATCGGTCCAGAAGAAGGCAAGGAATCAAATGGCTACATTAAAATCTCATGCGAAGATTTTCCTCAACCTGGCATGAATCTCAAGTGGATTAGTGATGTCCTCGACAGGTTAATAGACGAAGCGAATGTACGTTGTTCATTCAACCTTATTGACGTTTTAGAGACTTGATATGAATATCCTGGCTTTAGGCTACCAGTGCAACGTTTAAGCACGTTCCTTTGGACACGCGATATCTCGAGGCAAAGAAACGGAAGGCGAAGAAGGGAGAAGGGAGAAGTAGTTATAGGACTTCTCTAAAGGACTTTCCTCGTAATTGGCTCCCTCCACCAACTCCCGCTTGATATTCTACTAGTTGATTTGTTAATATCTATATTCTGGACCGTAAAATCAACGTCTATTTTACTCAACGATCAAGAGTTGCATGTGCTCAGTTTGTCCGGAGGCATCCCATAACCAAAAGATCAGACATGGTGCAGTTCAATCTATAGATACATTGTGCATGTGGCTAGAAGTACATTCTCAGAAATCATGCTTTACTATCCATTCATAGGCACAATCCTAGAACCTTTATCTGGGGTAGACACAACAACGAATTTGCTAATCCTACAAGTTCACGCATTTCCGGATTCAATGCATTCAACATCCCATCCGTCAAGTTTTCGGTGGCATCGAGCGTTTCGTCAATAAGGCACTTTAGCTCGTACACAACTGTAGGAAATTGTATTAGAACGGGACAAACAAATTGATTAAGGAACCTACTCGGACCAAGGATGGGGCCCAGAGTCGGATCATTCTTAATCATAACGTAGACAGCTCCGACCGCGTTTTTACTTGCGTTGACGAAATCTTTCAACAGTGTCTCCAACTGATCGTTCTTGTCGTAGTTGGCCAATCCTTTGTCCGCCGCAAGTTGCGACAATATCGCTAAGAAACCCTGAGAGTTGGACTGGAAGGAGGAAAACCTGGCGGCGGCATTCTGATGGAAATCCTGATCATTCTCGTTTCGTGACGCCGATTGTGATGCCATAGTCTCTGCAAAAAGTTTATATTATTGATATGACATACATGTAAAAAGATCTCACGAAGCTCCTGAGAATCGGACATCGCATTATCATGCTTAGCGGTGAATGCCGTCATTAACTCGTCCAGATCAGATACTTGTCGTCGGAACGAGTGATGGAATTTATGGTAGGACGAGTGCGGAATTCGGTCGTGTGTGGAGTTTGATTTCACAAGATGTCCGGCATGATGTTTCAACGTCGACACCTCCGTATGGTTCGTAGTATTATGCCTATGAGACCTCTGCAAATTGGCATATCGGGTGGCATGTCCAACCGGCATAAGACGCGCTCCATAGTCAGCATTTCTGAATGGTATAGGAAATGCACTAGGCGACGCAGTGACCATTGAAATAGGTGCTAGAATGAGCATAATGCCAAGTAGAAAAGGCAGAGCGAGAACGAGAGGCCGAATGGTGCCCATTAGGGGAAGTAGAATAGATTATGTTGATGGTAGCGTAGATAAACAGATATTACGAGTAGAATGTAGAATAGAGGCACGCCGGCGTGGGGTATGTCAGTCGTCTGTGGTCTGGCTAGGGTAAGTTGAGTGGCAGAAATTGACAAACTATATACACCAGTGGCGCGGAGTTTGAATCTTACAGCCCAACATGGTCAGCCCGCCTTAATTCGTAAATTGTTTGTGTCTATTTACTTCTGCTTGCGTTCACCACTGATTGTAACAAGGGAATAGTCAATAATAATATTAATATGCCAGCATGCCGCACTGCGGCTTGGTAAATAAACTTTTAGGGATATAGACTCTATTTACAGCGTCCGTAGCACTAGTGTGTATGTGTGTCCATTCCACGGAAGAATAAAGGGAAATGTTTTAAGAAGTCTCTCGGACTATTCTACGATTACTAGCCCTCACGCAGCTACCACCGTCTTCGGCCGGTACGTAACCCTTCATGCAACTATCGACTATAGAAATTTCCAATAAGTATGACATGCCTATCCGGATAGATATTATCTGTCACTTACCAATACAAGTGCCGTAATGGCATCCAACGTTGACTGCTCGAGAAATAGCAGTACAGTCACGGCCTTCCCCAGTGACCGCGCACCCACCGCAGTTCAGCAAGTCTGCCGTCGTCTCCACACTGTAATTCTGATCAGAAAATATACCTATTGTCAAAATCCGCAGCCATACCATTCATATTCATCATCTGTCGAACTGGAAATTCTTGAAATGGGACATTTCTGGAGTCCTGCCGGACAGGGTGAAAGTGGACTTTGCTCCGCACGCCTAGAAAGTCTCGATTTCCGACCGTAAATGGACGAGGGCATCGGAGCTGACGAGGAAGGTTGGCAAACATAGTTTGTGTTGTCCCACGAAGATCGAGCGGGGCAGGACGGTAGATCAGGAGCCGTCGGAACGCAGCAGGTCAACGATGACGAATATTCCCAGCCATTGGGACAGATAACAGATCTGTGGCAAATAATAATCAGTGCCTGCAAGACCGTTGTACAACAACTCAACAATGACTTACGATGGAGGTGCCGAAGTGTTGCTACCGCCTAGCGGGAGGCAGGTTTGCTTAGGTTGATACCAGAATTCGCTAACATCGCAGTTATTCTGAGCCGTGCCAGTCGGGGCTCCACCAGCGTAAACCGTGGTCGTAACGGTGACCGTCATAGGCCCTCCGACAGGCCCTGGTACATCGGTGGTATCTGGACTGGTATCACTGTAGGTATCCGTGGGATAAGAATCCGTCGAAGGCAAAATTGTGGGTGCTGGCTGGTAGTCCGACGTCGTCGGTACCGTCGGCAATGGGGTATACGTGGAAGTCACTGCAGAAGTCGAAGACTGATATGTTGTGATCGGCTTCGGCAGCTTCGGCTTTGGAATAATTGTGGGGAAGATCGACTTAGTAGTCTTGGAATACGTCTGAGTATCATACGTTGAAGTTGTATAAACCGTCGACTGATAGGTAGAATAGGATGTCTCGCTAGCGGTATAGGTCGTTGTCGAATATACCGGCTTACTGTACGAAGATGTGACAGTTGTTGCGCTCGTCTCTGTCGTATATACGGGAGTCTGATAGGTGGAAGTAACAACCGTCTGGCTCGTCTTGGTTGTAGGTATCGTAGTTTGGTACGTTGATGTAACCACCGTCTGGCTCGTTTTGGTAAAAGGTATCGTAGTCTGATACGTTGAAGTAATAACCGTCTCACTCGTTTTTGTCGTAGGTATCGTAGTCTGGTACGTTGAAGTAACAACCGTCTCGTATGTCGAGGTCGTTTCCACAGGCGAGTGCATTGTTGATGTGACGGTTGTCTTAAATATCGAAGTTGTGGGTACCTGAGTATGGTAAGTCGATGTGTACGTTGAAGTAAGGGTCTTCACGCTTGTCTCGGTCTTAAGCACCGCTGTGGAGACAACGGAAGTAACAACAGACTGCGTGGTCTTGGTCGTCTTCGCCGTGGAAAGGGCTGTGGAAACCTCTGTCTTGGTGACAGTCTCCTGAGTTGAAACAGTTTTAGCCACTGTCGTCGTCTTGGTGGCTGTTGCCGCCTGAGTAATAGTCGTATGCACCGTCTTGGTTGCAGTTGCAGAAGCATATGCAGTGTCCGTGATTGTCTTCGTCTGTGTTGCCGTGACCTGTTGGGTCTTAGTGGTATGCACAGTCTGCGTTTGAGTCGCTGTTTCCTTCTGAGTTTGAGTGTAAGTCGACTGCTGGGTCTTCGTTTGAGTTTCTGTTGTCTTCTGGGTTTCTGTTGTCTGCTGGGTCTTCGTTTGAGTTGCCGTTGTCTGCTGGGTCTTCGTTTGAGTTGCTGTTGTCTTCTGAGAGTAAGTTGTCTGCTGGGTCTTGGTTGTTTCAGCTTTCGACGTTGATCCATAGCCTCCTTTAGACTCTCCGCCAGATCCATAGCCTCCTCCAGACTCTCCTCCAGACCCATAGCCTCCTTTAGACTCTCCTCCAGACCCATAGCCTCCTTTGGACTCTCCTCCGGATCCATAGCTGCCGCCGGATCCGCCGCCATATGATCCGCCGCCACCCCATCCACCGCCACCGCCATAACCTCCACCTCCGCCTCCGTGTCCACCACCACCACCACCACCGCCACCACCGCCACGTTTGCTCAAGGTCGGAGTAGAGGTCGTGCAGGCACCTGCATCGTCATTCCAATCATATCCATCTGGACACGTAGGTTCATCGTCGCCTGATGTCGCTAATTCCTGAGGGACGCAGCAGCTATCGTTATCCGGATACCAAAGCCATTGCTCTGGGCATGCAAGCCCATCACTGATGAGAGTATTAGCTATAGTCCGATGGAGAGTATAATAAGAACGTACGGAGCAGAATTAGTAGTGAGGGATAAATCTATTTCGACGAATCAGATTGGGTAAATATGAAATCCAGCTTAAGTTGTTCATACCGGATGGGCAACACCACGTGCTATCATGTTAAAAAAATGAGCTTCAGGTTCCTTGGGTAAGAATATGTACTACGTACCAAGTGGAGTCTTGTCTGATGCTGATGGAAACCGCACAAATAGAGTATAAGAAGAGGATGGGAGAAATCCACTTCACGAGTTTGAACGAGAGCGACATTGTCGGACTCGTCGGAACCCAAACTGCAAATATGAAGAGATTTCCCGCCACAGAGTCCTCTGGACATTGTCCATCGGTAAGGCGTAGGGTTAAATACCATGGATCGCACAAAACGGAGTTATGCTTGCAAGACTATACCATAACTCAGTCCCCGTGCCAAGAAAAGGCAGTGGACGGCAGTCCATGCCTTAACGCATTTCTTGCCACAGAAGTCTGAGACTTATTACTCAGATGTTCGGGTTGACAGTATGGATAAGGGTAAGATGGAATAGTTCCTGCGGGATCATCACTTGAAAGTCTAAGATTAGAACTGCTTACCGCCGTTTGTGATAACAGCGTGCTTGAAAGGGTAGGCCGAGTGCAAAGTCCAGTTCAGAAACGGGCATAGGTTAGTTATACTCAGCTGTCTTCAATTTACCTCCAGTAAGGTAAGGACTTCAGTGAGACGCGACTTCTACTGGTAACGCCACAAGTGTGCCGCAATCCCTTCTCACTCGTGTTATCTGGAGTTATAAGTCGGCGGTGTTGGCTTGAAGGGCTGAAATTTCCGAGCTAGTGGTTGCCATCGATGCGGCGCATGCCCAGTTACAGAACCGAGTATCAAAGAGCGAGATAGTATACAACCCCATTCTTGTTTATTTGAGGCGAGGAGAAACAACTTCCAATTACACGGTGGCTAGGTACTATCAACAACGATCAAGGCGAGAAAACTCTGCAAGTCGCTTGCCCTTAATCTGTCAGCAAACAATTCGAGCGATATGTCAATAATGCAATAAAGAAATATGTATTTTTCACATCACCTGCAATCGACGCAGCTGCTAGTGTATTTTCCAAGGCCCGCCCAGCGAAGTATCGCACGTCTGCATCTGCGTCATGTTGTAAAAGCTTGAGAGCGGGAAGAATTTTATCCTTCGCTAACTCCTGTCCTTCAGAAGAAGATCCGTATGTCGATGCAATCACTTCCATTGACTTAGCCACGTTAAAACGAATGTTTGGGATAGGATCTCCCACGAGGGTAAGAAGCGTTTGCAAAATCGGATCCCTGATAACGTCTATGTTGAGAGATGGAGTCATAGTCTAGAAGGCATTCAGTGCAATGCGAGGAAACAGTGAATTGAACAAACCGTGATCGCCAAGACCGTTGTCATCCTAAATAAGTAGTTGGGATGCCCTCCCATGGCCAGAACCTTCGGTATGATCGTATTTTTTGACCACTCGACCCCGAATACTTCTGTTAACTTCTTCAGATTCAAGGTCGCAGCTTCACGGATACTGAAGACGTTATCTCCCAACCATGACAGACACAGATTACTGAGCTGCTCGTCGAAGAATGGTCGACCCAGCTGAGTGGCAAGGAGTGGGATATATTCTATAATCGCCTGTCTTACTCGCCATGACTTATCTTCGGCCAACTCTACGATAGCCGGTAAGAGAGACTGGGAAAGCAAGTCGATTCCGATGACTGGTATTTTTATTTTCAGAAAACGCCTGGTTGAAAGGGGACGAGTGACACACCGGAGTTTACTGTCTCAAGCTTGCTGATAATATTCAGACGGACTTCGGGGAATTCATCCTTTAGTAAGTGCAGGAATAAGGGAAGCAAGTGTTCGATTGTAGAGTCCTTTCCGAGCAGAGGGGCAAGGCCGCTAATTTGGTTGGCAAGGGATGCTCGTACATGCTGTGACTGGTCCGTCGAAAGATCCCGTACACACGGTAAGATCCGGACCAGAATAGCATCCTTGTCGACAAGTTTTGCGAATCCTGCTCCACTAGTAAGACATATCATATGTAGTGTACGGACAGAACTACGCATACCTGGAAGCTGGCTAGCTGCAGCTGTCCTAACCTCGGCCTCATTATCTTTAAGTAGCTGGACATAAGCTCCGATAAGCTCTTCCTTTACAATTTCAGGTCCAACAGCCTCTGCAAGCTGTACATTTTGGACAAAGATGTTAGTCGATGTTACTCCACATGTGGCTTGCCATTGTCGACGTACCTCAACGAAATGATTTGCAACCATATACCGAACTCTCCAGCTCTTATCTGTTACACTTTGTTTAATTTGAGATAATAACTGATCCTTTACTTCCGAGTTCTCCAGTTGCTTCGCGATTGCAATCAAGTCCTCTACCGTGAGCAAACGAACGGAATCCTGGTCATCGGACGAGAGTCTACGGTATATGGGAAGCGCATCGGACAGAACGTGTTCTTTAGAAAGAGATTTTGCAAATGCCTATAAAAAGGATGTGAAGAGCGTCAGAAAAAATCCTAGTCCCGCACACATAAATATCACATACACCCAACCATTTTGCAGCAGCGCGCCTAACCATTGGCGTATCATCTGAAGCCAATGCAGCAAAGGCTTTACGCATGTCCTCTTTTATTTGAGGAGAAACTTTTGCATACACCGGCGAGTACAGTGCCGCAGATGATGTTCGAGAAGTGAACCATTCTCCACGAGATAGCCGTGTCAAAAGAGGGATATAGTACGCTTCTATCTGTTGTTGAGAGAGGGATTCGGATACTTTTGTGATCGACTCTGTCGCCTGGAAAGCAAATAGGGATGAATAGACACATCAGTGGATGCCAGAACGCGAATTGTTGGACCACGAACTTTGTCGCGTACGAGCGTCTCTTCGACAGCGGCCAATACTTCTAGCGGCCCAAGCAGCACATGAGCATACTTCCGCCCTCCAACGTATTCCTCAAAGTTTTTTCCAAGCTCTTCGGCGAGAGCGAGAAGAACCTCATCCTCATCGTCGACGGACTCTTGTAAGAACGGTATCAGCTCTTCCCGGGTACGATCAGGTCCTAGGGCAAGGGCAATGGTGGATATGCGATGGATCGCGTTGAGTCGTAGCTGCACGTCCTCAGATCTAAGCTCATCCATAAGGATGGCAATTGGCGCAATCTAGCATATATCGAGGCACGTCAGAATTATACTAATTTATAGTTGCATAAGTGGTGATAGACGCACATCGTCGAGAGGGTTGCCGGTATCCATGATCTATCATAAGACATCGCAGGGATCAGCACAGAGACTCGCAGAATGAAAGGACGCGACATACCAGAGAGTGCGATGTGTTGGTTGGTCGTGAAGAAATACAATGAAGACAAACGGTATCTGTCGCGAAACGAGGCACGCGCCAGAGAACGGCTGTGTATGGTTGTTTGCAGCGTGCCAAGTGGCCGCGTAGTGTGGGACCCTGCCTTCCCACATTTAGACGTCTGCCTTCCAAAGAAATCCATTCTGCCTGCTACTTATCACTGTCAATAGATCTAATAGATGATTGAGACGATCTATATCGCTCGACATGGTGCGTGTTTCTGCGCACACTCATCGTTTTCTGCTATCTTACAAATACCCCAGGCTATCGTATGAATTGGGTTACTTCCAGCTGGTAATCTACCCTTCCTCTCTCTCTCTCTTGAATAGTATTGACAGTAGTGGCGAAGTACAGGAAGAGCGTGACTGGGTTAGCTAAGGATCCATCGCTGGCTGCTTTCGGGGAGGTAGGCATATGGGCACTCTATTTGGCCGACTTTTAAACTTTTTTTATTAAATTCATCTCTCCCTTACCTCAAGGCCCAAGCAATAGAACTATCCAATTATTTCACTGCACTACCACCAGAAGAACGTCCAACGGCTATATTTTCTTCTCCCTACTGTACTCCACGTCTTACTCACATATTGGAATTCAAATTAATTCTGACTGTCGCGCATAGACAGATGCCTTCAAACGGCGATACCAGTCTCCGAATCGCTGCAGGTACCGATCTATGTGGAACACGGTTAGCTAGAACCGGAGACGACTCGTATAATTCTCATTCTGATAGTTTCAACTAGGACTATCAGAATGGTACTCGCCCGCCATGCCGGGCACTGGATTACACCCCCGTCCTTTCGCTGCACGTAAACTCAAGTCCTACATCCCGCAGATAGATCCCTCATGGCCGTCAGTATGGTACCCGTCGCGCAGAGGAGAGCTAGTCGAAGAAGTGCATGATCGTATGGGAGACTGCCTTGAAGTCTTGCATGCTGCTATTGAGCAACAATTCCCCGAGCAACACAAACGGATCTTACTCGTCAGCCATGCCGCAACAGTAATTGCCGCCACAAGAGAATTAGTCGGAAGTAGAGATCTGCCCCTCCGAATCGGATGCTGCTCCATTACGATTCTACAGCGGAAGAAAGGTCAAACGGATGTACGAGGAGCTTATGACGCTGTCAAACTCGGTTCCGGTGAGCATCTGGAACAGGGTGCATCAAGAGACTGGGGCTTTGAAGATATCGTGATTAAGGATGGAAAGGTGCGCTCTGCGATTCTGACAAGACGATACGTTTTAACACGGGAGCCCGGTTCTTTCTTAATTAGGTTGTCGACGACGTGGGTACGCCCGGTACAGAGCATGAGGAAGATTATCCCATCGGATGCCAAGTTTCGGAGTTTGAGCTAACTGCTCGGATGTAATAGACTAGATAGATGTTTTAGACCACTCCTTTACAAATTTTATCCTGACCGGAACCCCGAGACCTATTCATCAGGATGGACGTGGTTTCTCAACGCAATACAAATAACTTGCATTTGGATGAGAATACTTCTACGAAGCTATTACACGACAATCCTAAACAACAACTCGACAATGAAGGCAGTCTGAAAAGTACTTCGAATCAAGGCAATTAAATAAGAATCTTCGATCTCAGGGGACGGGAGGGGTTGACTTTAATTCATAGATACATGGGACCACATTAGTATGCCTATACATTATTGACGGAAACCGTGCTGATTATCGATAACTCAGGGCAAGAAGGCCGAGTAGTCAAAGGCTGCAGGAGCCTTCAAAGCTGCGAGCGACGCCTGCTTCAATGTGTCCCAAGACGGGTCGACGTTCACTCCGATTTCATAGTCAGACCCAAACTGCGATGAACATTAGTTACTCATGAGAAGCTGCGCGGCTGTGACCATGGTACGTACGTGGGGATCGGCATTGGGTATAACCTGCCAGTACATCCATGGCATGCCGGCGGCGGTGATTTGACTTGCCCAAGTCTTAATATTGTTATTCCGCGTGGCGGTATCCAGAACATCTCCTTGTGGACAGTTGTTGTTCTCGGTGGTATAGTAGCAACTTCCCCTTTGAATGATGAACCGTTAATCGCAAGCTTCTCAAACTAAAATAAAGGGCATGACAACTAACCACTCCTGGAAGATTAGTTTCTTCCCAGCAGCCTGTGCTCGACTAACAACTCCTTGGATCTTCGAAGTATCAAAGTCTCCAACTCCATATGCATGGATTGCGACAATGTCAAGTGCATCGCATGTAAGCCAGTCCGGCTGCACCGATTCGTCGAGGAAAGATTCACCGCCCGTTGTGATAAGTATCTATAAGGAATAGATGTGAGTAGACGAAACGAATAGTTTAAAGGAACTTACGCCGCTGTTATCACCTAGCACGCTCTTGATAGTGTTAGCCCTGTCACACTGCCTGTAGAATGCATAGAGTGAGCATATCAATTGTACTAAATTACCCATGAACCTAGAACCTACCATGTTTGGTGGGCTTGAATGTACGCCTCGCCCTGGATGAAGGCTCTGTAAATAAAAGAAGTAGTAGAACATAGAAATTGTACTAACCTTGCCAATCATTGCCTCGTTCTGTGCCTCAAAGGCAAATATGTAGTCTGAGAGCTGTTTCCAGGGCTTGTTCAGCTGTGGGTTGACATGGTTCATGACATGACGAAGGCGATTATCAAACTGTGATGTCGCATTCTGCCACTCATAAAAGAACCCTGTGCCATAAGTGGCACCATAGACATCACCTCCTTGAAGCGCGTTAAAACTATGCATGCTGATCATCAACTGCAAGAGTTCAGCGTGGGAGCAAAACATTTGATTTTCCAATACATAAGTACCTTGATTCCGTGTGCGTGGGATGCAATCATAAAGTCATCGAGTAATTCAAGCACTTTATCGTTGAACACGCCGATCTGGTTGGGTTCCAGTGAAGGATATGCTGTGATAGTTGTTCCCTAGCAGTTTCGAGTTAGTTGATTTTCTGTGTTCCGTCGAGAATCGTACCTTTGTGGTTGCCGTGGATTGCCCATCAAGCCAGACGCGGAGTACTTTCATTCCCGCATCTTGCATGCCCCTTTGAAGAATTAATGTTCGGCGACCGTCAAAGAATTGAAGTGATACAAAGGGGAACATACTGAAGAAGTGTCTCTCTGTCGGATGAGGACAGACCAGCGGCATAATAAAGGTTCGACCCAGCAAAGGAGTTCGCTGCTGAGGTCAGATGAACGATATTCGAAACGCAAGCAAATGTAGCAAGCAGAGACGAGAACCCAAAGTGAAGCTTCATTGTACACCACAGCTGTCGCGCAGTTACGGGTGTGTGAGAGCCAGGCCAACATGTACGCTCTTTTATACTAGAGATTAATGCCCAGTAAGATCATAATTCAGGGTTATGGATGGACGTGGAGGATCAACATCATGCGTCATCAGCTTCAGGGAGGAGATTGTCAATATGCGATAACCGAAAATGGGTCCAAAGACGTCGTGCCGATTTCTGCGAATATATGTTGAAACATATAGAATACCTGTGAAGCATATGCAGCTAGCCGTCACGAGCCCTTGATTGACGCTAAGTCAATGCTATCACTCGCTTCCCTGGGTCGCTTCTCGAGGCAGATGACTTTGTAAACGTCGATGAAACTTGCGGAGAACGGGTTACTCGTTTTGTTCAAGTAAATGCACCAATATATAAGTAGGCGACTTCAAAAATCCGTGTATCAGATATTATTCGCGTGCAAAGGATGCATTCTCCATAATAGAAACGGCCCATTGCATTTAGAAGAGCACATACGCGCTAGCGTAGCTTACACTGGAGTCGGATATGGTCCGACATTGGCTACTCTGTTCATACCTCACCCACTTTACCGTTGCTTTCCGAGGTTCGCCATTAGGAACTTCACTCTCGGTAACAGCGCTTTCCAACACGGCAAGAGCTCCAAGCAGCACGCCTATGGGATGACGGCCACAGATTGTGTTCTTTGTCCTAGCCAGGTAGACTGAGAATGCATCGTGCGATTCCTGTGCGGTGGATGGGGGTAATGTGAGAATATCCATCGCCTGGTGGTCAAGTGCTGAGATAGACTCGTGGATCTCGTGATCAGGCGAGAGGGAAGATGAGATATTTGTTCGCGACAACCGGATGCCCGACTCCCCGACAGTGCCCGAAGTAGGTGGCAGAGATGGGTAGTAGAAAGTATACTGAAAGCGTGTACCCCTGACGAACTTTGAGTACTAGTGAATGTTGTATGCAAAATAAAGTCCTTTACCAATGACAAAAGTCGCTCGAGACGACACAGAATGTATCTTCTCGGGTAAAGTAGGGGGCAAGTATCTTCCCAAAAGTCTCTTCACTTTCCTTGCTAATCGCTCCTACAAGGATGGGAACAATCTTGATATCCACCCTGGAGTAGTTGTCAACGCGCGGTATACAAGAGATGGTAAATTGGAAATACCCTTCAAATGCCTTCCGAACATAAGGGAGGTGCATTTCTATGCTATGCTCATCCTCGTCGGTGTCAGACCTCATATCTTCAAATGATCCAGTCTTCCGGAGCTCCTCGATTGCTAAAGGGCAGATTTATGCAATCGTATCTAGTATAACTGATAAATAAAATTGAAGACGAACTTTCAATATCAAGCGGTAGATTTCCAATCGGCGTTGCGTACTCTTGGAAGCGAGATAATGCACAACAATCAAGATAGACATGATGTGATGGTCCTAAGATAAACACTCGTTTTCTGTTCCACGTGAGTTATTATACGTTTATCTGAGGAAACGAGACTTACATGCCAGTAGTATCAATGCTCTTGTACGCCCATCCCGCTGCAGGCCCGGAGTATGAGTATCCTGCATGACTAGGTTGCAAGATAAGCGATTAAGATCATTCAATCTCATGAAACAGAAATTGGGCGACAATCAGAGAAACTACTCACGGTGCTATGATTGCTTTACAACCCTTGACAGGAAGTGCAAAGCCGTCCTCCGCATCGGGTTGTGCGTCATTGAGCCAAGTAGACAGCTCGTCATTCAGGCGCTGAGCTGGGGGATCGTAATTAAGCGAACAATACACTCGCTATGACAACATTTCAACAATTCATACCACGATCAGTATACCACGAGCCGGCGTGTGTTGCACGTCTAGTGTATGCATTTTTTTATGGTCAGCTCACTCGAATACTCAGGAAGATCTACCTGATTGACATTTGATGCTGGATGTTGGAGACAAGCTACAAGGAAGACAAACGTAATCGTATTGAGACAATTTCCATATCGGTCACCTCTTGCATCGTCTGCCTCTCGGACATAGCCGATTATCTGCAGGACAACGACCAAATGCACATCTTTCAGAGTCAATTCGAGATACCTCGTCTTAAAGCAATTGAATGGCATTGCAAAGGTGTGCGACATGTTTTGTGCATATCATGAATACAAAGAAGGAGTACGAAGAACATAATCAACATAAGACTGTTTACTCCTCCGAGCGCAGACGCGCTGCAGGGTTCGTCACCTTCAAGCCGAGTGCTTTGGCCCTAGCAAAACATATAGATGTTGAGTATCGTAGGCAAAGCATATACATTTAGGCCTACCTCTCCAAGATAACAACACGGTTGCGACTGCTGACGTTGTGTGCGATCTCGGCCGCAAAGCTCTTATTATGCATGAGCAGGATGTCCACGTCTCGCACGTTCGATACAACGAATTTTTTCAATCCATTAGGAAGGAGGTGACGAGTCTGGAAATAAATGGTTAAGTTATGTGCATAGGGCAAAACATGTTGCTCCATACCTTTTTGTTGCTGCCATACCCAATCTACGGAAACCAAACCAATCGTAAGATACAAGTACGATTTGTGGAGGCAACATAAACGTACCTTAGGCATAGCGATCTGTCCCTTGAACCTCCGTCGCACCCTGTTATCAATACCCTTCGGTTTCCGCCATGCCTCCTTCACCGACTTGTAGCGGTCTGATTGGTGACGCCTGATGGTGAATGAAAGACAAATGAGGATCGAAACGGCGACAGACAGCACATTGCGATTTGACTTACTTGAAGCGCTTGGTACGCTTTTTCACAATGGGAATTGAGGCGGCCATGGTGGTTATCTACGAGGTAAGTTTGTGGTCAATTTAGTTCCTAACCCTAGTTCATCCAAACAGTTTTCCGTTCATCCATCCCAATTCTCGACAACCAGTGGTTTCTTCAACAGCAAAGCCAGAACAATAGCGGAACAGACATCGATCCCGATTGTGAAATAGATGAATTGGCATGAAATCGATACTCACTGTAGTTTTGCGTAACTTGGCGATTCCGAAGTGTCGATTCCAACGCCAGTCGTGTCTGCGGAATTATTGCTGACTAATAATATCCATAAATAGTAGCACTCTCTCGAACTTGTGAGTGAAGGACGATCCAAACTCTTTTCTATTGCCCATGGATAAGGGGTCCGAGCGGCGCAAATACTTTAAAACTCCTCCAGTCGACTCGAGACAATCTCAAGAGGCGAGGCGTACTCAGGTATTTTGCCGGCTTGATCTCACTCTAACATGCTAACTGCGTCTTTGTAGGCTCTTGAAGAACAAAAGCGAGTATGCTTAACGTCGGTCGTACACTCTTAAATTGCAGACTGACGAAAGTTCGTCCAGAGACGAGCGCAACAACTTGATGCATCCCGCCAATTGGATCAGTTTTCAGGCCTCAATCTAGATGACTCCGATGACGACGTTGAAGACGATGGTGATACCTTCGACAACCCGAGCAAGTTACTGGGCGGAATTGGGCAGTTTGCAACTTTGCTGCAGCCCAATGATGCGGAGCCTCCCCCAGACTCGCGTTCTCCGTCGCCTCTCATAGGACATGAGGAAGGCAATGAAAAGACCAAAAGGAAAGGGAAGAGAAAGGGCAAAGGGAAGGGGAAGGGCAAGAAAATTCCAAGCAAATGGGCGAATAAGTGCATGTATGCAGAGCTTCTCGAGATGCGAGAAGATGCTTTTTGGACTGAATCATTCGGCATCGGTGGTGCGCCCCCGCGTGATGGTCTACCAGACGATCTAGAGACTGCTTGGGTAGGCCTCGCTCCGGTACCAGTCGGCAAGCGCTGTTTTGCCGTCACGATGCAAGGCCCTGGAGTAAGTGGTGTTGGTATGTGGACTTCTTTGCTTCAAATAATAGTCGACATTCAAGGACTACATGACAGTTCCAAATACGATTCTACGATCTCGACTACTTGGCAAAGTCATTATTCGACCATTCCCCTCTCCTTTACCATCCAATACAATACTCGATTGTATCCTAGATGAAAATTGGAGGTCGAATGGCATGCTTCATGTTCTAGACGTGATCCGGTGGAAGAGCCAAGACGTAGCAGGCTGTGAAGCGAATTTCCGGTTCGTCTACAAGCGTCTGAAGAAATTTTATGCTGAACTTTGTGCTGTGCACCTAGGTTCTGGTGGCGAGACACTCGCCTCGCCGAAATAACTACCTGGCCTTTACCTGCACCTCATAAATCATCATTTACGAAAGTAGACGATTCGTCACCAGCAAAGTACAAATTTCCCTATCCTACTACATTCGTTCCGGTACCCTACACGACTCCTTTGTCTTTCGAAAACATACTAGGTGAATTACTTGGAAGGGCCCGTCAGGGCAATTCAGTTCGGTTGAAGCTACCTATTATTTCAGACTTTTCTGCAGCACAGGGTGGAATCGTGGCGGAAGGGGATGCTGGAGGGGATATGGAAATTGATGTTTCCTCGGAACAGTCTTCAACAAGTAGATTATGGGCAGCCGATCGAATCCAAGAAGTAGATGTTTCCATCTCTTCGGATGGCTTACTCCTGTACGTCGGAGAAGCGGCCTATGAAAGTGGTGAGAGCCCACTGAGCGTATGGGTTCCACGTGTATCTTATGATGGCGGCATGCACGACGAAGTACGACGAGATGGGAGTTCTATGTCAGAACATGAGAGGGGAAATGAGTCACGAGTGGGTACTGAAGAGAGTCCTTTGGACACATTTGAGAGGTCAGGATCATCCTCCCATCCCAAATCGAACAGCTGATGAACTGACGTGGAACGTCTTTTTCCAGACTGGTTCGACGAAGGCTGATCGCGCGGCGAGACGGCGCTACAACGGCCGGGGGTCGCATGATGGATAACAGTAATATTAGTACTACAGAAGTGGAGATGGATGCTTGAGAATGTGCAAGCTCAGGCTACTGAGCCCGATTGACGAGCTGAGTTGAGAGTACGCCCAAATTGCGACCGGGCAAAACGGAAGCCCGGCCAACTGTGCGTCGCACTGCAGCCAGTGCGGGGTATCTGGTAATCTAATATCTCAACATGAATGTGATTGTCAAAATGATGTCCGAGGCGGAAATGCACGACCTGATAGGGCGGAATAGGCAACCAAGATGTCCTTATCGGGTGCGATACCTATCGGACCTGAGGAGCGTTTACGCCAGTCTTCCTGTATCGCCATCTTGTCTGTCACTCACTCTGCACATTCATCAGCACGGCCACGGCTGTGAGCGTATACCTGGGCTGGGAAAGAATGACCTTGGACGAGTCCACCGCCGTTACTGGTCCCAAATGCGAGGACATCGGCGCACACGTGCCTGAAGAGAATGTTCCCACGCCGTATAGATTGAGCCCCAGTCTGCAATTCTCACTCGCCGGTATTGGCAGTGTTGCACATAAGCCTGTCCTGCGCAAACGAAGACACTCCGTAGGCTCTGCGCAATCATATACTCGCAGACCGCCTCCAAGTCAGCGAAACCCGCGCATACTGCCCAGCAGTCCCGTCAACGGCAAGTTCCTTCCTCGTCGTGGCTACATGCTTGCTGCTCCGCCTGTCGACCTGACCTTTGATGATGATTCTGACTGGGTGCCCCCCTCTAACCTCGCGAAAAAGCTTCATCGAACGGCCAGCGTCGGGAACAGCTGGGGGGTTACGTCCATTGGTGGTGGCTACAGCTGGAGCAAGGGCAGGAACATGGAACACTCTGCCGAATCTCGAAACGACGGTGACGACGACGAGGTCATTCCGTCAAGTGGTAGTTTTATTCAGCCTGAATCACCCAAAGGAACTCGTTCATTTTTAGATGCCACCTCCAATGGGCTTCCTACCGTAAAGCCGGAAGCTTCAGATCTTTCCTTGAATTTCGCCTACAGCCGCAATGATGAACCGCTGCACAATGGCTCGTTTACAGCAGAACCCGTCTCGACAGGATCACCTTTATCTCGATCACCTTTATCGTCATCAGCTGTGTCTCTAAATTCTATGTGTACTACTCCTGACGGATCCATTGGGGAAGCGGGAAGCTCTCGAACAAACTTAGCACGATCATCATCCACGCCGAGACCACGGCGACGCTCGTCGCAGCAGCGTGTATCGCTTATCGCTGGACGCCTGTCCATAGTCTCCATTGAACCCCCTACAGACCAGGATTCTATAGCCCCACGGTTGCAACGAATTGGCAGTCAATCTAGCTTTTTGAGTGCCATTTCGACGGCGGCGCCCACACCCGCAGACGAGAAGGACTCCTTTCTCGGGGACAGAAGTATATCTGAATACGTCATTGAAGGAGAACTTGGTCGAGGAGCTTATGGACTTGTTAAGCGTGCGCGAGAAATGAAGTTAGACGGGACGATGTCGGTGAGGCGTCATGTACTTGAGTCTCTTGTCTGATCGAACTGATCTCGCTCTTCACCCCCAGGAGCCTGTTATCATCAAGCAAGTAATAAAGTCACGTATCCTAGCGGATTGTTGGAAGAGACACCCTAAGTTCGGCACGATTCCAATAGAAATTTATGTCATGTCTGCCATATCTTCAACCTCATACAAGTTACCGCCGAAACGGCCATGGGACCCCTCACGAATGTATTTATCACCTCAAGAAGACATAGATCCGTGGATAGAGGGTAAAGTCGTCAAGGGACACCCGAATATATGTCAACTTCTCGATTTCTTTGAAGACAACAATTATTATTACTTGGTTATGCCGTCTACGACTCCGACGAAGGGGCCGGATGGAGCAACCCCACCTTCGGACCTCTTTGACCTTGTCGAGGCCTATCCACAAGGCCTACCGCCCAATATGATCCGGAGCTACCTTGGCCAGATAGCAGATGCTCTCGCCTTTTTACATGCGAAGGGGATCGGTCAGTCCTTTCACGCTTTAAGGAAAAACTGCACGCTAACTACATGCATACAGTTCATCGCGACGTGAAGGATGAAAATGTTGTCCTTGGGCGAAAGCCTGGAAGCTGTATCCTCATTGACTTTGGAAGCTCCGGTGTCGTGAAGAAAAATGGGTGGGACACCTTCAGCGGGACGTAAGTGATTCAATCCTGTGGTGTCTTAGCACGGTTCATTGATGATTCGTTGGAATTGCTTTAGACTTGATTATGCCGGGCCGGAGATTCTAAGAGGTGAAAGATATTACGGAAAGGAGCAGGACGTCTGGGCATTCGGAGTGGTTGCCTTTGTTCTTCTCATTGGCGAGTGTCCATTTAATACTGCCGCCGAAGCGCAAGATGGTCTAGAATCACCGCTCTGCAACGCTTCAATCGCTTTGGACGAACGATGTGGTGATGGAAAAGAGTCCGAAGGAGAGGAAGCTGATGGCGGTGGTGCGCTTGGAGATGCAGCAGCACTTGTCCGTGCTTGTCTTCGAGTCGATCTAACTGCAAGGCCGACTTTCGAGCGAATTCTTGAATGCAGGTTCCTCAGCGGAGGTAAGGGCTGGGGAACGGAGACCTAGCACTGCTTGCATCCCTCGAGGACACCATGCTTGAACCATTTGCCTCCAAGGAAGCGGTCGTGTTTTCTCGAACTCATGTTGTGCTTAAACTGCCTTGCGGACGGTGCATGCTGTTGCTCAGGTGGTCTGCATCCAGACATCTTTTCTTCCCTGGCCAGACCACAGCAGTCACGTTGTGTTGGCTACTTCTGCTTTATCGTTTATCTCTTGTATCTCGGCTTCGTCCTATGCCTCATCTCATCGATTTCAAACGCATTTTATTGTATTCCCCTGTCCCCACGCCGTTCCAACACTGCATGTAACTCTTGCCTTACCCATCCCTCGTACGTTTGTTTTATATCATATTGAAATGTCTGAACAATCCGTTGTAGAAGTAAAGTAACGGCTTGTGTACAATATAATGTAGTGTCTTTGTATCACGATTTTTATGCCAATTCTTATGTGTTCCTCCATTTAGATGTCCGATACTTCAATACCCTGTGGCACCTAATATAGACTGACGTTTATTCGCACAATCTTACATTTCTGTTTTCATTTCAAAGACAGATGCATAACCTCACCTTGTAGCGAAACATATTTGTGACGAAAAGTGCATGATCAACAGCATACAGTGATACACTGTACAGCACGGAGTTCGTGACTCTCGACTTGACTTTTTTGATCAAGGCCTCTTATTCTGTGCTGAGAAATCGGTTCTCACGGCAAATTTTTAAACTCCGCTCCCAAATTTATAAGTGCCCTTCGCCCTCATCAACGTTTCTGCCTCCCCTCTGCTTTCCACTATCATCCCCGTGTATTCCTCTTTTTTCTTTCTGTAATAAGTGAGTATCTATATCTGCAATCGCTCAATGAATTCCCTCTGTTTTCCGCTCGTAGAGTCGCATATATGCACTTTATTCAGTTCATTGCGGCTCTTCAGCCCTTCCTGTATCTTAGTCACAACCTGAAGCTCTCGTACTGACGTTTATATCCTCAGAAACTCATCAAAATGGGAAAGGAGAAGACCCACGTAAACGTTGTCGGTGAGTCTATGCACATCGATTTTGTTGATGGTCAGAGATCATCCGTCTCACACGCATATACCCAGTCATTGGTCACGTCGACTCCGGCAAGTCGACTACTACCGGTCACTTGATCTACAAGTGCGGTGGTATCGATAAGCGTACCATCGAAAAATTCGAGAAGGAAGCCGCCGAACTCGGCAAAGGTTCCTTCAAATACGGTGAGTGATAGTGGGTAATATTAGTACTTTGTCATCTAACATATCGCTTTTACTTCAAGCATGGGTACTTGACAAGCTCAAGGCCGAGCGTGAGCGTGGTATCACCATTGATATTGCACTCTGGAAATTCGAGACTCCAAGATACATGGTTACCGTATGTCGTAGCGATTGATCATTGTGTCCTTTTTAATAAAGTCCGACCCTTTTGTTAGGTCATTGATGCTCCGGGTCACCGTGACTTCATAAAAAACATGATTACCGGTACTTCCCAAGCTGACTGTGCCATCCTCATCATTGCCGGAGGCACTGGTGAGTTCGAAGCTGGTATCTCGAAGGATGGACAAACTCGCGAGCACGCTCTGCTCGCCTTCACCCTTGGCGTGCGACAGCTAATTGTCGCTGTTAACAAAATGGACACAACCAAGGTTCGCTTGATTATTCAAATAATATTCCTCGCACATTAGATTTAACCTTTAACGTTGACATTAGTGGTCCGAGGACCGATTCAACGAAATCGTCAAGGAAACTTCGAACTTCATCAAGAAGGTCGGTTACAACCCGAAGGCAGTCGCGTTTGTCCCGATTTCTGGCTGGCACGGTGACAACATGTTGGAGGAGTCTAGCAAGTAAGATAGGTTGTACTTTGAGTGCTCTAATTCGTGCCTAATTACTTCTCTTGATAGCATGCCATGGTACAAGGGCTGGACAAAGGAAACGAAGGCCGGTGTTGTCAAGGGCAAGACGCTTCTTGATGCCATTGATGCCATTGAACCGCCTGTTCGTCCTGAAAACAAGCCTCTCCGTCTTCCTCTGCAGGATGTGTACAAGATCGGTGGTATCGGAACAGTCCCTGTAGGTCGTGTTGAGACTGGTATCATCAAGGCCGGCATGGTCGTCAACTTCGCCCCGTCAAACGTCACTACCGAAGTCAAGTCGGTCGAAATGCACCACGAGCAGCTCGTCCAGGGTGTTCCAGGTGACAACGTCGGCTTCAACGTGAAGTAAGTAATCAGTAACTTGTTGTGCAACGGAGCCATTTAATGCTTGCACAGAAACGTCTCGGTCAAGGAAATTCGTCGTGGCAACGTGGCGTCGGACTCTAAGAACGATCCTGCGAAGGAGGCTGCTTCCTTCAATGCCCAGGTCATCATCCTCAACCACCCTGGACAAATTAGCGCTGGTTACGCACCCGTTCTGGATTGCCACACTGCCCATATTGCCTGTAAATTTGCAGAGCTCATTGAAAAGATTGACCGTCGTACGGGTAAGACGATTGAGGCAGCACCAAAGTTCGTCAAGTCTTCCGATGCATGCATTGCCAAGCTCGTTCCGTCGAAGCCAATGTGCGTCGAGTCCTACAATGAATACCCTCCTCTGGGTCGTTTCGCCGTGCGTGACATGAGGCAGACTGTTGCCGTCGGTGTCATCAAGTCGGTTGAAAAGACCGAAAAGGGCACCGGCAAAGGTGAGCATTTATCATGCTATTCCTGTTACTTGTCTGACACAGGTGGTCTTGTGCTCAGTGACAAAGGCTGCGGAGAAAGCTGCGAAGAAGAAGTAAATAGATGCAGATGCGCGGATTTATTTTTTACCCTCCCGACCATCTGTTTTTGTTTCATTACATCGCTCATCAGTACTTATACTCCTGCCATCAACGCTGTGTTGTCACGATCACCAAATGTACGCTCACTAACGAAGACGTCTGCGACGAGGTGGAGACATTATAAAGTGCCTCTGTCGCAGTTTTGCTGAACCTCTGTGTGTTGCGTGACAATCTAAGACAGCCCGGTCATGACTTGTATATATATGTAAAGAAGACTGAAGGATCAAGTATGTATGCAAACAAAGAAGACCGAAGGACGAATTCACATTTTGCCGTTCAGGTTCAGAATCATTTACTGTGCTCCTCTTTTATCCACCACCACCATGCTTATTACCAAAACATTTCATGATGTCCCGTCGAAACTGTCAGGCGGCAGACCAGTCCGAATCTTTATCATAGCACCAAATCTGCCCAATTATCCAAGGGCCAAGTTTCCAGGCGAGTGATAGTAACCTTATGGTCTTAGCGCATATACGGACAGCGAGCCTGATTAATGGCTCGCAGGCGTTGTGGTTTTCAGGCAAGCCGTTATCCTCAACGATAGACACACCGCCTAAATGTGATGTCTCAGTGAAATTTACCAGGTCACCGGCCCAGTAGAACGGTTTGCGGGACAGATTGCGAGTCAAGGCTATGTTGTCGGTGGGCACTGAGGTATTTCACCACAACAGAGTACTGATAATAGCGCATATATATAATAGCCTGCCCATCGAGCTTCCACGAATTTGAGGGTCCGGAACCGATCCCTTACGATACAGAGGGTACGTTCATGGGTCTTCTAGGCAGTATTTGCTTACTGAAACAATGACAGGTACTGACAGGGGCAATAAATATAAAGTCGAGAAGGAGCTGAATGCGTACGATGAGGTGTGATTATACTGGATTCAATATTTCAATATAATAGACGTATTTATCCGTCTAAATCAAGGATGCAACGCTGTCAATTGATCTGCTATGCTCTTTGAGCAACTGCAATGGGCGTATCGCAGGTTAGCGGTTCATACACGCATGCAGTAAGCACAGTAGCAGAATCTAATCACGCACACATAGCGACTGGTATGTGCCTCGGAGGTCACCTTGTAAGTTTTTGTACCACGCACAATCCACTTAATACTAAGCAGTTCTTCAGGCGTTCCGCGTGAGTCTATAAATTCGCGTTACTCCATACACTGGATTGATACGTGGCAGGCGGCATTCGACTCGCGAGTTTTGTCGTCCGTGTGTTTCTTCGCAACGGACATTCATGGTGCAACACTTGGAAAAGGAAAGAATGACGATACGCTTGTGCGAGTCCGCAATGGCGACCTGAAGGGCAAAGGCGAACTTGTGGTACGTATGCATGGAAATGCAGCGCGAATCGCGCTGAATTCAGACTGGACAGATGATATTCGGCAAGCAGGATACACACGTTCCCCGCAGCGGCAGAGACCTCATCCGCAAGACATTGGAGGATGCAGATGTGACGACATCGGTAAGATTATATCTCATGCGCATTTTCATTGCATGGATGTCGTTTCTGAAAGGTACTTGTATAGTTTCTTGAAGTTCAGGCGCAGCACGCATTCATTCGGGATGAATCATCCAAGGGCAGGTGGGATGCGGCATTGACGAGATCATTGTTTGCGTTTATGATGGAAGTGTTCGAGCGGACTGTTGGAAGGGATCTGGGTCCGCGCGTTGAGCAAGGAGGAGACATTGCGCATGTGTGTTGAGCAAGCGAGACGATGTCAACTATAAATGTCAGTCTAGTTAGACTCGGCTGCAAATAAATAGAATGAATGCGCCTCGTCCGTTTGCGTGAGCGCTGACGTCGCGCGTCGTCAGTATCCGTCCTTGCACTCAGCCGCCAACGTCGCCGACAGTATGGCGTCCCGCCGTCGTTTAGACATAAGTTCGCTGTTGTGCGACAACGAGCAGGCATCGACGAATGTGTCAGACAGTCACGCCTCGCGTTCGCCGGTGCATTCACCCACTGGCACACAACATCGACAGGACACGCAGCCAGCCGCAGCCCAAGCTCCCGCCCGCCTGCACTTGGCTATTGAGTATAGCGCATCCGTTCCAAAGAATAGTACCCACAGTGGTGCCCACTATGAGTATCCTTACCGGCGACATCAACAGGTTAGCCCGACGCTCCACGGCAGTCCTACGTCGCGACCATCATCAACCGTCCTTACCCCGCTCGCCCTTCAGCCCTCTCCGCCCCGGCGACGCACGCCTTCTCCCCCATTTACACTGTCGTCTGCGTCGTCGGTAGACCCTAGTAACCCTCTTCCGCCTAGACGTCGTTCGGAAGACCTACAAGGCTCCGATTTCCCGCGCCGTGGGTCATACACTACGCAAGACCGAACGCATCCCCATCCGTACACCCATTATCCGCCTCTTCCTTCTTCGACGTCTCCGGTCAATGTCTATGAGGCAAGCACTAGTCGACGTGCTTCTCTTCAATTGAGGCCTCATAGATATTCGCCTGTTTCACAAACGCGTCCGTCGCCGTCGCCGACCTCGTCTTTGCCGAGTAAATTTCCTTCCTCAGCACACCGCTTGTCCATCTCCCCCACAGAGTTGCCACGCTCTGCGTTTCCATCTGCTTCAGGCACCAACGAGCCTTTCATTCAACGTTCACCCGTCTTACCGCGATCTTCCGAAGCAAGCATGTTCGGGTCCCGACGTACTTCTGCGTCGATGTCACCAACTGTCCCGACCACTGGATTGAGTGGACTTGACGTCCTTGTCCAGGCAGCGACGGAGGAAAGGGAACGTATAGATGTACACAGACGGCAGAGTGGAGGTGAGGAACGCCAGCCTTCGTTCGATCCCGACACCATAAGGCCTACATCGCTCAGTCCTGTCGAGGTTCGGAGTCCTGTTAATCTTCAGGCCCTACCACCTCCCACTCCTCCCTATACTGCTTATTCTCAAATGAGTCACTACATGGCGGCTGATAAAGCTAACTTAAATTACAAAGAACAGGCCTTTACAGAGGACGATCATCCAGGAAAGCACCGGCGTCCCTCGCCTGTACCATCTCGATCGCCTCACATGGGTGTCTTTGAAACTTCGCATCATCGTTCTTATGTCGGACTACCTTCAACAAGCAGTACCTTCGAACGGCGCAGTCATTCGCCTGAGACGAAACATGAAAAGTATGACACTCAATCTCATGTATTCGACGAGAGCTCGCATCGTCTTTCATCTCATGCGAAGCGGCCTTCAACAAAGCCAGGGTCAATGTACATGCAACCGTCATCAACGCGTTCTACTACGCATCAAGTTCCTTTCAGCGAGACGCAGGCCATGCCTCACTTTCAACAACCACTATCTCCAGTGGAACCCACGGCTGTTCGTCATGTTCGTCGCTCACCTCCTCGTAGTAGACCGAGGCCGAAGAAACCTGGCTCAGCTGCACTTGCACTCATGGAGAAGGAGTTTCGTGAAGTTGCTTTGGCGGACAGGGTCAAACATGAGCCCGATGAACGCCAAATGGGGGGCTTGACTGACGCGTTTAGCCCACCACGACAAACACAGACAAGACCGTCATATATGAGCTCCAAGTCCTTGCAATCGAACGAAAGGGGCGCTGTGGATGATGAAGACGTGGATGACTTCTTCAATTCGACCTTCGACTCTCCTAAGAACTCCGAACGAACAATAAACCCACGAATTAGTCACGCGGATATTTCGCATACAAGACAAACAATGGAAGATGGCGAGTTTGCAGGCGCGATGTGGGGCGACTCGTTCACAGGACAGTCTGTTCCAATACAAACGGGTACCTCTGCGATAAAGTCGAGAAGTTCTAGTCCCGAAGGGTTGAACGAGTTTGCCGACCGGTATTCTCCTGCTCAGCACGTCCCTGAAGTTAGCGACGAAGCAGTAATGTCGGAGGTGGAGGCTGATATTTTGGATGAGCTCGCTGATGCTGCTGGCGCAGCTACGTCAGAAGACGAGAGGACGGAATTCGATGATCAGGCAACAGATAACATGGAAGTGGACGTAGAGAACGAGCTGTTGAGCCTTGTAGATGGCCCACTAGATGTCCCTTCGAAGCCACACCACCACCCTGGACAAACACCCTTGCATGTAGGGAAAACTTCTGAACCAGTGTTGTGTACTGAGTTCAATCAAACGTATATGCCACCATCGGAGGCACCTGAGGCAACGAGTGCTCAAGTAAAGGACTCGAAGAAGGCATCATCGAAGTCTAAGGCGAAGGCAAAGGTGGATGACGCTTCTAGCCATGACAAACTGTCCTTGGTCAAGGTCGAAGAGTCGGTTGCGAAGGTATGCGCTGAACTGTCCTAATGCTACTGTAGTTTCTCATGGCCCCTTCATCACTAGCCAATGAAATCAAAGTCTGGGTCAAAACCACGTCCCACAAAAAGTGCTCCTGTGGATAAATCTAAAGCAGGAAAAATTGCGAAGGAGGCATCGGCTCCTGCCTCTCCTTCTCTTCCGACTCCAGTTACGGCCCTTCCCAGCGCAGGTACACCGACAGATGAAGTGTTCCCTATGGTCACCTCTTCTGGTCGGATGGTTACGAAATCCAAAAAATCCGCTGCTGCCGCAACGCCAACAGTTGCGGCCAACCAACCATCTTCGTCGCATACTCGAAAGAAGCCTGCTCTTGCTGCTAGCACAGGGGACGGCAATGCTTCACGCTCACGCTCCCATTCCGTGATGCCTCGAGCATCTGTGGATCCTGAAGTTCATCGTGAGAAAACCGCCAAGGACGATGACGAGAAACAAAAAGATCCCGCGGCCGAAGAGGTTGACGACGCAGACAAGGACAAACTATATTGCATCTGCAGGACACAATACGACGAAGACAGAGTAATGATTGCTTGTGACAGGTAACCGTCTACTCATATCGTCATTTATCGTTTACTAAAATTTGATACAGATGTGATGAATGGTACCACACTCAATGCGTGGGCATGCCCGATCTCCTCGTCGACCTTGTTGACCAGTTCATTTGTGAAAACTGCATCGCCCGTGAGTATTCGTGTTTAAATGCTATGAGTGAGCCACCTGTGTGGCACAGTTGATGCTCGCCACTCCCAATCGTTTATGCATTCCTACTTAAATGTCCTTGACTAACGACCATGTCCATAGAAAATCCGAATCTGAACCTTCGAACGACGTACAAACAACGTTGTTACGCTGGCTTAAACCATCCGGACCCAGACTCACCAGATGCTTGCCACAAGCCGTCTCGCGGCGCATACTCCAAATACTGCTCTGACGAATGTGGCGTAAGGTTAGTCATGAGGGCATATTTACTACAATATAAAATGCTTATCTTTCTTATAGACACATGCATCACAAGATACAGTTGTGGGCAGGTAATGGCGGAGATGTCCGCAGTCTCTGGGAATCTGTAAAAGATGCAAAGCGTCGCGAAGGTTTTGTTGTCCCTGAACCTGGTCGGATTCTTCCGATAGTCATACTGGCTGGGATACAAAATGGAGACGTAACCCAAACGCAAGCAAACGTTCCCGATCCCGGTCAGGTTGTAGTAGACGAGGAAGGGAGAAACAGTATTGTTACCCGTCTCGAGGATCAACTTCAGACGGTCGTGCAGGAACGAGAGGAGCTCAAAAAGGAGCTCGAAGTAACTTCCTGGAGAGAAAGACTACTGCAACTCGCGTCGGACCGCGCTGAGAACGTTGGTGACTGCGGGTGGGATCAAAGGTTGGTCTACGGTGATGAAGAATGGTTAGAATTTGGTGCTGGTGTTCTGGAGAGTTACGAGGATAATGCACCAAATGGCCATTCCGAAGAAAACCAGGACATGGAAGTTGATGGACAGGGCCAAGAGGGTGAATGGTGGTGCCATGGAAAGAAAAAATGCGAGAGACATATGGGGTACGTATTCTGGAAACATGACCTTCTAATCTTATCATCTGCTGACCTATTCGCAGCTGGCAACGGGTTCGTGCAGCAGACATCGAAAAGGAGAGGTTCACGAAAGAGAGGGCGCTTGCAGATCTGACCACGCGCGAACGCGAGATCAGGAGTCGGATAGAAGACATTCTTCACCCACAGTCACGACCCATCACAGGATCATTCCCTGAGTCAACATTCAAGTTCAGGCTCCCCAACGCAAACTCGGAAGGAGGGCCGAAGCGGACTAAAAAGAAAGTTGCTACCGTAGCATAAAAAGCGTGCCAATGTGTATTTGTACTCTTTATTCGCGTTTTAATGATAGCACAGCGCAGTGAATATCTTGCGCGACATGGATCTACTAGCAATGCATACATGAATAGGACATGTCTGAGTTCAATAAAGGGAAAGCAAACGCACGAACATTCGTGATGCTTAAGATGCATTTGATTAGGGGTAATACCGTAAACGCTAGAGTGAGCCCATCTCAATACCCATCCCCTTCTCCACCCTCTCTGCAGAACCCTTTCTGCTCGTATAGTACTTGTGCTTTGTCGTGATCGTGGCGCTTTTTCTCTGCTGTATCTTTTAAATATAGGGGTTTTAATGCATCGTACGGCGCGTGTTGCAGAGGAATCTCGTCTTCGACGTCTAAATCCTGTTGTTCCAATCCGATAGTACTTTAGCGACAGTAGAGACACGGTCGAGTTGAACGCACAATCTCTCCCAATAAGACCACGTTCTCCCCTCTAATGATGAATATCCCAACTCTTCGTTCTGCGAATTCTGACCCATGGTATATGCGCTCTATAGTATCTTCAAGAACAAGGTTAGCTGCGCGAAATCAAAGCAGCGGCCTGTCAGCTTTCCGTATACCAGCTAACGACTAGATTAGAGACAGACCAAATTGATCATATGAACGCAGCACGCCTATGAGTTTCCGCCCGTCTCGTAACATGACCAGCATCTTCTCTGTTGTGTACATGTTGGGAGTACCAAGGCAGACAAACCACGAATCAAGGTGGACACAAGCAATGACCAAGTTCAGATGAATTTTTGCTGCAGAACAGACACATAGGGACGCGGACGTACTGTCCACACAATCTACGAGGGACCCGGACGTCGTGAATGGTATGAGAGAATCCATTTGGGTTGGTTATTAAGGGAAGGGAAGATAGAACAGAGATTTGGCAAGTTGTCAGGTAAGGACTAAGTTATGGACCACGTCGATCATCGTATTCTTTGTGGGGATCGTCGCGTGAGCCATGACAAGTTGTTGAGCTGAGCATTCTTCTTTCGACTGATTAAATGCTGAACAATGTCATTTCAATGCTTTGTGTGTAAAATGTCCGACGTATGCGCTAATATGGACCTATTATTAATGTTCTCAATTGAACACCAACATTTGTAGCATTGTATGCTAACATATACTGTACAGGATTTGAGTGAAGTCATCAATCCGTTTTGTGCAATATTGGAATGCCTTATTTGTGAGAGCTTCCTTCGCAACTTGTATTTCCTACACTAGCTTGGAAGTCATGTACAACGAGACATTGCGACAAAACCCATACGGGAGCCACGCAGGGCTTTCCGTCTGCAAGGACACACGGACCTGCCGCACCCAAGTCCCATCGATGAACCCCGAAGGGCTACTTCTTCTTCAGCACACTATGACGGTCTCAAGGTCCTCGACCAGCTCCAGTCCTCCGAAGAGGCGAGCCAGCCCTCGTCGAGATGCTTTTAAGCGGCTGAGGAGTTGGCGAAAAGCGACACGTGGATTTATAATAAAAAACGCAAGTTTAGGGCCGGTCCAGAGTGGTTAGATCATGTCGTGTGCATTGCAAGTTTCAACAATCAACTGGTCTCAAACTTCTATCAACCAAGCAGAGTGGATATCATTTACTTCCATATTAATCCCTTTTCATCGGACGCTTATAAGCATCAATGTCGGCGAAGCACCTCAAATCGACTAGTCGTTTAATAATAATATTAAGATCAATACTTCAATATTAAATGATTAGTCATTGCTGTACAGCAGTTCCAGATATAGCAGCGCATAGAGGATGGCAGGAAATGAGCTGATGGCCGACGAGAGCAAGTGATCTGTTCATCGCCCTATAAAACCCTTCCATTACGACGAGCACCGTCGACAACACGGTTGAGCACAGCAAAAGGGGCCATTCGACATGGCAGAGGTAGCCTCCGCGAACTTCTTCAAAGTTCTTGACGGTCAGTCATACAGAGTTTTTGTCCAGTTTATTGCTTGGCCTGACCGTTGACGGTCTACCGTTTTCTTGTTCAGCAGAGGCGTCTGAGGCTCCCGATGTGACGCCCAAGCAGAAGGAGAAACCAAAGGCCGAGGCTCCTGCAACAAGGGGTGGACAGAGAGGCAGATCCGGTCCCGCCTCGAAAGGAGGACGTTATTATCAGAGAGGTGGCGGCGCGGCACAATCTGCGGCTCGTGAGCCAGCCGAAGCGGAGGATCCCCCTCAGGGAAAGCGCTGTGAGAGTCACGTCAACTGTGCAATTGTGATTCATCTGCTCACGATTCATTTCGGATCTACCTTTACATCAAATAGCCGATGACCGTCCTCGCGGTCGCGGCCGAGGTGGACGGGCACGAGGTGGACGGGGCCGTGGCGGTCATGGACGCGACTTCGACAGGCACAGTGCGACTGATAGAGTGTACGGCTTGTGTTACTTTAGCGTTCGTTCATGCTCACAATTACATCTGTAGCGACACCGAAAAGCAGATTGGCCAAGGCTGGGGAGCTAATGATGGTGGCAAGGAGTGGCAGGTAGAGGAGCAAGCCGCTGAAGACGCCGCTGCGACTCCAGCTGATGATCCCTGGGCTACTCCTGCCCCTGCTGCTGCTGCTGCCGCCGACGATGGCTGGGGTGTCCCTGCTGCTGATGCTTCTGGTGATGCTGCGAAAGATGGAGCCCCGGCCGAGACGCGTCGTCCCAGAGAGGAGGAGGAAGACAAGACCTTGACTCTGGATGAGTTCTACGCTCAACAGAAGGAGAAAGAGATCGTTCCCAAATTGGAGGGCGTCAGGAAGGCGAACGATGGAAATGATGATCTCTTTAAGGACGCCGTTCAAGTCACAAAGGATGTCGACGAGGACGCCTATTTCGTCTTGAAGGTAAATGCTATTGGTGTTTTCCACTCACGGTATCTTCTCATCTCTGCATTTTCAAGCCTAAGAACGTAAAGCAGCGAGCGAAGAAGGATGACAAGAAGCAACCCGCCGCAGAGGTTACGGACATCTTCTTCACTGGCCAGTTTTCCGACCGTGCACCTCGCGGTCGTGGGGTCCGCGGAGGTGAACGTGGTTTTCGCGGTGGACGCGGACGCGGAGGCAGAGGAGGACGCGGCCGTGGCGACTCCCGTGGTGCAGACAACCAGGGAGTGAACTTTGGAGAGTCCGATTTCCCTTCACTGGGTGAGGCACAATGATAAACTACGAACAGCCCTCTGAGCAAAAAAGGCACTATGGGTCATGGACATGTATTGTCCGGAATTATTTGTTGTGATTGCCTTGGCTCACGTAAAAAATTGTTTCATCTGATGCGTTTATGTGCATTCATTAGCTTGTATGTATTTTCGAGACACACCCCTGCTGATATCTACTAGTATTCCCTTCTTCTACTTGTCTGTTTGCAATCTGGTCTAATAATCAACCAAGTGTGGTGATAGCGGTTAAACATATTTATGGCAGTGGAATACACAGAAGGACACAGCGTGCTATAAGGAGATGCGGAACATTCTACTTGAATTGAGTAGCCTTGCCGAAGTACTCCCATTGTCCTGGCTGAGGTTTTTCCTCCAACGGTTCCCATCTGAGCAATACAATATTAAAATAAAGGTATCTTATGAGCCAAACAAGCAGAAATTTGTGCAAATGAATGGAACTCACGCTTTCCACTCAATCATCTTGCCGACCAAATTAAGCTCGTCCTGGGCGGCCCCTATAGCTTCCTCTATTTGTCCCTCGTCCAAGGCCTCTTCGGCAGCAGCGACATCTCCTTTTGCATCCTGAACGATTTTAAGTTTTCGCTGAGTGAGCGCTTCGACACTTTGTCGGTAGACGGACGACTGAGGGATTTCGGATACTCGGGCCAGAGTGGACTGGTAGGTTTCTACGAGTGCTGGGAGAGGATTTGGATGCACGTTGACGCCCGTGATTCCCGTCGAGGCTTTGAGTGCATGTTGCAAGAGTGGGCGGGTGAGGCGAAACATGCGGTCTGGTGAGGAGAGGATTGTGAGCGTCGTTAGTTGAGAGCACTGGTGATTATGAATTTCCTTATTCGAGTGCCAGTCTCGTGAGCGCGATTCAACAGTTTCTTTGGCGTAGTGTCACTCAGCTCTTTCCTCCCTTAACATGTCACTCGCTCTCAATCCCTTGCGAGCCTCATTTTTTCCTCTAGCGAACTTAGCATGGCGTCCCACGACGGCATGGGCTGTACTTAGACCTGCTGCACTTCTTTCACCATTTCACCTCGCGATTCCCTCATGGAACTCACTCCTCGAGCTTTTCCCTCCTATTTTATGGGCAGTTCCTAAGAAGAAGGTCTCGCATTCTCGGAAAGCCATGCGCTCAGCGCACAAGGGTTTAAAGGACAAGTCGAGTAAGTAACGCAGTGTCCGACTTTTTCGCGTCTAATAACTCTTTGTTATTGTTTTCCTTCTAGATATTGTCAGCTGTCCGGGTTGCGGGTCGGCGAAATTAGCACACAACATATGTCCAAAGTGCTACTCGCAAATAAACCGAGATTTTAAACGGAAAGCGCGAGAAGCGGAAGATGTCGAGTATAAAAGCTGAAGGCAAACAGCTGATTGGCATTTCGTGTCAGTCGTTCTGATATTTTCTTTCTTTACTTTACCTGACGATTTACATAGCAGGAGCTGAGGCAGAGTCACTCTTAGCAACACCTGCAGAATATCCTCTCATGTTATTTGGATATCCTCCTTTGCACTAATGTAACTGTCGAAGAATAATACAGAGCGGGCCGTTCGGCTAACGAAATTGTCAGAAGTCAAGCAACGAAATATCCTGCCTTAACTGACGGAAATTTAATAACGATTTGAGTATTTGTCCACAGACCGACGGTCCGGTGAGATAATCCGACCTTTTAGGATACTCTCCACGAGTATAAATCTCTTGTTCATGACGAGGTGGTCGACCGTCCACCCTCTAGCTTTCTGAATATGCTCTGGCACTTCATTGTGCTCTCTACCTCCATTCTTTCGGCATACGCGGCGTCTCGCACGTCTCCACCTTCAGGTGCTATAGTTGTTAATCCAAGCACGAGCACCTCAGGCCAGTTCAAGACTGTCTCGTCTGCAATAGCTTCTCTTCCAAACGATGCCACGTCACAGACAATATTTATTTTCCCGGGGACGTACAAGGAGCAAGTGCTCATTAACCGCCCCGGGCCCGTAACTGTAAGCTTGGGCAGGTCCTTCGAATAGTGGGAGATTCTACTAAATCTACATCATGGCCTAGTTGCTTGGCTATACGACAAACACTATGGATTTCTCTCAAAATCAGGCTGTCATCACTAATTCTCTATCTGAGGCGCAGACTGGCAGCGACGATGAATCTGGAACATTGAGAATAAAGAGTAACAACGTCGCGTTGTATAACATTGACGTCAGGAACGACTTTGGTGTTGGGAGTCAGGCTATTGCCGTCAGCGCATATGGAAGTCAGTTCGGTGCATATGCTTGTAGGTTCTTCTCATATCAGGTGAGCAAGTTCGCTATGTGACGAAGCAACGCGCGAAATTAAGATCGTTTCAGGACACACTTCTTGCTCAAAATGGAATGCAGGTCTATCTGATGTCATACATCGAGGTCCGTTCAGCTTGCCACGTTAATGTCAGTCTCATTGATTGCATGGTCATCTCAGGGCGCCGTCGACTACATATTCGGCCAGCACGCACGGGCCTGGTTTGAGAGTAACACGCTAGCAAGCAAAGGTGCTGGATGTATCACAGCCAACGGAAGATCCGACGACTCCGACCAATCTATCTGTACGCAGTTTTGAAATCACCTTTAAACCAACGAAAGCCAAACTAGCTATAGACGTGTTTAATAAGAACAATGTCGTCGCAGCATCGGATGCATTCTCGAATGTAACTGGTAAAACATTCCTCGGCCGCCCGTGGCGCGGTAAGTTATTTGATCATGCTCATCGCGCGTTGCTCATTCTAATTCTCTTTCAGACTATGCCAGGTAACAATTTATTGCCCTCCCTGTTTTTCTCAGATAAGACTTAATGTTCTGTATCAGAGTTGTTTTCCTTAACTCGAATATCAATTTGGAGGTAAGGACTCTGGTTCTTTTACGATTCAATAGCATGTTAATCATCTACATAGCTCGACAAGGGCGTTTGGAGTGAATGGAGCTCCTCGATGCCGAATACGGACCACATTCTGTTCGCTGAATATAACAGTCAAGGTAGTGGCGTGGCGAATGCGGCTCGCCCATCGTTTGTGACAATACTTAGCAGCAGCGAGGCATCACAGTATACCATCTCGTCGACACTCGGTAGTAACTATACGAGTTGGGTAGACCAGACCTACCTCTCTTGATGTGGGATTGCATTGTTACACGTAGTATATCCTGCTGTATGCTATACTTTGACGTTGATTCCCTAGCATTCATATTAAAGTTATGAAACCGTATTGGTCAAGTGTCGGAAACGGCAAACACTACCAAAAGAAGTAATAAGCAGCTCACGGAAGTTAGGCCAGGTGACCCGACTTGAACTGTTGCATTACTATGCTCCCTCCGGACAATATTTCTGCCTTTTACACGCTCGAGCAACTGAGTCCGCTGCGACTGTGGCTTAAGGGACGACAGCGCCAGTCAGACTGCGATGCTACCGAGAGTTTCATTAAGTAGAGTTGTGTCACTGGCGCGTTCTGCGTCTTCTCAGGCACGCGGGCGACAGAGCATCTTGCAGAAGAAACCGGATGACGTTGTCATCACCTTCGCACAGCGCACTGCCGTGGGGAAAGTTAGGAAGGGACAGCTCAAGGACAGCCCGGTTGACGAGATTCTACTTGCGTTGTTTAAGGTATGCAGAAGCTCTAAGTTACTTCAAGTAATGCTTCGATGCTAAGAACTGCGGTATAGGCGACGTTAGCGAAGACCAAGTTGGATCCGGTACAAATTGATGATATCTGCGTCGGTGAGCAGTCCCAGTGCTTGATCTATATGAAGTGCTTCTGACTGTCAAGCTACAGGAACATGTCATCCACCATCTCCGCTCTATGTATCCAGAGCAGCCGCAATGGCAGCGGGCATTCCTGCCGAAGTCCCTATTTCCACCGTAAACCGACTTTGCTCCTCTGGACTTATGTCCGTTAGGAATATTGCACATCATATCCAGGCCGGAGAAGCTTCTCTCGGTATCGCTGTTGGTGTTGAAAGCATGTCATTGAAGTCAGTACAAATATAAGTAGTTCTATTGTCTTTAGTCTGTACTGAATTTACCATAGTCCCAGGCCAACACCAGAAATTTGCGATGATGTTTCTAAGAATAATCAATCCTTTTAAGGGTTCTACACTCTTCTGTACTAGAACTCAGGACTTCCATCCCTCAGGAGTACTGTCTATAAACTATATACATGCTGACTCTTACTACTACCCTTCCTTACTTTATCATTCCATTCCTTTGACCACCCCTTCATTCTTTGTATCATTCTATAGTCTCTTACCCTTTATCCATCCCTTCATTCTTTGTACCTTTATCTTTGACATTCCTTTCTTTCATTCTTCATGGCTCATCATTCTTAGTGGCTCATACTCTCTGAGTACTCTTGTGTAGTTTAGTATATATAAGTGTACAAGATCAGACTAGTCCTGTAGTCTTGATCTTGTCTACTCCAGGTAGTCCTGTACTCTTAGGCTCACTCTATATACTCTACTCTTGTCTCACTCTCTCTCTCTCTGCCTGGTCTGCAAGTTCTGACTATGTTCTAGTGCTCACATTCTGTATTTCTGTTGTGTAAGATAGTTGTAGCCTGGGTCCCCTTGCTGAGCCTTCGGGTCCCCTCTACACTGTTGCTGACAGTGAATGGGATATCAATGTGTAATAATCTTACTTCTCTCTTGAAACTTTGAAGTGATCTGCCACCATTTCTGACGTCCAACCTATTGGCTGTAGAAATAATTAATTTGGCACTAGAAATTGTGAACACGGTATTTACCTGGACACAGTCGAACTGAAGGTACAAGAGTAGAGAACTGTAACATCACCCTCCCTCTAAAACCAATTGTCCTGATTAGTGAGTATTAGGCTTGGTCAGCAGCTCAGGCATAGGTTGGAACAGTAGGGTTTGGAAATCTGTGAGGCAGAGTTAATGTAGAGTACTCAGATGAAGTTGATAAAAGTCTCAGATTGTCTTAGTAGTATGAGTGAGATTCTTAACAGGTTTCCAAGTGTGTTCTTTAACTAGGTATCCCTTCTAGTGAATAAGGAACTTGAGCTTTCTACACACTAGCTTAGTATCTACTATATATTCTATTTTGTATTCTGGTTCAGAACTAATAAGTTCTAGTAGAGGTAGTAGGGGTCTTTGTTGTAAAGGAAAACTTAGATTATAGTATTGAGACAGTAGAACCTTGTTAAACACTGGGTGTATGTACTTTTATGTTGTCAGAAGTTAGAGTTTGTAGGTAGAGGTGCTAACCTTCTTTTCAATAACAAAGGGTTTAAAGCACTTGTTGTCTAACTTCTTTATTAAGCAATTTATAGTTAGGTTAGTAGCTTCTAGCATAACTTTGTCACTAGGCTAGTAATCCTTAGCTGTAGACCTCTTCCAATCATAGTTCTACTTTATAACCTGTACTACCTTTTCTAAAAGAGCTTATGTGTCCTTCCTGATTCTGTACATCTGTTCCACAAAGTCTGTTACAGATTCAGAACTACTGTTCTGGTTTGAAACTGTCCCCTAGTACAGATGTCTCTCATAATTGAGGAAGAACAGGGACTGTCCTGTTGTAGAGTGTTACTAGTTATTGTGTACAAATTCTGTCAGAGCTAACTATTCAGACTAATCCAATTACTAATGATTAATGAACATCTAGAGGTAGAGCTTGATCTCCTGATTGACTCACTCAGTTTGACTGTTAGTCTATAAGTAATAAGTAGTAGAAGGGTTCCCTTGAATTCTAAGAAGCACATACAAGTCCTGTATGAATTTCAACTTGAATTACAGTCTGTAATCATGAATGAGCTTCTAAGGGAGTCTGTACAACTAGAAGACATGATCCTAATAAATGTGTGTTATACCTTCAGAAGTAAGTTCTGTTTAGGTTAGAACCACATGGACTTGCTTAAAGAATCAGTCAACAATCATACAGATAGTGTTATATCCTTAAGACTCAGGTAGCTTACTAATTAGGTCTACTGAGACTTCTTCCTAAGAGTAATCTAGGATCCAATACAGATGTAAGGGAGTCTAAACCCTTGTCTAGTAAGCCTTAGTCTGTTAGCACATATTACAACCAGTCACATACTTTAGGATTTCCCTCTACATTCTAGGCCACTAGTAGTTCTGAGTAATAAGTTCCTGTGTTTTGTGTTAGCTCAAATGTTCTATGGTTGGATTGTTGTGATAAGCTCAGACAATGTTCTCCTACAGTTTCTAATCCTTCAGAATGTACAGTTGGCCTTCCTAGTAAACCTATCCATCCTTATCCTCCTCCCAATCCTTAGCCTGTTTCTCTAATTGTTTTACTACAACCTAGTTCTGTGTGTGTCTCAGAGCTCACTGTATGTAGGTGACAAAGTCAACATTCTTAGATTTGAGTTGGATCTCTTAGATTGTCTCAGACACAAAACAGGAATTGTCTAGGAGAACAAGATTTTTGTTATTATTCTCCCCCCTTTTATAACCTACTTGTCTTGAGAGTAAATCAGCTTTTGTCATTTGTGTTCTAGGTTTGTAGGTTAGTACAAAGTCAAAGTCCTACAGTTCTAACATCTAGTAGGCTTGACAGTAGTTAAGCTTCTAAGACACTTGGAAGTACTAGAGATTAAGGTAATCACTCTAAATCTTAAACTTCTGTATAGTACTAAGAAGATATTGACACTACTCCTCTAAGGAACAAACAATTGTAAGGAGTTCCTTGTTATAGATAGGGTAGTTCTGTTCTGTTACAGAGAGGGATTCTGATTAGAACACTATCAGACACTACTTTCTGTCAATGAACTAGAACAGTACTACTCTATTTACAAAGTTGGAAGAGTTAGCTTCAACTCAGAACTTGTCTACAACTGTCAGAACTACTAATACAGGCTTACTAGTAATAACTTACTTGAGAGACTCAAACACAGACTACTACTAATCATCCTATTACTAAGGAACATCCTTACTAGTAAGATTGTGAAAGGGCTAGACAATAGTACTAAAGCCTTAAATGAAGTATTAGTAGTAGTTTACAAACTCAAGAAACACTTGGACCTGTTTCAGGTTCTGAGGTTGTAACTAGTTCCAAACTACAGTCACCTTTGCTAGATCCATACAGACCTCTCCTCTACTAATTACAAAGCCTAGATAATCTACTGACTCTTGTGTAAAAGAGTACTTTACTTCTTAGAGGAATAGTTTATTATCTTAGAGCCATTATAGAACTACTTAGATTAGTCAGTAATAGTACTCAACTGTTTAGGTGAAGATCAGAATGTTGTCCAGATACACACTAATGTACTCTGAGTTAATCAGATCTGTAAGAATGTGATTCATAAATGACTAGAATGTTGTAAGCAAGTTAGTTAGTCTAAAGAACATTACAGTCAGTTTGTACAATCTACAATTAGTTTAGAACACAGTCTTCTACTCATCTCTGTCTCAGATCCAAATATTATTATACTCTCATTAAATGTCTAACTTAGTAAAAACCCTAGATGTATGTGTCTTATTAATGAGCTCCTGAATCAGAGAGAGTGAGTACTTGTTTTTAACAGTACCTTTATTAAAACAATAATAATTCTAGACTAGGTAGAGCTTCCTATCTTTCTTTTTAACAAAGAAGAAAGGGGAGACTATAAGAGACTTTAAGGGTTGGATCTAACTGTTCCAAAGATTTTCCTAAAGGAACTTGTCAAGCACCTCCTACTTGTCTCTGTTGAGTAGGTAGACCTTACAATCCTTAGGTTGGAAACCCTCAGTCAATTCAATTGTATAGTCCTAGAGACAGTGTTTAGGAAGCTAGTTGAATTCCTCCTCACTAAAGACTTTGGGAAACTCTCAGACAAAATCTAGTAGGCTGAGTCTGTGTATATTCTAGAATAGAGTTGTTCTGAGAGGGTTCTAGACTGGTTCTGTCTCAGACATTCTTCAGATCAACTCTATTCTGTCTCAACTAGAATATGTATCCACATATTTATCCTAGTCAAAGAAGAACAACTGGTCACCTTTATCAGAACTGTTAGTAACATTAGAAGTATCTGTATCTACTCAGAACAGTAGTGTAAGGTAGCTGTAAGACTTGAGACACTGATTGAACACAAGTGTCTGTTCTAACTAGTCAATAGTAGGGTTGTAAGCCTTAAGCTATTTGAATCTAATAAAGACATCTGTCTTTCTAAGGTTAGTGACTCTGAACTCAATACTTTCCTTATGATCCTAAATAGTCATCCATAGTTGGACAAACTTAGTGATCTAACCATTCTGGTTTAGAGTTCTGTCTACATTGTATACTAGGATTGGAAGTAGAATGTGTTAAGTAGGGAGGTAGTGTTTCTACACAAAAGCCTTATTAATGTATGAACTAGTGTATCTACTGTTTACTAGAGCTGTTGTTCAGATCTGGGAGGATTCTAAGAAGGAAGCTAAGAGGATGAGGACTTAGAGCTAGTGTCTAGAACATCCTCAAATGAACTACTACTTGTTCTGAAGGGAACATACAGTTTGTATAACCTTATTGTCTGAGAGGGTGAGTATATACACTAACATTTCCTTATTAACCTCTCTCTTTCAACAAGGACAGACTTATGTCCTTAGCTATGAACTCAGCTGAGGCTATCCCTACTTAATACTATAGACAAACTACTAAGTAGTAAACAGGGCTAGGTAATGTTCTAAACATTCTAAGATCTTAGAACACAGAAGTAGTAGGTTAGATTGTATAGATTTAGACTCAGATAAAGTGTAAAGAGAAGAATCAAAAGAATCAGAAGAAATAGGAGAACTATCTACTTTTGTTTTCAACTTTTTTCTATCTAATAAATAATTTTGTTGATTTATTTTTTCTACTTTTTCTACTTTTTCTACTTTTCTTACTTTATTTACTTCTAATCCTATAGTGTCCATTGAATCAAAAGTAACCATTAAAAAATCCAAGTCATAGCCCTTCAGTACTATATTTACTATTGAGTCTCTATAAAATCCTAGAGTATGTAGTCAGAGTCTAAGAGTTCTGAGGTGACTTCCAGATTTGTAGAAAAGACTTCTTACTACAAATCCTACTTGTCACTTATTATTACTCTAATAACCTAATAAATGTACTGTTACTTCTGTAGACAGTCCTTAATTTAGTACTCTGACTTTCTGTAGACAAAGTATACTCCTTACTTTTAGGCTTCTCTAATGTCTATTAGAACAGATTGATTGTGAATTATAGGCAGATTGATCTGAGAGCTTGGAACTGTTAGAGCTGTTTGTATGTACAAGCATTCTGTACAGACTTAACACATCCAAGCTGTAGCTTAGTCAAAGGAGATAGTGTGTGTCTTCTACTCAGTGTAGGTGACTAGTTCTAGTGTCATTCTGAGAATCTTATTAACCAGTTCCAGGTGAAGAGCTTTTTCAAGTATTCTAATAAGAACATTATTAAACCTGAGTATGAATCCTACCTTCTAGGCCAGAATATCAAACTCCTGAAAGAAGGTATTAGCAGAATGTTTACTCTGTCACAGAGACACAAGCTTGTTCTACACATTATACTTCTCATTCAGATTAATGAAGGAAGCACAGAGCTACCCTATAAATTCTGAGTACAACTTATTGTTCTGAAGTCAGATCAGACTTCCAATCTAATAACCTTTGATCCAGTTCTAGGCCTAGGTGGCTGTGTTGCCTTCCTTCATGAAGGAGAGAATGAATAGGACACAATCAAGATCTGAGGATAGATCAGTCAAAGTAGTAGCCACATATAGTTTGACTTAGTACTAGAAGTCCTTAAAGTGTTACTTATTAAAGTCTAAAGGGTAGGCTACATACACTTTCTTTCTAGAACAGGTTGTAACTTCTAGAACAATTGAAACAGGTTCTAAAGGGGTTAAGAGTATGTAGTTAGTAAAGACCTCTTAGATAGAGGTCTACACATATTAAGCTAGCTCTGCTTGTAACTACTAATCTGGTAGGACAGTAGGGGTGGTAGTCAGTATAGTAGGGTTTATGTTTACACTACAAAGGAATCAATACTAAACTAAAAGGGGTAATAAATAGAAGAAGGGTAGTAAAAGTTTAAAAGGGTTTAGAAAGTTTAAAATTTAAAAATGTAAAAGGGTTAGGACAAAGGAAAGAGATTGACACAACAGTAAGTACTAATGCTCAAAACATAGGAGAGTTGTAGGGTAGTAATGGGTAGTCTTGATCTGATGTCAGTAACAGTGTAGAGGGGACCTAGAGGCTCAGTAAGGGGACTCAGGCTACAACTATCCTACACAACAAAAATACAGAATGTGAGCACTGGAACATAGTTGGAACTTGTAGACTGGGTAGAGAGAGAGAGAGTGAGACAAGAGTAGAGTATATAGAGTGAGCCTAAGAGTACAGGACTACTTAGAGTAGACAAGATCAAGACTATAGAACCAGTCTGATCTTGTACACCTATATATACTAAACTACACAAGAGCACTCAGGGAGCATAAGCTACTAAGAATGATGAGCCACAAAGAATGAAAGAAAGGAATGTTAAAGATAAAGGTACAAAGAATGAAGGGATGGATAAAGGGTAAGAGACTATAGAATGATACAAAGAATGAAGGGGTAGTCAAAGGAATGGAATGATGAAGTAAGGAAGGGTAGTAGCAAGAGTCAGCACACATATAGTTCATAGACAGCACCCCTGAGGGATGGAAGTCCTGAGTTCCAGTACAGAAGGGTGTGGAACCCTTAGAACTGAAGGTACGAGAGTGGAGAACTGTAACATTCACAAGCAGAGAAGGTGAAAAAAATGTTAAAATATTTAGAACAGTGTTCCTAATGGTATACCTTATAGGCTCAAAAAGCAGGTATATTTAAGGACAAAATCATCCCAATTGAAATCGGTGGAAAGCAGATCCACGAAGATGATACTATTCGACCTGGAGTTACCGCAGAGTCACTAGCAGGTCTTAAGCCTGTCTTTCCCGACTGGGGCAGCGGAGTGACTACTGCAGGTAGGACCATTCAAGTGATAACCCGTTAATTTGCTGATCAGTTAACACCGTTGCAGGTAACGCGAGTGGTATTGGTGACGGAGCAGCCCTCTGTATTTTGACTACACGCGAGCGAGCAGAGAAAGAAGGTATGGAAATTCTTGGGAAGTGGGTGGCATCGTCAGTAGTTGGTAAGCAGAAGAAGTCAATTATTGTTCAAATACCTCTTATTCTAACGTACTGAGCCGTGAAGGTGTCGAACCAAGATATATGGGAATTGCGCCAATACCTGCTATTGAAAAGCTACTGAAACAGACGGATCTTAAAAAGGAGGATGTTGACACTTGGGAGGTACACACATTCGCTCGTGTGCCTGTTGATAGACATTGCTGACTACTTGTTTAGATTAATGAAGCCTTTGCCTCACAATTCGCGTACTGCGTGGAGCAACTTGGCATTCCTATTGAAAAGATAAATGTAAAGTAAGTATAATTGTTGTCGCAAACACTTAGCATTGAGTCGTACTAATGCCTTTTTCATTAATCCAGTGGAGGAGCTATCGCTTTGACTCACCCCTTAGGAATGAGTTCGTAAACCCTCATCTTTCTCGTATTCATTATGCTGATGAATGTTCCATCGTAGCCGGTGCAAGGCAGATTGTCACTGGACTCGCTCAATTGCGCCGTCAAAATGGACAGATTCTCTGCACGAGTATGTGCATCGGCAGCGGCATGGGTGCTGCTGCGATTTTTGTCAACGAGGCTCGATGATTAGGGTTAAGCAAATAAATATTCTAACAACTACTTTCTTGGAAGACATTGGACGTATGCTAATGGATAAACACTTTTCTTATGCACCACTTGTGCTTGATGTGTCTACTCAGTCTGACCGCAAATCATGTCGTTCCCCACCGGATAAAGCTCGTTGCAACGAACGGACCGCCATATCTGGGAATGAAGGACTCCGAAATGTCCACGACTGATCTATTTCAACTCGAAGATCGCGACTCGCTGCTGCGTTTCCTTCAGTTCCGATCCCACCGGGCCGGCAGGATTTTCTTTGACGTGTCTCTTTGGGTCACGTTGGCACTAGATGCAAGCACTGGTCTTCTCCCACTCCGATTCTGCATTTGACTGCGCATATAAGCATTGTGGACAATGATGACATGGCTGCGAAAAGAATCTCGCTGTACTCATGCTAGTGTTACTCATCTTCATCTCAAGCCTGGTCTTGTCGGCATACTCTGCCTCGCGGACGTCGCCGCCGTCGGGGGCCATTGTCGTTAATCCAAGTACAACGACATCAGGACAGTTCAAGACTCTGGGTTCTGCTGTAGCTTCTCTGCCAGATGATTCGTCTGCACAGACTATCTTTATGTTCCCTGGAACTTATGAAGAACAGGTGCTCATTCAAAGATCTGGACCAGTTACCGTCAGTTGTCTGTCCAAAAACCTGTGGCTAGTTAAAATGACTCAGAAGCCTTTATGGACAGATCTTTGGCTACACGACGGATACTATGGACTTCACAGCTAATCAAGTTGTCATTACCCATTCTTCGTCATTGGCCGATGCAGGAAGCGACGATGCTACTGGGACACTGCGGATCAAGACTGACCATGCTGCACTGTATAATATTGACGTCCGGAATGACTTCGGTGTTGCGCAGACCAATGGGCAGGCTATAGCACTTAGCCAATACGGAAGCAAATTTGGCGCATATGCCTGCCGATTCTTCTCATATCAGGTGAATTAGCGATTTAGCTTTACCGTCAGTTGGATGAATCACGCTGAACAGTGTTACAGGATACATTATATGCTAATGTAGGAACCCAAGTGTACCTCAAGTCTTACATTGAAGTAAGTTAGAACTATGAAGTTATCAAGTTAATGTGGCCCGACACTTCATTTCAAGGGCGCAGTTGACTTCATCTTTGGACGTCAAGGCCAAGCATACTTTGAGGGCAATACCATAGCTAGCAAGGGAGCTGGCTGCGTCACTGCGTCCGGCCGGGAATCTGATGATGCAGGAAGCTGTATGTTGTTTTCAGCCGTCTAGTATATCCTGCCTTGTTGAGGAACTTGGCTAGATGTATTCGACAAGAACACTGTTATTGCAGCATCCGACGCGTTCTCTAATGTAACTGGAAATGTATTCCTTGGCCGTCCATGGGGAGGTAAGCTACTCTCTCAAGACTTGATCGTTGTGTTGTCGAATAATCTTTTGCTCATTTTTAAAAGACTTTGCCAAGTAAGCGATATATTTATACCAGGGTCGGAGTAATATATGAACCTCTATCGAAGGGTCATTTTCAAGAACACTGTGGTCGACTCTCCGGTAAGCTTGACTGGTATAATATTCAGGTGTTCTTCTTACAAGTTCATACATATCACTTAGCTCAATAAAGCTGTTTGGTCGCAATGGAATGTGGGCGACCCAAGGACAGACAATATACTGTTTGCCGAGTACAACAGTACAGGGTCAGGCGTTGCAGATGCGAGTAGACCTTCATTCGCTACTATTCTCACTAGCAGTGAAGCAGACCAATACACAATCGCATCAGCCGTTGGAAGTGACTTTGCAGACTGGGTGGATGCTGATTATCTTGCATAGCATTGACTATGTACTTAGTCTATCGTAGCATCATTTATGGTTGTTAACACTTATCGATGTGCTGTTTCATATTGCTACAAGCAGTGAATTTATTTCAGATACTGTACATGTGTTCCTCCATGGAATGTGTATGCTAAAGTTAACGAAGGGATTTCTCTTTATTTCTTCACTTTACCCTTTCTGCTTTGAGAGCCCTATCGACAATCTCGGTCATGGCAATGACTGCCTCTTCCTCAAGTGTGCGTCCTACAAGCTGCAAGGCAGTCGGTGCGTTCTTCCATTCTTCATGTTCATCTGCACAAATCCAGAAAATCAACCACGTTAAAGCATGACGCAGAGAATCGCGAAAATCTTACATATATTATGTACGAACTCATCAACCTTACTCAAAAACGTATCTCGTGGCTGCTTCAAGTCCACAGAGAGATCGACCTTGGAAACAGGGAAGGTACAAGCTGGGTAATCAAGACCGTTCCATATTCCAGTGTAGCCGAAGTCTCTGCCAGTTCAAAAAAGTGTCCCGTAAGACGTGTGCGGCTTTCAAGAATAAAGGATATCCATACACATTCTTTCCATGTGGAGCTGCTGCAAGCGGCGCGACGGGGCAGATAATTGCATCGACAGGACGTCCCGTCCCAGAAAGCTCTCGCGTGGATTCCCAAAGGTCTAGATGCTGCTTGCGCAACACCGCACGCTCCTTCTGGTATTGCCATAGCTGAAATGCTGACAAGGGCTTAATTTCCGGAAACCAGTCGTTGTGTATTGTAACGCCGTCGAGTGCCATCGTTGTAAGGATAGGCTCGCCTGTTTTTTCAACTACGGCAGCATAGTCTTCTGCCGAGCCTGCTCCCCAAATGTATTCCTGTGTGAATCATGCACGTAAGCGCTGGGACCGGACAAGCAGGATAATAAACTCATGTGTTTGCGCACCAAAAGTAGTGTTAGCCTGGCATAGTCAAATAGGTGCGCGGGCCAGTCAATTACTAGAAGGAGCGGTGAATGAAGCATTGAGCATCATAAATAAAAGAGAAGCTTCAGACGACGTGTGATTATCGTGCGCACCTTTTATGCCTTGCGTTTCTAATGCTTTCTTCGTTATTTCCAAGGAACGATGGATAGGCGGAGTTGGGAGTGTGCTTCCGTTACTCCAGAGAATTGCAAAGCACAGATCCTTCCCATCTCCGTGTTCCTTGAGCTGATACGCATCCTCATCCCAAGCCTTCCGTATCGCGAGTGGGTCCTTCGCCCAGGGTTTTAAATCGACGACAGCTTTCGTGAACGCTTTTACGCCTGAAAGCGAAGTCGAAAGTGGGCCGAGCACGGAGGGAACGGAATCTTGCCCTTCAATCGAGTTCGCCGAACCCTCGTAAGGAATCCGGTTATATGAAGGTCGTAAGCCATAGACACCACAGAATGCACTGGGAATCCGGATAGAACTAGCAGGGTCATGTAAATATTATCTTAATATCAAGCTTCTGGCACTGAAGATGCTGACTCACCCGCCAATGTCGGAACCGACACCAAGTGGACTACCCTTCATTGCAATGAGGGCACCCTCACCGCCTGAGGACCCACCACAGGTCAGATTGCGGTTGAGCGGATTGACGGTTCGCCCAAAGATACTATTATGGGTTTCGCCATACTAAGTTGATTCATTTGTTAGGTAGGTGCGCAGAGGTAAATGTAGAGCAGACAGTAATGACGCTTACCATTAGTGTTTGTGGGATATTCGTACGGACAAAAGGGACTGCGCCTGCCTCGTACAGAATAGTAGTCAATGTAGCGTCACGTTCAGCATAGTCACCTATCCAGGAGACATAACCTACAAGTACGACAAATTAGCCGCTTCATCATCTGAAAGAATAGCATTTTATGGCCGTACCCATTGTGGTTTCGAGTCCTTTGATGCGAACTTGGTCCTTGAGCGAGACTGGTAGACCATGAAGATGGCCTATGGGTTTTCCATTCTCCTTGAGGTATCGATCGCATTCAGCTGCGCGAGCCAGAGCACGCTCAACGAAAATTTCCGTTAAACAGTTAGTCTAGCAGAACGGGGTTATTGATTGCAAATGATGACGGTCGGACAGTAACAAGATTTACGACTTGTTGGGCAATGATAGCCCGCTTGTAGAATGCACGCGTTACATCAACGGAGGTCCATTCACCAGATGCGAGTTTGGTTAGCAGAACGGCGACATCTTCGGTCTCTGTTATAGCAAGCTCTTGTGGAGTCAGTATACCACATGTGCGCGGGACATCGGTTACATCAAGCTGTGAGTTAGGAGGAGGGGTTATGAGCCACTCGCGCGGTATTGCAGCTTTCTGGCGCTGCTGCTTATCAGCGACAAGTTCCTGCCAGGATGGCATGACTAAACACGGTCTATGGGGAAATCGATAGGTGAGAATGTAAGTGTGCTTTGGACGCGCAGCTTATGTACCAGCCGTGAGGCTATCATCAAGTTCAGAAGGATCATTCAGATAACGACCCTTACAATCACATGGGAAAGTATGATACTATTCAATAACTTCAATTACAAAGCACTAAAATACAATAAAAGGTCTTATTCGCCGCCGCCGTCCGTTTCTCCTTTACCTAGACCTTTCTGCAGCTCTATATGACGTGAGTTGTAAAGCCTAAATGAGAAGGGTCAGTAAGATAAGGCGAGGAGATAATTTAATAGAGAAGGCAGAGAAGGGTTGAATCATCAGAAAGTCATTCATGTCAATGAAGCAAAGGCGACAACAGTTCACCATGCCTCAGTTCGACTAAGAGGTGCCAGTTGCGGCCGTAATACAACAGCACTCTTCATTGATTGCAAAACAGTGGACGGGATTGAAAAAAAAGCTACTCACGAAGGTGAAAGAAGGATGTGAACAGAAAAGACTGCAAGAAAAATTGAATTTAAACCATATTTCGAGGTCACATGACCGAGTAAAGCAACTTCTCGACCTTGGTTACAACGATTCTCCCTCGACTGTCGACGGCCCCTTACTCCTAGAAAGTGAGTTAATTCATGCCATTTTATCTGTCATGGACGGTCCAAGGCATACTTTCTGCAATCTGCTAGCTTCTGGATTGTTGGATTGAGGTGTTGGAATGATGGATGACCTGGCTTCACTTCGGATGGATTGCTGACTCTCATCTCCACTTGTTATATAGAAATGGCCTCTCAAATCAGCAAGAAGCGCAAGTTTGTCGCAGACGGTGTGTTCCGTGCCGAACTCAACGAATTCTTCACCCGTGAACTCGCAGAAGAGGGCTACTCTGGCTGTGATGTCCGAGTAACTCATGCTCGCACGGAGGTAATGCGAATTGATTACCTAGTGCATACAATTACTCATCTAACTCTTGATGAATAGATTATCATCCGTGCAACACACACTCAGGAAGTCCTTGGTGAAAAGGGCCGTCGTATCCGTGAACTCACTGCTCTGGTCCAGAAACGATTCAAGTTTCCCGAAAACTCGCTTGAACTATACGCTGAGAAGGTTCAGTACCGTGGACTCTCCGCCGTAGCCCAATGCGAATCTCTCCGCTACAAGCTTCTCGGTGGTCTTGCTGTTCGTCGTGCATGTTACGGTGTCCTTCGTTTCGTCATGGAGTCTGGTGCGAAGGGATGCGAAGTTGTGGTGTCTGGCAAGCTCCGTGCTGCCCGTGCTAAATCGATGAAGTTCACCGATGGATTTATGGTTCACTCCGGTCAGCCTGCGCGTGACTTCGTGGACTATGCATACCGTCATGTACTACTTAAGCAGGGTGTGCTCGGTATTAAAGTTAAAATGTGCGGTTTCGACCTGAATTTTGTGTTGCACCTGTTCTAATCTATCATGATACCAACAGTATGAAGGGATGGGATCCGGAAGGCCAGATCGGCCCGAAGAAACCTTTGCCTGACTCGGTTCAGATCTTGGACCCGCCGATTGACAAGATAGTTGCCGAGCCAACTTCCGATCATCGCGAGCAAGCTGCAGTCGTAACAGCGCCTCAAGCTGAGGAACCTGCATATCAGCAGGGTGAGGGAGGGTTCGACCAATCTGCAGACCAATTCCAGGGTGGTCAAGCGCCTTTCTGATTTATTTTAACACTGTTACTTTCGTGTCTGCTGTTACGGTTGCATTATTGTGTTGGTAGCCAAGCAAAAATCATATTCGACGATATCAAGTGATGGAGTGTATTGACTTCGGTTATTGATCTGCCAATAGAGCTTTAGTCGTCGGACAACGTTGTTACTGTCATGCTAAACATCAAACAAGTGAAATTGCAGATATATAGGTGTATTCGACACAGAAAAAAATGCCAGTAAATGCTCGAGAGATTATGTACTGTATTTATGCTATATGTAAGAGTCCGAAGGTCTGTTCAGATCCATGATGTGTTTGGGTCAGCCGTATGTCGTGACTGCGCTCGTGAAGAAGAAAGGGAGAGCACGGTTCTTATCTACTTGCCCGCGGTGACGTGCAGCTTCGCAAGCGAACAAACCAGAGGGACGGCAAGGAATGCGTAGGCTACCCACACCACTATAACCCAAATCAATAAAATGTAGAACCTAGTGATTGAGGCTACTCACTGGTGAATCCATTGCCAGCAGATGCAATGACCGCTGGACCATCCTTTCCAAGGCTCTGAATACCTGAGTTGAAGTCGGTGATGGCCTTCTCGAACCACATACGGACGACCAGGAATGAGGTCAGACCTAAATCTCATAGTCAACATACGAAGTGGGGTGTTTAAAGCTTGAGTACCCACCGATCATGAAGCCGAGTAAACCTAACCAAGCTACTGCACGGTTGAGGAAAGGCTTGTCCAACGCAGGACCGAGCTTGGGGCCGAGCTTGCTTCTCAAAGAGATGAGGGTGAAGAGAAGGACAAAAATAGTGGAGAATCCTAGTGAGACTGCGATAAAGCCGGGCGCGGAGGACGGCGGAGACGTTAAGAGTCCTGGTACATTGGGAGGTAGATCCGAAAGGTCTGATTCAGCGCGTAAGTGAACACTTGTATAAGTTTACTGAAATTAAGGAGCTTACCGTATTCAGGTGAAAGGGTGGCAATGGTGCAATTGAAGGGTGCATCGTGCTTTGGCCGAGAGCAAGACCCTGAGAAGAAATCATGAATAATTGGGAAAGCATACAACTGAATTGACTAAAACTTACCTAGAGCGCCAATGTGCACAGTAGGTCCATCGACATTGTCACTCGAAGCAGAATTATCTTGCAAGACAGTCGATGGATCGACCGACAAGAGAGATACTCTGTCTGCCAGCAACATTACTGGTGCAAAGTAGGCGAAGTAGGAAAGGAATATGAATGTCATAGATAGAAGCGTGGCAAGGTAGAGAGTAACCGCTTTTGAGAGACCAGCAATCATGTCGTCTAGACTTTGTGGGAGTAAGGAAGTAAAGTTGAGGAGTTATAAGAAAGTAATGAAGCACTAGGCTTTCAGAATAAAGATAATGAGTGTAGTAACTTAATAAAAAAGAGAGAAAAGACACGAGTACGCAGGAAACGGGAGGGCGGCTGTAGAACCAGGCCCACAAACTCCAGTTTTTATAGTTCCAGTCTCATTGTTTTTTTTTAAACGGAAACAAATGGAAGCAGTTGGGCGACAAAAAAGACAAAAGCTCTTGTATATCCCGATAAGGCAACTCCATCCTCAATCCCAACGACAACGTCTCGAGGGCACATGCAAATTCCCAGAGCAGGCCCGATATTTCCCTTTAGTCACCCGGAGCCTTGCAGTTATATTTGGTGTAGCTTTTTGTTGAGAGGCTGGACTGTGCATTCCTGCTTAGGCCACAGATCAGATCCCTCGTTTCTCCCGTCTTCCAAAATAGCAGTCGGACTGTGTTGTACTGGTCTAGAGCGAAAGCCATTTGTTCCCTTTGTCTAATCTAATAACTTCGGTTGGTAGGCAAGCGAAAACCCCGAAATACCAACATGCGAGCAGGAAGCGATTCACAGTCTTGAATTGAGAGTGTCCGGTTTAGAAGAAGTAATTGAGGTTTCTGCCATGAATCAGAGCAGGAAATTTTATAAGACAGAATCCGTCACGTGTACGCGTCCCACCACTTTCCACTCGTGCAAGACCAGAGAACGAACATTTTCTGGCAAGTCTAAGCTCAAAATTTTCGACACAACGCCATGGCTAGCGAGGGAAATGTTGACGAGCAACTACCCACTGAGCTGGGTAGGTTGGCGTCTCTAATAGACGACAAGCCCGAGGCCTTTGGATCCGGTGACAAGGAAATACAGGATGCTGCCTTAGTCGCAGCAAAATATATTTTCGACTTGAGTGAGTTAGCGTCGCTTCTACTGGATACTTACTATTAACTTCTTTTAAGCCCTCAAGTCTGAATCTCGAGCTCAGCCTCACCTAAGGGACTTGCTACAGTCACTTAAACCGATGCAGGCACCTCAGACCCGCGCTCAGGCTCGGGCCATAAAACAGGGGAAAGCAAAAGAGCCTTCGTTGAGTGAAGCAATTCTCAATGAAACACCTCTTTCTGCTCTTTTTGTTGACGGTATGGACGAAGAGCAGGTCTGGGCCCAGTTGGAGCTAAAGGCGAAGAATGTGTGCGAAACATTAGAGGACGCTTTTGATGCTGGAGACATGGATGCTCGAGGCATGCAAGCATCAAGCGACGAAGATGAAGATGACGACGATGACGACGATGACGACGATGACGACGATGACGACGATGACGACGATGACGACGATGACGACGATGACGACGATGAGCTTGACTCGGACGATATGGAGCAGCTTGAGAAAATGGGGATTACTTTCGCAAGTGGTCAGGAAATGGAAGACAGCGAAGAGAGTAATAGTGACGAAGAGGAAGAGGACGAAAGCAGCTCAGCTGAGGAGGAAGAGCTCGAGGAAACGGTAGAGGAGCTCAGAGACCCTTCTTCTGAGGAAGAATTAGACGAGGAGGACAGCTCACTAGATCTCGATGAGGCACCAAATGCTGCACGACCGAAACGCAAGAGAAACGGAAGCCGACACGCGGAACTTGATGATGGCTTCTTTAGCCTGGCTGATTTCAACGCCGAGATAGAAGAGGCAGAGGCTAAAAGTGTCTCTCGCGGTTCTCTCAGCAAGGACCTCAACGATGATGACTCTGAAAATGATGATAATGTGGATCTCTTCGCACCAGTGGGTGACGATACACAACTGGAAGATGCGTTCAACGCGAGCGAAGGTCTGTGAAACCTTTTCTTGTCACAATATTCGATACCTTTGACTTATTCTGTTGCAGAGGCTTTCTACAAAGACTTTTTTGATCGTCCTTCGATGTCATCCCGTCCGTTAAAGCGAAAGGCTCCTGGTTCATCTCCTGCATCAGGACAAAGCTCCAAAGTGCACTTCAAGGAGCAGGTAGAGGTTAAGAGGATAAAAGCCAAGGGCAAGGGTCGACCTCTATCCAGTGTTGACCTCTTGACTGAAGAGGATCTGGGTGACCATGATGACGTTAGTGACGGTAGTTCGATCGACGATTTCGAAGTTGACGGCGACGGTATTGTCGAAGATGAAATGGGTGTACTAGAATCTGCTTCGGAGAGTGAGACTGGGGACTCAGACCAGGGCAGAGAGGCCGTTGAACGGCTCAAGGATGACCTTTTCGCGGATGACGATGATGACACCTTCAAGTCAGGTACGGAAGGTCTAAGTAGCTTGGACTCATTGTCGTGGTGCTCACAAGTGTCTCAATAGGAACATCGACTCACGAAGCGAGAATGGATGCGATCCGTAAACAGATAGCTGAATTAGAGGCAGAGAACATTGCCGAGAAGGATTGGGTGCTGAAGGGAGAGGTATCTTCCAGGGCACGACCGCAAAATGCTCTACTAGAAGAAGACCTCGAGTTTGAGCATGTCATGAAGGCCGTCCCTGTGGTCACAGATGAGGTTGTACAGGATTTGGAGGAAAGGATAAAAGTACGGATCATCGAAGATCGTTTTGATGATGTAGTCAGAAAACGTCCCCTGGACGATAAGCCATTTCTTCCTTCTCGAGTATTTGAGCTCCAAGATACAAAGTCGAAGGAGTCCCTCGCTCAAATCTACGAAAACGAGTACGTTGCTTCTCAAGCTGGTGGAACCACCGATGACCGAGATGGGAAGTTGCGAAAGGAACACGAGGAGATTGAGAAACAATGGGAGGGGATCTGCTATAAACTCGATGCACTATGCAATGCGAACTTCATACCGAAACAGGTCAGTACATCGTCTCTTCTTTGGGTTCGCATAAGCTTATTGGTATCGGATTTAGCCCAAGGCTACTATTTCTACAGTATCTAACGTTTCTGCGGTGTCAATGGAGTCTGCACTCCCAACCTCCAAATCTGCTGCAACGGTCCTTGCGCCGGAGGAAGTCTTCACTCCAGTCGCATCGGGTCTTCGCTCCAGAAGTGAACTCACTCCGGCGGAGAAGCAGGCTTTGCGAGCCAAGGAACGGAAAAAGAGGAAGAAGCAGCGGGAGACACTGGAGAAGAGTGTGGATAAGTTTGCGAAGATGAAAGGTGCAAAGGGCGTCAAAAGGCAGAAAGAGGAGGCACTGAAGAGCATCGTAAAGAGTGGAAAGGGCGTGACTGTTATTGGGAAGAAAAGCCAGACCTTGAAGAAGGGAAAGCAACGAACTTAAAATAAATTAGTCTGTCTTGCTTGTACTTTGTAACTCAATGCGATGTTCGGTGTTAGATTGTTTTACGTAATCCGCGGTATTTCATTTCATCGCCTTTGCGGCTGTTCCCACCCAGCAACCGAGGTGTAGGCCGCTTCTGCGCAGCGTCGCTCCTTGCAAAAAGACCACCATCTCCAGTGCTAGTTACCCCCCAGAAAGCAGAACTTACATCCCACAATGTCCTGGTTCAAGAAAGATAAAAACAAGTCCCTAATTCCCCCAGTTGACGCCGCGCCTCCAGCGAGAGCACCATCGTCGGCTAGTTCGTCTGCTCCACCCTCCTATCGATCTACAACAAATACGTACATCGCCAGCAGAGATGGTGACCTCTCGGATCCGAGAGCCCACGGGAAATCCTATGGGCAATACTCGTCTGGTCAAGACGGCAATGGAAACTACTCAGGTGACTCCTATGGAGAGCCAAATCGACCCAACTACGGGACTACAAGGCAGAACTCTGATCAGGGCTCTGGCTACGGTGATGGCTCCGTGCAACCATCCTATCGAGGCAGCTACAAAAACCGTAATGAGTACGGTGTCCAGGGCGGCGTCTCCGACCCGTATGCGCGTGGCGAGCGTGACATCGACACGGATCGAAACGCACTGTTCGCTGGCTCAGCTCCTCCGAGTGAAGGTCGAACCAATAATTTCTACGATGGGCCCCCTAGCAACAGACCCGCTCCTCAACCGGGACAAGAAACTGAAGAGGATGTTGACGAGGTCATTAACAAGACAAGATGGCTCAAGCAAGACACGGTCCAGACCACCCGTAATGCTCTTCGTGTCGCTCGCGAAGCTGAGGAAACCGGAAGAGCGACATTGCTCCAGCTTGGTGATCAGTCAGGTGAGGCTTAATGCGACTGGGATCACCATTGTTTATTCATGCTCATTCACTCGTGCTCGTTATATCAGAGAAAATCGCGGATACCGAGCGCCACATTGATGTTGGCAAGGGTGCTGTGATACGTGCTGAAGACAATGCGGATGAAATCAAGAAGCTGAATCGCTCGATCTTCATTCCAGCGATCACCTTCAACAAGGATGCAAAGAGGTTGGCTCAAGAGCGTAAACGCCAAATGAGGTACGATGAGGAGATGACCGAGCGCGAACAAGCGATGACGGACCTTCGCGACTCACAAAACCGTGTTGGAAGGGGCGCTACGTTTGGACGTAGCATAAGTGATGATGGCGAAGGCATCGGTGGCAGTAGACGCCAGTTGACTTCTGCACAGCAGGCCTTGCGCAAGGAGGAAAGGAAGAGGTACCAGTTCGAAGCGACGGAATCTGATGATGAGATGGAAGATGAGATTGACAACAATTTGGACGAAATCCTGGATGCGACGAAGCGCATGAAGGCCCTTGGCCTTTCCATGGGATCAGAACTGCAGGCACAAAACCAACGCCTTGTGAGGATTGCTGACAAGGCTGATAGGCTTGGAAACAAGGTCGATCTGAACACGTCCAAGGTGTGTAAACGTCTGAATTGTCCTGTGCAATGCTAACGTTTGGTTTAGTTGAACAGGATTGCTCGGTAATTTACTGCAGCTGTAAGGAACGTTCTGTTCAGATGCTTTACAAGGACAATAACATTGGGTCATTGGAGGATTCTTCGTTCGCCACGTTTCTCTGTATACACTTATGCAATCGAATTGGAGTTTTGTTTGTGGATGCGTTTACTTTTGATTTTAACTCGAAAATAATAGTGAGTTTGCCGTAATATTAATAACGCCCGTCACGACGTTCTAGCGCGTGTCGGAGCTTAAAATGGCGGGCGCGACATTGGACGCATCCATTTGTTTTTTCATTCGTGTCCGTATCCCGGTCTCTCGTTACTGACTCGCTTACTGCCCATCTCGTCGCTACTGACTCTGAACACGAAATAAGCCATGGCCAAGCTCACAGAATATGAGCTTGAACGTCAAGCAAATATCGAAAGGAATAGGAAACTACTTCAATCCCTAGACATAGATAGTATTAAGAACACCATGCAAGCAAAGCCAAAGCCGCCTCCCAAGTCATCCAGTAAACGAAAGTCAAAGCTAATCGATCTAGGCGAGAAGGAGAATGATGAGGATGAAGAAGCGGAAGGTCGACCGAGGAAGGCTGCTCGTGTAGAAGAGGAGGACGGGGAGGTTACGCTTCGGAGAAGCTCACGCAACGCGGGGAAGAAGTTTGACTACAAGGAAATAGAGCAAGATCGTTCAGCGCGTTCATATCGTGTCTCGAAGCGTGCAGAGGAGGCGATGGACCGCGAGCCTCGCTCAACTAACAAAAGAACACAGGACCCGTATGTTCATCTATTAGTGTTACATTTATTTACGATTTAATTCATTTTTTTTTCAGAAAACAATACGGTCATATCCCTGGCGTTGAGGTTGGGGCTTGGTGGGAGACAAGGTGAGGTTTGAAGAGATTATCCTAGCCCAAGGAATGCTGACTATCGATCTAGAGAAGCTTGCAGTGCTGATGCTGTCCACGCGTAAGAAATTCGTTCACTTATGTTTGACGCGTGGTTCTGACAATCTTGTCAGTCCATGGGTCGGTGGCATATCTTGCGGTTCCAAAGGTGCATATTCGATTGCTCTATCGGGTGGATACGACGATGATATAGACCTGGGTAATGGATTGTGAGTTAATTCCCGAGCTGTAGAATCGCTCGTAATACTCATCTGATTTTGAAGTACCTACACTGGCTCTGGAGGGCGCGACCTCAAGGGTACTAAGGACAAGCCTAAAAATGTTCGTATCCATTTCTGACTTGAGCTATATTTTAGTTGATCAAGTCGTGACAATAGCTTCGCACCGCCCCTCAAAGCTCAGACCAAACATTTGAGAACAATTTCAACAAGGCATTGAAGATCTCATCGGAGACGAAACGCCCAGTGCGAGTTATTCGAGGATACAAGTTGCGTTCTCCATTTGCTCCTGTTGAAGGGTGAGTTAAAAATAAGGGATTGCTATACGTTCACCCGATTAATTGATTCCTTTTCTTGAGGTACCGCTACGACGGGCTCTATACTGTGGAGAAAGTGAGTTCGGTGCTATTCTCAATTACTTCGGGGAAATAACTATTGTCTGCTTAGGCATGGCAGGAAATCGGAGTCAATTCGAAGTACATGGTTTGCAAGTTTGCTTTTAAGGTGAGGTCATTGATCAGGGCTCTGTTGCATATAAAAGATGCTTAATCATTCTCACTCATAGCGTCTTCCTGGACAGCCCCCGCTGCCAAAGAGAGATCTTGATGCTGACACCGACGAGGATACAGCAAGTGATGAAGACGAAGACAAAACTCGGGTCGCGTCCACGCAGGATGCTGGTTCATCAACGCTTATGGACGAGGATGACGACGCGGAGGGAGAGGTTGATGAGGACGCATGATTATTTTCGGACCACGGAAGCATCTCGACTGACGCGATCTAGAGATTGATATTGACATTGTTCGCATTCTTGCTTGTGATAATCATTACACTGCCCTATTGCTTTGCTTTGAAAGTGTTTTCGATGTACATAGATGCTTGCTCTACTGGATTGGACCTGTACTAATAACGCGTGGAAAATGCTTTTTATTATGTCTAGGCTGATTTGAGGGTGAGAAAGTCCAGACCGCGAAGGAGGGTGACGATCTGCGATGTGCCTGAAATGAAGCGGACGCGTGCACTTTTGCAACGGACCGCGCCCGGTTCTTTTCATCTCATTTTTTTCGCATTCAACCATCACCTTTCATATTTGACTGGCCGTTTCCTTGCACCCCATCAGCCTCGTTTTGGCTCTTCAGCCACCACCCTCTTTTGTCTAAAAAAATTCCGTCCGAAAGCCCGTAATAAGCACCTGCTCACCAGCCCCCTTCGCCTGACCTTTCCCCTCGACAACTCTTGCCGTCCTCCACCATGGCTCGCTTTTCGTTTTCCCTTCTAGCTGTGCTGTTGTCCGCATCATCGGCCCTTGCTAGTTCAAATCATCCTATACGCCATGAAGTCCACAGCAAGCTGGCGCACGTACACGCGTCCGAAAACCTGACTGACCGCTCCGTCGCAAGTCAGAAGGATTGGAAGCTGCACAAGCGCTTCGATAACGCGCGTTTCACGAACTACGAAGCTGGTCTGTGAGTAATCTTCCTCTTCAATCCCGTTGTCGAGTTGTGTGTTCCGTGGGAGTGCGCGCGCACTGAGAACGCCGACGCGTCAACGGATTGACTCATGGCGTCGGGCGGTGACTGATGAACCGATGTGTGCTTTTTTTTTCTCGTGTTGTTTTGCAGGGGTGCGTGTGGTAACACGAATGGCGATGGGGATTCAGTGAGTATGAAGCGATTCGCGTGTTTCTCGGAGTTACTGACAAACCGAGCAGATTGTTGCATTGAACGCGGCTGTAAGTATTTTATGTCCACCACGCTTTTGACGTCGACTGAAAAAGGGTCAACGTGTTGTAATACAGCAATATGGAGGCGGCGAACATTGCGGGCAAACGATCACCATCACTGTTAATGGCAAATCGAAACAGGCCACGATCGAGGATAAGGTATGTTAAAAAAAATCCGATGTTTTGTGAGTCGGTGGGATATCTTATGGTTATGTCGTATACAGTGCCCTGGTTGCCCATTTGGCGCATTAGACTTAACGCCTAGCCTCTTCTCGTTCTTTGCTCCGCTTGACCAGGGTACGTTATACGGTTCCTGGGCGTTTGGAAATGGAGACCCGTCCCCTTCTCCGTCACCTACGTCAACGAAGCACAGGTCAACGTCGAGCACCCCGAGCCCCACGTCGACCAGCTTCTCAAGTACATCTACTTCAAGCTCCATTGTATCGTCTAGCACGTCGATTAGCAGCACAAGCACAAGCAGTGAAGCTCCTACGCCAACTGTAGATTCGAGTAGTTTCGTGGACGTGCTCGACTACGGTGTTGTGCAGCTCGGTGGAATCATTGCTGGTGCAGCACAGGTGAACCTTCAGACAAGCAACGACTCGTAATAAGTTATCCGGAGTTTTCTCGTTCCCGATGTCGGTGTTTCTTCCGTCTTGAAATTCGGATCCGAGTCCGCTTGTCAAGGGTTGGAAGGGAGACAATCAATCAAACGTTACATCGACTACAATTATTTGGACATAACTGTCTAATATCAGTCATACTTGCTATTGCACCTTTGATTTGTTTTGGAACCTCACTTTTGGCATCCTCTTTCTTCTGGCTAAATCACCATATTTTTGTGTTGTTGTGTCGTGGCATTGCATCGATTTGTCCCGTAATGTGAACTCTTTCTCCTGGTTGCTTTGTGGTTGCTTACCCCGCTCTTGCCGTAACTTGCTTCTAGCAAGTGTTTGTTTGTTACTTCTCTGAAGTAGTCCTGTCTTTACTTGCACTCCCCCTTGCATAACAATGGTACGGTTTGTTTCTCGACAGAGGCATTCTTTCTTACTACCCATCCATACAAGCTCTCAATCCCAAATGTTGTTGTTATAGTACCTTACAGTAAAGAAACTTAGTAGAAAAACGTTATTTTGGCCAAAGTCGAAAATACTCAATCAAACTCTGATCTGCGAGATCGAATGAACGAATTCAATTTTATTTTATTGCTTTTTTCTTCGTAAAACCTATTCCAATGATACAAACACTGATTTGGTTACGTTCCTACATGATGCATAGATGAAATGGACAATGGACAATTGGTAAGGATACAACCAAATTGGGTAGTTGTATGGTGGTGAGATGATATTGACAATCAATAGAAGGAAATGCAGAAGCCAAGGAGATGGACAGGCATAACAGATCGTATCCGACAAAAAAAAAAAAAAGAAAATAGACAGACAAAAGAAGGGAAGGCAATGGAAAGAAAACAAGTATGCGTATGACTGAGGAACTAAATGCCATTGAGTGCCTCCCGAACGATATCAATGAACTTGCTCTTTTGCTCGGACGAATCCATTTTGTCTACACGACTCCCTGTCCAGAGTCTGTACATACCTCGGATAGCCTCGTGTAAACCAGTGTCAACACCTTCCCGCGCTTTTTCTGTAGCAGACAGTGTCATCTTGGGAATAGCGTCGACAGTACCGCCTGGCGGCGTCAACGTATGTCCATCGCTGGTTTCCGGCGAGATCAAGTCCGGAGATGAGAATTCTTCGAGTTGCATGTGGTCCACTTTGATGGGTTCTGAGTCTTCTGCATCTTCCTCTGTTTCGTGCGGCGCGGGTGAAGGACTAGGACTCAGACCCGGTCGCGGACTGATGTTAAATAGGCGGCGTTCGAGGTCTATAGGACTTGGTGTTCCTTTCTCTGGTGACTCTGCCCTGTTGGGAGAGAAACGACGGAGGAAGTCGATGTGTTCGTGTTCGGTGGAGTATGAGTATGGGTCGTCTGAAGTTGGTCGACGTACGTCTGGCGCGAGTAGTTCGTGACTACTGCCAGTGTTATCGAAATAGGATAGATAATCTGCTGTGCCGCGGACTGCGATAGGTTGGTTAGGGTCATGGAGTTTGTGTTTTTGTGGGAGAGGCGAGTGTCGAGTTGAGTCCGCCGTACCTATAGATTGTGATGAGATTAGTCTATCATCATCAGATATGTAGTGATGCACAGAAAAACGCCTACCATGTACGGAGGCGTATTGTGCCCAGTAAGCTTCTTCGGCTCTCTCATCGTCGATCTCCTTATTCGCCGATATGCGCGGAACACCAAACGCACCCTCTTCTGCATCATCGTCGGAATTAGATCGGCCATACGAATTCCAGTATGCATCGTTGTCGTCATCATCAGAGTCCGAATGACCCGCAGCACGGGTCAAAGTTGGTTCGGAGCTTTGAGGTAGCCGAAGGGCAGGTGACTGTGAAGTTTGCGTGGTGGATGTGCTGGCTAGCACGGAGGATTTTAGCTGTTCGTGTAAAGCCTCCTGAGGAGAGTCATGCGTATTCGGAGGAAATGGCATGGGTTTGGCGTCATGATATTTCCAATTATCGGCATTTGTTGCGGCACCTTCACGGCCTTGCACAACGCCTTCGCCATCCTCTGCTTCCCAGCGGAAGACAAGTCGAAGACCGGCACAGTCATTACTTTCAACGCTGGTTATCGGTACATGTGCATGTGCAAAGACTGCTTCGCCGTCGTAAGAGTATTTAGTCGGGTACGCAGCAAGAGGGTCGAAGTTCTCCGCAGAGGGCAGATAATTCAGGAGGTTTACAATGTTTAGCGAGTCGGCTTCTGAGCCTGAGGCTGATGACCAAGAAAGATACGTTGCAGCACCGCGGGCAGTGTCGAGGTCATGACCAAGTCCTAGATAGTGGTGTCGCTGACGGAGAGGGGTAGATAAAAGATGTGGAGGTAGGGGATCGTCGAGCTGAGAGAGGTGAGAAAGCAAGAGAGTGACGGCGTGCGGTGGAAGAGCTGGAGGAAAAGCGGTCGTTGCCATCTTAAGTCCGTATGTACCGTTGCAAAGCCGCCAACAGTGCTGAGGATATATATGCTGCTCGGAGTCGGAAGGGTGAGAAGCAGAGGTGCTGGCAGCGCAAGGAGCACGCGGGGCCAAAGTATCAAGTGCTTTAAAATATATGCTAGTTGTCAGGGTCGGAGCCAATCCCAAGCCTTTCCGAGGTCACGTCCCAAGAAACCCAATTCGTTCCCGCGTTTCTCCGCATTCGAATCTTTTAATGGGAATTGCTTGCATAAGCAACGTCTGCCCAAATTCCACACGGTCCACAACTCACGCTGCGTCTCAGGGTCTGTCACGGTCGCCGTCTCGCCGCTGGCCATATAGCGTGTCCACCTCTCTCTCCTTCACAGCCGTCACCGTACTCTTCCTCCTTGTCTCTCTCTCGCTTTTCCTTCGTTCTACTCTCATCTGTCGTTCTCGACGATTCTGCCAGCCAACCATGCGTCCTCTAAGGCTCCTGGCTCTTCTTTCTGCACCCCTCTTAATCCGCTCTCAAGTAAGTCGTCAGTTTGACATACAGCCTTGGATGCACCTTCTAATCGCTCGCAGTCATCTGGCAATGTACAGGTCTCGACCCAGTTATCAACCTCGGTTGGCATCGATGGAAATCACCAGCAGACGACCCAGGTCATAACAAACCTCATTACCCTAACCAATACTGCTGCCGCGTCAACGCCTTCCAACGGGACATCCTCAAATACCACTACTTCGGGCAACTCGACGAGTTCAGGAAATAGCACGAGCTCAGGGAATAGCACGTCGTCGGCTCCGAAATCACCACTCCCTACCGCCACGCAGAGCGTCGATGGAGGTGGTAACGGAGACAATGGCGGAGCACCAAGTCCAGGAGCGTCCAGTAATTCCGGTATCTTTGGCCCAGACGACGGTTATATCTCAAGCGCCCTTGCACTAAGTGTAACCTCGTTCGTTTCTGTTGCGGCAGGCGCCATTGGCGGGATCTGTTTAGTTTGGACGTGATGGGCAGGGTGCCGTTTTCTCGTATAGCTCGAGTTGATTAGACATTTGATGGGTATTGTGCAAGACGCATCTTGCTTCAGGACACGTTTATCTATGCACAATGCTCTTGTTCACGACATTTCATGGACCTTATTTTGCTATTGGACATTCTCCGCTCCATAGTTGCTCTGCATTCGCCGTTTTGGCGACGTCACCATGCCTCGTTCTCTCTCATTCCTTCGCTATCATTATAGTACTAGTAGTCATCGAACTCTGTATAGTTCAACACAGGTATTCATGTCGCCACAGCTGTGTCGTCGTCCCTATTTCAACTTGACTTGGTCAGGGTTTTTTGTTTGCGTCACATGCCTTATTAGGATGAGGCGTCGATCGCGGAATCACGATCCAAAATTTCAGAAACTTGCACTGCTGCTCTCTAGAAAGTTGTATTCTCTGTCGGCTCTGCCGACTCATTCACCATGGCACTCGATGACCTTATTATGACAATTGATTCGGATGCGGAAGACACTGTTGAGGAGCCAAGGAAACCTGCAAAAGTGAAGGGGAAAGAAAAAGTTCCAGGCAAGGTGCGAAGTGCAGACGAAGGTGCTCCAGACGAAAAGGATACGCTGAACCCAGAGTTCACGTTCGACGTGACTGGGGACGTATACGACGAGGTACTAAATGGGCAGGATGGTCTGGGAGACTTAGTTAAAGGCTCAAAACGGGTGAGCTTTCTTAACTTATTATGCATAGAATTCTTAGTGTCTAAATTGGAGGTTCGCCTGTTCAGGAACCTGTTTCGGTAGACGACATTATTGCGCGAAGAAAGCTGACCGATGCTTCGAATAAACGAAAGAGAGCATATGACACGGAAGATAATGACGACGATGATGAAGACGAGGACGAGGACGAGGGCGAGGGCGATGAAGAAGAAGATCTCGGTGATGAGGAGTTAAGTGGAAGTGAAGAAGAAGAGCTTAGCGATGACGAGGTCGCAGAGAGCGACGATCCATTAGCAACATCAGAGGATGAAGAGGACGATGCAGATCAACTCTCTGAAGCCGAGTTAGACGACGAAACGGACAATGCCTCAGACTCAGATGGCTCCTCTGGCACTGAGGAAGAAACTCAAGCCGAAAAGGAACGGAAAGCAGCGTATTTCGCTTCTCCAGATGACCCTTCAGTGTCTGGCCAAGTACATACATCTTTTACGACAATGTCTCTTTCTCGACCCCTCCTAAAAGCTCTTACTGCACTTGGGTTTTCGACACCAACACCCATCCAAGTTGCCACTATCCCTGTCGCTCTTCTGGGGAAGGATGTTGTCGGAAACGCGGTCACTGGGTCCGGAAAGACAGCGGCGTTCATGATTCCTGTCCTTGAGCGTCTAATGTACCGTGAGCGCGGGAAGAACAAAGCGGCGGTCCGCTGTGTTGTGCTTGTTCCGACGCGCGAGCTTGGTGTGCAGTGTGTAGACGTTGCAAAGAAGCTCTCTGCATTCATGGACGTACGAATATCTTTGATAGTTGGTATGTTTACAGTTATTACACAGTTAAATTAATGCTTGATATTCCGTTCCAGGTGGACTTTCTCTTAAATCGCAGGAAGCAGAGCTTCGAACGCGTCCGGACATCGTTATCGCAACACCTGGCCGACTTATCGACCATCTGCGTAACTCCCCTTCCTTCGGGCTGGAGACCCTTGATGTGCTCATTCTGGACGAGGCCGATCGAATGCTTTCCGATGGATTCGCAGATGAATTGAAAGAAATCATACAAGCCTGTCCAACTTCGCGGCAGACGATGCTTTTTTCCGCAACGATGACGGACGACGTGGATGCACTTGTGCGGATGTCACTCAACCGACCAGTGAAGCTATTTGTGGATCCGAAACGGAGCACCGCACGCGGGCTTATCCAGGAATTTGTCCGCGTTCGTGCTGGAAAAGAGGCCGAGCGCGCGGCGTTGCTTGTTGCATTGTGTAAACGGACGTTTAAGCAGGGTGTTATCGTTTTCTTCAGGAGTAAGAAGCTTGCGCACCAAATGCGAGTTGTGTTCGGGATTCTCGGTATGAAGGCGGAGGAATTACACGGCGACCTTACTCAGGAACAGGTAGAGGTTTAATTATTGAATAGGCTTGGCATCTACTGACATTGAGGACTGATGCAGCGTCTTCGCGCTCTGCAGCTGTTCCGTGATGGTGCGGTGGATTTTTTAATGGCAACGGATCTCGCCTCTCGGGGTCTTGACATCAAAGGTATTGAGGCGGTTGTCAACTACGACATGCCTGGTCAACTGGCACAATATCTTCATCGAGTTGGGCGAACGGCTCGTGCCGGAAAGAAAGGACGGTGGGTTTTCAGTGCTCCACAACTGAATGATTCCAAATTCTTTGACATTGCACTTATTCAGATCGGTGACCTTAGTTGGAGAGGCTGACCGGAAGATACTCAAAGCTGCTATCAAACACGCCTCTGACGTAGACAAGGTCCGGCATCGTACAATCCCGTCCGATCAGGTGTCAATATGGGCGAAGCGACTGGCGGAGATCAACGATGAGATAACAGAGGTATTAAAGGAAGAGAAGGAAGAGAAGGCGTTACGATTGGCGGAAAGAGAGCTGAAAAAGGGAGAGAATATGATTGAACATGAGAAGGAGATCTTTTCTCGGCCTGCACGAACGTGGTTTCAATCCGAGAAGGAAAAGCTCAATGCAAAAGGTAGGAAGCGTGGTATCGTCAATTGAAATGACTTGAATGTGCTGACTGATTACTGCCCCACGCGTTTCTCAGAAATTAGCAAGAAGCAGTATGAGATAGCTGCAGGTGCCACTTCTCCGTCAAAAGGGAAGAATAAAGAGGTGCAGGCAGATGCAAAGGTGCGTTTCAATCCATTCGGGATAAAAGTCCTACCGGACGCTATTGAACCGTTCTGTTCCTATTTGCAGCCTAAACGGGATAAATTTGCCGGGCTTTCGCGCCGGGCAAAGCGAAGAAAGCTCGCACTTGAAGAGGGTGCAGCGGAAACCACAGCTGTGCGTGCGGCTGTCCGAAACGCGAAGAAGGCTGGACGACCAACGAAAATTGGCATGCCGGAACCAAAACAACAGAACCCGGCTAAATCAAAAGGCTCAGGGAAGGACAGGAGGGGGAAAGCAGGTCGGGTGACCGGTCGGAAAGGAGTATTTGACAATGAGATGGGAGGGAAACGGAAACCAAGCATAAACGAAGGTGCCAGAGCCAATAGGACCGATAGAATCGGGGGTATGGGCAAGAAGGGTCCAAAAGGGAAGGGGAAAGGGAAGCGGTGACCCCGTATTTCTGCGTGTTCTTTTGCTATATGGCCACTATAAAAATAGGACTCGCCCACACTGCATATACTGAGTTGAGGCGGTAACAATCACGAGTCTTCGTGGTCGAGATTCTGTGTGAGAGAATTAAATTATTAAACTGTACATGCGCGTCGCGATGGACGCGTCGGAGTCACGTGCGACGTGTACAGAGTCCTGTGACGCGTCTTTACATCAGTGTCTTGCAGCAGCTCTTTCTCGCATCATAACGCTCGACTGTAGCTGTACTTTTGTCTGTAGGTGACGCTTGGCTGTGAAAAGTCTTGAAGTCCTAGGCGGTCTGCTTGATTCCTCCGATCTTACGCATAGAAGATCTCACCCCAAAGCGAACTGTGAGCTAACTTGGGTCCGTTATACGAGTTATCTAACCACCGCCAACGCGGCTTCTACTTGGATAGCCCTAAGATCACTTGCACTTAACTATGGAAGATGACTCGAGTGCCATTATATCTCTCGCAACAGTCCGTTTGCAAGCCAAGTCTCGGCTGTTTCTGACTGCATGTTGTCCGGACAAAGATCTTGTGGTGCTTGTATCGAGAGTCGGCTCAGCCGACAAAATGAGCCTGTGGAAGATGCAAGGCTCGAAGAAGTGGGAAGTGGATACGAACAAGGGGTGTAGTTCTTCGGACGAGGTTACAGCTCTCAACTGGAGCCCTGATGGTGCGCGAAACTACTCTGTTCTGATTCCTGAACTATTTGTTACTCAACTGAACTTACTATGGTTGCTCCGTGTGCATACGCTCAGGTCAGACCATTGTAGTTGCTCATTACCCTCCTCGAATCAGCCTTCATTCGCTACAGAATGGCCGAGAGGAACACTCTTTACTGGTTGGTTCTCTGCCCTGTGGTTCGCCATCATCACCTCGAATCACGGGTGTCTGGTGGTTCAAAAGGGAGACGAAGACGGACAGTAAGGCAATGCCAGACATGTTAAAGCGAGGGAATGTCGTTGTATGTAGCCTAATTCCTCTATCAATACACACTTTATTCTAAGGTAAATGCTACTCCTAGCCTGGCTCTGCACTTTCTATAATTAGAACACAGCCACTGCTCGATGCCCTTCAAGACGACACAGTCCCACTTAAGTGAGTGCTCATTTCCTAGCACGTATATCGCTTATTTATTCAACTTCCGACAAGCGCAACAGACCTATTCGCCTTTCAAGGAAGTCATGCCAGGCCAGGGGCTAAGGTTTCCTCTCTGCCAGATGTTATTTCCTCGTGGCCTGCGCTTCCTTCTGACCCTCTTGCGGCGGGAATTAACCCCGCTTCGCGCGAAAGCGACAAGAGACCCGGAGATGAGCTGGATGAAAAGGACACCACAAACGTGGACAGTCTTTTGGTTGCTATTGATGATTCAGGCCAAATTCATTGCTTTTTGGACGGGTCATATCCAGTTGGCGCCATTAGCTTGGGTACCGGCTGTGAGGCGAAGACGATAATCAAGAACAACGAGGAAAATACGTTGTTAGCGCATGCAGAGTTCAAATCAAAGGACACTCGCACCCCTGTCCTTCATAACGTTTCACCATTGACTGTCGAGCTTCCTTTGCTTTATGCGAAAGCAACGCGGCACGTTGCAGAGAACTGCACGGCTGCGCGGGAGCTCGCTTGGTACAGTATTCGTGTAGTAAAAGAAATGAGAAAATCCTGGTTCGGTGGAGATGGGCAAGTTGGTGCCCGGGATTTCAACACAAAATATGCCCGAGGGTTAATCGAACGGCAGGTCGCTCATGGTCGTACGTCATGATACATCAGGGCGTGCTGCTTCCTTTGCTCATTTCGTTCCTTTCAAGAGGAAAAAAATGTGGTCCTCGACCTTACTGTGCTCCTTGCAACAGGGAAGTCGTCTCATGCTCTGTCGGATTACCACCAGTCGGGGGAGCTTACTAGCGAGAGGGTAGGTCTCCGGAACGTGCGTTCCGGGTATCGATTTTCATTTTTGTTGTCAAGGGCTTGCAAAAATGGGAGACCACCGTAGGCGAGGCTCTTCTTAAGCTTCGTGATTACGCTGAGACCCGGATCGCACCTGCGTGTCAACACTTGCACCTGCTGCTGGAAGAGGTACGAGGGTGGTCACTCCTGTAAGCATGTGGTTTTCTTCCCGGCATCGTGGATAGCACATCGGACTAACTTTGCTTCGTTCACTTTCACAAGACCCCAGCTGCATGGAGATTATGGTTTTTCCACCAAGGAAGTTGATGAATGCTTAGATCTCACGGCTCGGGCTATCATACTTGCAGCGTTCCTTGCTGCGACGGCTCGACGGGAACTCACTCGCTTCGTGGAGTTTATCGTGTTCTTACGCTATGGTATGTCTTCGCTCGGCCTGTGTAACTCTACAGAGAACTGAGTGGATACTCAGAAACCAGTCGATTAAGTACACCCGAAGCAACACCGTCGCCACGCCACGACATACTCGAAGTGAACGAATATCTAATGTCAGGGCTTGAAAAGAGCGAGATTGATGAGTGGTTCACCGGACCTGTACCGCAATTTTCCATGAGTTCAATTGAATCCACACCCCAGATGGGGGATCTACGTTCTGTTATTGAACGTGCGCGTGCTTTCCTCGCAGACCCCTCGAAACTCACCTGGCCTCCAGTACGTCGCTATTTTTTTCATTGGTTCAAAAGGGGGCATCTTCCCCTTCAAGGTACAGGAAGACTGATAGCGGACTCAATCGACCCAGATAACGCAACGGAAGGATCTCTCACGTTTAGATCGAAATCTAGATGCATTGATACATGAGTTGGCCGAGAAGTGTCAGGAGGTATATAGCCGGGCAGCAAAGGCTGTGGCGAGGACGGCTTCTGTGCAGCAAACATGGACCACATCGGGGCAAATTCAGGAAGTCGCCGAGACAAATGGAGAACGCGTGGTCAACCCCACCTCATCGCAGCCAGTACGGACACGAGCTATTTGTGAAGAGAAGGTCTGACTTTGGTGGCATGATTGGCTTTAACCACTGAAGAAGTTTCTTCATTTTCTTTAGACGAACACGCTGACGGAGCATCTAGCTATCCGGCTACAAGAAAGGGAACACGGGCTGCCTAGATGCCGTGAACTGCGTAAGTGACAATAAAGAATACTGGCAAATACGATTTATCCTATTGACTAGTATTGATCCGCAGTGTGCATCATTCGAGCATCGTACGAACATGTGGGAAGCTCAAGGACGGTCTCGGGCGTCGCTGCTGCAATTTTAGACTGCAGGTCTGCGGAAGATAGCCCGGATGATGACACTGGAATTGAAGGCCTTTGTTTTCACATTTTCGACATGGACTTCTTCGATGAGGAGAGCCTCGTCATCGTGTATCAGAGTTACGCGGAAGAAGGTACATTTATTCTTTTTATTCAATTGTCATTTTCCTTCACGACTTGCACATTATTGCAATGCGGGAAGCGGGATTCTGATTCTGATCTACCGCAGGCGCGGCGAGGATTGGGACGGTTGATTACAGCGTCCTGGAATACTTTGAAATTGATTTGGCAGGATACGTAAACGGGCTCTGGCAAGAAGACATCGTGGCAGAAGCGATAGCCAGAGTGTCGGCAGGACAGGTAAGCTTCTTGAGGGAAGAGAGTAGGCCACGCCGAGATCACGCTGATGTGCCTCGTTTCTCTTCAACTGTATTAGGCTGGTTGCCCGGCGGCGCCTATTCGGAAGCAACGCACACTGAAGCTCTCGCGGAGTGCACGGACTGAGGCCTCGGAAGGCGAGGGCATACCGAGCGTAGCGGTGAACGGGCGAGTGGGACGACGAATAGGGTGTGTTCTGGACAGGAGTGGGATGGAGCTGGAAATGCTGGACTTGGAGGGAGAGGATGGGACGGAGGGAGAGGAGGAGGAATAAAGCAAAAGCAGGAATAGGCGCGAGATGAGTGGGAGATCGACCCTGAGGGCGGTGCGGTGGACGGGGGTACGGACCGTAGTGCACGAGAAAGGGGTATTTGTTGGTGTACTGATGGAAAATAAATGGAAGAACTAGGTGCTAGGCGAGGGGATGAGATTGGCTGATTGTATGCAGGGGTGTGATGTGTGACTGATAACGCGCCCGAGTGACCGGAAGCGTCGGCCGGAGTCGGCTGTCCTGTCCTGGCTGCCTGTTCGGGCTGCGCGCATGAGCCGAGGTTTAGCTGCTGGACTCTCTGGTGGACTCTGCCAGAGTTTGTTCATTTCCGCCGCTGGTTCTTCTTTGCCACTCTCCCGTCTTCTCTCTCTTCCGCTCGTCGTCCACGCACAAGCCGGCAGGCGTCTCCCTGTCCGTAACATCCTCTCCCCACCCGACACCCGCGGACTCTCTCTCCCCCTCCGCCCGCGTGTATTTCTTTCCCATTTCCTATTTTCGCCCTCTTTTTAGTCCGCTAAGCCACACTTCTCTCTCTTCCATATTCACTCCTCTCCCGTCCTATGCCAAAGACGCCGCAGTCCCAGCCGCCCTCCCCAGTCAAGCAGCCAGCCAATGCCCCTGCTCCCGACAAATTAGACAAGATGTCCGAAATCGCTCTCAGAAAGAAGAAGAACGCCGACGCTCAGGCTGCTTTCCGTGCACGTCGTGCCAACTATATTGCCACCCTCGAAGAGACAGGTCCGTCTGCTGCTAAGTACCTAAATATTCATGTTCCGACGACTAAGTGTCCGTAAATCGCAGTAACCAGCTTAGAGGCAGTTGTAGTCCAGCTTCAGGACTCGTGTCGCGAGGCTCGCGCCGAAGCCTCAGAATTGCGTCAGGAAAACCAGCGAGTGTCAAGTGCGCTTGATGCTCTTCGGCACGAGTGCAGGGAGAGAGACAAATATCTCAGGGCTCTCTGGCACGCCAGAAAGAGCAATGACGACCCGCACTTGGATGACTTCCCTCCTCCGCCTCCGTCCTTCAATGCCGTTCCACCTGGAGCTGCCAGCAGTTCGCTCGGCACTCCAGTAACGACTCCAGTTCCTCACCCTGTCACATACACCACTCCTTCGGCAGAAGGAATGGATCCACGAATGCAGCAATACGCGCAGGACAGTACCGTTACGCTCCAACAGGCTGCTTACCATGATACCTCTTCTAATGCTTACACCGAACGTTCTCCTGCCATGCCATTTATGACTAACGAAGGAGATGCGAACGGCCGAGGAACAGCCATGGGAATGGCCAAAATAAACCAGTATGCTTTCAATGGCATGACCGGCCACGTCCGGGACAATACATGGCATGCAGGCGTCAACCAAGGTGCACCTGCGAGCACCGATGCGGTTACAGGAGAGAATGCTTCCACTACCCATTCACCTGGCTTCATTCCATCACCAACCGTCACCTCGGCCGAAGGGACCTATGGCCCTCGCTACCCCGCCGCGTTGATAGACGCCCACAAAAACCCTCTTCCTGGTATCGACCAAATGCCGTATCTAATGAATAATAACGACCGCTCAATCTCTCCGACCACGTCCAGCCCGCACAACGGTTCCTCTTCCTCCTCTGTTAACTCCCAATTTCAGTTTGTTTTCCCCACTGAAAGCCAGGAACGTAACGATGCGGACTACCATCGCCGCATGGCAGCAGCGGGCCCTGAACTAACACTGCATGGGGGTACTGCAGATGTTTCCGTATATGCCTTGAATCGGCGACGTGCCAATACGGGACCCGAGCGACCTATGCTTGGGAGCACTATGCCCGCCTTTCGACCGGATGATCCACAAGGAATGCCGGTTGCCGAAGGTAGCAAAGCGGCTGGTGTGGGCAGTGTCCCTGGGACCGACCCTCGTGGCATTCGTCGACGAAGGGGGACTGATCAAAGTAACGGAGGTGATCACTCGTCGCGTTCTCCATCACCGACGGGTCATCCACCTATTTCTAGCACACTCGCCGTCATCAAGGCCCAGGCATTTGGCGCACTTCGCCGAACTCGGGCGCGACCGAAAAAGGCGACTGAGGGTGCAGCAAAAATGGCCATGGAGGTCCTCGAGGCTCGCGGCATAGGTCTTGGCATCAACTCTCAGAACGCCAGCAAGCGCCCTCGGTTGAGTGACGACGACGGAAACGGTCTTACGAACCAATAGCAACCTGAACCCAAAAAAGAATCACCACCACTGGATATCCGAAATTCTCTTTTCTCTTACCATGTTTTTAAGCAAGATTTTATGCTGTAAGTATAGGACGCCTATTCACCAATCGTCTGCTATGCACTGTATACTGGAATGCTCTCTACTCTGCAATCGTTCGATTCGCACTCAACGGCCTTTTCACCCTCATTTCTGATTTCCTTTCTCCCATCACTCGGCAACTCTTCACGCGGGTTTCTTGTAGACATTATTATCTTTGCATTGCACATATTTACTTTACCTCTGTGATATAGTTTTCATCTCTGTTTCATCTCTCATCATTTCCCATTACTCTTTCTTTTTCCCTCTTCTCCCTCTGGCACCTGCATGTAACGTAGCGCCTGTCTGTACATGGAATCGGTCTTCTGCAGCCGTACGTCCCTTGGTGTTGTTCCTTCTTTCTGGCCCTTCCGCTCAACTCTTCATTGGGTAATCTCCTTAGATAGACTCGAGACCATCTCCGTCTTCTTACCGCTGACTGCTGATTGGAAACCATGTACACCAGCCAACCAAACCGCTCGCACCCCCTCACTACTCCACTTGCCTTCTCCCGATTTCAATTCCAATTCTCTTACCAAAACGGCGCGAACTGAATGTATTGTAAATAGCTGTCTACCCCTTGTTTTTATTTCCAATGAATAGGAGGTGCCTTCCAGTTGCCATTTTTATTGTTATCCGATCCGTTGTGCGTCGTGCGTCGTGTGTGTATTACTTAACCTTTATAGTTGAAAGGAATGTGAGGAACTGGTAACTACCCTGTGCACTGTGCACAATAGAGCACAAGGATCTCCGGCGGCATGATTCACTGGTCCCAAAGATACGGGTTCTACACGGCACTGAGCGGACGCGTGCGTTGTTTGTGTGGTTCTTGGTTCTTTGCACGGACTTGGGGTAGTTGGATATCGATTATCAGCTTGCTCCTCGGGAAGAAGCATTGATACTGATAGACCCCATGCTGCTCACTTCTTTCTACTTCTTTTAGTTCCTTCAATTCTTTCAGGGTTCTTTCTAGGCATTTTACCAGCCTTCTTTATTTGACGAGGACAAAAATAACTTGACCACTAAACGTGAGTCAAAATATCAACACGATAGTGACTCATGGGCCGAGGAGATAATGATAATGAGATATTAATCGGCGCCACGAAGGTCTTTGGGGCAGGGACACACAACATACACAAGGCGGAGGCAAAAACGGGTATCTTCTTCTCTTTGTTTCATTACCGTAGTTAACCGATATTATTACTCGTTGCGGTAGCGCTATCTCCGATGGCTTGCTTCCTTCTTTCCGTTCATTCATTCATTCATTCAAGCTTGTGTGCGTCAGCGTATGATGAATGAAATGCAGCAAGTTTGCATGGAAGATGTACACGGGAGATAGAAGACGCGGGTCAGAAGGTAGACGATAGAAAGGGTACCCACGCGGAATGCCGAGGAGAGTAAGATTCTACTACACAGGTAGGAGGATCAAGTGAGAGCAATTGTACATTGTATATTAAACTTCTTCGGGAATCTTCTCGAGAACAAAACTCTAGCCGAAAGGAAAAGGGCAACAACGACGTAGGATAAGGAAGAAAACCTGCCCAAAGTAACACCATGAATTGAATATGAATAACTAATATGAACGGGGCGGGAGAGCGCGAGGAAGTAAGGGAAGTAAAGGAAGCGAGGGAAGCGAGGGGATCTTGCTATTTGGTCGATCGGCCGTGTTATCGACGAAGAAGCCAGCTCCAGAAGAATGGTATCTGATGTCCTGTGTGAGTTTGTATGGGAGGGTACAGTATATGAGTTTCGACATGCGATTGCAGCGAGTTTTGCGAGGAGCGAATGGAAAAAGGAAGCAGGTAGAGAGACAACGTACTGTGGGAAGCCGCAGCATTGACGAGAGGAGTGTTGGCCGTGATGGTCGCGAGAGGCGTGAAGGTCTGGCTCGTCGGGAGAACGGCGTTGGAGGGGCTGTTTATGGCATGAATAAAGAAGATCAACGGATCAGCGGAAATAGAGTGGCGGAAGGGATCGACGGAACATACGCAAGCGTCTCAATCGTCAAGCTGGTACTGTGTCGGACGGCAGGGTACAGTAAGCTTCGGAGGAGACATACGACACATTGATGATGAACGGGTTGACGTACATTAGAATAATAGACGTCGACTCTGTGATCGCCGGGCGATCATCGTCATCATCCGTCCCCGATCCCGACACCGTTTCCGTAGGCCGGCGATCGTCGTCCAGATCAGTACTGCTTGCCCTGAGTGGACACACAAGATGAAATGTCGTCGATCAAGATGTGCGATTACAACAAAACAAACTCAAAAGAACACAGTCACACACATCTGTGAAATGGTCCCGGTCATCATCTCGCCCTCCCTTGATCGTCGCCTCGGAGCATTTAAGTATCATCGTCAGCATCTCCTCGCCTCGGAGACATGCCCCATGACAAGATCACACTCACCCACGTTCCTCTTCATTCACGGCGGGGTCACGGGAGCTGTCTGTCCATTTCAGCGTGCGGCATGAAACGTGCTCACAACCAGCTTGCCTTGTACCAGCATCAACTAGCCTGACAGCAAAATTCATACCGCCGGTCAGAGATGATTTAATTCCGAGCATATGAAACGTCTACGGACCTTGAAGTATAGTCAGCCGTCTGCGCTCTGATCAACGTACAGCATAACAGGAAGCAGAGAAGACAGAAGACGAGAGGGGCTCTAGTCAGCATTTCGTCGACCGTCGGAGGCGGGGAAATAGCAGTCTGTTCATATGATGTCTTTATAGACCAACTGATAATTTAAATCGGCACACTTCCGAGGGACGTAACACGCTTGGTATTCAAGAGAAGGTCTTGGCGCACTCGCATCCGCTGCAATAACTGATCAACTAAACCTATATTCAGTAGTGCAGCCAGTCGTACTGGCTCTCAACCGTGGGTCCCACTCCTCCGGGCTACCAATCGGACGGAGCAAATGTCCCGAGGGAAAGTTGTGCCTTCACATCGACCCTCCTGGGTACTTTTTGTTATCATGCCGGACTGTCGGTCCACCTGGCTGCCCATGCCCGTGGGTTCATCGTCAGCTATCGAAGCGCTGCGCCACTGGGCTGCTTAGGATAGCATCATCTCTGCGGGATGTTTAGGCACAAACTAGGCAACAATCTTGCTTTCCAGCCAGCTGGTATTCATCTCATCCCCGCTCTTCTCCGGACCAAGTTGCTGGAAATGAACCCAAAGCTCTGCAAGGGGGAATTTGCAAGTATAAAAGGCAATCAATAGTAATGACCGAAACAGTGTAGATTGTGTCAATTTCATCGATGTGGTTGGACGTAAAATATGGCCGTAATGGCAATGCAGGAAGACGCATCGTAGATCCGAGCGCTCAGCGTGAGACGGTCTTGTCCAGGTTTTTTGAATGGAAAAATAGCCGTTGTCGGTTATCTAACAGGCAAGTTGTCAGCCAAGCCATCGAGTGGGACAAATTGTGAGAAAACATGAGAACGCACTCGGTCTTAAAGTATTTAACAGCGGAGAAATCTCAAAGCACAGCAGTCCGAGGTTGTCCCATGAGGCGATTGGGAAGCCACTGGTAGACGTTCAATTCGGATACTAAAAGTGCTGCGCCACCCTTCAGTGACAGAGAATCGGGAACATTCAGGAACAGAGCATAATGGCGGAACAGGTGCAAAAACTTCATGAGAATTGCTTGGAGGGGCCGACACAAGGTACGCGACGTTATCTTTTCTCAAGACTGTAGATACAAAATGCCCAGCTAGCGCACTTGAGGCACAGCAACGTCCCAAGGGCCCCGTATCTCACTGCACGGGAACGTGTTATTCCTTGAACGGAAGTCTGGTCTTGGTACTCACTTTTTGAATCGCTGCGCCCATACGAGCGCTAAAGGTGCACCGAATGTTACGAAACCTAATATCGCGACTTGTATCCTCGTAACCAAGTGGGAAACCTCCGAGGTCAGGTGTATCGACACCCCGGATACGCAGAACGTCAACAATGCCCTTAGAAGTGATGGCATCATCTGAAAGTCAAGAATTAGAGCGTTATGTCAGGGATCAGCGGATACTCACTAGTAAGCGCGTCCTTAGCATGGGAAACAGCGCGAACATTTGGATAGAGAATAACGTTAAGGCGAAAACGGAGACATCGTCGCGAAGTCGCGAAGCAAGAACTACGGATGCAGATATTCCGGCATTCATGGACAGAACAGAAGTCAGCCTATGAAAAGAAGATATCTCCATAAGCTTCTACTGCGGAAGGAACAAGTTGAGCGCAAAATCGTACCTTTCGCGACCTAGACGTCCGCTTCTGGATGGACCATAATCCGCCAATAGAATATTCAGTATGAAAAGACACGCTGTCAGAGCCCAGATGGAGTCTGATGACGTTGATGCTGTGAGAGTCCGTAAGACTGGTGACAAGGCAAGAAGAGCCAAGAAGACGAGGATGGACGACTTGAGTGCCTTCGCCCCTTCGGAACGACAAGAGTTCTCAGCACTGAATGCGTCATATGAAATAAGGTGCTTACTGTGTTCCCTTTCCATTCTCTGACCGAACAGGAAGCAGTCCATGAGCTCCCAGAGTAGATATCCGAGCAAAAACATTCCGACAGAAATCCAGACGAGGACACGTGGGTCCCAGGATTCATCGTACAAATGTACGAATGTGACTAGAAAAATAAAGATGGAAGAGACGTGTTGTGCGATCGTGCATGCTGCCAGTACGAGAGGCCAGTACGTATATGGGCAAAAATTGGCTGTAAAACGAGTATCGATTCCTGGGTCAGTATCTGTCTGACATCCACACGAGTGGCACACGCACCATTGCGTCTAAGAGATGAGAGAAAAGAGTCGGGTATGTAGTTGTCAGGGTATGGCTGCTTTCTCCATAGCAGTTTCTGCCACTCTGCGGACATCCACCGAGGTGGACGACATACAACGTGAAAGTCGTCGTCGTTGTTCAAAACGATAGCTTACAATCGACTTTAGGACACGTCAAATGGTTCACACGGCGTATCATCATATTTTCTCAGTCCATTAGATGAATTATTTTATTTTGGCTAGTCCTGTATGCCCCTCAGGGTATATGCGTTGGAAGGGCAGTAGAGATTGACTCGCAGTGACTTTAATTGCATAACAATTGAAGTATTCAAACATCACAGAAAGCGCAATACATGATCAATAAATATAGTCCCAAATCGGCTTCATATCGCTACAACTGCTTCAATCCCACTAAATATTCATTTTCGCAAATAGCCCAGTGAGAATAACAACAGACAGTAATCAAAGTCACAAAGAAGTACGTACCACGAGTTGTTCATCCCGTCTATCCTGAGTTGGTTGTTTCACCGGTTTATTCACTTGTGACGCCAGTTTACCAGCATTCGGATTCTTCTTGTTCGTTAATCGTTCCAAATCCTGAAGAATGATAAAGAAGGATGTCGACTGTGAGCTAAATCGCCACAAAAGAACAAAAAGAAATGGTTGCTTTAAGCACCTTCTGCTGTCTCTCCTTCGCAGCCCGAGCAAGCCGTTCCCGTCTTTGTTCAGGACTCTCGTGCTGAGGGAGCGGCTGAGTCGGCGACTGCTCAGTGCCAGATCCGAGGACGGTATGTCCGCCGGTGTGCGTTCCCGGCTTGGAACATAAAGAACCCATGTTACGAGAGGAGTCTAGCTTGGACGATCTGGGTTGAGAGCGAACGCCGGAGACCGGCAACGGCGTGAGTGTGGCGGGACGACCAAGTCGGGCGCAGTCCCATACCATTACTTTAGTACTCTTGGCGCTGCGGTCATTTTCTAAACATTCCGCTCATGGCATTATGTTGACAAGACTCATGAATCGATATATATGAAGTCAAATATAATCTATGTGTATAATTACAAAATGAAGGTCGAGTATGAAAAACAGGCAGTTATAGGTCGTTGTTTTCGATATGCTCATACTCCCCTCGCCGCCTCTCATCATCTTCGGAACGTCGCGAGAACGGTGAATGCACACCCAAGTTTATGCGTTCAAATGGTAGTCGGGGATTCCACGTCTATATTGCACAGACACATAGCTCAGCGGATGCATCTGCAACATTGATGCCTGAGAGACTCACCTCCCACCAACGTCTTCCCGAGGTCCACGGTACGCTAAAGTCGATTCCGGCCTTTACCATCTTACCCTTGATTCCCGCTCCGAGGAGCAGTCCAAAAATCGTGAGCAAGAAGAGTGTAACCACAAGTTGATCTCGTGGCGAATCCCGCTCTGAGGATATCAAAATCATAAATGAGACGGATGAATATCCGTAGATAATTCTCAGAATAATGAGAAAAACGCACGGAAACACCGGGCTTCGACGTCGCCCTCTTTGCCCGTAGCGGTGTCCGGATCGGTATCTCCCAATGTTGCGCCTTGGCAGATGGGTAGGTTCTGGTTAATGCACCACTGCTTTGTGCAGGAGAGACATGGCTTGGATGGGTTGTCAGGCGTGACTAGATGCAAGATCGTGTAGTTTGAACCGAAGCATATGCCTGATAACAATGCTAAGTATGAGCACCCGTTGCTACGATGAAGTGCTATAGCATGGTACGTACATTTACAGAAGCTCGTAGCCTCCCATTTCTCTCCAAGATGAGCTGCTTGCACTGGAGTCTAATGGCATTGAATCAGAATCAGAATGACCAGGCTCTCAAGCAAGAAATACAGACAGAAGCGAGAATAATAGATAGTACTAGTGTCGCGAAAGTAGCCAGCGTAAGAGACAGAGGATGCATCTGGAGCAAAGTGCAAGTGTGCCAGCTCGAGGGAACTTGAAGAGACACGCGCAGGTCGCAACTGCTACAACTGTCACGACGCGTCGGTCGTCCTCTGTCTGTCTCGAGTCTCCTTCCCTTCGCGCGTCTCTCGTTACGTTTGCACTTCAAGCTCGCAAAATGTCTACAGAGTTTGACGATGTGCTAACAAACCAGCCTGTCGTCATTGACAATGCGAGTATTTGTTAGCTGCTGCACCACACAAGCCTCGCGAATCTAACACGGACTCCTATGCAGGGCTCGGGCACCATAAAAGCAGGCTTTGCTGGCCAAGACCATCCAAAATGCTTCTTTCCGTCATTGTGCGTATAAAAACATATATGTCATACTTGATGTATGCTAATGCCTAATTCATTGTTTAATAGTGTCGGCCGACCGAAACACGTACGCGTTATGGCTGGTGCGTTGGAGGGCGACACCTTCATTGGTCGGAAGGCACAAGAGTTTCGTGGATTGCTGAAGATCAAATATCCTATGGAACACGGTATTGTAACTGATTGGGATGACATGGAACGTATATGGAATTGGGTGTACACGGAGGAGCTAGGAACGCTTAGTGAAGAGGTGCGTTGTGCTGATCTGATATCTAACTTATATTCTGGTGTCTGATATGTAATTCCAAAAGCACCCTGTACTCTTAACTGAAGCTCCTCTCAATCCACGAGCCAATCGGGACATTGCCGCACAGATATTCTTCGACACTTTTAACGTTCCTGCTCTGTTCTCTTCCGTCCAGGCAGTTCTATCTTTGTACATTCTCTACACCCCTCCCCGCGTTGAGCAGCTGCTTATACCATCTACAGATACTCTTCTGGCCGAACAACTGGCATAGTACTCGACTCAGGCGACGGCGTAACACACGCAGTCCCAGTATTCGAAGGTTTCTCGATGCCACACGCGATTCGCCGAGTAGACATCGCAGGACGAGATGTCACAGACCACCTACAACTCCTTCTCCGCAAAGCAGGTCGACACTTCCATACATCCGCTGAATTCGAAGTCGTACGCACGATCAAGGAGCGTTGTTGTTACGTCGCAGCCAACCCTTCAAAGGAGGAGAAAGACACTGCTGGACGGACAGAGGAGTTCCACCTCCCCGACGGGACTGCAATACAACTTGGCTCGGAACGCTTTCGTGCTCCTGAGATACTGTTCAATCCCGAACTTATTGGTCAGGAATATGCGGGTGTACACCAGGTGGTTGTTGACTCTATAAACCGTGTGGACCTTGATCTTCGGAAGAGTCTCTTCTCAAATATCGTACTTAGTGGTGGAAGCACCTTATGCAAAGGTATGTCAACGCTAGATGTTCTCTGTAATTAGTGCTGAACAATTAAAAGGCTTTGGCGACCGATTACTGAACGAGGTGAAACGACTGGCCGTCAAGGACGTGAAAATCAAGATCTACGCGCCCCCAGAACGAAAATACTCTACTTGGATAGGCGGATCGATTCTAGCAGGTTTGAACACGTTTAAAAAGGTGCGTTATGTCATTCTTTTCCTGATTATTGAAATAATCTCGTTTGGTTGTAGATGTGGGTTTCTGCAGAAGAGTATCAAGAAGACCCGGAAATCATCCACAAGAAGGCCGGGTTCTGATTTTTTTCTCCTATAGATTCTTCTACTATTCTGTTTATGCGCAGGGCTTCTTCATTTGTCTTCAAGTCAATATTTTCTCGGTAATACCCATTGCCCACCTGTATCAGCTAGTGATCTTAATACCAGTATTCACTTATATCACGGAGAAACAAGGACGTTGCATGAAAGCATACGCATAGATTGCGGGGTCCATACATGACAGACAGAAATGTAGATGGTTTTTTGGACATACAAAGCGGATAGAAGAACGTAAAACAACCAATTCACCGGTACCTGCGGAGAGAGAGGGTGTTGTGCCTCTTCCAGGTGGAGCGGACTGGGGTGTGGTTGTAGCGGTGACCTTTGCCGATACCACGGTTCTGCAAATAATGGATTAGACGAGAACCTTGTTAAAAGTAAATAAACACGTACTTGTTTGCCAATGCTTGTCAGGCCGCGTGCTTCGCGACGCTTGTGTACCGGCTTGGTGATCCAGTTGATCCTGGCGTCGCGACGAATCTATACGCCGATTAATATAAGTAATTTTACATGAAATAGATACGAAGAGACTTACAGCCTTGTGGTTGGGGTCAACAAGGATGACCTCGTAGTACTTGTAAATACCATCTTGGTTGATCCAGTACGAGTTCAACACGCGGAGGTTACCACAGCGGCGTCCGACACGTTCTTCTGCAATCGAACGGAGACCACGCTGGAACTTGAGGTGGTTCACACCCTGGCGGACGGGCTTGCCGTACGTCGCGCCCTTAGGGACGGGCTTCTTGCGGTTACCACGACGAACACGAACACGGTAGATGACATAGCCTTGCTTGGCCTTGTAACCGAGGCGGCGCGCCTTGTCAGGGCGTGAGGGACGCGAGGCACGGTGAATGACGTTCAGTTGGCGGTATTCCCAGCAGCGGACACGCAGCAGGAAGCGGAGGACATCCGACTGCTTCTTCTTGTAGAGCTCCCCGATGTACTTGTACGCGCCCATCTGTCCGTGAAATATGGAGAAAGTCAGCAAGATTCGTTACATCCAAACTTTGCGTTGGCCATCCATCGTCTTCTCGCGATTCCAGCCATGCCAGACACAGTCCATCACATTGTAGAGCATATAGACAACCAATCCAGATGTTTCACAGAGTGAATAGCTGCTCACCTTGATGTCGGGGACCGATTGTCTTGAGGGTGTTGAGGACGGCTCGAAAACAGACGAGCGTTTGGTGCACTGCTTTAGGGCCGGAGCTAATTGAGTTGGTCGTTGTTCCGCAGTTTCAACGCGTAATTTATGGTCACGCACAGTCCGTTACTCTGCTGCTTCTGATTCCGTCACCAACGCTCACTACGCTCAACCACTGTACCCGCCATGAGCACAAGCTCGAATTTTGCGAGCACGTTCGCCCCCTACGTGAGCCTACTCTTTTTCAAATTAATTTAATCAATAAATTCTGAAACCTTCGCGCAGACTCCTCCACCAGACGACCCCGTACAACGTCCGCCCGCACCTGCATCGGCTTCACGTACTAAAGCACCTCCTCGTCCTTGGTTTCCTACTCAACCTGAAACCTCTTCGTACCAATCTGGTGGACTACCCACTCTGGGGACTTCTTATGGAGGTGGAGGTGCTGGTGGCGTTACTATGGGCGGATTCGGAAATCAGCCAGAGGCAGACGGACCAACAAACCAATGGGAGTCGCGGTTCAACATGCGTGTCGACGTTCTGGCAGCTTTTGCGTACTTACTGGGGCCAATCTCTGGTATGTTGTAGTTGTTAAGTCAAAGGCTTGTCTAACGAGCTGCGCAGCGCTCATTTGTCTCATACTCGAGACTCATAATGACTACGTTCGATTCCATGGTCAGTATCTCACATTAACTTGCCAGGAATCAAAAAGAAGGCTAACAGGGTATTTAGCGTATCAATCCGCGCTTTCGACGACACCGCTTGTGTTGCTACGAATATTTACCTCACTTGTTCACTTTCCCTCGTTCTTAAACACACTCATCACAATAATACTCGTCGTCTTTATTCTATTCATGGCGTAAGTTATTCTTCTAGTCTAATAATGATCTTGAGCTATAGTCTGACGTCTGCCTCTTTCAGGTTTCGAGCATATGTTGATGCAGCTCGGAATAATCTTACTAGATATTACCTGCCATACGTTGGATTACTAGCAGACCAGTGGGTCTCGGAGGAATAGAACTAGGACTTCTTCCACTGCAATTACTATGAAGTGTAGCATTTTATTTATCTACTGTTTTATGACTCTCTGTGAGCCGACTTTTTATACCATTCCGCAAACTCATGCAAGCTCGGGTAGCATTTGCCCAATTGAAATGAGTGGATTCGTCTATCGCAAATGAAAGGTTATATATTCGTCCGTAGTCGAACGAACTCCTCGCACGAACATAACTCTGTTCGTGCAATTGCCCGCAAACGCAGAATCAATGAAATGATTGTGCTTACTTGTAGTTAAGCCTTTAAAATTCAATGATTTATTCCTTAGAAGATGACATAATAATATGAGATAATCACAATCGGAACTTGCCGGGCACCCAGTTAGGGATGAGATTGCGAGACGACGACGAAAGCCCAGCAAAAGGCGCGACGACAGGCCACCTTTCCAAGACAAAATGGTCAGTATCTGTTCAATGCAGGTTTTCAGTATGCCTATGTGCCGTCTGAGCACCACACAATCCACTCCGTGTGGTGGAATGGGATGGATGGAACGAATGGCTGTTGGCTGACGGAAGCTCAGATCCGGATGGCACACGATGGCTTCAAGCAATGTTACTGACAATTTGACATGCAGGATCCTTCATCACCGATAACACTACGCACGCGTAAATTCATTACGAACCGCCTGCTCGCTCGGCGCCAGATGGTCGTCGATGTGTTGCACCCAGGTCGCCCGAACGTGTCCAAGGCGGAGCTGAGTGAGAAGCTCGCACAGCTGTACAAAGCAGACAAGGCTCGTGTTGTGCCGTTCGGTTTCCGCACGCACTTTGGTGGTGGACGCAGCACTGGATTTGCTCTGATCTACGACGACGAGGCTGCTCAGAAGAGGTTTGAGCCGCGATACCGATTGGTTAGGGTGCGTGTTTTGGTACTTCATATCTCAAGTCTGAAGCGACGCTTATGCTTTTCGTTCTTATTTTCCTATTGCAGGCTGGTCTTACGCAGAAGGTTGACAAGCCATCTCGTAAACTTCGCAAGGAGCGTAAGAACCGTGCAAAGAAGGTATGTTAATGAAATCTTCGTTTAGCGATTGTTTGAACTCATTAAACCTTCTTCTACCTCTAGCTCCGTGGTACGAAGAAAACGAAGGCTGCGGAACCTGCGAAGAAGGGCAAGTAAACGACTTCGACCTGCCAGGCCAACGCCGTGGCCGTGTGGGAGGATACGACCTTGGCGTTGGCTGGCATGGGCTGCATCGACCATGCTTGGTATGGCAGGATGTGGACGGATACTGTGTACTTTTTCCCGCCTCTCGTTGTTTCTGCCTACAACAAAAGTTTTCCTGGGTGTACCAATGATACTCCTTTTCCTCAGTTTCGCTCTCCTCCCGTACCCCTGCATGGTTTAATACATGTCACTTATATGCATATGCAATATCAAGCTCAAACATCCAAGTGAACATTTTATTTGTGTTGACTGCTTAGAAGACTCGGAGTAAGTTTGAATGAATGTTAGACGCTTGAGGGCGTCTTGACGGATGCTAAAATGCACGTGAGGCTGTGCTAAAAATGTTGTTGTAAAAGTAAGAATAAGTAGATCGGCGCGGCTTGCCTCATTGCAGGATTCTCACCAACCAAGGCAGGCAAGCCGTTCCAAAACGTGCTTGTCTGCTCATGACACCGACACGCACGCCTTGCTTCTGACCACCATCTAACCTGCCTACTATTTGACGACATTATCTACCCTATCTAACTATCTGGTCTACGAAATTACTTACGAAACTATGACACGACGAACTAAGCAACTTGTTGGATTCAGTATAACATGCCTCCTAGCTGCTGCGCACGGCGGGCATGCATTACCTCAGCTTGGCGCCCTCAAGGATACACTTGCAGAATCAATAAGAAATGTCGTACCACGAGGATTTGCTGATTTTACGTTGGAGCGTCGACAGAACAATAATTCAACCAACACAACGTCCAGTTCGAATACATCGTTAACCGATGTTTGGTTATTGGAAGATGAATTTTCTGGAAAGTCATTCTTCGAGTACGTTTCATGTCAAGTACGTCGTAAAAGCACGAGAGCTCATGCTTGAACACAGTAATTGGACATTCTTCACCGGTCCAGATCCTACACAGTGCGTATTTACCTGCTTCGACCGTCCTATTCCTTTCTGACGTCAGAAATATATATAGTGGTCTAGTACAGTCAGTACCATCTCAATTGCATCATTTTTAATGTGTGTATCTGATTGTCGGTATTGTCACCAGCTTCGTCGATCGAGATACTGCGCTCAGCCAAAACTTGGCATTTGTTACGGATAATAACACGGTGATTATGAAGGGTGATAATACTTCTTGGGTGAATATCGGAGATAATAGGTCAAGGTCAGTCGGATTATTGCGAGGCATATCTCGTGAGACATGTTCTAATGTATGTTATATTACTTTTGTGTTAGTGTTCGAATACAGAGCAACAAATTTTGGAATGGCGGTCTCTTCATTCTGGATTTGAATCGTGCACCATGGGGATGTGGTACGAATCCTCTTACTTGGTAGATGTACAAATAAATTTTGCTTACACATTACCTTAGGTGTCTGGCCTGCATTCTGGTCGCTCGGAGCTACTCAAGCATGGCCCCAAGTATGTTAAAAAATATATGCTATCGCTCTCTAGCATAACTGACAAAACATAATAAAGGAAGGAGAAATCGATATTTTAGAAGGAGTTCACGATAATGTTCACAACCAAGTCACTTGGCACACTCTTCCAGGCTGTGTACTTGAAGACACCGGCAATTTCACGGGTACTATGGTAGTACGTGTTTGCAACTCTTTGATCTTCGATTTTCAATCAACGGGAACTGACAATTCGGACTATACAGGGCCAAACACAATGCGATGCAACACTCAATAACAACGCAGGGTGTGGGGTTACCGACTGGAGTCGTGTTTCGTATGGAGAAACTTTCGACGCGCAAGGTGGAGGTGTGTATGCCATGTTATGGGATGAAACGGGAATCGCAGTCTGTACGTCGCCCCGTGTTGTTCTCCGCTCCCTGTCCCCTTTCCTGTGAATTGACATTCGCTATTGGGCTATTGGGTATCGGGTTGCAGGGTATTTTTACCGCGTCTCGATTCCGCAAGATATCGTTGATGGAGATCCGAAGCCGAAGACGTGGACGACCCCCTCTGCGGCGCTGTCCCCATCTGGCTGCGATCCGTTCCAGTACTTCAAGAATCACTCGATTGTGTTTGGTGCGTTTGAAATAGGAATTAAGTGTACAAATGAAGTTAATGCTAATTCATCGGCCTTTCCTTAACCCATAGACATCACGTTCTGTGGAGACTGGGCGGGAAACACTTACGAAACTACACCCGGGTGCACTGGCTCATGTCCGGAACATTTACAAGACCCTGCGAACTTCGTGGTAAGTCCCTTTTTTACACCCTGACTTACCATATGGAACTGGCTAATAAGCATGCATCATTGTGATTGTAACAGAATGCATCATGGGACATTAATTCGCTGAAAGTATACACAAAGGAATCACTTAAAGGAATCGTCGTTAGCTCGGAGGGTTCACAGTTTTCGCCGTATAGCACCATTCTTGGTGTGCTTGCGGGATTTGCTATGCTTCTTGTGCTTTCTTGAATGGAAATGCATCGGATGGTTCGGGAATACGGGTAATGGGTTTGCCTGGAGAAGTTGGTACGATGCAAATGTATCACTTGCCCTCGCAAACAATGGAAAACTTACACTGGACCGTGGAGAATGGACAACACGGACGGAATTATCATGCCTTGGATGGACAATCACCGGAGTTTGTATATCATACAGTACACACATTGTTATCTCTTCAATGGAACATGGAATTATTGAACACATTAAAACCAAACCACTTCATTTTCAGATACAGTACTACTGCTTTGTTTAAATCTTTATTGTCGTACGGTTCTCGCGCAAGATTTCCCGGTGCGAGGAGGTAAGGAGTACGATGCTACGCCACGAAGTGAGTATACATTTTATTTAAATCGCGGGAGAAGCTCTCGAGAGCGAAGATTTTGAGGAAGGGTAGCAAGCTTGTGCACGCGTCATGCACGCCGTGGACGCGTGCTTGCCACGACGTGTCTTCGGTCGGAGTCTCAATCTGAGTCACTTCCCTTCTTGCCCTGGCGATGCTCGGGAAGAAATGAATGCAACATCTTTGTCCCTAAAGTCAATGGGCTATCGAGCCATGTTTTTGGGTTGAACGCGCGTTAGAAGATAAGAAGTTGAGAAGAACCAAAATGAAGACTGGCGAGCTATTCTCTCCTGTTTCAGAAAATCGACGCAAAGGTGCATGAGCTTCTAGTGCAGCGCGGTGTGGAAATATTGTACAATAATCTAACAACTTGTTCATGTTGGGGATTTCCGGCGACGGGGATGTATATTCAAGCGCGTGTCTAGATCTATTTGGATTGTTTCTCTGTGTGCATGAACGGGATTACAACCTCAGCTTGAATAGTTTAGGACCTTCGCCGTCCGGCGGGTTGAATTCAACGGATTCTGCTGGTGCTTCCCCTTCTGAATCGGCGAGAGGTGGCTCAGCGAAACTGGCACGTAAGGGTGTGACGCTGGCATAGCCTCGCTCGAGAGCCCAAGCGTCGGAGCCCACCGGCGCGGCGATGCGAGGACCGATGAGACCACTCATGTCCGGTGCGAACTTGAATACGAGCTCCGGTGCGTGACTGATTTCTCCTGGAGTGCGTTTAGAAGACAATGATTTGGCTTGGGGAAATGCGTCTGTTTGAGGAGCCTCGGACCGGTAACGGTCTGCTGGATCTCCCTTATTCGAGGAAGAAAGCTGAGCATCCGGACCTCCTGCTGGCACCGCCTCGGTGCCCGTCGGCTCTAGCGTGAACGGCTTGAACAACCTTCCATACGCGTTTCGCCAGATTTTGGTCCACAGGACGGGCAACCCTTCCCCGTTCAGCAGGTCGTTTACCATCGGGATATTTACGTTGTAGAGGTCAACCTGCCCGTTGCGTAGCCCATCCTTGTCTTTACCCCAGTTTCTGAGAAGAGACTGGATAATCTTAATGGCAAGTTTATGTGCCGGGTCGAAAAGCTGAGGCGGAACTGGATTTTGCACTGTACCGTACGACAGAGCAATGGCCCGACAGCGTGATAAAGAGGCTGAGAGTGCTGCTCCGATGGTACCAGACGAAAGAGCGAAGGCAGCTATAGACCACTGATAAATTCGCGTCCACTAATGAGACCATGCACGGGTAATCTTACATGACGAGTTACGCCCTAGGTTAGGTCCAGAAATCTGAAATAAATATTGCTAAGGATTGACAAGTAAGGACACACGAAGAGCATAGACTTACCACCAAATCAATGGAGTCCTTGAAGAGGTTGTTCAAAGCAATATTGGCACAAGTAGCAGGAGTCTGAATGTATGCAGCATTAGCGAGCTATACATCTGTATGATACTGCAATCTTGAACACTGACTCCATCTAGTAGAATCCATTCAGCAAACTCCCCCAGCTCCCTCTTCAATGGACGAGAGGTGCTCGAAGTTTCTCCAATTCCATCTAAACATCGAAATTTAGAGCACACACGAAGCAGACAAGCCATTGGAGATCCAGAGTAAACAATGTTTGGCAATAACGTTTCTCACCTGGAAGGCGTGGATAATAGTAGAAGCCCTTGGTGATTTCTTTGATATGGTATGCCTTGCCGATCCAAGATTTCTGAGTAGAAGGAACGACAACCTTTACATCCCAGTCTAGTATTGAACTGGAATCAGCTACCGATGTAATGTTCCACAGACAGTCATTTGTAAACAACCTAGGTCTTCCACGAGATGACGTGCGAGGCCGAAGATGTAAGGTGAGTCCTTGCCTGGAGGGCCGTCGTCATTCTAGAATGCCAGTCATTGAAGGTCAAGTTAGCAAGATTTCTGCAGCGGGAAAAGGATAGTTACAATACAGTTAGAAGAACACGAAGTCTTTGTGAGCCTGAGGTCATAGCCGAACCTATCAAACTAGGAACAGGTTCTGAGCATACTTTAGATCTGTCCAATCGATTAGAGTAGGTATTCAAATAATTGCACGTGAATTTCGTCCACTCTATCTACGTTTCACTCGTGAATAATATACCTCAGCGGTTATTTTGGCTTTGCAAATGCCATTATAGCGGGTTTCTCAGGGCATAACAATACGATAGACCATACTCGTTTATAAAATCGAGAGGTGCTGATCGAACTTGTGGAACAACAACACAGCTAGCTAGCAAAACATGTACATATGCATACACAATCCTCCGATGCAAAACAATGGTATCCAAGATAGCGTCGGTGTATAGGAAAGAACATGTTCCACATGAAAGCAAATAAACAGTATCCAATGCGTGTCGTGAGGGTAGTCGTGTCATGTTAGAATCTCCGAGATCGTGATGATGCAAATGTGGAAAGCAACCAAAGTTGAACAAATGATAAGTTGAGCTCCGCCAGTCCAGAATGAAAGTCTCATAAATCAAAGGGGAATCGGAAGTATCGAGAAGACCATGGGAAATTTACCACTGCAGTATCCGCTTGATGACGCTGTTATTCTCTTTTGTATGATTAGCGGCAACGTTCGTTGATGAGCCAGGATGGCTGAGCGGTGGTGCATCGTCATTGGTGGACTGCGCCATCCGACTTTGTTGCATCTATAATATCATGCGAGGATGAAGGCGATCAGCAATGAAACACTGCATACTACTGAAAGTGACTCACCTCGTAGTCCATGACAGGTACGTCAAAGAGTTGGCCCAAATACTTATTTTCCGTAAAATGGTATCCATTACGACCGGTGCAACGCTCTTGAATCGCCGTTGTTGTCCCAATAAATCTACCCATCATGTTATACTTAGCCCAGTTGATCTTGGAAGGATCATCATGCTTCGTGTCTGGGTTCCCCTCATGGGCGCGACGGAGATCAGATGTATGAACCTCGCTATGTGCTACTGGTGAGAAACGCAAATTAATTCCATATGTGGGCTAATGAACTTACAGAGAAGGAATACAGGGCCCTTTCGTGTTGCGCAGAGCCATGCGATATGACTGGTGAGCACCCGTCGTTCGCAGAAGGATGTCCGAGCTTAAGAACTTTTTATGCAAGTCGACTCTCAGCTTGAAGATCTCCATAGATGGGTCGCCATGGTATGTCGCCTGGTTAATGGCGGTGATTAGGGCACGGAGGGCAGAATAATTACTACGAAGGAATAATAAAAGAAATGAATACTCCTTGGTTTAGTGTAAATGTTTGGATGAATTACGTACTTCAGTAAACGCAACTTTGAAGCAACTTCAGCAAATTTCTCAATTTGACGAGCTCGGTTCTTCGCTTTGTCATGGCAAAGAATCAAAGAGACGGCCCTGAAAAGAAGGACCTTTGTGAACCCATGCTACGATTTGGTCAAGAGAACGCGTACCATTCATGGAGATCGTTGTAATGGGCATTGAACTTTGCTATTGGATCTGTCTTCGGGTCCTTCTTCCCAGGAATGAGCGTGTGCCGTAACCAGTCACGAGGCTAAGGGCAATATTTCAGCTGCTTGTTTGGGTTTACTTAGGAGCAGAAATACACACCTCGATCTTGAGAAACAGTTCCAGTTCGCGTCTCGTAATCTCATCTGCAATTGAATCGGCTTCATAGTTACTGAGAGCGGTGGCAGTTCGCTGCAATTTCGACACAATCTCCTTCGCCGATGGACCGCTTCGCTCGTCAGCGTTGTGAAATGCATTTAAGATCGGCGCCTTAAGAAGCGCCATCGCGTTTAGTGGAAGGCTTGATCTTCGCTCACGAGCGGATGAACGAGGGCTATTTGACGCCTCCGACGTGCTGTTACGGCTAGGTCTTGGAGAAAGCGAAGAGATAGGCGAGATCTTTCCAGTATCCAGACTACCGAAATCAGCGTCGAACATGCTGTCCACTTCTGTATCGCTCTCATGAGCAGAATAATCATCTGCTTTCAGGGCCCAGGGAGTTTCGTTGTCCCTCAACGTTCCAAGAGTATCGAGGAAAGGCAGAAACTCGGATCCATACGATAAGGTGTGCGAATAGGCCAGAACGTGTCTGATCACAGCATGGAGTGCGCCGTAAGTACCAGGGACCGCAAAATCAGAAGGATAATCCTTGATCCATTGCTCCAGCAAATTGCATATTCTGGGGCTTGTGTGAGTTATTGGTGAAGAGTCAACGAAAATTCTCTCATACCGCATTTGCGCAAAGCATGAAAGTGCAACATCTCCGGTAGATTGGCGTAGTTCGTTCATACGCTTTTGCATACCTAGAAGGATGGACCTCGGAGTTGCAAATCGGCGATATGTCAAGAAGAAATGAGATATGAAGGAAGGATCTATTTAATGACGTCAGTTCAACCAGTGATGCACACAGAAATCCTGAAAGACGTACCGTCCCCGCTAATGGCTAAGAAGAACAGCTTTTCAAGGAGCTCGTCTAATGTAACCCAGGGGCTCGGTGGTGACCTTCATTCCACGTGAGGATCTTCAAAGAGTGCACAACAGTTTTTGCATACCTCGTATTCTGTCTTTCCCTATCTGAACAATTACTACAGGATACGCGACCCTTCTCGATCGCTCTTAAAGATAAAGAAGATATTGGTCTCCGAGGGGCTGGAGATCCAACGAGAGATTCTGCACTCTTCGTGGATGAACTTGACAGGCTCGCCTGACTCTGTTTCAGGTTTTCATTGTCACTTAAAACCGTCGGGGAAATGAAATGTCGTTGGTCGTTCCGTAAGTCATTCATAGAACACGCTTTTGTCGGGGATCGCCCCGCCGATGGTGAAGGCGAAGAAGACAGCCTCGTGCGTGACGAAAGAGACTGGCTCATGGAAGGACTCTGTGGGGAAGTGGGTGATGCTAAGTCAATGGAAGTTGCAGATCCACCTGTTTGCACGGAAAGTGATACGTCCGTTGCCTTCTTTACTACCCTTACGGGCAGGTCAACGGATGTCACGCTCTCTCGTTTCGTGTGTGCGACGGTCAATGGATGTGAAGGAACTAGGAGTAAATATTGAATAATCAAATGAGTTAGAATTGTAAAACATGCGGTTGAGTTAGAAAGGTGAGCTCACATTGCAGAGCAACGACTTGCTTGACTAGGTGTTCAACAGCTTTTCTCATGCGGCGCTTACCCTCGTCCGAGTGGTGGGAGACTTCGATAAGCTTACTGTAAGGATGAACTGCAATCGCCGCCTCTTCTGGGGGCACGCGTTTCTCCAAATCGGCTTTACATGCAATCACCAGTGTGGGAATGCGCAATGCTTTGAGTCCAGCTATAGGAAGGATCAGCTGACGTGTAATTAGGCGTTCGCACTGAGCATCACTTACTCGCAAGTTGGACTACATCTAGAAACGATACACGGTCCGACTCATCATAGCATATAAAAGCACCATCAGGCCGGGGCAATCCGGAAGGCCAGACGGATAAGAGAGCAGCCCAGTCGTCGTCCCTCCACTCTAGAGAATTATATTCGTACACCAAAACGGTAGTATCAGTATTGAACTCGTTCAATAAATGAGCAGTTCGACGGGTGTCTGACAACGCCTTCCAGTCAGAAAATGATTGTACCAGTAGCATTTTGAATCGATACGTACAATTGACATTTCGCGTTGTATTTCCTATGGCCACGGTCGCCGAGAGGGTTTCGGGACCAGATAAATCGTGCTTCTTCAGGCCTTTACGGATGAATGTCGATTTCCCACATGATGGTGGCCCTATAACTGCTATAGATATTTCTCGAGTAATCTCCGGCTTCTGCAGTATTAGTCTAAGTTCAAGTTAATGAGAGAAGCTCACACTCACTCTAGGGGCCTGGTTGCCGAACGATAACCTCTTCGCTATTTTCTGAGTCGTACTCTTACTTGGTGGACCAACGCTATGTGAGCGAGAGCGCTTCGTTGCTTTCGGTCCGGCTCGATCTGGTTCCTGAGATGATACCATGGCATTGGGAGCTGGTCTTGAATCGGATGAGTTCGATGCCTTAAGGTTGGTTAAGCTAGTAGATGCCCCACGCGAAGGCAAGCGCGGAATGTCTGATGGCTCAGAATTGGAACCAGAATTCTTGTTCGATTTTAAACTGAGTAGACGCGCTCGTACGCGCCCCGACCAGCCGTTTGATTTTTCCAAGTCTGATTCTTCTGGTGCTGACGTCTCGTTGTCAGTGGTGTTTGCGTTGCTTACACCACGCTTGCGTCCCACCTTGGATCGCAAGATGCCTGATAACGACATGGCGGAGGGAGGTGAAGAGAGGGTACGCGCATCTGTCCGCTCCGGCTGCGAGTTACTCGGTTCCTCGTCGAGATGTACCGACGCGTCGTCACGGTCGCGATGCAATCCGTTGATAGGACTATCCGATTGAGGCGAGATTCGTTGGGATATACATGAGTCTGCGGAAGCGGACTTCCTGAGGATGGGCGTGGTGAGGTGAGTGCGGACCGTAGGTTGCTTCAGTCCATCAGGCGCGCTTGTCCTCGAGGCCTTAGCAGAATTACCTTCGGGAGCATCTTGCACTGGAGCTGTAGGGAAGTTGTGGATATCCGAACGTGTTTCATGGCCATCGGCGCGTTCGGATGGCTGGCCGAGGTCGAAAGCAGCCGTGGTTGACATTACAACGCGGTGGTTCGACGAGAGTTGCAGACGGCGATAGAACGTGCTATAGACGCTCGGCTAACTATCTAACCACGGATCGGCGGCTCACTTTTTATTTAGAGAAACAGCATGGGGGCAGGTGAGGAAGTTGTGAATTTATACGATGGTCCGGATGAGTGAGGAGGTGGTCAAGGACAAGAGCGTGTTTAACTGACCGTTAGCTTGGTGGGCATGAAGGCGGCCAGGCATAAGGCCATCTCCTTTGATCTGCAGTGCTCTATTTAGGCAACACATTCCCCACGTCTTTGCATTCTTCCGTTTGGACACAAACAAACACCTGAATAAGTAGTACAAATGCTGACTAGCGAGGAGATAATCATATTCGACGGCACGGACCGAAAAGCATAGGGCTTAGGTACATGAATATCGTTGCAATAGTGTGCCATAGAGAATGTGATAGGAGCGACTACAGACTACTTTCTCTCCCCCCACGTCTAGTATCCGAGAGATGTCAACTTCTCGAATGATGCAGAGTTGTCAGCAATCGCCTTTTGACGCAGTTTAGCTGCAGCGAGCTGCAAAAATTGTAATTTAGCAAAATCCACAAAAAATAAATGATTAAAATATTATGACTCATACCTTGCGCTCATAGAAGGCTTGAGCCTTAATCTTCCTCTTCTCTTCCAAACGGTCAACAACATCCTTGTAACCCCACCCAACCTCATGAGACAAGCGCTTTGGGGATGTATAAGTCAGACAAGGATTTTTTCGGTTTATTAGGAAGCATGTTATCGCACCTTGACGGTGCAGTATTTACGGCCGGGTTTGAGTCGCAGGACGCGAAGAGCCGCAGGAACGACCATACGCTTCTTGCGATCGTATGGTGGAGGAACCCCTTCAAAGAGTTTCAGACGCTCAAGAGCGGCCGCACCCCGGGCGGTCTTGTGGGGTATCATCCCTCGGATCGCCTTGAAGAGGATTTTGGACGGAGCACGGTGGTGGAAAGGGCCAGATTTCTTGGGATTGACGATATGGCGCTTGTGGAGGAAGTTGTGGTAACGCAGCTGTTATCACAGAAGAATTGAATAAACACATTGCATGACCTATGATTCAATTTGACGAGCGTACCTTGTTGCGGAAAAAGCTGCCGGAGATGTTGATCTCCTCACACCTAACCACGACAATCTTCTGGCCTGAAAGGACCTGCTTGGCGACAATGGATGCCAGCCGGCCCAACAGGTGGCCCTTACCGTCAATTACGATTGGGCTCGATGAGAAAGTCGCCATGTCGGACTCTAGCAAGCGCAGGGAACACTGAGAATGACACGAATCGATACAAAAGAAGGAGAAATACCTAAGAGGAAGTAGAAAGTGAGCGATCTTGACGAGATAAATAGTTTGGTAGCAGCAAGCTCACCTTGAGGATTGCTAGAGAATGACTTTGCCGAAACGGACTCTTGATTCGGTAGCTAGCACACGCGCAATATAGATGCTATATAGTATGACTAAGCACACTCTCACGGAGGCTATATACCTCTTCTCTTATCAAACGAGAGCTTTATGCGGACGTAAAGAGCTCTTAGAAGCATCCTTGGAAGATGTTGGTGCATTTTATTTCAATAGCATTTATCTTTTATTCTTTCATTTTTATTTGTTTGAAGCCAACAAACGGAGAGAGCGTGGTGTAAGAATCACGTGCTGTAAACGCGTTAAATACTTTGTTTAGGCGGAGACTCAAAATTACGAAGACCCCTCTCTCAAGTGCGCTTTACGATTTATCTTTTAAAACCAGCATCATGCACCCATATACTACGGCTCAAGGAACAAACCGAGCTCAACAAGCAGCTCAATCCCTAACCTCTGCTCTCGTCAATCCTTACCAATATTCGTCGCACTATGCCCAGGCGTGCTACTCACAAGCTCCTTCGAATGCACCGTTAAGGACACCAGAAGGGTACTCTTATTCTTCCACCTACATGCCCTCGTTTCCGGTCCAGCCTCACCAAATCTCACGCAACCCGCATGGCTCTCATCATCCGAGAGGTGGAGGGCACGGCGCGCACACTTTCCGAGGTCAACAGCAACAAACTCATTGGTACGAACCAGGGCGTCACAGATGCACACACGAGCAATGCGCTTTCACGGGTTCCAAGAAATCTGTTGAGATTCACATGATGGATCGGCATTTGATTTATCCGCCTGGGTGGGACAAGCGAAAACGCAAACGAGATTGGGACGCTGATCCGAGCTTGGATAATGGGTACATTTCACCTCACTCTCATAGCCACTTATGGATGGCTAACTTGATATCAGGAAGCCAATCCCGATCCAAGGCACGAGTATCATTCTAAATACTCCGGAGACAGTTGATGCCTGGATCGCGGAACGCAGGAACCGCTGGCCGAGTGCATCGCGCGTGGAAGACAAGGAGAAGAAACTAAGAGATGCGATTGAGCGAGGAGAAATCACTGCTACAGATCCGAAACTGCGAAATCGAAGGCGTCTACGAACAAATGATGCAGGCTCTGGACAGGCGCAAATGAGAGGAATGGGGCGTGGTGGCTCTGGGCGCGGTCGTGCACCAGCAGTGCGAACTTTGCCAGTACACTCATTACCGATGAAGCCAGTTGTCAAAAGTCCTGTGGAAGCGGAGAGTTCCGACGAGGACGCGAGTTCTGGCTCTGACGTGGATCCGGAAAAGGATGCTGTCTCATCGAAAATTCCACTAGGTGCTATTGGCATTGAATTAGAGAAGAACGAGCCTGTGACTGCTGTACGTTTCATATGTTGAAAGAAGTAAATCACTACTAACTACAAACAGGACAGGGACATTGACAAATCATCAAATGCAGCTTCACCTCGACCCCTGAAGGCCATAGCACGGAAGCTTGCAGCTCATCCTGGTCCACCGGCAAGTCAACGAAATCCCTTCGCCACTTGTTCCTCTCTTCTTCGTAACGTTCGTGTCTCGGTGCTTCTTACTTGTTCGACGAACTGATAGAATTGCGTTTATAGCTCTTATTACCCGAAATACGCATGACGGTCTCTAACTTATCTCAGGCGATCCACTTTCTCGTCGAGAATGACTTTCTCCAAGATGTGGAACTGAATCCGGGCGATGCAGATAATAAACCAATTGAGGTTATCAGCGAGACGACACATGAAAACGCATAGCACTAGTGCACATGAGACACGATAGTCCCACCCACAAACAAATTAGCATTACGATGTATTGTAGTAGTATCTAGTCGCATCTATAACGGCGACAACATAGCTCATTGTTATCGTCCGTCGCTTTTGTAATCGGAGCCAGTCTCTGACCCTTCACTGTCGGAGTCTTCCATCTCTTCAGGAGACACCTCAAGTGCGGTCTTCTCAACATTAAATCCGAGCTCACGAAGGCCCTCCTCTGTGTTGTCGACTTTCCCCGGCGCAGCCACGACGACTGCGACCGACGTTGCTGGGTCAAAGAGTGGCAAAACGTACTTCTCGAGCATGGAGAGGATCTCTCCCTTTGTCACTTTTTGGTACTTCTCGAGTAGCTCTCGATTGTAGTTTTGGCTCACGTTCTTCAGCGCTTGATTGACGAACGACGTGATAGCCTAGGACATGATTAAGCTCATATGACAGTCAAGTTTACAAGAATAAATACGCACTGCGCTGCCAGGCTTAGACACCCCATTCGCTACATTGTAAACAATCGTGCTTTTAGCCGCATCAACGGTCGTATCTTCGAGAGGTATCTAGACAACTCCACGTTAGGGATCATAGAGAGGATTGGCATGAAGTCGAACACTTACCGTCTTTTTTACGAGCCCTTCGACTACCTTGGCCGCCTCACGGAAAGCCTGCAAACTGTTTGAAGTCTAAAAAAGTATTTAATAAGGAGACCTTTTCGCTTTTAAATATTCACGCACCCGATATAGAGAAAAGTTCAGTAACCCTGCTTCCAGATCACAACCAACCGATGCACCGTATGCCAGACCCGATCCTCGGATGAAACGCTGTAGTGTTGGGACAGAGCGTCAGATATAATAATGCATCTGTCTCTTTAGTAATAACTTACCCAAAGGAAGCTTTCAGTACCATTCAGTACCTCGAGCGCCAGTCGTAAGGTCGGAAATTCAGGGTTCTCAAAGCCTTTGATTCCCTTTGCAGTATGTGTAGCAAAAGAACTCTCGATTGTCGGGAGGCTGACGACGATAGCTTTCTTCTGGGGATTACGACCAACCAGACTCAAAGTTTCGTTAGCGAGTTTAATCGGGCAAAGGGGTGTATTCTTCAAAATGAGGTATGTCAGCACGAGCAGCGGCTCACGGAGAGTTAGGTCTAGTAGTACGAACAGGGATCAGATTGCCAAAGTATTTAGACCAAACGCTTCGTGGATTAGGCACGTCCAAGATATTCCCCGTGACGGAAAATCGCATTCCAGATGGATCCGTCACTAATCAATGTAAGCAGGATCTTTTACGAAAACAGGTAGGTTCGACGTACAATGCTTCCGCATTTCTTCAAAATACTTGCGTACATCCTCTGGGTTCTCCTGGAGCATCTTGGCTAGTCCTGGTACTGCCCGCATTTGCTCAAGCACGGCATTAGTCCTTGGTGTCGAAGATTCGTCGTAAAGGAGCTCGGATGAATAAGCCGACAAAACAGTGTTTCCGTCTCGCTTGAGTTCTGGAAGACTTTGCAAGATTTTGGCACAAGTCACTTGCAATCTAACACGAACTTAGCGAGTAGTCCCTGGAAGTGAAACAGCGGGACCTTACCTAGAAATGTCGAAATCGGCACCGTATATCAGATCTTTCATCCACCTAACCGCGGCTTCATATTTGTCCTTCTCGACACTACGCAGGTTATTACCACTTAAGAAGAGAACCGCTGATAATATGAAATATAGATACATACCTGATGCTTACGCGAAGAGTCTCTGCGAAATAAGCTTGCATTCCAAGTTCGTTCTCGTAAGACACAGTTTCGTCATCAAGCCTGGCGACAACCTCTTCATGTGTGAGTTGTTCTCCCGTCGATGTGGTTATCGGAAGGGAAAAGAAGGCCGACAAGTAAGCTGTTACAAAGCTAAAGAGACAAACAGTTAACGCCTGACTTCACACCACGAAGCAGGTCGGAACGTACGGGCGGAGCCGATTCGGAAGGGTCGCTAGAGACATCAGGGCATGGACCTTGACAAAGTCAGACTGAAGTAAAATATCTTCGTCAAATGCTAGGCAACGAGCATCTATCCGTCAATACTCACCTGCACATGGTCAAATTGAACGAAGAAAGGCAAGTTGCGACCGTCGGCGTTGATATGATCAACAAGTTTCGAGTTCTCTGTCCTTCCCGGTTTCGGAGAACTAGAGCTTCCTTCCTGCACGCTCTGTACTGGAATCCAAGAAATACTTGATACATCTGGCACTGGGAAGTCTGTCAAGACATGCTCAGGGATCGGCTCATCGTTTTCAGTCTTAGCCCTCTCCAGCCTTTCCTTTGCCTCAACGAGTCCCGCAGGTCCCAGTCGCTGTATCTGAGCCTCAGTTCGCGCCTTCTCATTCTTTTCTAACTTGTCTGCAAGGGCGGCCGAGGGCTTGCCATGGATGATAACGCACGGTGACTCTATGTAATATCTATATATCTATAGTTAGCCTCTAAAATTCATTTAACAGTTCAAGAAATGCTTACCGCCTGATCAATGCTGACCATTGACTGCTGGTCCATTGTCGAAGATCATCGAAAAGAGACATCTCGTCCATAGCAGGTCGCAAGTCTGAGCCATCTTCAGCGCCTAGGACGAAGTCTTCTATAACCGTATTCGAGAAGGTGTCACCTTTGGAACTTTCAAGTTTGCTCCGCAACTAGATATAGGAGGAGATTTAAATTTCTTCTTAACCGTCGAAGACTAGCCATACCTGGCGTCGATCTCGGTCTATGACCATCTTCATCCTTTTCATGTCTATGCCTTCTTTCACGATCTTGTTCAAGCTTTTTGTGAGCCTTTCGTGGAATGTGTCAAGGTGCTCCATAGGAACAGATCCAACGTAGACCGGTAAATCGACAAAGTCTGGCCGTGTCTCCTCGTCAAAGTATATGTAAGTGCTAAGAAATCGAGCCTCATTTAGAAATTTATAACGTATGTATGTGGGCCTAAACTCACCACAAGGGGTTATCGAGTTCGACATACTCCTTGTTCAACGGTGCGAACGTAGATGAAGTCAAGTAGGAAGCGAGAATGTCAAGTGCCTTGCGAGTAGTGAGAAAACAAAGTTGGCAATGAGAAAATGCTGTTGTACCTTGCGCGTCAAATGATCCCTTGTCGCAGGACCTTGATATACAAAGAGCAATTCACCAACGCTTTCATCTTTCTCCGGAAACTCCACAACTGTAGTCTGGCTCTTAAGGGGATCTCGGTACGCAGACGGGGTGTCTACAAATGGCCTGTCCCAGCCTGGAGGATGCGCACCCTTGTTATAACCGTGCTTAACGAGCGTAGGTTCGATCCTCTCCTGGGCGACAGATAAGAGAGATTTTGTTCCTTCGCTAAGCTTCCCTGCGACGATTAGCGCCAAATTGTGCGGTACGTAGTACTTTGCGTGATAGTCTCGAACTAGAAGCAGAAAGTGAGTCTCAAAGAACATGAATGGATGTGAAACACATACTCTGCTGTACATCTAGTTTTCTCAATGCCCCCATTAAACCGCCGACCTCGCTCCTGTAAGCGCTGCTTGCTGGATAGACAAGACGTCTCATGCTAGATATAATCATTAATATATTTTCCTCCGTAAGAAGATTCGATGTATTTCTTCAGAAAGAGCACTTACCGTAAATTCATCAAATCACCTGGCGTATTCTCACGGCCTTGCATTTCACTGTAAACAACACCAGAGTCATTGCCCGAAGGATCTATGTGATGAACCTATGTGAACTGGATTTATTATGTTTATCTTCGGTCAAATCGACTAAGGTGCTTGCCTCAGTAATGTATGCTGAATCCTTTAACGTCGGAAATAGAATGTGGTCCACATATATAGGCAGGATTTGTAAGAAGCCTTGGCTGCCAGCAGTCTCTACTGTGTAACAAGTGTAGTCGTCGGCAGTCCATGCATTCGTGCCGTTGGAGAAACCGCGATTAGCGAGATGATCGATGATACCTTTATACGGATATTTCTTGGAACCCATGAACACGAGGCTGGTAAGTATTGGACGGTGAATATTTGCCATGTGAGAAAAGGGCAAGTATATTTACTGTTCAAGAGTGTGGGGACAGCCACTATCATTGAAGACTGCGAAACATTTGTTGATTCGATCCAACTCACTCTTGGCCAGCATGTGCAAGACTCACTCTCTGTACCGACGGCGAAGTATCCCTTGACAATCGGCGCTATATCGGGTTAACATATTAAAACGGACTCGGAATGCTGAACAGGACTTTACACGCACAATCGTATTCAAGATGGACGATGCTCAGGCCTGTTATTCTGCTCCGCCATTTGGTGACAGTGACATCTGTTGAATCTAGCTTGATGCGTTTCACGAGGTCGAAGTTTCCGAAGGATTTATCCATAACACGAGGAACAGGTGAGGGACTGCGCTTGAGGAGTGTTGCTTGGTTTGCAAATTGTCTAAGTTGGTGAAACGACGTGGATGGCCGGAACGAGCGGAACAAGCCGACGATGCGTCGACAACAGAGACCAGCGCCTGAAGCGAATGGCATACGATATAGTACAGATGGACGGATACTGAGAGGCAGGCTGGCTGACTCGGGCACTTGAGGACGCATGGCCGGACCGAAGCGGATGAGAAAAATGTGGGATCTGCCTTCCATACAGAGCTCAGGGCCGAGGCCAGCCGAACAGAGTAGCTGCCTGTGCCAAGCGCGTACTTTTGGGCGCGTAACACTCTGCAACTGCAAGCAAACCGACCAAGCACGTTCACCTCAGCGCCGCCCCTGTGCGGACCACGACTGCCGCTGACTGTGATATCTATTCCCGCTCTGCCCCATGGCAAGTACCGCCAGCCTCGCGTTGACAAAATCGAAGGCACTCCCTCCTGTCATCGGACGCGATGATCTGCCCCTTCCTCCGCCGTCTCCGCTCCGAGCTGCTGGAGGCCCGCCCCCGCCTCCACCGCCAAAAAGTCCACTTGATGAGGGACGGGTCTCCTCTCAGGAGATCTCAAATGCGAATGATCAATTTTCAGCAGAACCTCTGCATCCCCGTGATGCTCCGCTTCCAAGTGTCGAATCCCCTTCCTTCTCCCCCAGGTCACCCGCTATGCTCCAGCCGCCCTCTCCAAATGCCTCCTCGGCAGAGGGTGTCCGAACGAAGAAAGTCAACCCCTTCGTGGATCTCCTCGAGACAGAGAAGACTTACGTTGACACGTTGTCGGGGATAATACGGGTAAGTTCGACGTTTTCTATCAAGTTTGAATCAGTCGCAGCGCCTATTATATTGACCATTTGGCCTACAGAAAGTGGCAGCAGCATGGTCTCGATCGAATCTCCCTCCGCCAGAGCTGGACATGATGTTTCGTTCTATCGAAGCTATTTTTAAGGCAAACAGATCATTTCTTACAAAGCTCAAAGAAATAGGTCCAAACCCGTCCTCGCCGCGTGCGATCGGTGATTTACTAATGAAATGGGTCTGTGTTGGCACTGTTCTATTCTCCGCATACACATTTTAATATATTTGTAGATTGATCAGCTAGACTCGCCATATACTAAATATTGTTCCTCGTACCTTTCTGGATTTGATGCCTGGGAACCAGTACAGACTAACCAGCGTTTGCCGTCGATTATGGATGCCTTCTCCGCGTCAATTCCTCCTCCGCATGTTCCCGTTTGGACACTTGATACTCTCCTTTCACTCCCTCGTATACGGATTAGATACTATCAAAAGCTCTACGGACGACTACTGAAGACTTCTGCTCCAGGGAAGTCGACGGATCAAAAACTCATTGAAGGTGTTGGGAGGTTGGAGAACCTTCTGACGGTCATTGAGGAGCGATCGAGAATATCTCTGCCTGACGCTACTCCGATGGTTGAAACTACGGATGAAGTTGTTATCGACACCCGAGTTAACGCCGTAGATGCCCAAGAACCGTTCCCTGAAAGCCCTGCAGTTCCAGTGCACGATCGTAGCGAGGGAACACTTCAACTGCAAGAGCAACGAGACGTGCGAGCTAGCTTCGATAGCTCTACTAGAGGGAGTAGTCTATCCAGCGGGTGAGTCTTACCAGCCGAAAGAACGTCCATTATCTGATATGCTTTAGACAACGTTCTTCTCGTGATACCACCATAACTTCAGAAGGAAGAACGTCAGTTACAACATTGCCGATGTCTATGACGGACCTAGAGCGACGATTATCAACTGAACGTTGCCGTGATTTATTTACTATGACTGCGAGGGTGGGTATCTACTTGTTTGCTCTAACCTACGTCAGTTGACATCGTTGTCCTTTCTTTAGAGCGTTCGTTTGTCCATGAACTCTCCAGGCCTACCATACACTCGAGAACTGAAACTTTCTGAGGATACATCAATTTATTTCACTCCGAAAAGCACCAATGTTGAAGTGATCCACCGGCAAGGACACGTCTTCCTCCTTACGGATCTTTTTCTCATCTGTGAGCGGATGAATTTTGAAGATCGTGCGCTTCGCGAAGCCGAAGCTACCGACATGTGGTTATGTTACCCTCCTTTAGCTGCCAAGCATGTCCGAGTCGCTCCTTTTGACAGTCAGTAACTTTTTGCTAAGCAGTCGTGGAGAAAGACGCTAATTTCTGCTTTAGATACTGATATAGAGGTCACGATACTGAAAAAGGAGGTTATGCGTCTGCACTTCGACTCGATGGCAAAGAGGGATAGTATACTGAAGGAATTCAAGTCAACTGCGGAACAAGCAGCTTCATGTAAGTAAATATACAGCCAACTCATGACTCTTATCAAGGTGCGACTAACTTGTACAGTGCCACCTCCTTCAAAACAACCTGTTCCGCCGGTACCCTCCCTAAATGGCTTGCCTTCTTCTGAAAAGGCACCATCAGCCCGATATCCAAGCGATACGCCCAGCACTTCCTTCTCACCACCCAGAAGTGCCAATGCCAGTCCAATTCCTTCGCCTGCTGCGAGCGACCCTTCGACGCGTAGAATAGACTCTTTTCACACCTTTTCTAGCGCTTCTAGTCGACGCGGTTCGGAACCTAGAAGTCATTCACCGAGTATTCAGGAGGGCGGACCTCCCCCTTACTCTCCAACGAATGACTTGGCTAGCCCACCTCCACAACTATCTTCCCCACCTGGCCCGCGTCCTCAAGATCTTTCGTTTGCACCCGGCCAGTTTATTCCTCCTCCAAGAGGCGAAAGTTCTCGTGGTGGAATGCCCCCGCCAGGTGGAGGACCTGTTGGTCTTCCTGCACGTCCCAATATGAGGGATGGTCCTTTCCCTGGGCCCCCGTCTTTCACTCCTGGTCAAATCATTCCACCCCAGCGTTCTGAAAGTAGCCGTGCGCCACCACATATGGGCGGAATGCCCCCTCCACGGGGAGTTATGAGCCCACCTCCGATGAACGGCATGAATGGACCTCCAAGAGGTATGATGAGTCCTCCACCAATGAACAGTATGAGTCCTCCCCCAATGAATGGTATGGGTGGAGGACCGCCACCAATGGGTCTTGTTAATGGGCCGCCGCAGCGGAGTGGTTCTTTGGCTGCTCCGCGACCACTTATGGGAGGTCCCGGTCCTGGAGCGATCCTCCCTGGTCAAGGACCGATGCCTGGGCAGTATGGTCCCGGACAAGTCCCGAATCATCCTCAACACATGCCTCCACACCCGGGAATGCCATTTGCCTATCCTGGTCGACCATCGTCAGACCCATCCTTCCAGGCTGGTCTACGCAAGACGCCCTCCTTACATTCTATTGGATCACAACATGACCAGTATCAACCGTCTCCAAGATCTGCCCCTCCCGTACCAAACATACCGAATAACTTCCTCCCGAGGCGCGAGAATTCGTATGGTGAGCAGGGTCCTAGTGGAGGACACTTACGACCCATGCTGCCGTCGGCTGCTTTACCACGTATCTCCTCAGCCGCGCCTGCGTTTGGACTTGATGACAGCCCTCCAACGTCGCCGGTAGATCAGATACCTAAGGGGCCTGTAGAGTCCTCAGTACTTGCATCGATGAAGTGCAAAGTATTCTTGCAACAGCAGCATGCACAATGGAAGGCTCTCGGATCTTCAAAGTTGACGTTGTACCTGCAACGACCTACGATGGTCAAACAGCTCGTCGTTGAGGCTGACAACAAGGATAAAACGTTATTAATCTCAACGATAGTTCTTACCGATGGCGTAGAGCGTGTCGGGAAAACAGGTGTTGCCATCGAGTTAAGCGACTCTGGCGCACGCACAGGGATCATCTACATGATTCAGCTGCGAAACGAGAAGTCAGCCGGAGGACTTTACGATATGTTGCTTTCCGGTTCGGATCGTGGTGGGTTCAGGGGTTAAACATCTATCAATCGCTATCTTCAATGGGACAAGTTCATGTTTACATATCTGTCGATTAAATACGACATCGCTCGCTCTTTTCTTCTGTTTCTATTTCTGAAAAATTTCCCAGACAACGGACCTTTTGGAGAGGATTAGGATAGCTTCGTAATACCCTTTCATTTGGGGAAATGTGTTCATTCATCTTTTTTTTTTGCTACTTTTCCTTTAGCATTAGGATTGCATTATTCAAATTGTCGTGTTTTCTATCGGCGCCTACGTTCGTTTTCTTCGATACCCTTCACCTACATACACGTTCCTCTATATCTAGATGCTAATCTATGTCATTATGAGCTGTCCGATTCTAGTGGCCAGGCTACGTGAGCGCGAACTGAAAGGTGATCGCTACCACAAACGCCCTTCCGAGGCAGACCAGTGCCGAGATCTTCTACAAGTGGAGGCTCTAATACACCAAGAACCTTGAAAGTGCGTCCAGGCGGGACCATAACGAAGATGTAGTCTGTCACAAGAAAATCGTCTGAGTCATACAGCATAGTGATGAACAAGTTCAGATACCTAAGGTTGTTTTCCAGTAATGTGTATAACTGGTATACTTGGGTTCATGGCGTCCACGCCTATCAGGCGGTACGTCCACCCGAGCCCCGAATATCCTCCTTTCGTCAGTCAACCCCCACTCGTCGTATGCACTCCTCAAGGACGGCAGTTGACCAAACAGTTCGGTCAATTCACTTGGTGAGAGCAGTCCGTCATCGCGTCTTGCTGGTCGCGCGTTCTTGATAACCCGATCAGGATCGTTCTCTGGGTCAGCTTCTCCGCCTTCCTCGTCTTCAGTGACCTGCTTAGGGTCTACAATTGGTACAGAGGGGTCGAGGCTCACGTGAACGACGTGCGAGAAGGTGATATCCGCTTCTTGCTCAGGAGTAAGAGCGTCGCCAACCATTAAGGAGTAGGCTGCATCTGAGGGATTAAAGTTGAAATCTAGAAGAGGTAGAGTTAATTATGACCATCGACGCGATCAAGTGAAAGAGCAAGAAACGGCATACCTCCAGCAATGAAGCTGGGCGCGTCCTGGAAACCATTCACTTCCTTGAAATTACAGGTAGAGCGTAATAGGATCAAAGTCTGTCTTGCCCTCTCGTAAGTGTATTTTGGGTGCCAGAATAAATGTGTTGTCGCCACAACAATGATCCGACTCGTATCTTCTCGTCTTCTCAATGCAAGGATCAGCCCGATGTTCTTTGTTCGGAAGCTAGAGGCTTTCCGAGATCGTTCATTAACGGCCTCCGCGCGAACATTTACATCGTCATAGAAGACCGTGTTATCCACAACCTTGTCAAAAGCGTCTTTCCTATATGCGATAATGCATCCGTGCTTCTTCCGAGGACCAGAGGAGTAAGTAAATCCATAGTTCGCCGAGTCAAGCGCGGGACCGATCTTTTCCAGACGATCGACTTCCTGCCATTGGTTCAATACGTCTTGTTCCGGAAGTTTTATTGACATCTTCTGAGCAGTGAAAACTCACCTGCAAGCATATGATGTCTGCTCCAGACCGAGTAATTTCTTCAAAAAGCATACCTTCCCGCTGATGTGCCTTTAGGCAGTCACTGGTCGGGAAGAGCTCTCGACCTGCAGCTTAGTTAGAGGCTATCCACGAATGAGAACGTGTCATTACGGCTTACGAACAAGACACTGTGCAAGCATCTTGACAAAATGCATCAGTACAGAAGTTTCTAATCAGTCAGGCAGTGGATCCAGTTTTCTACCGACATTCCATGACATGATTGTTATTTGTTCCGATGAGTTCATTGTTTGAGCGCTCACGGAAAGGAATCTTCTCGGAAGTATTGAAGACTGAAAAACGCTAGATGACGCAGTAGCGGGCCTAGCGGCAGCCAATGCTGCGGCCTCTGCTCTCTTCTGTTTGCGCGCTTCAGACAACGCTTGTTGTTCTGGTGTGAGGGCGTGTTTCTGAGACGGCATCCCTTGAGAAATAATTTTCGCGGGTTTCTTTGGTAGAACTAGTTGGTGTGTGCTGGTTCGGGATGTATTAACGTACTTAGGCGCGGATTTGACTCGATTTGCAGAAATTCTGAACGAGCGTAATGAATGAAAATGGGAAAACCTGGGGAAGAGATAACCAGATTGTGCAAGTGCCGGACGGCCTGTGAGCCAGAGTAGAGTAGCCTGAGTCTGTTGTATTTTTCGGTGTAGCAACGTTGAGCAGGTGGCAGACGGAAGGAGAGAAGCCGGACGAGGACACGAAAGGCAAGTGAGCATTTGGCTGAACCTGGTCCGCGATTTCTCGGCTTCTTTCATCTCTATTTGTGACATTTGTTCACAGGTGGGCCGTCATGGGCCAATCAAGCAAAGCCGCTTGTGAAAAAAGTTCTGTTCCTGACACCTAGTGTGATCCTTCTTATCCTACTTAGTGCCTCGAAATTCATCAGGTTCGCGCTTTTCCAATTTTTTTGGTCCCGTGGAACCAGGCTATATTCACTCAATGATTTAGGAGACATTGTGGTGGCCCGTCCTTGTCATTGTATGCTGGAAGGGCGACGACGAACAGAGCAATGCAAGGAGAAAAAATTGAACTGATAAGAGGATTAAATGCTCATTGAATGGTGAATATAGCGTTGCGAAGTGGATCAGGAACGGGACAAACTAGTCTAGTCAGTCAGAGAATCGGGACGGAGAGCAGTCGGCATGGAGGACCCGAGCCAACTTACCGCTGTGCAGTATTGTCCCATGCTCTTGGGTTTCCTTTTGCCAACCATGGTTTCTCCCGTCTGAGGCTATCCTCCTCTGTCGTTCTCCGCCCTCTCCTTCTCTTTCGTATCCTTCACGATCCTTTCTTCGCGCACTGCCCTTGCTTTCGGCCTCTATTTTCCTCTCTCATTGCTGTCTTTCACGGTTTCCTCATCGTGTGGGCTCTCTTGGTGTCCTATCAGATACTCTATTCTTGCGTTGTTGGCGGTGTGCTCCAGAATAGCTCGGGGCATGCCATCGCAGAGGGATCAATCAGGTCTTGATCTTGTGAGCACCGTTTCTACATACTTAGTACAAGGGCATCGTTCTCAGCTGTGCCCCCTTCTTCCCCTCTCCGCCTCTTGCTTGCAGCGATGTCGACTCCGCGCGTCATCGAGGACGAGCAGTCCAAGAGCAAGAGGCCCCCGCATTTGTCTATCGCATCTCTAGGTACCAATGCCTCTGGCATAGCAGACAGCACCATTAGCAATACCAGCGACTTTTCCGGTATCTCGCAGTTCCCTTCTCCTCCCACAGAGGTACCCACACCGACGTTGTCGAACCTTGGCACCCCAACAAGCTACAACTTCGCCGAGCGACTACCTCCTTCCATCCCGGACTACGAAACGCCAACTCGCTTCCAGTTCGGCACACCACCGACATCCCGTTCCCCTGTAATCGCAGTGTTCGCAAACAATTCTAGTGGACATGATGTACAGAGCTTGGGAACTACTGCCACGCCCAAGGCTGGGAGATCGAATACCGAGGCAAAAGTGAGCCCACCTCCTGCTGCCAAGTTAGCGACTCCCAAGGAGCACCAAGTGGTGGGGCATCCTCCGAAACCGCCTTTTCCTCTCCCGTCTCAGTCGTCTTCGAGTTCTCAGACAGTCCGGCCACTTGCTTTGCGTAAGAATCCCTTGCCGCATCCACCTGTTACTACCCGGGCACTAGAAAAGCGTCCAGAGACCCCTTATTCCGTGACTGCGGCCTCCTCGTTGTTAGATTGGAGTGATGCTGCGTCTGGGATTAGTATCAATCCCAGCGAAGAACGCCTTCTTAGTACTTCGTTCATCACTTCTCTCTTGTCGCAATCGCCAGAGCCTTTTCTCGGTGACAAGGTATCCAATGCCAGTAGCCGATCTGCGAGACAGCGATATAATGGGAGGGGTCGCATTACACCTGAGTCATCGCTGGATGAACGCCTGGGCGCTGCGGCCCCGCCTCACCAGTCGATCCCACCGTTCTACCCTTCGGATCTCTTGACAGCGGACGACCGGGAAGTAGTTAAGTCGGGAGCGAAGCCTGGTCACGATCAGCGATCGATCGAACTGCGATCTAACTACGCTCTAACAGAGCAATCTTCTGAGACGCTACACACGATCGAAGGACAAGTGCATTCCGTTGTTCGAAGATCCATTGTCGGGCATACACATGGTGGCATAGAGGCGCGTCCTGTGGCTGTCGTACCCGCATATCGAATATCATATGGTATGCAAATACAAGATGACACGAACAATTCTCTCAGGTCTGTCAATAACTCTATGGCTACATCTGCGTCGATGGCATCGAAACCACCTGTGCATCACGCGGATGCTCCTCAAAATGTCCGGAATACCAAGGGATTTGATAGGGATAACCTGTCGCAGGAATCCGAGGACAATATCTTGAGGCAAGCTGAAGCTAGTTCGTCTCCGGGGATGCCTGGATTTTCAACGCGAAACCCTCTGAACAGAGTCTCGAATGCTATAATGAATTCAAAATCTGGCTTGAACGAGGGTCCGAGCTCAAGACATTATCTGCAGCGGAATCAGTCAATGAAAAGCGTCGTATCATCGCTTGTATCCCGTATATCAAATACTTCGGTAGCTCGCCGAGCGAAGTATGTTGCTTGGCTGCGACAACGTCCTCTTCCGCCACTCCCGATCGCTAGCAATCCACCGCCTATGCTCGCGAATAGCAAGGAAATTCAAAAGTTTGAAGAGTCAATTCCCTTACCCACGCTTGCGAAGCGTGCTGAAGATTTGCTTGATCGTAGTCGCTTCCAATCTGTGGCCGATAAGGACAGCGAACTCTATTACAAGGAGGCTTTCGATACATCATCCGGGCTTCAGTCGGGCAATCGTGCAGCCTACGTACAGATAAGCCAAAGAGGGGCTGGAAATGGTGACGACCGGTTTTCGATACTTTCGCGCTTCCGTCGGCAGAAAGGAGGGGTTGACAGGTCGTCTACAGACACTCTATCGGCAGTGAAGGTGGACTCTGCTAAGTTGAAGCGGAGGAAACATCGATTGTGGATACTGATCATTTGTACTTTGATCGGTGTAATCCTTGCCATCGCCGTTCCCGTGGGCCTTGCTGAGAGGAGCAGGAACTCGGCGCCTGTATGTAAGGGAAACTCGACTGGAGCCGCTTGCACCTTGGATGCGACGTGCAAATGTACTGGTTCTGGCGGAACGTGTAAACCGCTAGCAGCATCTTTGTCTATACTTCTACCTCAAGTCAACCAGTTCTTTTCCGCCAATTTCACTCCAAGTGGATTATCCGATGCAGTTGTCAGTGCGGTGGGCCCACCGATCGACGGACTATGTCGTGAACAAGTCGCTCTAATTGATGTTGAACCGGGTATCAATAGTGCAGCTGCACCGAATCGCACGGCATGGGCTCAGGCTGCTATGCTTTGGAATCTGGGATTGTCGGAGGACGCCAGCGCAGCAAGAGATCTGCAAGAATTTGTTTCATCGGCTCCTTGGAATACTCTGTCAGCAATTGATGGCCCTGTCGAAGACAGTAACGGTGCTTTCGTGAAGGATGTTTCCGGATTCTCTTTTGACTTTGCTGCACAGTCGGTGACCCCGCTAAGTGCCTCCTTCAAGCAATCGTCGCCGTCCTCGGAGCAGCTTGCAGAGGTGTCAGATACTACTGAAAAAGCGTTAGATCGAATGTACACGTATGCTATTGGTACGTATCCGAAACACTTGGCTACTTAGAGGGCATGGCTGACTGATATTTACCATGATTCCAGCTTCATCGACCCAACGACAGAAGGCGCTGCAAAATTACTGGACATCCGTACTTCAACAGCAGGTCTCCGATCTACAGAAATTCAGGGATGCTGTACAGAACGCGCCGTTCCTGATCCCCTTTGATTCTACCTCGTCCCCAGGCGGCGATGTCCTGACCACTCAGATGTCCAACGCTTCTTCGACGCAGTTCCCGATCCCCATATCGTGCTACCCAGGCCTAAACTCAACGCAGATGGCGCTTATTAACTCTCTGGAGATTAATGCCTTCGGTCTGACCTCCGCTTCCACCTCTTCTCAGTTCTCTCAGTCCTGCTTTCCTGACCGTCCTGTGTATGGCGTCGTTGATTTTCTGCGCCTACGCTTACCTTTTCCCGACGACAGGAAAGGTGTTGCACTGCAGGCCAGCGCTCTAAGTACAGACGCTACCGTCAGGACTGTCGTTTACAGCGGTGAAATTCTTAGCGCTCTTCCAGGAACCTCTGCTGTCTCCGACATTTCCAGTTCAATGACGGATCCACGCGAGTTCGGAACACCTGATTTTCTCGATCATGTTTTACTAAATTATTTTTCATCTATGTCTAACACCTCCCTCGCTATGGATCTCGTTTCGTATGTCCTGTCTTCTTCTACCACACCCCCAGCAAATAATTCCGACTTGGCCAACTCCCTCTCCTCACTCCCCGTCCTTGAATTTGCCGTGTTCGGGTCTATAAGACCGCAGGACATTGCCTTCTCGGTCTCCTCCTTTTCAACACCATCGGGCTCGTTGTTTTTCGGGTCCGACGTCAGTGAGATGTTCCGTTCATGGGCGCTCGTCAACACGTTGGCGTCAGTCGTATGGACAGAATCTGCCCTTTCGCCAGACGCCGTACACGAAACCTCCACAATTGACCCGAACTTCGAGTCTGTCTGGAAACCAGCCTCGGAACTCGCTGCGTCCGGCCCGACAGACGCGGAGGATGTTCAGAAGGTTACTTCGTCCCTCAGATCACTAGGTTTATTTTCTTCATAATCACGGTATTTCCTGAATCAATTGGTTTATTCTATTTCTGTGGATATCTTGCCTCGTGGGCGTTACATTCGTTCATTTCGGAGGATTCATTCATTCGTAGATTTGCTGTAGCCCTTTCTTCGTTTTCCTCGGATAGGAATGCTTCGCTGCAAGTCAGTAAATATTGTTCGCCTTTGGTTACATATTCATCATGTTGTCCTTCGCATTCACATTGAACAAGATATCAAACCCACTTACCATTTCGCCGTGCTTGTTCCTGGGGTTGAGGGAAAGAATCGTCGCAACTTTCGATTAAAACGATATATAACAGAGCTAGTACGCTAGAAATCGAATATATCGGGTCGCTCAACCTGAAACCCAACCCTTTTCTTCGGCTTTTTCTTGACAGTCCCCGTCTCTTGAGTCTCACCGGAAGGTGTTAAATCTGTATCAGACCGTCGTGATTCTAAATTTCCAATGGTACCATGTTTGGTCTCCATCTCAATCATGACCCTGGACTCATGTTCATCATGACCATCATTGGTATGATGTTGAGAAGCCATCTTTTGTGCGGTGCCCTCCTGGATGGCGATGGCAGACGGCGCAGGAGTCGTACGACGCTCGCCGACACCACCATCAATATCAAGATGTAGTGTCTCGATGATGAATCTTTTTCGAGTACATTTGAATGATAAGTTATTTTCACCAACTCCGCTCGAACTGATTGAGGATGACGCGACCGCGAGGCCACGAAGGCTCGAGAACCTGTCGCTCGCCGGGACTAGGGTCTGTACGCATGGTAGCTTGTGGATTCGTAAGAGTCCATGAGAAGATGCGAAAAGTGCGGCAGTTGCAGGGTCAGCTTGAATGAGGAGGAACCTTGGTTAAATGATAGAAGGACGCGATCGGAGCAGAACATACCAGTGGAAGAGTTTAATGTGATGCATGCATCAGAGACCCAGGCGAGCTTCTCTATCCATCCTTCGCCAGCCCATGTATCTGATGACAGATGCGCAGGGAGTGTGATAAAGGCAGAGATGGAATGGCAGCGCCGGAGTACCGCCCGAAGTCGTAATAAGAATCGCAAAACTATCTGAATAGAATTGAGTTCGAAAATCAGTAGTGCCTTGTGGTACAAAGACAATTCTGACCTGCGGGTTTGCCTCACCCCATTCCGGACTTGCAAACGCCGGTATACTCAGACGAACGACGTTCTGTTTGCTTGAAGTATTGACGGACTTTGAGAACTAAGAAAGCAACCTAACCAAACAACACTCACTTGGACGCATCCGAGTCCTTTGCAATATTCTCTATTCGCCGAATCACAGAGTCATACACTTCTTCAGAGCTCTCGAAGACTGTATCCTCTATGTGTAATAATCCAGCACTAAGAAATGCCGCTACGGCTTCCGGAGGTATTCGACACGACAGATCAACGGGTCGACAATAGTCTTCACTGCTCTGAGTATTGATTTGAGGTACTGAATGAGACAGTAAACTCACATACTTGTCTGAGTCCTGAGAATACACTGTTGTTCTGAACTTTTGCATGTGTTCATAGCGCCATGCTATCTTAACCTTTCCTTCATTATCATTGACGGCGTCTTCATCATCAGGCACCGAAGTTGCACTCGTTCCGGGTACCCACATGCATGAGTTAACCAAGTTTCTTGCATCTGGCGCGAACACATGTACTTGTTGATCACTGGACAGTCCTTGAGAGATAAAGTATTTTTGGAGGAGATCTGTATGAGCTGAATGTGGGTCAGGGTTGAGAACAAGGAAGTTTGTTCCGAGCTGCACCCCTCCCCCCAAGATGTCATCGAACGACGGAATCCCAGAAGACGTGAGCAGCAGAGAAGATAGTGCTGGTGACGGTTTTGTTCCCTTTGGCAACGTCTGAGGGGTAGACGGATTTTTGCGCTTGAAGGAGGACATGGTCGCTAGGAGAAGTATAGAATATATGCTTGGCTTGTTGCGGAAGCGCGGATCACCATCTCAAAAAAATGTTGAGCGTGCCGCACCTTCTCCTCTGGCTCGAGTGCTCCCTCTCCCGCTAGTTTTAACTAATAGTTCTCGCTCACTGGTTGACAGTATCATCAAATTGAAAAAATTGCTGCTTATATCTTAACTTGTTCTCTTGAGACAACACTTAGATGGGGAAGGCACAGAAAAAGACTGGGAAGGGCCGTCTAGACAAGTACTACAAACTTGCAAAGTATGTTCTATGTTCGCGTATCTCCCATCTTCCACGACTGTTAACGCTTCGCAAATTTCAGAGAGCAAGGTTACCGTGCTCGATCTGCATTCAAGCTCATCCAGTTAAACAAAAAGTATTCTTTCTTGGAGTCCGCGAAATGTTGCATAGACTTGTGTGCTGCTCCTGGAGGCTGGCTACAAGTTGCTAGCAAATACATGCCCGTTAACAGCATCATCGTCGGTATGTTCAATGCATATTGTGGCTTAGAACAATATTTTCATCGTTCCTGTTGCAGGTGTTGATTTGGTCCCTATAAGACCTATACCTCGTGTTTCTACATTCGCCGCCGATATTACCACGCCGCAGTGTCGCAACCTCATTCGAGGAGAGTTGAAAGATTGGAAGGCGGATGTCGTTCTACATGATGGTGCTCCGAACGTCGGTACTGCTTGGGTGCAGGATGCATACAGCCAATCGGAACTTGTCCTTATGAGTCTGAGACTGGCTGTCGAGTTTCTGATTAAAGGCGGAACTTTCGTGACGAAGGTATTCAGGAGTGCGGATTACAACAATTTGATTTGGGTCTTCAATCAGCTATTTGGAAAGGTTGAGGTAACGAAGCCGCCGTCTTCTAGGTGCGTGATAATGTCTTCTGTCAACAATGCAGGCATCTTATTCCGGTGTTTCGTAGAAACGTATCTGCAGAAATCTTCGTCGTGTGTAGGGACTTCTATGCGCCAAAACACATTGATCCCAAATTTCTGGATCCCAAGTATGCATTCAAGGAGTTAACATCATCTGCGCTTAGCACGGACAAGGGTGCTACCTCGATCAATGCACATGCAAATGTTTTCATGCCTGAGAAGAAACGACGACACCGAGATGGTTATGCAGAGGGGGATTATACCCTTCACAAAAGCATGACGGCTGCGGAGTTTATCAAATGTCCTGATCCAGTGTCCTTCTTGGGTAGCGTCAATCGAATTGTATTCCAGTCGGAGGAAGAAAAACAGTGTGTTTTATTTTAGACTTCGAGTGTCTTATTTTGTTTAACATATGTGTCCAGATGGGCAGCTCTCGATATTACAACTCCGGACATCAAAGCTAATTTGGAGGATCTAAAGGTGCTTGGGAAGGGTGATTTTAAAGCATTGATAAAATGGCGTTCGGCTTTGAGAACCGAGGTGCGTCTCTCCTACATTGGATAGCTCGATGACTATCTCATTATGTTTCTAAAGCTCGGACTTGATAACGTGTCTGTTCCTACAGAAGAGTTGACGGAAACAGTAGAGATTGTGGAGGAGGTGGATCAGGAGCAAGCTATCGAGGAAGAAGTATGCGTCGTTTTAACAAGACATCATTATCATGCTTGAGACTCACTATACTTTCAGCTCGAGAGATTTAACGCCGAGGCCTCGGCAAGGGCTAAGAGAGAACGACGCAAAGCTAATGAGGCCAAGACACGGACAATTCAACGGATGCAGCTTCAAATGACCGCACCTTTAGATATCGGTCTCGAACAGAGTGACGGGAATCTGGGTCTCGGGCAGGATGACATGTTCGATCTTGAGACTGCGGAAAATGGTGTTGGAAAGAGACGCTCCGTAGCAGGTCTTGTTACAGACCGTGACCAAGGTAGCGAAAGCGACAATTCATCAAGCGAACCTGGTACAGACGATGACGAGGAGGAAGTGGACGGGGAGGAAGGGGAAGCCAGGATTGCTGGACTTGAAGCTGAACTCGATGGCCTCTACGATGCCTACAAAGAGCGGCTGAATGAGAGGGATGCAAAGTTCAAGGCCCGAGAGGCTCGCAAACACAAGGAGAAAGAAGATTGGTTTGGGATCGGGACAGAGAAGAGCGATGAAGAGGATGTGAGCGGCGAAGAAGGTGGATGGGACCGTGTCGAGGAAGCGAAGGCAGGTGCTGATGACGACTCCTCGTCTGATGATAGCAGCGACAATGACTCGGAAAGCTCGGAAGAAACTCCATTAAAAGGACGGAAGCGTAAACCAGGCAGCACGAGAGAGCCATCTGCGAAGAAGACCAAGCTCGTTTCAAATCTTGTGAACAACAAGACCAGTCGAACTGCTCAGCTATGGTTTGACCAGGAAGTCTTCAAGGACGTCGATATGGATAATATCGAAGACGATGAGGATGACGAGGGTCTGCAGTCGAGTGCGGGAGAAGATGATAGTGACGAAGCTAACGATTCCAACGAGGTAGTAAGTTGGCGATTTTATTTACAGTGTTTTCTCGATTCTCATCTAGATTCAGTCGGATTCGGAAAATGACTTTGAAGTCGTACCGAAAGGCAATGATGAAGATATCGAAATGTGGGATGCAAACGGCGCAAGCGACAACGAAGGCAAGGAAGCGAAGGCCTTAAGTATGTTTTTATCTCAAACGTCAATTTATGCAAGCATAAATAATGTTTGATATTTCTTCCAGAAAACGGACTTATGACCGCCGAGGCTGTGACGCTAGCCCAACAGCTTGTCAACAGGGAAAAGACAAAAACACAACTAATCAACGACGGATTCAATCGCTACTCACTCAACTCGAAGGAAGGTTTACCTCCGTGGTTCCTCGACGATGAGGCGAAGCATTACAAGCCTAACATACCAGTGACAAAGGAAGCCATAGACATTCTCCGCGCAAGACAACGAGCTCTGGATGCTCGACCTATCAAGAAAGTTGCTGAGGCCAAAGCACGAAAGAAACATAAGGCATTGCAGAAGTTGCAGAAAGCCATGAAGAAGGCGGAGGGTGTGAACGAGTCGACTGACATGTCGGAACGGGAAAAGGCGCAGCAGATTCAGAAGCTCATGCTTAAGGGTCTTGCTAAGGCGAAGCAAAAGAAATCCGAAGTTAAAGTCGTGGTCGCAAAAGGGCCACACAGAGGTATACAAGGAAGACCGAAGGGCGTGAAGGGACGATACCGGATGGTGGACTCAAGAGGAAAGAAAGAGGTGAGTATTTTTGCATATGTTTTGTGTGATGTATCTAATATATTTCTAGCTTCGTGCGAAGAAGAGGCAAGAGAAGGCTAACAAGAAGAGGAGATAAGCAATCAAATCCACCGAGATCCACCTGCTATGGTATTGACTAGACTAGAGTGATATTGCATTGTAATATACGTTCATGTTGTGCTATGCCATATATCCCATCAATTGCTCAGCTTAACTGCTCCTCGTTAACAGAGGGGTCGTCTACACAGAGATCGGGACGTTTTGGAGGTTGCTTCTTATAGCCAAGCGACGTGATTTCATCGACGTCTCTTAGGAAGCTCAACCAGGCGAAACTAGAAAGTGCTTCCTTGCATGTAACCTGGCGAGAAAAGGGATCGGAAATGGTATCCAAGCAGACAACAGGCCAGGAAACGCACCTCGCAGTTTACAAGTTTTTGGCCCGACTCAAGGTCGTAAGTACTCTCAGTCGTTGTCAAGATGCGACGGTCATCAAAGGTAGGGGGAGACAGGGAGTCGAAATCCGGTGCAGATTCATGGTCTGGATCAAGAGTCTCAGTACTCCGCCTGATACTGGCATTCAACTCCAGTATATATTTGTCATCTCCGTCCTCAATAAATAGGGGTGGCTCGGGAGGACTATGTTCGATCTCTGCATTGTCAAGACTGGAAACGCTCGTCAATACCAGAGCCAGTTTCCATCAACAGAATACAACTGACTATGCTTTGAGAGCGTCAAAATACTTTTCGAGCTCAGGGAAGCTGCTGACTGGAGCGGACTCGACAGAGCCTGACACTGTAAATTTCACATCCATGGGCCTGGCGAAACATCAGAATCTGAAAAATTCAACTACGAATGTACTCACCGATCTGGAAGTGCAACTAAAAATTCTAGTTCTTTTGCCCTATAGCATATTGGCTCGCTGTTTGACTGTGTTTGTACATGGGGAACTTCGGTATCGACGTCTTCGGATCCGAGAACAGGTTCATCTTCCGAAGAAGCTTCTGCTCCTTCGTAGTCTGACTTTCTAGTCTTAACATCAGTCGCTGCCTCCAATTTGTCTGGCTCGGATTCGAAAGTACGGTCTTCGTGTTCAAATTTACCAACATCAGAATCCTGTTGTTCACTAGCTTCGACCAATGTGTTCTGTTGATCTTCAGATGGCACTTGCAGCTCCTCAATGAAGAGACCGTCCAGTTCTTCTCTCGTCAAAGCTTCATCCCGACTAACAAGGTCAAATCTCGTTTCTGCATCGGATTGCTCCGAACCTTCCTGTCCTTGAAGCTTCTGTTTGTTAATGATGACCTCTGCGCGAATAATGTTATCCGGACTGAAAGTCCCCTCTCGACTTGCTGCTGAATCACCCGGTCCTCGGATACGACGATACGTTAACCGATGAACGATTTCCTCTTGACTTGGTGGAGCAGAATGCAGGGGTGGCGGAAGACTACAAGAAATTAGCTAAAGAAATAGAGGAGAGGAGGATAAAGCACCATGGCATAAATATTCGGTGGGCGGCATTCCCTTTCAACCAATCTAGCAACTCGGGATACTCCCAACGGCCTGGAAATGGCGGAATGATACTCGATCGAAGCCGATCAGATGCCGATGACATGACGAGAAGGTGACCTGTTCTGTGAAATATTTAATTCATTACGAGGCATATAGGTAAATATGTAGCCAACTTACGATGCTGTTATGACGAAAGGCCCCAGCCCATCTTGAAAAGAACTATTTATGACATCTTCTAATGCGGGAAATTCCCTGAAAACATGCTTAGATTCTCCTCTATCCAAGAAAAAGTATAGCGTACCCGTTGGTGCTGATAAACATGCCCTTTCTGTTTCCGTTCTCTGGTGCAAATGAAGTTAGGGCCGTGCCTTTGTTCCCAAACCCATCGCTGACTCTTCGGCTGCGAAAGGTTCCTCCTTCGGCAGTCGTCCATGGGAGACTCCGTTGGGGGACGAAAGGAAACAACGAGTAAGAGGATGGGGATTCTTCGGGCGGAAGGCTGGAAGGCAAGGGTACGAGAGCTGCGAAGGGAGTCTCAAGGCCGTGCTTTATCTGAAAGGTCATGCTTAAGCCATGAATCAAGTAATTTGGATGCGGGGGGACGAACTTGTACAGCAGCTCGAGTAGCTAGCCGTCTAGCCATATTCAAGAGACGTTGATTATTGGCTCGTATTCGAACCTTTGCTAGTCAGTCAATATAACGGATATGCAATTGTGCTTAAGAACACACCTCGCCTTCGGATCCAATATTCTCGATGAACGCGTTAGCTGTCCGTGACACTCTCTGAAGCAGATTGAACGGCAGGGGTTCTTTGGTTGGAAGCACTATCTTTTCTTCTATGATAGACTACGAAAAGTTAGCACAGGCTCGGGGAGTGCCATGACAGATGTACCTTTCTCCGGTTTGACATCAAGGTTTTCAATTGCTTGATACGGCCCAATGAACCTTCTATCCGAAGACAAAGTGGGTCTGGAGTAACGGATATGTGAACATTGTATTCGCTAGACAGATGGAGAAGTTCGGATCCATCTGAACAGTTCGAGTCTCAGAATTATAACAGGTTGAACAGGTATGCTATCGCGTACCTTTTCCAAGCAGTAAGAAAAGCTCGCTAGCAGAGATCGGGAAGGCTGGTAGAAATATGAGGACTATATAAATATGAGATTATAATACGACTTACTCTTTACAACCACTTCACTCGCTTCTCGTTTCTGCTGTTCAACCTCCTTGAGGTTTTTCCAGCCCCATTCCCTCTCCATTATATCCTCCACATATTGCACCTTCTTTCTACCTGATTTTGACAAAGCGCGCTCGTAACTCAACTCTTTGCAGAATCGATGTAGCTGGTCTTTGCTGAAAGCGCGGCAAATACGGTCAACAAGTTCTAAATAAGCGGGTGCATATCCAGGGGATTCGACGGTAGGTCTGTATTTCGGGGTGAGTCGCATCAGGTCTTCAATTGTGGGCTCGATGCCTTCGGTCCGAAGCGAAAAAAGGTAGCTATCGGTTCTGTTGGGACCCACCCAATGGTTGCTGTCGGGATCCGGAAGTAAAGCTTGCCAAACAGTCTTTTTCGTAGAAGAAGAAGAGCTTGGTGGCTCCTCAGACATGTTCTCCTCGTGCGTCGAGTTGTCTTTCGCATCGACAGAAAGAGCACTATTCGAAACGACTGGATCAGAAGAGATATTTGGTGGGAGAGTGCGAGTAACAGCTGCTTGAGTGGAATACAGTCTGTGACGACAGCGATGAAGGCATAAGGCCCTTAAACTCTGATGCAGTTGACGCTGCATTGCGACAAGCAAGAGGACTTTTAGAGTATACTGTATAGAGCCAGTCAGGGTCTGGACTTTTTTTCGTGAATTATGATCGGCACGTCATTGAATTTGGCGAGTGTCGATCAATCATTGTCCCCAAACAAACAAGTACTTGAAGTAGCTTGCAGAGGTATTTCTAATTTATCTCCTAACATCGTCCCCCTACAAATGGAGTGGAGTGCTGATTGAGTATGTGAGTCCTCAACCCAACTTTTCGCACAAATATCCACAAAAATATCGTACATTGGGCCTTTTCATTATCGATATGTCATCCCACACTATTCCAAATGCACATGCAATGGTTGCCGCACTTCACGACTTCTGAAGCATCCAGAAGACCCACAGTTTCTTGATTGACTTCGGAATGAGGAGTAGTACTTTGAGAGCAACACAAATACTTGGGAGAATATATTTGCTTCTTGTGACAAATTCTCAAATAGTGGCATGCTGCAATACTAACAAGTCAAATTTGAATCACAATTTCCTCAGTTTTAATTTTAGAGACTTTAGCTTGTCTGACAAGACTATGAAAGTAGAAATAAATCACTACTGTATATAACAAAGTACTTGTTTACAATTTTATGCTCAAACTGTACATTAGGATTCTGCACAAGTATTATGATCTTTCCTGAGGAAAGACTTTTTTTAAACATTATTCTTGTAAATCAATAACGTTTAACACTGCTTGTCATGCTTTTAAAATTAATAATTGCTTTGTGACAATATATACAAAGTCTAATCTGGGTTCCCTAGGCCCATTTACCCACTTATACGTCAAGACTCCTACCTTTAATGCTGCTGTTTGTTACAAATAATATCCAACCTCCTTCTTTGCATGGCAAGCTTTCCGACGATCAAGCGAGCAAATTTACTCATTTCTTATGTGTAACTGTTGTGTCAGGCCACTGTGAAAAGTTCGGCCGATGGTCATGCTTGAAGTAATTTGCTAGGTCCGATGGGGATGTTCTGACTGAGCCCTCTGACGCTGGAGTGGTCTTGGTAGAAGAAATATACGCGAAAATGTAATTAAGTTTTCCAACCTTCAGAAAGCATTTTCGAAAGAGCATAAGAGATATGACTTTTAGACATTTATCTTGATCTGAACACTGATGAATCTATCACATTGCACCAACTCGGATGCTTAGCCAACAGTAATGCTCTATATTAATAAGAGGCCCGAGTAGGTACCTAGACCATCCTGAAGTAATTTACATGGACTTTGACGAGCCACTGAGCCAATCTCGTTTTACGATGACTTGGATGCGAAATTTGAATACGACTTCGCAAGTCACAGTTATTATGTAATGTTATCAAGTGTGCGTGAGCGTGAGAAACGACGAGGCATGCCTCACAATGACACTGGTGCTGCAGCTTCACTAACATTTTGAAGAAACCTCCCGCTTACGCCCTTAAACCTTTACCCGTGCCAAAATGCCTGTACCGAACGGGAATTTACATGAAGATGATGAAGGAATTGACTATTCCGACATTGAAGCTAAGTGAGTCGACAATTTGGATGAAAATTTTCCATCTCTGAGTCTGACTTTGTGCTCTCATCTACTATAGATATAACGTTCAGCTCGAGGAGGGTTTCGATAACATTCTTGTCGTGGATGGTGTTCCAGTCATTGACAATTCAAAACTTGAGAAGCTCCTAGTGAAGATCGGTAAGGAGTTCGGGAAAAAAGGCGCGCATATCAAACCGGACAATATCTTCGTGCCCTGGGACGAGAAGACAGGAAAGAGCAAAGGGTATTCTAGTAGCATTCATTTTCCGTACAAACAGAATGGGCTGAACTGATTGAAACCTGTGAATATAGATTTGTGTTCATAGAATTCAAGAACGCCGATGATGCTACCTATGCGCTAAATGTCATGAACGGACACCCCTTCGATGCCAGGCATACATTCCTGACAAGTAGGTTTACCGACATTGAGAAGTTTTCGGAGATGGACGAAACATTTGTTGAGCCAGAACCAGAGCAATTCCAACCAAGGGTACTTGCTCGTCTTACTGTCATCACACTGCAGTCTGACCGAGTTTTCGCAGGATCATCTACGGGCGTGGCTTACCGATGCTCAAGGACGCGACCAATATGTTACCTATAAACAAGACGACGTCACCATCCATTGGCATGGAAAACCTTCACAGTCAGAGGTAGCGTATGAAAGACGGGTACGTGTGGCGTCTATACTCTTTTTGGTGGCCCATTTCTTGTGTGCGATAGCCAATAACACTACTCTATCACAGAATTGGACGGACCTATATGTTTCCTGGTCTCCGCTTGGCACGATGCTTGCAACTCTGCATAGGCAGGGAGTACGGCTGTGGGGTGGCCCGTCGTGGTCTCCCGTACAGAAGTTTGCACATCCCCTTGTGAAACTGATTGACTTCTCACCTAATGAACGATATCTCGTTACTTGGTCCAACGAACCTATTGTTATCCCGGAGGGTGCGCCGCAGGGAGCGCAGTATCTATCACACGAAGATGAGGGCAACAGCCTCGCCGTGTGGGATATCAAGACGGGCAATCTTCTTCGCACGTTCCCAGTACAAAACAGTTCACAAGGTGAAGACGTTGCTACTGGTGCGAAGAAGCAGATGCAATGGCCCGCAATGAAGTGGAGTGCAGATGACCGCTACGTAGCCCGTGTGACACCTGGACAACAGATTAGTGTCTACGAGTTACCTGGGATGGGTCTCCTCGACAAGAAGAGTATAAAGATTGATGGTGTCGTTGATTTTGAATGGCGGCCAATTGGCGATCGAGATCGTGAAGAAGCGGAGAAGGAGAGCAAGAATGACGCAGGTGGACCAAAATCCAAGAGACCGAAAGAGAACATGCTTGTGTACTGGACGCCAGAGGTGGGAAATCAACCAGCACGCGTCTCACTCATGAGCATCCCCAGTCGCACGGTACTGCGATCCAAGAACCTGTTCAACGTAACTGAGGTATGTTCTTATTGTCTACACTCGGGGCCGTTTATCTGCGGCCCCGGTCTGCGAGAGGTCAAGGTTCTGGGAAATAACGTGTTCTGACGGAAGACTTCTTTTCATTAGTGCAAGCTATACTGGCAGAACCAGGGCGATTTTCTTTGCGTCAAGGTAGATAGACACACTAAGACGAAAAAGTCAATCTTCTGCAACCTAGAGATCTTCCGCGTGCGAGAAAAAGATTTCCCTGTGGAGGTTGTCGAGCTTAAAGGTACGGATCCGATATCATTGGCCTTTTTGCGTCTTCACACACGGCGCGTGTTCTTCACGCGACGTCGGTCTGAACCCTGTTATCGTCCTGTTGGTCCGTCCAGATCTCATTTTCTCACTGACTTGTCTACAGATACCGTTACCGACTTTTCATGGGAGCCGAAGGGTGAACGTTTCGCGATTGTGTCAAGTAGTGACCCAAATGTAGGGAATCCTGGGCCTGGGATTACCATCAAGACGGATGTCAGCTTTTACCAGCTTGAACGTGGGAAGGGAGACTTTAAATTACTAAGTAAGTGGATTTCAAATGGATCTCAGCTCGAGCTCACCCAGCGACTCGCTTATACAGAGAGCCTCTCGTCGCGGACGAGCAACACGATACGCTGGTCGCCGCGCGGAAGACATGTAGTTCTGGCAACGGTCGGCTCCTCATCAAAATCGGAACTAGAGTTCTGGGACTTGGATTTCCATACGGACGACATAACTGGACGCCGTGAGATCGCAAAGGAGGACTGGGGTGCTGGAATCTCACTGCTCGGGACGGGTGATCACTATGGAGTGACGGATGTAGAATGGGACCCTTCAGGAAGGTACTTGGCCACGAGTGCGAGTGCCTGGCGACACACGGTATGTTATCCTTTCGTGATGCTTCTCAGGCTCATAATTGAGCGGAGAGAACTCTGTGCTTATCCTTATTCTTTTTTTGCTCTTGTCCGAAGTTGGAAAATGGCTATGCGATCTGGGACTTTAAGGGACAGGAAGTAGAGAAGCACATCCTAGACCGCTTCAAGCAGTTTCTCTGGAGGCCTCGACCGCGGACACTGCTGACGAAAGAGCAGCAGCGGCAGATACGCAAGAACTTGAAGGAATACAGTCGGACATTCGACGAGGAAGATGCTGCTGAAGAGAGCAATGTGAGTGCGGAGTTGATCGCCCATCGGAAGCGACTCGTGGACGAATGGAACGCCTGGCGTGCGAAATGCCGGAAGGAGTTGGGTGAGGAGCGCCAGGGTGTTAATGGACGGACAACCGAGGTAAGATCCAATCTGCGATTTATTCATGCGGGAACAGATGGTGACGACGCGTTTTCTCAGGACGAGCAGGAGGAAGAAATTGCGATTGAGTTGGAGGAGGTGCTAGAGGAGATTGAGGAGGTTGTGGAGGAGTAATATGGTCCACAGTATATAATTATGCATTGTTAGCATGTTGTAGAAGTATGATTAGCTAGCTGTATTGGCTGTGATACGCGAGGGAGGGCAAATCCATGTGCCTGCTTGAATAATGTGCTGACTGTGACTGTGAGTCGACTGACGCGGCCCCCGTCCACCGTTAAAAATGGGTGATCTTATCTGATAATAAAGATATGATTCACACATACCCCGTCTCCTGCTCATATAGCTCGCATCGCACAGGTCGCCATCCCCTCCTTGTGTCCCACCGCCTCCAGCTCGCTCTCAAACAAGGCGTGCCGCGCCCTCCCTCGCCTGTCTTGTCTTCCCATGACTTCTGATGCCACCCAATCCGTCGTCGCCTCTTCCTCAACGCTCTGGGCGCAAGGTATTTCCTCTCACCGTTGCCGCCTCCACTTCCCCACCTTACCCACACTCTTTCAGCGTCCAAGGAATGGGTAATTCCCGCCAAACCGAAACCTGGAAGGAAGCCAAAGAAAGACGCCGCTCCGCCCAAAGAAGCACAGGAGGTACGTGCACCTACGTCCTCCTCCATCATATGTCCGCCGCCAAGCCTTTCTCACACAATGCCGGACCAGGTCGACAGTAAGGGTCGACGCGTACAGAACCGGTATGGTATTTCATGTTTCGTGATTCTTGTACATAAGTAACCGACACGTTGGTATCCAACACAGTGCTGCCCAGCGTGCATTTAGAGAGCGCAAGCAATCTCAGTTAGCTGACCTACAGGCTCGGCTTCAATCCTACGAACAAGGAGAAATCGAACGTAATGTTGCTCTCCAGAAGATCTCCAAGCGCCTCAAGGAGGAAAATGAGCAACTCAGAAACGAAAATACCTCCCTCAAGGAGGAGATCTCGCGTCTCAAGGAACAGGCTGCGGCCTCCTCCGCTGGCCCATCTACTTTATCTTACCTTCGCGATAAGGAAGACGGAAGCAGAAGTCTCAAGCGGTGGAGGGATGGCTCCGTATGTTCAATCCTAAGTGACGATGCTAGCATAGTCTTGGAGTCTGCCAATCGCAAACGGTTTCGAACGGAAACCGTATCTCCAGGCCCATCAGTTACGGTTCCTCAGTATGCGCACGAGGTCGCATACACGCCGTCGCCTCCTTCAGCGGCATCTTCCCCAGACTCTTATGGCATTTCGCGCACTCCCTTTTCGCCATCACCCTTCGCGACGGCGCCCGCTGCCTGTGCATCGAATCATGCGGCATCTTCGTATCCTACATCTTCAGTCTTCTCTCCTCCACCTGAGGGTCAAAAATCGTTCGATGCCCTCGCAAGAACGCCTCCGTTTGATGCTTTTGATTGTGGCTTGTGTACAGACAACACGCCATGTGTATGCCGTGAAATTGCCATGCAACATGCCAACGCTGTATCCGGACTTTCTGGATCCGTCTCCGAGTACGGAAATAACCTGCTGGCAGTTCAGAACGGGACGATGACAGTACTCAAAGCCGAGGACTCGGATAATCGCGCTGTAATTTCTACGACTAACATTATCAAGATTCCGTCTGCTTCAGACGATGTGGATACTTCAAGGTCTCCCAACCCTGCAATCGTTGGGAAGACTTCCCATCAATATTCTGTGCAATCCCGACAAGAAACTCTATCGGACCATCGGACGAATACCAGTGGGCCTTTCCAGATCCGCCTGCCTTCACCTGAACCTGCTCCCACCCCCTCTAGTACTTCTTCCTCTCGGTCTGTACCTCTGCGCTTGAAGAATGCACGTCGAACCACATCAGGCAAGGTCTGGCAGATCAACCCGTCCCCTCCGACATGTTCGGGTGACCCGTCGAATTGCCCTGCGTGTAAGGACGACGATTTCGGCAAGGCGTTCTGCCGTGCTCTGGGAGACTCAGCCAGTGTCGTATCGCGGGCATGTGCTTCCTGCCCTAATCCTGAGGCATGTGGGAGGGTCTCTCGGTCGGCATGTGCTCCTGGGCCAAGTTCTATCCCCTTGTCGAGCCAGGACTCGTCGGAAAAGATGAATTTGAATAGATCAACTTCCTCAGGGTCTGAGCAAGATCGAAATACCGGCGAAGCTTCGTTGCTCAACAGTTCGGGGCGATCTTCCGCTACATTGCCCTCTCACTCTGCTGCCACTAACCAACAAGGTGTATTGCTATCTACTCCGTCTAGGCCTGGTGGGAAATCCGTTGGACCGTCTGAGACAATCCCCGTAAATGAAGCATGGGCGCGGCTCAAGTCACACCCGAATATTGCCTTCGCGGACCTAAGGTGATAATAGTTGTTAAATAATGTCCGTTGGTATGCTAAAATTTTCCTCTAGTATGCTCGCCGATGTTGTGGCTCGCAGGACGAAATGCTCGGGACCTGTTGCAGTGATAAATCCGGCTCCGGGCTCAGTTACTCCAGAACGCGATGCTGCGCGGAGTCCGGCATCGCCGGAGTCTGGAATGACAATGCAGCAGGGCTCTGAGAATCCTCAAGAGAAAGACAGTAATTCTGTTCTTCTCACGGACCCTCATGCCCACTTCCGAGAACAAGAACAGCAGCGGGCGAAGGTTCCGACGATGGTACCTTTCAATGATTCTACCTCCAGTTCTGCCGTTTCGGTACCCCAAACAACTCCTTCGTCGGCATTGAGTCTTGGACCCGGCGCTGTTGGCCGTCCTGCTCTCGTACCCCAAGAAGAGTTGCGTGAATGTGGACGACGTCGCATCCGGGAAGTTGACGCAGCGGGTGTGCGCGAGGCACTTCGGATCCTCGATGCTCAGTTCGGCAAGCATTCTTGATGCGCCATTGGTCTACCATGCGTGATACCCTACATGTGGTAGCCGCACCACTCCTTGGGAGTGCAGTTCTTGGAAAGGTGAAGTCAAAGATCCGGAACAACGGAAATTTCACAGAAGTCATGTTGCTGGGTATTTCGTACTATTAAAGATCTCTTAGATTTCAAGGTTAGGTGCAGTCACACAGTCATTTATATTCTTATGCTATTCCCCAGTGCGCCGAACTTACCACAATGTATCATAGCGTTTTTCTCTCATTATACCATATATGCATCCCTAACCGTTGATATTACTACCTATGAATAGTATGTATGCATCTATATTAAGTGATTTACTCCCCTATTGCAATATAACTGTCTTATATGCGTAGAAACTGTCTTTCATCTCTGATCGGAATTTGCGTTGTGGGTATTGCCTCTATCCCCAACTTGCATAACATTCTTCCATTCCCCGACAACCTTCTGCATCAATGCCAGTAGCTCCTCTCTTTTGTAAGTATCCGGTCTTGGGACATCTGAACGCGGAGGTTTTGATCGATCACGGATGTCTCGCAGGTGCACCATCAATTCCCTCATTGGCGCCACGCGCATGTCCGTCGGAAACGGAGCAACCATTGTCCAAAGGTCTATGAGGGTACGACGCGCACGGGCAAATGCTTTGGTTGCAAAGAACGATGCAACCACTGCGTCAACAGAGGAAATGTCTGGGGTGACGCCCTCGTTAATCATGTCTCTGAATACGTTCAGTGCCATGTCTGGACGTCCACGACGGGCATATCCGGAAATCAAAATCGTGTACAGGATGACGTGCCGAGGCACTAGTTTGCTCGCCGTCGCATCTTGTAGTACTTGATGAGCGGCTCGTAGATTACCTGCAACGCAATGAGCTTCCATAAGCGCAGAGTAATGATATATGTTCGGGTGCAGCCCACGATCACGCATGATCTGCAGATTTTGAGCTACAGCCTCAGGTGCTCTGTCTGGAGGCAAGGTGAAAATGTCGTGACGCATGCGGAGTGCGAAGGTAGCGCGATCAGCCATGATTCGGTGAAGGTGAAGGGACTGAATGATCGGTTGCAACACATTACAGAGCACGGTAGACTGGAGATCAGTCACGCAAAGCTCGGGATCAAAAGAGAGGTCCAACACCATCTCTTCACGACGTTCTACATCGTCCAAGTTTGGCTTGTTCAACTGCTGCATGGATTGCCGGACATAGGTTGCCAACGCGTTCCATCCCTCTTTGAACTTCTCCCGCTTTGCAGTGCGAACGATGATATCGAGAATAACATTCAAGACCTTGACAGTCGGCTGAACTTGAAATGAAAGCAACGAATGCATAACTTCGGCAACATCTCTGGTCAGGATTTCCCTCTCTTTTGCAAGGTGCCGCAAGACGGTCTCGAGGGTTTTGTGGTTGGGCTTAATGTAGGCCTCCTTCATAAGTTGAAGGACAAGGAGAGTAGCACCTAATCCACGAATTTGAATGGCACCATGAAGAACAGAATTAAAGAGCTCGATAGTCGGCTCGCCGATATAGGGTGCAAACAATGAAGGACCAGGGTAGCGCGGGTCAAATCCCAGAAGTTTCAGAGTGCTCACAGACAAATTACGATTCTTGCAGCAATCGCGTAGAACGACAAGGGCTTTGTGTTCTTTTCCGTGCGCGTAGAACATGCGTATTAGGCATGCACCAACTCTGACATCTGGCCCAATGCCGGAAACCTTCATGCGCTTGAGGACAATATTCAAAGTTTTGGTGTGGCCATATTGTTTCGCGAGGTAGTCGATTAACATCGTATAAGTTCTCCGGTCCTCTAAGGTGGCATACCGACTTGGTACATTGGTCAAATCCACAGTCTGTTCGTCGAAACCACTTTCGGTGGCAATGTTTTCGGTTCCGTATTTGTTCGTCTGAGAACCATAAACCTCTAAGAGTTTCAGAGCGCCCTCGAGGTCGTCCTTGTCGAGATGTAATCGCAATAACCCATTTAGAGCTCTTCTTCTGTGCCTTACAACCTGACTGTTGTTGAGAATGTCGAGACCTCGATCTCGGACGAAGTCGTCCAAGCCAAAGCCTCTGTAAACAGGAATGATAGCTGCATATGTCGAAGCGGTTACGGGAAATCCAGCCTTCTCCATGTCTTGGACTGTAGTTGTGGCTCGAGACAGATCGTGATTGCGCAGATGTCCCCGTAAAATTATCATGAATGTGCGACGCTGGGGTTGTAGACCGTGTGCCTCGAATTGTTCGATAATTCGATCCAACTCCTTGAAATATTGCACTTCTACATAAGCCCTCGCACGCCAATTCAACAGACGAGCTGTTGTCTTCCTGGTAGCATGTTGTGCAGCAACGGAAACGGAAAGGACATGAAACCATCTTCGGGACATCGCAAGGTGGTATGCAATGCGTTCGTACATGTTTTGCTTGAGTCTGAGTCCGATGCTGTGTGCCGCATGTAGGATGTAAAGAGCATCGTTGGGCAGATTTGATTGAGCCAGCACCTCTGCAGCGCGGCAAACAGAGTCTGCGTTGTTCAAGAACTGAAACCAACTCTGATTTTCGATGGGTGGTAGACAAATAGTCAAAATATGTTCGCGAGCTGGTTCGGAACCGAAGTGTTCCTCTAACCACCTTAGGAGTCCACTCGGCACCTCTAGTGCATCTACGGTCGCTTTGCGGGTGATCGCATGCTGTCCTGTGCTCTGTTGCTCTCGCGTCACCTGTAGCTCGAAAAGTTTTTCTTCGTCCCTGTTTTCTAACCATTGGTGGCCGGGTTCGGGAACGGGCGCGTTTTGCCGGAGGTAGGCACTCGCCGAAGCACTTGCTGATTCGCAGCGAGCACTCCAAAACAGCAGGAGGGGCGGGCGAGGAGTAAAAGAATTGCATGGAAAAAGGCGGTGAATTGGCAGTCGATGATAGATTGACCATGGACCTGTCCCTCTCCACAGCATGGACAGACAGGCCAGGAATTGCGGACTGCCGCCAATTCAGCTGAGACTAAACGAGAAAACAATCAGAGATTCGACCCAGATTTACAAGCCAAACGTGTACATACGGAAAACGAGGAGCTTGGAGCATGTGCATGCATGCAGTCAAATGAAGACTGCTCTTGCAGAGGAGGCGTACGACCGCACTCAAAAAAAGTTGAGTACGGTGAGCGTTACTAGAGTTTGAACCGTCGGTGACACGGTAGCAGTCGCCAGAAGTCGGAACGGAACAGAATAAACAATTTGTGAGAATATATTTCCATATTTGACGATTATAGTTCTTCCCGCAACTCTTCGGGTTTCTCATCCTGGCTTCTCAGTTCTAGCTCTGCACGTGTGCATAATGGTAATCGAGCTGTTTGATACTAGTGCTTTGCTTCTATGCGCACCTAATCGATCGCATCTATACGTTCATTGGACACTCATGCTTATTTCCGAAATCTTCACCAATGTTATCTGCTCTCGAAATCCCTAACTGAACCACTGCGGATCATTCATCTTAGCCATCCTCACCGTATCCTCCTTCAGAGCCTTGCCTACTGTTAGTCTGTGCCTATCAAGCAAGATCCCGGCGACCGTGAATTTGAAACATTTTCCCGGTTGTCTCAACGTGAAAATTAACCTTTTTCAAAATGGTGCTCGGCTTGCCACAATCTGATGTCGTAAACAGAGGCGAAAAGCCTTACCAGCCGTAGTGACACCTCACCGTTGGACCACATGGTCGCGAAACATCCACGGCCACCAATCTCAAACATGGATTCGCAGAAGGTGTAGTGCTCAAAGTAGGCATGTAAAGCCCGGCTCAGACACCATACAACTTTGCAAACGCATGGGATCAACCGTCTTCACAGGCACAGCAACGGACCTGGACGGATTTCGCTTTTAACGGCTTTTTACGTGCGCGTTCCGAACGCACTCACTCCTGAGGCTCAGAAACTGATGGACAAGACGAAAGTCATCGACAGGGACTGCCGAGCCAATACGACGAATGGGCACAATGATGCAACTTCAATCAAAAAGGCAAAGAAAAAATACATCCGTGCCTGACAATATTACAGGGCTAAACAAAATCTTTATTTTTACCATGGTCAGCAAGTGAGACGCAAGACATCACAGCTTGCACTGCCTGACAGTTTGAAGGGCGGGCGGGCACAGTTTCAGCGCTCGCGCGCGATTCAATCATTTGCCCAAACGGCAGACATCAATCAAGGAGTGAGTGACTGCTGACCAAACAGCGTTAACTGCACTGCATAAGATTGATAGCGATTGAAAATACAAGGACAGAGCTCGCAGCTGACTCGTGCCGTCTCGCAAGCGTAATGAAGGACTCAGAAATGCATTCAGCACTGGCAGGGCTTGACTTTGAGCGCGAAGTGGGCAGCAGGAGCGGATGATGACAATGAGTCATTTCCGGGAAAAGAAAAAGAGTTTACCTAAGGTTGGGGTTATGCTTACCTATCCCCGACGCGTCGTGACGCGCCTCGACCTCAGATGGTAACCTTCACAAGATAGATCAAGAGCCAAACACACTCTGCAGACACTGCACAGCTCACTTCTAAATGCATTTTCATATGCGTTCCTGGATATTTGGCTTGTTAATACTGCTATCTTGGCTTGTTTCTGAACGGATCAAGATCAATTTTTCCTTTTTGTAAAATGTCTGCGTGGGACCTATGCCAGACGATTGCGTTTTCCGGCCTGATGCCTCATCCTTGGTCGGTCCCAAACCAGAGCCGCTTCCGCAATATGCTACACTAACCCGTCACCAAGCCATGTGGCTGTCCAAAACATGATAGTCTATCCTGCGACTCTCCGGCGCGCCATCACCGTGCTACCTAACAACTGACTCCGCCTCTGCTCCTCCTACTTGGGCAAGATATAAATGGTACGCTGCGCTATCACTGTTCGAGTCACCTCCCAATCCTCTCACCTCTCCGCTAATGCAAGCCCTCCAATCCCACCTCAGTGTCCTCGAAGAGGCGGCCCAACGCTACCCCGACAGGCATGCGTTCCGCATTGCTGAAATGTCCAAGTCATCAACGATGATCAACACCTGGATCCCTAAATCGTACCGCGAATTCCATGCAGATGTGGAACTGGCTGCAAGGTACTGGACCAAGAAGCTCTCATCTAGTGGGCTCACCCCCCGATCCGTTGTCGGTCTATGGTAACTAATATTCACTACCATTTGCGTATTCGCCACATCTAACAGATATGTAGGCTTGCCGGCATGGACTATTCTGACGTCGTTAATATCTACGGCATGTCCAGGGCAGGATTTGTCCCCCAACTCTTCAGTCTGCGTTTGCCAAGTCCAGAAGTAGTCTACGAGCTTCTCAACCGGGCCCACGCGAAGGCGCTTATTTACGACCCAAGCTTCGAGAATATCGTAGTCGACCCTCCCGTACCGAGCGAGCGTGTAGCATGCTTAGAAGAGCTAGAAAGCTGCTCCGAAGCTCCTCTGCCTCCCTTCCCAACACCGAAATCGAGCGACCTCGTTTTCATCTTTCATACAAGTGGGTCAACATCTGGTAGCCCGAAACTTGTTCCCTGCGATGCGAAATGGGTCAATAGCGCAGTATTCAAGTCAAAGGAGGCCAGTACCCCTGCAAGCAGGAACCCCAACAAACAGGACGTCAGCACCTGGATGTGAGTGAAGTTTCTTCTGCCACTACTCTCTAGCTCATTCTCCATAACAGGGGCAGTATGTGCCACATTGGACAAACGTTCATGTTGATAGGATCACTACAACATGGAGCTTGCACCATTCAGCCGTCAAAAATTGGATTTTCCTCGGAAGAGCTCGTTGAAATGATCAACCGTTGTGATTTGAACCGGCTACACCAATTCGCTTCTTTCCTCAGTACACATATTCGCCACGCCCGCCAGAACCCGAAGTTGCTCGCTCATCTGCAGAGCTTGGACACGATCGCATACAGTGGACTTCCCTTACCGCAGGAGGACGAAGATTTTGGTTACCAGAACAAACTTAAGCTAATCGTTAGTTCTAAATCGCCTTTATATTCGATTTCATCGTAGCTTATTGTCATTAATCAGAATCTTTTCGGAAGCACGGAATGCGGGGCTATGATGTTGTCCCAGCGTACCTCGGGCCCCGAAGCCCGCTTCTTGAGTCCACTGAAGGGGTTAAATTATGGCTTCTTCTCCGCCGGTCCAGCACCAAAGTCCGATGACGGAGTAGTCTGTGCGAACAGTCAACTCCTAGAGCTAGTTATTCTCAGCGATTCGCCCGATTGCCCTCACGTCTCTCTCCGCAAGCCCGACGGGCATTTTCACACAGGTGATCTTTTCCTTGAAGCTCGACCAGGCCAGTATCTTTTCCGTGGGCGCGATGATGACTGGATCAAAAGTTTGAACAGCCTTCGCTGCGATACTCGCGCGATTGAGGACAACGTCCGCGCAACCTGCGGGGATCTGGTGGACGAGTGCATTGTTGTTGGAACTGGCCGCTCATCACCAGCCTTATTCGTTGAACCCGCGACTGAGATGGATCACGAGAAGCTTAAGCGCGAAATTATCAGACGTACTCGTGGCTTCCACGCCCGTCGGTATCTGCACGAGCGTATCAGTGATCCCGAGCTTGTCATCGTTGTAGAGAGCAAAGCCCTTCCCAGAACAGTGGTTAGTTCGCTTTATCTGTACTAATATTAGGAATGATTGTTGACATGATTGTTTTTTAGACAAAGGGCAACATTCGCAGGAAGGCTGTAGAAGAGGCCTACAAGGATCTCTTGGACGAGATCTATGACGAAGACTAATTAACTCGCCTCGGCACTCCCACCTGACCCTCACATTTTACTTTTTCTCCCCCTCCATTACTGTTGCACTATTTTTATTGATTATTGCAATGCATATGGACCTCGGAAGGAACACGGAAACATATCACGCACAACTGTAGCTCTACAATTTTTTATTTTCCCCCATCCAAATCATTTGTCGGGATTTCATATATCGTAACGCACACTGCTTCGGCACTAATTTTATTATTAATTGAAGTACTGTAGAGCCCGTAATTTAGTATAGCCATTTGTTGATTGTATCAGAGTGTAATACACAACTTTTCTTGAAACGTATACTCGGACCGACAAGGACTGCCGCTGATCCGCGGGTTGCCGAGATACAGCAACAGCAGCAACGTGCTTCAGATGTGCTGTTTTAGGATACTTTTATAGGTTTGTGAGCGCGCTACGGCTCTACCTGTCTCCGACGTTCTCTCGCGTCTAACTCGTCCCTCCATTCCAAACTAGCAGGACGGCGGTGGATCAACGTAGCCATGGACGTTGAACTGCCATGCAATGCTGAAGATGCACAGACCGCGGCTCTCACTCGGCAATCGCAGCTTAGTCGAAGAGAGTACCTGCAAGGTGTTGGTCTCCTGCTGATAGTCGTTTTCCTCTGGACATCTTCTAATTTCATTACGCAAGTGAGCAAGTCCGTAGTAGCACATCGTATGTCATCGTTCATTATTGTATCTATAGGATATATTTGATGATGGCTACGAGAAACCCTTCCTGTGTGTAGTTGCGTCTAACAATCTTTCACACATGTCTAGCTAATGACGCGTGTGTCGCAGTGTGACGTACCTGAATACGAGCTCGTTTGCTATATATCTTATCCCTTGGGCGGTGAAATGGTTCGTCATGCGAAAAGCCAGTCAAGCGAGTGATCACATGCGGTGCGAGGTTGTTTGATACCAGTGTCAGGATACGATGTTGACTCACGTACATCATGGGGTGAAATAGAATGGGCTATGAAGCAATTGCTGCCGTTGACTCGCTTGAGGCACCTACCTCCGCCTTAGCATCAAATTTCCGTGCCCCATCCATTATAACAGATGACGTCCGGAAGCCGAACGATCTTGACCCGTTGACGACTCGACAGACTGCGCAATTGGCATCAGTGTTCTGCATATTTTGGTTCATTGCCAATTGGGGAATAAATGCAAGCTTGCAATTTACCAGTGTTGCTAGTGCGACAGTCCTGTCAAGTACCAGTGGTGAATACATTCCCTTTAAAGGAACACTTGCATGGATGGCTAAGTTGCTGATTACTTGTCAAGGTTTCTTTACACTTATTGTGGGACGCCTATTTAAGGTCGAGAGTATGACATTAGCCAAGGTCTTAGCAGTTGTCACAAGGTAAGAGCCTGATGAACCGTCATCGGAGTGGTTAGTGACGTGTTGTGATAGCTTCTTAGGTGTTGCACTCGTTTCTTTCTCGGATTCATCAACAACCCGTGATGATCCGACAGATGTTACTTCGAATCAATCCGTGCAGTCCTTGCCAGTCCTTGGAGATATCTTGGCACTGCTAGGCGCTCTGTTCTACGCGTTATACGTTATTCTTTTGAAGGTCCGTATCAAAGAGGAAAGTCGAATAGACATGCAGCTCTTCTTCGGATTTGTTGGCTTGTTCAATGTGCTTATGATATGGCCAATTGCTCTCGTCCTGCATTTTACGGGAGCCGAGACTATAAGTGCACCACCGACGCACCGGGCCTTGGTTGCTGTCCTGCTCAATGTGCGTGTTTCATTTGCAACAATTACCGCTCTTCAATTTATTATTGAATCGAACGGTTTTCAGATGTTCATTACACTATCAAGCGACTACTTATATGTTCTCGCTATGCTGAAGACGACTCCTTTACTTGTTACTGTTGGGTTGAGCTTAACGATTCCACTGGCAATTATTGGCGATTTCTTCTTGAAGAAGCCGTCAGCTCCATTAGCCGTTTTGGGTGCTCTACTGGTTCTAGGAGCATTTGTGTTGATTGGCGTTGCAAATGCGAAAGATACTGCGCAACAGAAGGAGGGTTCAGACGGAAGTTTCGAGGTCGAAGAGGTAGAACCCATCATAGAGTCCTCGTCTCGTAGCTGACAGGCGCCAAATCGGGTAATTGTTCGGCCTTTTGTATCAAAAAATGGTCATATTCTGATCTGGAGTGCACTTTTTCAGGACATTTGCACGCTCTGTTATTCCTGATGCTTTGGGTTCCCACAGATTGAGAGCTGTACTGGCCTATCCCGTCGGGCTAGGGCTTCGGGCTCGGAGGTGGCCGCTAGTGCCACCCGCCTCGGGATGTCTAGTTCATCCACCATGCCAGTTCCACAGTGCCAGTATCCAACCCATGAGTTCAGGATCGCCGATACTTCGGTCTTCCTCATGCAGTTGCTTCCATGTGGGATCTTTGTAGATTTTGGTTGTGCAGTGCATGACCTGATCATGCGTGCATGTAACAGTAATTGTACAGATTTTAGCTATTTTATTCTTGTTGTATGGACGATATAGATTTGCCGCAACTTTGCTGATTTTGTGACAGATGAAACGCGTGACGTGTAAAATTGGTACGCGACTTTGAATATTTACGTCGCGACAAAGGAAGGGAAAGCTACACACAGACGCTCTCATACCGACTCCATTGATTGTACTATTCTTTCCCTTGTTCTGTTTCATCGTGCACTCTCCCCAATATCACCTATCACCTATTTCATTGACGGCCGCAAGCTCCCACGCTTGCTCTCGGTCTGCTTCACGATCATCAAGCTCTTCTTCCCGCCCTTACACGTAGCAACAGGGCCGTCACACGCGTCCTGCGCTCCAGTAGCTTTCCCCATTCTCTCCCTTTGTGCCAATCTTTTACTCCTTCAGAGCCATGGCTACTTCTGCTGCGCGAACGCCGCCGGCGAGACGCGCGTCAACATCAAACCACGCAGCCACGTCCATTGCACGCGGTGCGACTGCACGTTCGGCTGTCTCGCCAAAAGTCGCAGCCTCGCTGAATGGCACCACCCGGCGCACATCATCGTCTAGACCATCTTCTTTGGCGTCTACCGCGGAAGCAGATGCGGCTGCGAATGAGGGACTGGCTGCGGCACTGAAGAAGGAGACGGAAGAGAAGGAAGAGGTGCGTGCATCACGCGAAGCGTCGTCTTAAGTCCTATGAAACGCAGCTAAAGCGTCACCTGTTCAGCTTCTTGTCCGCGTGCAGAATAAGGACCAAAACATCTCCGAACTGGCTTCTGAGAATGCTCAGCTCTCGGCAGCTCTGAATGCAGCTGAAACGCGTCTGTCTGAGCTTTACGCTGATCAAGCACGAATTGAGGAAGAAACCGCGACACGGTTGGAGCTCGTGGATAGACTCAGGTTGCAAGTACAAGAACTAGAAAGGGAAAAGCGGGATGTCCTTCGACGATACAATGAACAGGTGAGATTTAAGCTTAACTCCGAACGTGACAAATTAGTTAAGATTTATCTACTACTAGGCTACGACGTTTGATGCTGAACGACAATCGTTTTACGATAATGAGCAACATCTCAAGTCGCGTATCCAATCGCTTGTGCAGGCACGCAAGTCAGAGGAATTGCATCATAAGGCATCAACTCAATCTTTCGGTGAACCTTCCATCCCCGAAGAAGACAACACATTCGGAGAAGTAGAGCAAGTTGAAGCAACAAGGAATGCTGCTACTTCAAGCGGCTTTCAGCGAACAGAGCCTGATGAGGCATGCGAACCTGCGGAAATGACTTCTTTGCGACTGGAATTATCAACTTTGTCTACCTCTTACACGTCTTTGCAAACAACTGTCCAGCACCTTTCCTCACAGCTTCTCGACCTCAAACGGGTCAATGCTCAGCTGCAAGAAGAGAATGAAAGTTATAACATTCTGCTTCGCGAAAGAACTCTAAATGGCCAGTTTGATATACTGAAATCAGCAAGTACGAAGCAGATTGACGAAGGCTCGATGGAGGGAGTCGAAGGAGATGATGAAGAATATACTGGTGATGATCAAAGCGCGTTTCCTTCACGAAGCAGGACCCCTCTTGATCCTGTTGATGAACTTGCTGAGGATATGGATTCCGCAGTCTATGGCGAGGAGCATGATCAAGACACTTTTGTTCCGGACGATACAGGGTCGTATTCATCCGCGGGAAATCGCGAACGTTCTCGTCGTGCTGGTCGTGGAAACCGCCGTGCTGTGGCATCTTCGTCCTCTCCGCCACCGAAAGGCGAGTCACTCGCTGGTCTACCTGTGGCAGGGCCGGGCTTGGATCTCGCAGCAGAGCTTGGACGTGCGGAAAACTCAGCCATGTTCAACGGGACTGTGGATCAATTCGAATCACGGGATCGCTCATCCTCGAATGCGAAAGCCAAGAAAGGAAAGCGACAGTCTATGGACCGAAAGGCGCCAGACGCCAAAGTTGAACCTGCCAAAGACCTCGATACCCTGCGTAACGAGGTCAAGTCGCTCAAGGATGCAAACAAAGCACTGTCATTATACGCATCGAAGATTATTGATCGTATTATTGCACAAGAAGGATTTGAGCATGTGCTGGCGGCCGACTATGAGAAGAGCCCAACGTCGCCTACCAAGAAGCAATCGTCCCAGAATCCCGCAGCGGAGGAAGTGCCGAAAAAGAAAGCTAGGCCTCAAAGCGCAATATTTGGACTGTCTTTTCCTAGCACTGAACCTGTACAATCACAACCGTCTCAGAACGGCGTTGCTCCAACGTCACCCACAATTCCTGTCGAGCAAACCGCTACAACAAGAACACAGAGGCGCTCGTTATCATTTGACTGGAGGCCATCATTCTCTATGTTTGGTGGCTCGTCGGACAAGAAACCCGAGGTCAACTCAAACTTGCGTCCTCTCACTCTCCGTCCTGGAGGATCTTCCGTTATCACTGCGCGCAAGCTAGACACGCAAGAGGATGACGAAGACAGGAAGGAACGTGAGCGATTGCACGCGACTATGAAACTGATGGGTATCAACAAGCCGGTTTCACCGACCCCGACATCGCCCAATGTCAACAGCCCAAAGACATTCCTTAGCACACCTTCATCAACGCCTGCTAGCACCCCGAACCCACAATCTGAGGCTACGAGCCCCAAGCCCGCGCAACCGTCTCGCTTCTCATTCTTTCGATCGCGATCAAATACCTCGGAAAACTCAGTGAATTCGACCAACTCTGCACCAGCACGGTCGGGAAGCAACCTAACTGCGGAAGCATTAGAACGTGCTGAGGCAGAGACGACGCTGCAAGCTTTGGACGAACGAGAAAAGGCCTTGAGCGCAGAAATAGCGAAAGGTTCAAACGGTGGTTTCACGGAACTTCCAAGCCGCCGTCAACGAGGTGAAGGCCGGAGTAAAAAGAGTAGGTTGAGTGGTGGGAGTGGGAGTGGAAGCACAGTGTGGAGCGCTGGAATGAGTACACATAAAGAGGAGAGTGGGGACGAAGCTGGTCGAGCATGAAGATTGAAGAACTTTAGACGTGACGATGGACTTTCTGACGACTATTATGATTTTTCTGCTGAGGTTACAAAGTTATGTATGCTATACCCCTTTGCTTTCGTTTTCTGGACTATGTGGAATGGATGTCGGAAAGAGTTCCGAGTCGAATACTGTTACATATGATACATTAGCGTAATAAATAATAGCTTCGCTCGAACCCTACGCATTTGTTAAGAACGAGGAGAGCTGTATTAAGGGAGGGACTACAATAAGCTGTGGAAAAAGTCATTGAACAGCGGGATTAGCCCTTTTCATGCTTGACAAGGGTGTTTTGTGCATGGATCCGTAATGCTTTGAATGGATTGCTAGCAAACTCCGGAGTGGCAAGCAGTAAAGGTTGGCGAATTTTCTCCGTTTTTCTGAGAACGTGTCAACTATCATGGCAACTCTACGAAACGGAGATCCCAAACTCACAAGACTCGCCTTCTCTGCTTTTCAGACAGAGGAACACCTTTGCCTTCACCAATCAGGCCAGCTTTCTGCTTTCGGTGAAGTGTCCTCCTTCCTGAGTCTGACACTGTAGAATCCGCGACTGTTTCTTGGACACTGTCGGCGGTGGCACCTTCCACTTGGGGAAGCGCAAACGCGACATCTTGCAACCCACCTGCTAGTTCCTCCTTCGCCTTCCGCTTTAGTCGTCGAGCATGCGACTTTGAATAAGGAGTATGTGAAGACTCCAATCCTATTTATTCAACCGTTAGTCAGTCGTGTTTATTTAGCTTCAAACATTCCAATTTCCAATTATCGGAATTACTAAGTAGGTTACGCTGTTTTACGGTAACTTACGTTGTAGAAAGAGTTCATGTTTCAGTTGCTGTTTTTCCTTCTTTTTCAAGGTTGGTTTCTCGATGTCTTCTTCCATGTCGTTGAAGATATCGTTTGCCTTTCGCGTTGCTCATATCTTAGTACTGATACAGAACAAATAGGAGATAAGACTTACAGATGCATCGAGTTCAGCTCCGACCTCGACATGTTCTGATTTACCAGAAAGAGTGAAATGCCGTTTGTCCAAACATACAGATTGATCGTGCGTATTCGTTCGTCTACGACGTTCTTTCGGCTGTATTATCAGCCAAATTGAGTTAGGGTGAGATTAAATCAGGTATTTTTGAGGTTCTCACCATCTTGTTTGGGGGCAAGCACAGAAAATAAATTTGTGTTTAGGACTATGACGAAGGATTCAGTTCCCGAAAATCCTCCATATTTTATTTGCGTGTATTTGGATCAATCCTCACGTTACGTGACCATAGTATAGTTACTTGATTTGGAATCTACCATCTTCTTTGACTTGTGCCGTCACTTTTAACCTTTGCGCAGCATAACCTCGGTATCCAATTAAAGGTGTACTTAAAATATACATTCTGTACGATCGATGCTGCCGAACAATAGCCCTTCTGTTTCGCAAATGCTATCCGAAATCAAAACGGAAACAGCATCCCAAGTTTGTCACTTTCTCTTTAACATTTCTCTACAAGTCCTTATAATAATTTCCTTTGAGTAGCTAATGAGTTCTATTCTGTATCAAAGCATGTAATTGCACTATGCTCTGAAGTGATCTTTCTCTGACTGTCATTTGGCGTTTTTCCAGCATCGCCTCCTGGATCTACTGGCCTACCAGGCCTTGACATCCACCTCATTACTGGCACAAATACCGGCGCGTCCCCTAGTTCGTCTCTCAACAGAGGCGATGTGATTGAAATACAAGGGCCTGCTGCCTCTGGAAAGACTAGGCTCACTTATCACTTCGTCATTCAATGCATTCTCCCAAGACAATACCATCTCCCTCCAGGAAATGTCCATACTGAACTTGATGTCGGAGGCTGGGAGAAGGTCGCAATAATCATGGATACAGACGGGCGATGGAACGTCCAGAGACTTATTTCGCTCCTTATTCAACGGGTGGAGAAATCTCTACTGGATGACCAAATAGAAACGCGACCAATCGTCAGCGAGATCGTCTCAAAGTCCATGCAGAGGCTGCACATTTTCCGACCGAAGACATCTGCCTCACTAGCGGCCACACTATTCCGTCTACCATCCTACCATGCAGAACATCTCCCTACTCAGGAGATAGCCTTACTTGTCATTGACTCAATCAGCACATTCTACTGGATAGACAGATACAGCGTCGAGCAACGACATGGCGCTTCTGACAGGAAAGACATTCCGAATCCCCTGAGTCGTGTCCTAATTGCTCTTCAGGAGTTTCGACTAAGCCACAGCCCGGTCATACTACTGACGAACTGGGGACTCTCTCCTGCTTCAAAATCCTCCGTTCACGGGCGGCTAGATGAACCAAGTGCAGTTCCATCACCATTTTATCGCCAACATCTTCACCCCTTTCCCGCACCCTTTGAGAATCCACCTCGCATACTACCAAATGCACATCTCTTACCGCCGATAACGCATCACATCACCCTGATCCAGCCCTCCATTAACAACGTGGCTTCAGAAGCAACAAATTTGCAGGAAGCATTAGACTTGGCTGCGAGATGGGTCGGAACAAAAGACGAGATAATGGGTCTTCTCAGGACTGTTGAGACGGGCAGGATTGCAAACTTCACAGTCAGAGATGGTGACGTGTTGTAAGCGAAGGACAAATCGATCTGTGTTCATACGCATTGGCGAAAGTCGAAAATGCCTCGGTTAACGAATAAATAATTATTAATTGTATCTATGATGCAGTGTAACTCTCCATTGTCTAGCACTCCAGGTCGTCAGCGCGATAAACGTCCTCATCATCGACGACCGATACCCTATGCCTTCAAAATGATTTTTTTTAAATGAGTTCCCTTGAATTGACGTATCACAGTGAAAGCTCACGCCTGTAAAAGATGACACTGCATCCCATTGAAAGTCATGAGTTTTCGCTGTTTGCTCCTTGTGTTTGGCAACCTTGAATGAATTTCTGTGTCGCTGTTAGCTTCGTTTTGCCCTGTAGTTGGTTCTGATTGCGCGGGGGCCTCATATAACAGACAGTGTCGACATCCGTATTTCCTAAGTCCCGCCTTACGAAAGGCGCTTTTTGCTCTTGATGTGAGGCTGGAGCACAGGTCCCATTGGATCGGTAGAAAGGCCCGTTCGTTAGCTTGAGTAGGAGATAGGATCTCAATCTCCATATTGTCATGCCGGTGGGAATGACGTTGCTGCGGTTTTCAGGTCAGACGCGTGTATCAACTTAAGACAGTATAACACACCAGAACACAGAAGTTCATCGTGATCTGACCATCACAGGTTTTGCACAATATTCGGTCCCCAATCTTCGCTACTGCTGTGAGGGATGACCTGTCGTCCTCCGAGACGCTCAGCAGGGTGAGTAACTTGCGTGTGACCTTGGAAGCCTGCGCAGTTTTATTAGCTAAAACTAAATGCCAAGTTTAGCTACTGAGCCAAAAACTACCTGGTGATCGAGTTCAAATTGCTCTGGTGACCATTTCGCCTTGCCCTTTTGTTGCTTTGTCAGGTGGGAGCACTGGTGTGAACACGCCATCTTGAAGTCTAATAGTGGTACTTTTCTTCTGTCAGAGGTGTGCCCTAGACATTTAGTGCAAAGGAATCGCGCCGTTAGCCTATCCACAGGATGCAGCTTCTTTGTGCTGATCGCATTATAACCTTTCATGCCGAGGATATTCACGAAGATCTTTGTTGTCTGGTCCCTCCAACTGGACAAGGCTTCTTCGATCAATTGCTTTACAGCGTCGTCGCCGAACTTCTTGATGACATCCTCAGGCTTGGAGCCCTGCTTGTTCTGGATAGCTTTGATGACAGCAAGTTCGCGGAAAACATTCTGTGTGGGCAAAGCCGCCGCGTTCGAACTGGCGGAATTGGCCGATTTCCTGCGATGGTAATCAAGTGCAACCAATTCTCGCCTTCTCGCATACGCTTGCTCTTCTTCGGAGCGACTTCTTTTTTCAACGATTTTCGTGACTTCAGCCTCCACGTCGGTTCGTATCAGATTGAAGTCTAATGATCGTGCTGTCAGAGAATGTTATCACACAAAATCATGGTTCAGAAACATGCCTTCTTCTCTGAAACGACGAAGTGCACGATCATAGTGTCTGAGTGTGTTCTGATATGTTGGTGTATTTACAAGGTCATCAATATTCCAACCTTCCTGTATTGCTAACTTCTCTAAACTTAAATGTATACACAGCAACATTAGTCAAAAAAGTGTTAACAGGCAGTCTGCAAACCTTGAACTCACGTTTTCCTATTCTTGTGTAGAAGAGCTTGAGCCTTTTGAATTCTGTCTCTCCTCCATGCCACAAGAAGAGAGCATAGCTACACTCATTGTCAGGACTGCAAAGACGTGACAACAAATTCGGAACACACGTTCATAGTCGCCTTTTTCTGTTTTGTGCGTTTTTCATGGAGCTGTGGAATTTAGGTGGTTATGATATGTGGATGCTATAAATGGTGAAATACAAACTGAGATATAAAGCTGTCTACGATCCTGTGGCATCGAACCTGACAAATTAACAAATTCTTTGTATTCTTCTAGTGCCTTGTCAAATTCTAAGGTTTGGTAGAATGGTCTCCTTATGAAACCCACGATGCTTTCTAAACCAATATGTCACTGAGAAACTTTGGGTCCCGAAGGGTTGTCTCACCAAAAAAAGTTGCGTCTCTATCACTCAGACCTGCTCGTATTGACGTAGTTGAATTAGCAACAATAGTAAAATGCAAAGACATAAGCACTTACGTCCCTTTTCTGAGCACAAAAGCCACTGTGCAATAGCCTCGGTGTCCTCATTCATATCTGGGATTATGGAGCTTGTCCTGAAGCAGAATTACATCAGAGAAGCGTTTATAAACTGAGACTAAACGCTAACTTTCTCCAATTTTCAGCGCAGTACTAGCCTTCTCGTCAATGAACAGCTAAATTAGAGTTGACGAAGATACATACGTCATTACAGAATCGAAGGCGGAGGGAGAATGACGAATAGAAGTTAGCACTGAATTTCCCGCATTGCTAATGTTACAATTTATCAGTCATCGGATTACATGAAGGAAAAGCTCGCTCGTACGGAACACAGACCACCCCCAAAGACGAAAGCAGCGTAGGAAGGCTCAGTAAAGTTCGGAGTCGGGTCCGGAAGACTACAATTATTTCTGGCTTTTATCCAGATGGCCTTGGAACGCGGTACGGTGACGAGGCTGTGGCAAAAGTGTTGGCTGCATCTTGCCATAGCAAGGACCTCGTTTGAAGTGGTCGTGCTCAATATTTCCGCAATGAGCTCCCATGGCAAGATTGAAATGAGGTCACGCCCCGGAACTTCTTCAGTATGCACTGCAGCGTCTTGCAGCGTCCTTCGCTTCTTCTTTGACATACTGAGTGAAAGAGTTAAGAAAGAGATAGATGAACAAGTAAAAACGGTCAAGTATGGTAGGACGCCCGCTAAATCTAATCAGTACTATGACGTAATTTGCTTTCCATTCTGGAACGCATACAATCGACGCGTCTAACTTGTTCAAGCACAGGGCACTAACATGCCAAAAGCTATCATTTCTCCCTCTGTCCTGGCCTCTGACTTCGGTCAACTCAGCGCAGAATGTAAGCGCATGATGGAAGGTGGTGCAGAATGGCTTCATATGGGTGTGTTGTCATTCGAAATCTCGCATGCAGTGTTAATTCTAACCAGTCGGGCAGATGTTATGGATGGGTATTAGATCATTAAAACCGTATCTATCATAAGAAAGAGTTATTAACGTCACCTATAGCCATTTTGTTCCAAATATCACAATGGGTACGCTGGCCTCTTTCAGTATCCGTATTCATCGTTTGACATACGGTGTATCTGATAGGTGCACCAATCCTGTCATGCGTTCATAAAGGCGTTCCAGGCATCTTCATGGATTGCCATATGATGGTTTCCGAACCAGAAAGAGTAGGCAAGTAATGTTATTAGACTAACACAGCTAACTTGCCATTTAGTGGGTCGATGACATTGCAAATGCTGGCGGTAAACTATACTGTTTCCACATCGAAGCTACCAGTACGTCTACGAATAAAGCACATCCCTAAAATCATTACCAACCTGAGTACTATAACATTACAGATGCTCCCATTCCTCTTATTCAGAAAATTCGCGACCGAGGGATGAAAGCTGGAGTAGCAATCTCCCCAGACACGCCTTCCACAGCAATTTCCGACGAAGTAGGAAACGCAGCCGACATGCTTCTCGTAATGACCGTCTACCCTGGTTCGTCTAACCCCACCTCCCACGGCCTCCAACTTCATCCACTTAGACATCCTATACAGGAAAGGGCGGGCAGAAGTTCATCGAACGATGCGTCCCCAAGGTCTCCGACTTACGCGCCCGATTCCCGGAGAAAGACATCGAAGTCGACGGCGGCGTGGGTCCATCGACCGTGGGCCAATGTGCCGACGCAGGTAAGCCCTCTCACACCCTTTCCCACCGAGCGTGGAATTCTTCCCAAGTCCGTGCGTCCTTTCTTCACCCAGGTAGCAATGTCATTGTCGCAGGCACCGCGATATTCGGTGCAGCTGACCCGAACGGAGTCATTGCAACACTCAAGTCAACTGTCAACGCGGCGCAGGAGAAGATCGCGCAGGCGCGGGCTTAGAAGGAACTCACCCCACACCCTCCCTCACAAGCAAGAAGACTGTAATACAAACGTAGAGCATGTACCCCGGATAAAGTTGGTCAGTCAAGACATTGACGTTTCTTTTCCTGTTCATGCGAATGCAATGGAATTGAGATGCAATAATGAAAGACGAAGAAAATATATTTAAAAACTACATCTAAAGAAGGTAAAGGAGATTATTTGCGAAATTAACACATGCACCTCGTCCTTGTAAACGATGACGGAGCTCAACAGCCCAGTCTAAAAGCGAGAAGGACAGAGGTAAAGAGGGGATCGACTAATCGAGCTGAGAGAAAGCGAATGCACGTCCCCGCATCATAGGACAGGTCATGATAAAAATATAGATACGTAAATAATGCCATATCCTCGAGAGTCTATGATCCACAACGGGAAGTCGTAGTGATACCAATCGTTAGTTGGATTGGCGTTATTGCTGATAGATATCTTTTTCTTGTCCATTGTCTGGGTCAAAGATGAATTGAAGGAATATATGAATAAACAAGATGCAGAGTGCCCATATGATCACCACTGCAGCCATTCTCCATACATGTTTGGTCGTTCACCCCGAATATAAGCCTCAAATGTACGCTTGAGTACTGCTGCCCAATCCAAATCCCGTTTGTCATCCGACACCTTGTCCTCGTCGAACTCTGCGTCAGCATCAGCATCCGATTGGGTCGTGCCTGGGGCCGTCTTCAGCGCCGCACGAGCTTGTCGTTCACCCTTGATAAACCGGGGTCCAAGGTCTGGGAAATTGCGGCTCGGGTCAAAGGGTTTCCACCTATTTTTTGTCATGGTCTCAGGTGGGGAACTGCAAGAATAAACAAACAGTCTCACCAGAAGTTATGGAAATGGTAAGAATATGCACCACGGAAGAAGCCCTCAAATCCTAAAGCTTGAGGGGCTGCACTATCCTGTGCAGGTGTCTCAAAGAAGTCCTCAAATCTAATAGAAATCTTAGACAAAATAACTCTAAAGTCATAACGAGTATTACTTACGCAGTGAAGTAAGGCTGGGGCGGCCTATCTCTTTGATAATATTCCGTGTTCAGCCACGCCGAGTCGAACAATGCATCGGGCAGTCGGAGGAGTAAACCTTCCATGTACGAATGTTTCGCATACTTTGAGACGGTCATTGGATGGAAATCAAGCAAGTTTCTTAACGCAGTCCTGAACAAGAATGTACCGAGCGCAGAGCCTTTGTTCAAATGCAGAACAGCGGTGTTGTATGTCTCCAGCCGTGACCATCGGTATGCGAAGGCACCCTTCCAGCCCCAAAGTTCCTCCCAGTCACGCAATAGTAATGTGTCCGCGTCGAGATAAATTCCACCGAATCGGTGACAAAGAACGAAGCGAGCCATATCAGACAGAATAACGGATAACCGATCGTACGAGGATGAAGACGATGATCCAAGACGGTTAAGCATGTCGTCATTATCCGCTTTGACCGGCGTAGACGGCGATGGAGGCCCAGTTGCATTCTCACCATCCGCATCAGCAGTGCCTCTAGTCTCACGTTCCTCCTCCGTTGAAGTGGTTGTGACCTTTTTCTGAGGTACCTGAATAATATGTCCACCGGAATTGAACAATGTTTCCTGCAGTGCACGCCATTCCTCTTTCAGTTCTGGGACACCGTCCAGCTGTTCCGTTGTATTCCACATCTTGAATTGGATCACGTCCTTGAAACGCGGATGAAGGAAGGGCGAAGCCCACGGATTTGACTTGAGCTGCTCGAACATCTCGCGACGCGCATTCGGATTGGGGACAGCAGCAGCGGGCCCGGGATTGATCCACATCCAGAACTGAGGCCTGCACACTTTACCCTCCTGCTGACTTGCGCCTTCGTGCAACCCCAGATTTTGAGTAAAGAGGTATGATAAAAGGGCAAGATACGGCTTGTCAGTGAATGGGCCAGTCCAAAACATATGATAAATGCGTGGGTGATCAGGATCGCATGGCCCAGGAAGTATCTCTGTGCGTCGATATTCAACAGGTTCCGGAAGGATAAGTGACGGCTCCCAATCTATGCCATATTTTTTGCTCAGCCCACTGTTGGGGTTGTCCTCAATGACCTGCTTTTGTGGGATCTCCGCAGCCCAGAGATTATAGGTTGGTTCTGCCGCCTGAGTAGTTGAATAATTTTGGGGCTCTCCTTGCTCAACATAGATATACTTCCATTCATCCATCTTTCCACGCCTCACCCGTTTGCCATTATCCAATCCGGCTCCCAGGCGCAGCACTTCGAGACAGTCGCGAACATACTGAACAAGACATGAGCAACCCGATATTAACCTGGCAGAAGGCTGTCAAAGTCGCACCTTATTCTCGCTAAAATCACAGTTATCCATAACTATATCAAGATCTATTACAGACCCGGGAACAGGTCGTGGTGGGTATGCAACGTTGGGAGGCCGAGCCTGGAAATCCAAGTAAACTCGCTTCGAACCCATACCCCGAGTGCTCGTTATTGGAAGCTTTTGAGGTGGTCTGAAGCGCGACGGGAGCGATGTCTTGAGAGCAGGCAGCCCAGGGTTGTACGGCTCCTCAGTGAGCCCAATCTGCTCCGGGACTAAAAAAAGTACACACCAGTGTACAGCATTCAGCACAAGTGCATATCGTGACAACAGGAAAAAAATTAAGAACACGTACTTTTTCGACTACTCGGATAATGCCCACTCGCAATCTCCCATTGCCATATCTTCCGCAAATCTTCACGCTGAAATACAAGCGTTGAGTCGGATTGGAACGGCGTCGGCCACTGCTTCTCTTCGGTTCCAAAGCGTTTTGCGAGTGCGAACACTGTCCAGAAGGCAGACAGAACGCATAGGAGGAGGATGAGACAGCCACGTTTGCGACCGAATCGCGTGACTGTATAGTGGTATAACCTGGGAGGGATTGGTGCGGGGACTCTGAGTTGTCGTCCTGGTACGCCAGGTATGGGGAGGTAAAACAGGGTGAAAAGGCCGGATTGACTCCTGCCGTTGAGATAGGCCTTCTCGTGTACGGCACTTGAATAGGAGGGGAGCGGGGACGAACGACCCTTGCTCGGCCTGGGGGCATGTAGAGCCATGGCTCGTGGAAATTAGACGTGTCGTCGGTCCAGGACTTGTTCGTAGACTGGTGTATGTAGAGTAGGTAAAAGAGCGAAGCGGGGGGCGGGGATGAGAAGAGAAGAGTGGGAAGAGAAGGAGGAGAACGATGACCGGGACAACACGCAGTGCTGTAGGAGGTGACGAGGAGTGCAGTGCTGTCGTTGGCTGGTCGGGCATCTTTGCGAATTCTCGCGTTCTCACGCACCTTGAAAGTCTCGACTGGATCGCCAGACTAGGCATAGCCACTATAGATTTTTCGGGTTCAGGCGAGCAAAACTGGCTGGCAAAAATATGGAATTGTGCAATGTGCTGTACTTATTTAGCACACGTCTCTACAGTCGATAGCTACAGTCGCTTTTGATGCTCGTTCTAAACTAAATCTCTTTCTACACAAACCTGTCTCACTCTCTCGCTCAGTGCGTCTCAAGAGGCTGGAGCTCAAGGTCCGCATTATCTGCCGGCACAGACAGCACACGCAGCGTGTTCGTGTGGCCAAGCCCACCTTTCCATCCCTGCACAGCGATGACGGGCGTGTTCACCTTGATGATGTTTAGTGCCAGCGCCCTCCTAAGGCCGAATCTGATACGATTATCGACCTGGTATGCGTTTCATATCTAAGTCAGCAGGCGCTTTGAATACAATAAGATCAACAAAACGTACATCGGTCTGCCACTGATGAGCTTGGATCCCACGAGGCTCTGGGTACCACATTGGGTAGCATCCACGGTGTAGGTGAATTTGGCGCGCAGTTTGTTGGTTCCGCGTCACTAATAAATCACAAATCAGCGTGATTATTATTTTAAAAAATTGTATACACAAAGCCGAACCTGTAATGATCGGAACACTCGGCCTGTACTTCGAAATTAGGCGCGCAGTGTTTCCACTCGTTGACAGAACAAGGATTGCACCTGCGTTCTGCTCAGCGGCAGCGGCAACCGCCGCCATTGCAACAGTCTCGGCGGTTTCCGTGGGACGTTTCTGCGAATTGCGCAGCTCATCATACAATGGTGGATAGCAAATAGCAGATTCTGCGAGGTAACAAGTCTCGGCCATCATAAGAACTAAGTAGAATTGGGTTCAGTGAAGGCGAACCAAGAGTCCGGGAGTACATAGAAAGTTAACCCACCAGCCTGGATCGGGTACGCGCCCTTAGCTGTCTCTCCCGATAACATGACACAGTCAGCGCCGTCCAATACAGCGTTAGCTACGTCGCTAACTTCAGCCCGGGTCGGGCGAGGGTTGTACTAGATTATTCATGTATTAGCACCAACGTTCACCTTAGGATATTAATGAACCAAACCCACGGTCATGGACTCAAGCATCTGTGTCGCGCAAATCACAGGCTTGCCCACCTTATTGCACTTCGCGATCATCATCTTCTGTGCTAAGAAGACCTGACTCGCAGGGATCTCAATGCCGAGATCCCCACGGGCGACCATAACGCCGTCTGTGACGTCAAGGATCTCGTCAAAGTTAGCAACACCCTGCTCGTTCTCGATCTTCACAATGATCTTAATGCTGGCTCCGTTCGGGCCAAGTACGTTGCGGATGTCAAGGACATCTTGAGCACGGCGGATAAAAGATGCAAAGATCATGTCAACACCATTCTTGACACCGAACTCGAGATCGGCCTTGTCTTTAGCAGACAGAGCAGGGAGGTCGACGTCAGTCTTCGGGAGGTTGACACCCTTGCGAGAGGAGAGTACTCCATTGTTCAGGCACCGGACACGAACGTTCGATCCATCAATTGAGAGAACAAGGAGAGACAGAATACCTGTTCGGTATCAAAACGCTAAGGTTTAACTTTATATTGGCATTACGAGAACGCTTACCGTCATCAACATAGATGAGCTTGCCAGGAGCAGTGACCTTGGGCAAGTTTTTCTAAAGTCGTAAAATCTTAGTTCTAAGACAGTTCGTCCAAAAGGTCGAAAGAAAAAGTAACGTACGTAATCCACATAAAGGACTTTGTCGTCACCGATCTCAGCATACTTGTCGTCAGTGCTGACGATGAATTCGTGACCAGCTTTGATTGGGATCTATACCGCGGATATTAATACTCAAGATATATGCGCATTATTTCTAGAAATACAAACATCCTGATTGTCTTTTATCAGGCCCGTACGGATCTCCGGGCCTTTCTGAATATAAAGTCAATAATTGTGATAGCGAAATGTATATAGGTAGAATTTACGACTTACAGTATCCAGCGCAATCGCAAGTGGGCGACCTTCGGGATCCACTAAACACGATAAAGGAAAATGAAATGAAAATCGGGCCAAGATGCCAAGGGACGTAAACGCCACGTACACTCGGCAGCCTTCCTAGTATTGTCAACGACGCTCTGGTGGTACTCATATGAACCATGAGAAAAGTTCATGCGAACTAAGAGTACATAAATTGGCATCACATATCAACGGCGAATTAGACATACTGATATTAACGCCAGCCTTCCTGAGCTCTGCGATCTTTTCTACGCTGTTCGTCTTTGGACCTGAAGAAAAACGCGCATACATATTCAAGGTCTGTCGACACCAATATGACAGCATACACACCGATTGTGGCGATGATTGCCGTCTGCGCACAGATACCTCAGTCAGTCGATGCTGAAGCAAGAAAGTATGAACGACGCCAACAAACTTTGCGCAAGAACTTCGTCTCCTCAGTGGGGACGGCAGCGTTGATGGGTGAAAGCGACGACAACCATTCGAGGTTCGACGTCACAGGTACTGACATATTGGTCTATACGATCGATTCAATCTGCAGCACTGAGGACGAGGGCAAGGACAGAGGCAAAGACGATCAGCAACCACGTATGCAGGTGGTTAAGTACAAGGAACAAGCGCGTATATGCGGGTGCAGTGGAGCTAAAGTGGATGTCTACGCCTTACGCCGCGCACATGCGCGGAATCTCAACTACGATTCCTTGGGGAGTCGCTCAATCTTAAAGGAGAAACCTCGCGTTTAGACTGCAACGCAGCCATCGCGCACGAAACGCCTCAAGAAATACCTCAAAAAGGAATTGAAGCTAGAAAAAACTCACGCAATTGGGGATCAGTGGCGAGAATTAGTGGCAGAAAGATGAGAAAGACGACGGTCAACAGAAAGATGTGCGTTGCACCGGAATCTGCAAAATATGCTCGCCGATCATCACCCTGTACCCTTTCGGCAGACGCGTCGATCAAGGTTTAGAACGCGTTTATGACGCGTGTCATACTCCCAATCCGAGCGGATATCCATGCTTACTTTTTTTGCAAGCATCATACCTGACACAGTACGCAACATCAATGCTACTACATCGAGAATGATCAGCATGTAAGCTAATCGTATGATACACATATCGCAATAGCAGATACGTAAACAATAGAAACTACGACAGCGACGAGTATAAAAAGGGAAGAAATACTATCAAACAAGAATCCTGTCAAAAAAACATCATAATCGTTACGAGCCGGTAGCCAGAGAACCATCTCCAAAGAGAGACCCACGGAAAAGCAGACAAGATAGAAAGAGCGAGTGAGTAGATACGTCTCCAGGACAGCCTTTCTAATGCGTTATAGCACGCGAAGTGTCCATCCTTGCATTGTATTGTTGGTAGCCGCATTCTGCGCTGCAGCCAACCACGAAGGGTCTGCAGTGTTGCTAGAAGGGTTGCTCATGTCCATAAACACGTTCTCACAGGTAATCGTCCGACCGGAGTGGTATCCAATACCATCTGCTCCACGAATGAAAAGCAACGGAAGGCTACGGCCTGCGATATTCATCGATCCGTCTGGAGTTCCAGCTCTGTTCGCGTCGGCACCTTTTGTACCCTCTGACGAGCCCTGTCCACCGCCTTCTTGGCGTCTCACCTCATCCTGCAAGGCTTTCACAATTTGCTGAACTGGGGGCATGTCCACCGTCACATTTGTATGCAGTGCTCCTGACGAAATAAACGGAGCACCACCGGGCATGCCTGGTGGTGGCGGCGCGCCGCCCGTCGGTGGTGGGACAGGAGATATAGGTGCTCCCGGAGGCGGGGGTTGTTGATCAGGGGAACCATAGAAAGGTGCAATACTCGTGAGAGGGCCAGATGGTGGCGCATTATTCAACCGATGAGTTAGTGGTCCTATCTCGCCCAGCCAGATCTCCAACTGGGAGTGATGACCAGTCTTCGGGTTCTCATAAAAGAAACTCGAGACAGTCAAATCAAGCACGTTATTTTGCGGGCGATATACTGGAGGTTGGAATAAGGTTGGGAAAGGTGTGATAGGCATATCGGGTATCTTGTTATTCTCTCCCAATGCGTCGAAAAACGTGTACTGGAACTTTGCTAGAGAAGAGCACATCTGTCAGAAAAAGGGACCTCGCTAACTACCAGCCTGTGAAAATAACCCACATATTCCCACGATAGTCCAGCAAAGGTAATCGTCCACTTCATCATGGAGAGTGTGAACTCCATCCTTGACTTCTTCACGAACCCGCGGCGACTGGAACAACAGATGGTGGGACCCAGAGTTTCCCGCCATACCCGGAGCCGGCGGAGCTACGACACCAGGTGTTCCAGGCACAGGACCCGCTGCACTCAGATAATGCCTACTCCCGTCTGGATTGAGTCTTTGAAGCGCAATTTTTTGCATTTGGCTAACGGGACCTCCTTCTTCATTGGAGATCTTGCCCTTGTCGACCTTTCTAATAATCAACGGCGCGGTTGCAATGCCTGTCAAAGAATCCGAGAGCACAATCTCTGATCCGTATGTCACAGGCTGCGGGCCGGCTGCAGCCAGATGAAAGTTATTTTAGTAACAGCCTTGACAAAGGCTCTTCTGGACTCACCAACTGGGCCTAATTCTTGAGGCCGTCTAATCACGTTCACGTTGAAAGCAGACCACGAGACGTTGCTCGCACAAAGGTGAGCATTATCAATGGTCATGTACTTAGTGCGCACGGTCTGTGAGTTTATACGGTTGAATAGTGATACTGGACCACCTGCAAGTATACACGATGATATGTTGCGCGTCTTCGCTGTCTTCTTCGATGGCTTTGATATGATAGTCACGGGTGCTGATTCGAAAACAGCCCAAGGCCGCGGACGTGACTGTCCCTCCGGAAAAGGAGTACCAGGCTGAGGCGGAGGAGAGATTTCAAGCGCTAGATTAAAGCTCTTCGCCTTCGCAGCACCGGTGACGTGTAAAAACTTGAAACTCGCGGTTGAACTGGGATCAAGCGGGACCACTGCTTCCGGGCCCCGTTCTCCGTGTTCAGAGACAATAGACATAGCCAACTTTTGGTCGCGAATGTTCCCAAAGGGACCCTCTATGCGCACAAGTGGAGGTGGACAGAGGAAGCGCTTCTCGCTGCCGTAGGACTTCTGGGCGACAGCGGCATGTAGGCACACAACCGTCGTCATGTTCAGCACCCGATCATTTTCATGCTGGACGTGTTCTTGCACTGTACGCCGAATCTTCGCGTGTGGGTCATCATCCTCTGTGTCCTCTAGGCGACGCTTGCTTGTAGAAGGCTATATCGACGCGCAAAAGCGCGCATATCGGGGACAGAGACGCGTCAGATAAACATAGACAATGGGTTTGTTATGTGAAACATAGACCTCACCTGACCGTTTGAACGCGCCGCATCGACGTCCGTTGGCAGCGTCACACTATTCATGCTCCAAACCGGGTCTGGAGCTGAGCCCTTGCGCTGTGCGGTCGCAAGAATGCTCTGTATGGCCATTTGGGCTTGCTGCTGGACACTCGGTGGGAGGGACGCGGATGACTCAGGAGGGGCGGAGCTCTGGGCGGGGTTTGTTGACGGAGGCCGGGAGACGTCCTGCGAAAGGTGCTCGGAGGGAGGGTTTGAATCGTGATTTGGGGCAGGAGAAGCAGAGAGCGAGTTCACGAGGATGGAGAGATCGTGGTGCTGCTGGGCGACGTCTGTTGAGCCGGGTGTATGGGGAAGCTGTTCGTTGGCGACACTGGCCATATTGAGGTCGTGGACATATGCGTCCAAGGTAGGGGGAGGATGAACGTAGTCGTGTAACGTCCTCATTACTATGTACTGGCTCTAATGTCCAAGTGTGGGAGACTTCGTGGGAGAAAACTGAAAGTGAGAAACCACAAACACGATGACAAATATCACAACGTCACACAAGTCACCCATGGCTATTTCCGCGGACTTCTTTTCTCCACCCTATTCATTCATTTATTTATTTTCTCAATTTGCAACACACGCACATGGTCTCCTCAGCCCCGTCCCTCCTGCGCCAATTCTTGCACAAAAAACCCATCTATTTCTCACACGATATTAGTTGTACAGGGAATCGACAGAGTGAAGAAAATGAGAAAATTAATCTAGTGTACAACTCTGGGAAAACTAACTCTGGGTTCCCCTTTGTCCCAATAATAACCCAGCAGCAAATACCCCTGTCCTGATCATGAGTCGGGATGATGGATCTTCATTGGAAGCACACGCAGAACCCCTCACACGCGTTTCTGTGGGAAAAAATCCGGCGCGCTTGCACTCGCAGAGTCTCAATGCCGTGTGCCCACGCCGCACGCATATATCCATCTTTTTACATTACAACCCCCCGGGACCCAGTATCTTCGTATACAATGCACTCGCCCATCCAAGCTCCGCATCGCGCATTTCTGTTGGTGGACTGAACAGCCCAAGGGATGGCACGCGCTTCAGGTCCGAGCCTGTGACCAGGGATAGATCCCGTTCCGACTTGACGCGCCGTGCGTGCATTGACTCTGAGAGGGAGTCGGCGTCAAATGGCTCGTCTATCGCGGCAGAGGAAATTTCGAACACAGTTTCCAGTTGGGGCGCGTGGGCATGGGGTAGCTGTTGATCTTCTTCTGCCTGCCCGAAATAGACTTCGCTGATGGATTTGAGGAAGGATGGAACCCTTGCTAGATATTCAACGAAGCACAGTCACGCGAGCACATCAGCACACGGCATATAGCTTTACAAGGCTAGACGGCTGTCGCATACCTAGACCAAGGATACCGAGCTTGCTCTCTTTCGCAATAATTTCCCGCGCATACTCGTCCAATGCATTCATTGACAGTGACCGTGTCGGCGGTAGGCTGCTTCGCCCGGCGTCAGAATAATCCCTCTCGCTTTCGCGCTCGCTCTCTTCCTCCGCTTCGGACTCTGTCTCCTCTGCGGGACTCCGCCAAGCCCACTCGACAGGATGTTCGTGCGAGCCGGGACGCGAAGGGAAGAAATCCGCGAGATTGAATGGGTCATCGACAACATCATGCCGCGGGCTGACCAGTGGCGGAGATGTTTGTGCGACGCCTGCACCGTCGAGTGCCAAGTCCAATCCCCAAGTAGCGGCCCCGAATGTACCTCGGTCCGTGTATCTACCGTCTAAAAGAGCGTGCGCAGAGGTCTTCGGCTTCCCAATACAGGACGTCTTTGATCTATTGATCCTGTCATTGAGCTGTCTTCCACCCCATCGGGCCGCTGATGCGCCGGGCGAGTCAACAAGCGGAGTAGGCGCGGTTTTCGAACGCTGCAGCGAAGAAAGAGACGATGACTCTGGCATCGACATTGTAGGTTGTCTGCAAGCAGCAGTTGACCAGCGCTGAAGGCAATGTTTGCGCAAGTGGCGCGGGCGATCGGCACGGTGAACCGTCGATCCCAAATTAGAACTGACCTATCACAGCGTGTGCTTTTGTACTATATAGCAATACACCACAGGCTGTCTTCGGTTTTGACAACTGGTTTCGACGTTGTGAGTACAGACGTCAGAGAGTAGTTTCAGCATGCTGTTACAGTCCAATCTCTTATAAGTGCCACACAATATTCCGGCTTTCAAAATGATGGGGAACATCGGAGCGATACATTCCGTCCCCGAGCCTCGATCCCTCCTTCGATTCAATTCAAAGCACTCCACACCAGTCCCCACTAGAATGGTAGTGCATGACACCCAAGACGAAAGCAGAGTGGTATAACTGCTGTCAGATGATTCGTCAATAGTCGCCAATGGACCCCCTAAATCATCAATAAATATGTACATTCGGAAGACACTGCAACATAATTATCGACTCGGGTCCCAAGTGGACAGAAAATGGAAGTACGAAAACCGTGTCGAACATGATGACAAAAGGTCCATGATATCGCCAATCGCGCAACAACAAAGCTATGGTTGAGTCCGAATGGATGGATGAGAGAAGCTACTGAAAACGACCTACTAATGGGATATAATAATGTAGACTAATGCGTTGACATGGAGGGATGATGCATGCGTAAGAGAAACGACAGCGAGTGGGAGTGATAATGATGCGGCGCGAAAGTTCATAAAAGAGGTATTTACATGGTCGAGGTGGGTAAAGGAGTTTGCGAGAAACTACCAGACAAAACAAAAGTACGATAGCGCTTTAAAAATCCGAACAGTAGAGCTTGAGGAGTTGCGGTATTGCGAAGTCCGTGGACAAGAGAGCGGCAGCACATTGCGAGGAGAATGAAATGGTTTTTGCCAGTACAATGATGGGCGTACGAAGCGATTGCGAAGACTAAGCTTTTTAAAATACAGAAGTCCGGTTTAAGATCGTCCAAGTATGAGGCATCACCAACCTTAAGAAAGCATTTGACTTCGTCGGCGATCATCCGATGTCTGATGACGATGTCCCGGTTCTCGACCACCCTGAGCGACGGGAAAAGGTACATTTGAGTCACGTTTTGGCGGTGACTTTGACCGGGAAGGGGCATCTACTTCTTGTTGGTATCGTCTCCAGTCTTCGACCTTCATCATCGACTGACGCTTCGAAGTTGACGATGCTCCAGGCAGCCTGTTCAACTTGTCCGCACTGAGAGATCGCTCATGGGATGCTCCTTGACCAGCCTTCTTTTCGTCTTTGTCACCCTGACGCTGCTTGAGGGCAGCCTCCTTCTCCGCAAGCTTTTTAGCCATTACCTGTTTTTCCACCTCCTTAGAACGTTCCCAACGGCTACGAGCGTCGGCAAGCGCAGCTGAGTCACGCTCTGCCCGACTCAGCGGAGCCTGAAGATCACGCATCTTTTCACGATGGCGATCTTGCAATTCCTCAAAAGTATGGACACGAGGTGCTACAGGACGAGTTTGTTGGGATGCATCAGGCTTGCGCGGCGGAAGAACGATAACTGGCGGTCGGCTCCCGGTGGTAGCTGCCTTTGGCTGCGGAGCCCACATGCCAGACAACGGACGTTCGCCGCCAGATAATGGACGTTCGTTGCCCAAAGTTTGTGAAGCCGAACGGCCATGTTGAGGCAATCTTCCGAATTCCCCAGTCTCAATAGCGGCCTCCTGTTGGCGGCGCCGAGAAAGTGCCTCTGCCACAGCATCAGGGACTGCCATAGACGCACGTAATGGTACGGGCGCAGCAGGAGCTGGTGCAATAGGGGCCGAAACTCCACCAGGCGGCTGGAAGAGCTTCCTCTCTCGTACATATTCGTTCCAGTCCGTATTATCTTGAAGCGGGGCACTCGAAGGTCTACTAATAGAGGCACCTGCCATGTAAGCATCCGGACCCATTGAAAGCCGATCCATAGAGTTAACACGACCGCGAGGGTCTTGACCACGAGGTGGACGAACTGGACCGTCGAGGGCTTCAGCAAGACCAAGGCTTAGCGTTCGGCGCGAAGTGAATGAAGGATTACGGGAGTGGGAGCCACCTTCAGCTGAGGAGCCTGGAGTTGTAGACCGTAGTTGATCAATCGACTTCCTAATGTTTGTTATTTCCGCAATAAGGTCTTCCTTCTTTTTCAAGTCCTCGCGTTCCTGCGGCGTCAGACCTTTGGATGAGCTGATTGAGCTCGTCCTTTCGGTTACGAAGTCCTTCGGAAGATCAGTCTCTAAGTCATTTCCAAGGTCGATAGCCGGCAAAGCCCCGACATTCTGTCGCTTGTCGTCAGGGCCAGAAGTTGCCATGAATTCTGAGAGTCCAGATTGGTATCTCGAGCGCCGTTGGCCATCCATAACCAGAGTCGACCCCTCCTCGGTATTAGGAGATTGAGCTTCTTGGTGCTTGAGAAGCGGAAGTCCCGAATAGTTTGAGTCTGCTCTACCGTGTTCTGCCTCCCACACGGCTAATTGCTTCGTCGTCATTGTAAAGCGTGCGGCAGCTTGTTTCTCCAAATCCTCGTCACGCTTCTTCTGCTCCCTGGCAATTTCTTCCAATTTCCGCTTAAGAACTTGCAGAATCCGGAGTTGCACGGCTGCCCCCATAAGCGTGAAGGCACCAATTAGACCAAGTTCAATTTGCATCAATTGGTCGACTGGGAATTGGATGCCATTGCTCGTGTAAACCGTGAAGAGCGAGTTAAACCCGAGATTCGCAACATAGAACTGGATAAATGAAATCAATTCCAGGTGCGATCACCCATACAAGTTTCAAACTGACCTCCTTGAGGTTTGCGGTGGAGAAGCAATCTATTCCCAACACGAACGCAGTTGCACCAACTGCCGCAGTAGAGAACAACAGTACATGATAGTGAAGCTTGGGTAGAGTGCACAGACAGAATCCAACAGCCGCGAGACCTTAATTGCTCCCGGTCAGACCATACAAACGAATTGTTTCCGAGCTGCATTTTTGTGACGCACCAATATACAGTATCCACCTGATGCCGATCGGACGGATTACACCACCGTTCCTGAAACATTGAATCCACAGGCCTAGTGCGAACCCTCCCCACGCGCCTATGAAATATTTTGCCTGCTGCCAGAAGAAAATCGCAACACCACCCCCGACAAAGCCCGCGACAGTACACGCAAGGACGAATACGCCGCGAAGCTTGTCATCAGGGGGAGAAACAGCTTCGAGCACGCCAAACTTGAGGATGAGCGCGAGACAGGCAAGGGCAAATGTGTAAAAGCCGATAAGGAAGAAGGAAGACCTGTGTGAATTTGGTGAATAGCAAGAATAAGCACGGAGCGCCGGAACACACACCATCTGTTTTTATGGCCCCAAAACGCACTGGGAAGGCCAGTTAAGATGAGAATAGCGCCCAGCACGCCGAATCCCGGGTCTATCCTAGTGTCGAGCGTAATGGGGGCGGGAGTAGTGGAGGAGGATGCGGAAGCGGAAGTTGTCGAGCTGGCAGTGGCGTTCCCACTGGATGTTGCAGATGGGGACAGGGTGCTGGTGACCGGGACGACTGTGACGCCGGTGCTCGTCTGGCCATTAGATGTTGTGGTAAAGGTGGAAGTAACGTTGCTTGTCGTAAGAGATAAGGAGACCGAAGAGGACGAAGTCGAGCCAGAACTTGTAGAAGAGGTGGACTGAGCTACGACGGACGTGAACTGAAGGAGAACGAACAGCGTGCATATGGCGAAGAGGAGCGAGCGCTGCCGCACGACGACGCGCATTGTTGTTGGAGAAAGGAAAGAAAGGAAAGATAGAGAGAAAGAAGGGAAGGAAGGGAAGAAAAGGGAGGAGAGGAAAGGGAGGGAACAGAGATGGGACGGGACGGGCGGCAATTGCTGGCCGCCTGGATTGGGACTGAGCTTTGGGCTGACCGCGTGGGACTCTCTCTACGTACGTTTACTATTCCACAACTCTTTGAACAACCCTCTCCTCCGCCTTGTCGCCCTTTCCTCATATAAAACAATCTGCTGCTGCCTTACCCCCGGATGCCAAAGACGCCGTATTTCAATCCGTCGTGCATTCCGACCCTCAAACTGTGGCGAGCAGAACCTCGCTGCTCGTCGGGGTAATTTTTATTATGAAATCAGCCAGATGATCTGCGATTCGTCCGTTTTATTCCATCCTCTGCTCCGGCTATTTCTACTGCTCATGTCTGTCGTCAAGAGACCTTCGTTCGTTGATTCAACACCCCCTTATCCCATGGAAATACCTCCTCGTGCACAAAGTATCTCCGCATTATGCGCCGTGCATCCGCTGTCAAACGTTCACCTAATACTGGCTTCCGAACAACGTTTCTAATCCAATTATAATCTCAACCAACAGTCGTCTTAAACAAGATCAACCATCGGACTGAATGTTGAAACTGTCTACTCCCCAAGACCCACCGCACTAAGGTCAAAATAAACTGGCTGTATGCGCAGGTTGCGGTAAAATGCCTTCAGTAGCCCAGCCGGATGCTTCGTAGTCCGCAAAACTCCCTCCCGATGCTCCACTTCGCGCTCGGTCACAAAGGTCATCACCTAGCGAAGAAAGGGTCAACTCAGTCTGAAATAAAAAGAACCACCGCAACACAAGGCACAACACGCACCTTTCCTTCCCGGCCGAAGCGACCTACCCGACCAGCAACGTGTTTGAACACGTCTGCACTCGTCGTGTCAGGAGCGCCAGCACAGAAGACATGCGTCAGTTGCGGCAAGTCCACTCCACGAATAGTTGCGGGCGTTGCTACTAACAGTACAGGATCAACTGATGTCTGGTCTACTGTGTCTTTATTCCAAGATCGCAAGTCAAGGGCTCGAGCGTCAATTCCTAAATCTTGTAGCTCTAAAATAGCCTTCTGTACCGATGAACCGGGTGGAAGAACAAGAAGAGCCAGGTGAGGGACATCTAGAGCAAAGATAGACGCTACTGCTTCCATAACGACGGGAGACGTGGGAGACTGGGGAGGAACGCCTGGTGGAGTCCAGCAAATTTTTCAACAAACAATATCCAGTCAACAGGAGCTAGATATAATACATACCTTGATCCTGGATCTTTCTCATTCTCTCTTTATGTCTCGCTGAAGCATCTGAATCCTCGTCCTTATGCTCATCCTCGACCTTGGATTCCGGTTCTTCACCTGGCCGGACCGCAAAATCCACATTCGCCAAACTCCCATCCGTAGACACCATGAAGGCATGATGAACAATTCCATCTTTTTGTACCTTCTCACCGCGGAGCATGTGTGCATTCGCTTTCAACAGCTGCTTGCCAGAAAGTATAACCCGATCCCTGCCAAGCCAGTTCGCATCACACAGATAATCCGTGAGCGTAGAATGCACCGTCGCAGAAGACATAACGATCTGGATCGGTCGGCCAGACCTTAAGGAATCATCCATCCTCGCCTTCTTGAAGTTCTTATTCCTCCGGACGTCACCGTCTCCACCATCATCATCGTAATTAGTTTCTGCCAGAGGGACAGCACCAGGTTTGCGTCCAGGCAAAAGCGCTTCCAAAATCTGACGCGTAAGACTAGGATGTTTCCTGAAATTCTTCCACCTTTCTCGCGATTTTCGCACATAAGGTGGTGGGATGTCAAGCAAATAATCCACTTCATCCAAAACAACAGTCACAACACTCTCAAGCTGTAAAACCCGTCGATGATCGGAATCAGAGTTGTAGATCTCCCAAAGAGCTTGTGGCGTCCCAATAAGAATATGCGGTGGATTCGTCCTTAGCTTGTGTATTTGCTCCTCCAACGACACAGAATAACCTCGTGCAACTAACTGAGCCATTGAGTCCAAAGGTGGCTGGTTTTCCCCCGAATGTTTCAAAATAGTGTCAATCCACTGTATCATTTGATAGCCCAAATCTCTATGCGGAACAATCACAAGTGAAGTGATCCCCATTCCATTCTGACGGCTGCGAACGTGTAAAGCTCTGACACGCGACTTGTTTAACAAAGCTACAATGGAACCGAACGATCTATTATGAATTTGAAAGTTGACAGGCAAGTTAAGTATGTCAATAAAAAGGGGAAAGTAGTTAGAAGAGAAATGCTTCGATGACAGCAAGCTCACTTTCCCGTCCCTGTCTCATCGTGCAGAAGGACGTCCTTCCCGTTCAATATGGCAGGTATAAAATCAGCCTGAGCGATCGTCGGGCGTTGTACATCCGGAAATGCCTTCTCAATTGCCTTGGTGATGGCGTCGCGAATACCAAGTTCGCGAAAACTGTATGGGACTTGAGGAACACGGCCGGCGTTACGAAGTGCAGAAGATGCACTTGACAGGTGTCTGTATTCTTGTGTTAAGCTACGAATGAGCCTCACTGTTCTTGGTACCTGAGGGCATCGAAGTAGAGACGGGAACAAGGACGAAGCAAGGCGCAAGCCATTTGCTCGACGACAGTGAGACGTCCACAAGAAGACGTTCATGCAGGCAGAAAAATCAGCGGCGGTGAATCGCATAGAGTCATGAGTGCACGTGCTCAAGTCAAACCCAATTTTGGACTAACTAAATGTAAATGCGCTGTTAGTTATTACAACAGTAATAAAGTGTACAACTACGAAAACCCCGATTCTCTTCCGCTGGCTCAATAAAATTAAAACCCGCCCATAGCCGCTCAATTTAGGTCTCGTCTTCAATAAAAATACGCTCAACGTACTTCCATGGTCCATAAGCCCTCCATACATCTTCTCTCTCCTTCCAATATGCCACTTCACCGCTAGAAGCTCTGTACGGCTCCCACACTCGCTCTCCAGTATCAGATTCCGTCTTGGCTTCAAACCATCGTGGTTTATGTGGCGCTGCACGGCCTTCTTCTCTGGCACGACGTGTAGCACGCTGGAAATCTTCCTGTAATCCCTTCAGCTCGTTCGCACGTTCGTATTTGCCAAGCTCGAATGCACGTTGGTCAGGTCGTAGACGACAATCTGTCGGGCAGAGCACTGGCTTCAAGTCGTTCGGCAGGTCGTTGAGTGTAATCGCAAAAGGTGTCAAGTTAAATGGTGCAGGTGGCTTCTCAGAATTTCGCCATAACAAAATAAACTCCTGTGTAGATGGAGAAGCAGGTGACTGAATTGATACGTCGGGATGCAGAACACCATATCCGGCTCCGACTGCTCGAGCGACAAGTTGACTATTCCAGCGTCCTGCAATCTCATACGTCACATTACCTTCAGCGTCCATAACGCGGCCAAGAATCTCGAAAGCATCTTTTCCGCGCCAGCCCCTCGGTTTGAAAGTCAATATGCACGTGTCCCCCGTTCTATGGTTTACCACCTGAACGCCAGTTTAGCTTGACATACAACGGAAATAGATAGCAAACTCACAGTCATATCACCATAATGGTCAATTGTAGGAGACCCCATGATAAAACCAGAAACATTTGTAGTGACCTTCTTCCAGCTATAATGCTCGACGACCTTCCCTTGACCTAGAGGTCCTTTCGCCTTCGGGTAGTCTGGAGTACCAAGCTTCTCCGGAATTAACAGTTCTGCATGAGCTACACCGGTCGGCCGAATCTCGAACGATTTCCCCATAAATTTATTTTGCGCGTCAACTTCGCCGAAGTAGTGCCAATTTGGTGACTCCGCCCAACAGGCCGATACAGGCGGATGGTGACTGACCTGCTCAGACACGTAGCGGTATTTCTTGTCTATTCGAACGTATTCGAACGTTTCACTCTGCGACAACGTAAGTGCGGGGCTTTGACGAGTCAAATTAAAATACGTACAAGCATGGGATTAAATGGTTTCGCAATCCGACCAATTGTGCTGGAGTAGTTCGACATAGCAAACGCTGCAACGAAGGCTATCCGCTTTTGTGGGTCAGACTCGGCGACGGCCGCATCAACTGAGAAATAGCAGTTATGAAAAGGCATATTCAATACATTGAGAGTGACTCACGGCATTCAGAGAACTCCATGTCTTCCGCCTGGAAGAGAAAATTATCATTGCCAATGCAGGCGAAAAGCAAGATACAGACATACCATTCTCTGTAGCATACTTGTAGGTTCATTGAAGAAAACCGGGAAACTAATCTTCGTCAGATCCTTTCCGATAGAGTGCTTCAACACGCTCCACAGGCTTGTTGGAGGTCGTGTATCCTTCTCGATCGGAAGCCTGTCCCGCAGGTGTTGATAGCTCCCAAATTGATCAAGTTTAATAAGGAGACCAGTGCCCATAGGCGTTGGCTTGACAAGCGCATCGGGAACAACCACGTTCGGAAGTTGATTTGATTCTATGGCGTCGAAGAACTCATCCTCTTCGTCTGTGGATACCAAATCCTCCACATCCTCTTGTAAGGACGGAGGAAGAGTAATAGGCGCAGGTTCAGCATGAATCTCACCCCTTTCCGGAACACCCGACTCACTCGGCGACGGTAGTCCCGATACCGCTCGTGAAGACGGTGGCTGGTCAAGACGAAATGCTGGGGGAGAGAACATTCCAGACGTTAAGCTCCCGCGCATGCGAAGCGTTGATCTAGTGATCTCCAGACTTGTCCGCCCTGAACGATCCTCTGATATTCTACTAGATCGACGGCGTGCTCGAGACCGACTCTTCAGCTCTTCTTCAAGTGCCGCACCCTCCTTAACGACAACTTGTAGAGACTCCTCCCACAGAGTACCGCGTGCTCGTTCACGCGCAAGCTTTTCGCGCCACCAGTCCTCGCGCTCCGCCGCCATGCGTACAAAATCACCAACCATTCGTGAAGCCGCCTGTGCAGAATCCTCAAGAGCAACACGCACCTCACGCAAAGCGACAGGTGCGTCCGCTGGAAGGACGAGTGATGTCGACAACTGAGCAGTAAGTTCGACCTGCGCAGCCGTAGCGTTGCCTTGCAAGGTAAATTCTGCCTCATGAGGCGGAGTGAGTTGGGAACGTGCATCGGAGGAATCGTCTTCATTTTGGTCGTCTTCGTCTTTTCGCTCTTCGTCTTCAACTACCCCTTCAACACGTTCGTCACTCTCGACCAAGTTCGCATTGCTCTTTTCGTCTAGAGAACTATTAATTGACGGAGTAGAGGCTTTGTTAACTTTCCGGGATGAAATTGATGTTCTAATATTCGCCCCGAGTTGTCTGAGGCTACGCGTCTCGCTTTCACTTCCACTCTGAGTTTGGATACTTCCACCATCGCGCCGAGTAAGTTCAATACTTCGTGCTATAGCTTGTATCCATCGACCGACTTCAACTGCATGGCTTCCTTTCAAATACCATCTCTGTTGCCCACGGCCGGGAGTAGAGTGCACCTCAAATCGCAGTTTGTCCGCTCCAGGGTGAACTAATGTCGCTGACTTCATGGCAATTGAACCACGCGATGCAACATGTTCATCATCCTGATGCCGATAATCTTTTGACATCATAAGAAACCAAAGCAATATAAATCTAATAAGAACATAGGCTCACATGACAGAACACCATTCTTCAGTACAAACCATCGCGTATTATAACCTTTCGCTACATTCGTATACTTGCTTAGATACCCCTTCAAAGTCGGTGGCTCCGTGCTCGTAGTAGCCTGATCCAGGAGACTCGCGTCATGATTCGTAACTAGGAACGATCAGACTTCAATGCTTCATGTACGAGTTATATACTTACATTGGCGCAGAAACACGCGCACTTTATCATCCTTACTCCCACTAACACTTTCTACGACAGATTTACCACGCCTATCACGGACAAAGACATCTGCGCCCGCTTTGATACTGAGATCAATAAGACTGAGGTCCTTCCGAAGTGCTGCTTCATGCAACAAGGACCGGCCAGTCGAAGGATCAAGGTACGAAAGGTCAACAAGGCGCACTCGAGGCGAATGCAATAAATCAACTAGATCCTGCGGAGGGCCTTGATTCTGCGGCGAGGCTATGTAAGAATGCAGACGTGACCTATACGTTGCGGTTAAAAGCGATCGCGAGTCTGTATGAAGAACACCGAGTGAGGCACAAAGTGGCACATAATTGTAGCACATCAACGACGTACCATTAATAACTTTATGTACCTCTTTCCCTCGCGCTACTCCTCGTGCTACATCTTTACATGTTCGTCCATGTGCATCTCGAAGCGTATCGTCTATACCCTCTTGTTCAAGTAACAAGTTGACCACGTCCGCTCTTCCTATTGACGCGGCCAAATGCAGCGCAGTCGTGCCCGACCCGTGCGGATACACGGCATTTGGCGATATTGATCGATTAGACAGTAGGAGCGCAATAGTATCAGCTATAAGAGCGTATTCGATTGTGAGTCAGGGTGGGGGAGCCACATAAATAGGCGTTGCACTCACTGGAGGCACATCGGATGGCAAGGTGGAGAGCTGCTGCGCCAATGTCGAAATCATCACTTGCACCTTTCCGTTTGTCTTTCCCAATTTCCGAGAGCAGCTGGTGAATGAGAGCGGCGTCGCCTGCAAAAGGAGTTCTCAGCACACGAATGTGAGGCATCTGGCAGTAACTGTATACCATTCCTCAATGCTGCTAAGAGTCTCACTTGGTACAGAGGCTCCGCCGCGCCTAGGAGAGCAAATTAGAGACAAATATAACATGCATAACGAACGAGCGCCTATACGCACTGGATGGCGTTACATCCGCCATTGCTTACGATCTGAAGGGAGAGTAAGAGAGAGTGGCTAATTGAGTGGGCTCTTGTCGCCACAGCCGAACGCGTCTGTCGATCCCATGACGCACGTGCCATTACAATAGAAGATGACGGAAATGGTAGTCACTCAGATTATCCTCTATGTCCATTACATGCAATTATTTTTGAAAGTGAAAAGGGAATAAAAAGCGAAAGGAATAGATTAATAATGTACGTCAAGCCTCTTCATCTACTAGTGATGCATAACTGCCTCTATTACTATGTCCGCTGCGATGTCCTGAACGAGAAGTTGAGTAAACCTTCCACGTCCCATTTTCAGTGTCGTCCTCCTGTGAATACTTCCGAGGTGCTAGTGTTGCCTCGTCGTCATCCTGCTCGTGCTCACCGCGACCAACGAGTGCAACCTGTTCTGAAACGTCCTGCATAGGATAGTCTTTGGTATCGTCTGTAGAACCAAGCCCGTTAGTTGATAGCCCTCATATGCACGCGGTACTTGGTTTACCTTCTCCGAACACAGCGTCCATTTCTTCTAGAGGAACGCCCTTCGTTTCAGGATAGACTATTGAATATCTATGTCAGTAAACGAATAAACTGTGAATGCGGTAAGCCGTACAGAATAACACTACAGAGGAATACCATTCAGCACGATTCTGCGAGAAACAAAACAAGCCCTTACCAAGGAAGAAGCTGGCAACACAAAATGCTCCATGCATGGGGTACAGCCTCCACTCAATGGCTTCTTGCAGCACAGGTGTCATCTCGCCAACCACATAATTGAAGGCCCAATTCGTAGCGGTTGATATCCTTCGAAATACGAGAATATGAGGCATATGATTCAGATGCTATAGACCCATACTTACGATACACCTTTAGCGCGCACGTTTAATGGCATGATCTACAGAAAATTTTGTTTAGCATGAGTGCATGGCTGTTGAATCGAAAGTCCTACCTCTGGCGGGTATAGCCAAGGAATAGGTCCCCAGCTATATCCAAACGCAGCGTTGAAGACGATTACACAAGCGACGACTGCTTTTGGTGTCTCAGGTACGTCAATCCACATCCACCAGCCAGTCGCGGTGAGCGCAATAGCCATCTGTTGCGAGAATCATACGTCCATTTCTGATAAGTACTTCATAAAAAGGTTTAAGCAACTCACGACAACTGCTCCAGACAGAAGGATAGCACGACGTCCCCATCTATCCACTAAGTACCAACTAGTTCCATTAGTAGGCAAGCATATGGAAAGTAATACAAACTCACGTAGGTATTGTGCTAAGAAGGTAGATAATTGCATTGATCCCAGTCATAAGAATTGCGTCTCGGCCTATCCATCCAGCCTCTGTATCCACATGTTAGGACAGAGATCGTTGCTCAAAGCCATGACGAAACGCACCTTCAAACACTCTAGCTTTATAAAGTTGGTCAGTAGAAGCCAAGGTAAGAACAAGCGAATGTACACACGAGCATAATATGAAATAACTGCGTATCGACCATGATTAGTTTACATTACTCACAAACGAACACGTCATCGTACCGTTTATCCCATTCTACAAACAAATCGCACTTCGTCAGTTCCACTGTCCACCGAGGAGGCATTGAAGCAACTTACCAGTTGAGCAAAAGCCTGTGAAGACATCGCTAATAACACTCTCCGCTTGTATCGCTTCCACATCGCCTTGTAAGTTCTCTTGTCACCAGAATGGCGCTACAATTCACAACATCAATAAGAGAGCGCAACGAAAGTCAGGAAATAAACAGTACTGACCTCTGACATGACCTTATCCTTGATCTCCCGGAACTCCGCCTTCGCTATACGGTCCTCAAGGTCCCCGCCATGAAGGTCCGCAAGTACTCGCATGCCTTCGTCATCTTTCCCAGTATCAATGAGCCATCTAAAAACAAATATAAGCAACGCTGAGTGCGTGGAGGAAGCGTCAGAACGTACCGAGGGCTCTCTGGAATGAATAATGACCCGCCAGCAAGGAAGAGACCAATAACGACTTGAACGAACAGAGGTATTCGCCATGATAAATTGGAGTCTATGAAAGAACAGAAGTAATCTGTCCACTGTATTCAAGAGCAAGTTAGGCATAGGTCCAATCTTCTAAGTGTTTTGAACGAGCAGCTCACAACTGAGATAGCGTAGCCGAATATATTCCCCGTAAACTCCATGCACGCAAGTGCGCCTCGCTAGACAAATTCCACATCAGAACAGCAGCCTTGCCAGTATGAAAAAGGCACTCACATGCGTCGGCGGTGAAACCTCACTCTGGTATATCGGCACAATCGTCCTACACATCCTCTCAGTTCCACCATCCTTTCCGTAAAAAATATACTAATAATAACTCACGATAACAACCCGACACCAAACCCACTCGTTATCCTCCCAACAAGCATAATCTCATACCCCATCGCGAATGTCTGAATAGCACCTCCTAACGCAAACAACACCGCACCGCTACACAGAGTCATCCTCCTCCCGATGCTGTCTCCTATACGCCCGGCGAGGATCGAAGTCACTTCATTGGCAAACACATTCATTGCATCCAGAGAATCGTCCAACGTAGCCAAAGCATCAGTTTGTCATGCGTAAAAAACGCAATCAACACGAATACCAAACGTCAGTCAACCTAAACCTCATAACTCAAGCAAAGACCAAACCACGTACAAAAAGCCCCAATCTCCAATATAGCAACCATCGTCCCAAGCTGGAACGAACTCAGCCTATGGAAAAACGCAAGGAACTGTGGACCCGTAATGAGGCCCGACATGACTCTGTTCATTTACAAATAGTTAGTCCATCAGCATCATCATCAAACGAGTTGCTTCCGTTGCGTTGAAAAGCGAAGTGATGAGAAGTTTAAGTACGCACCCTTGGTCATATCCAAACTACGTGGCACACCAAAACTCAAGCCTCAGCACCATCGGAAAGAGAGGTGGAAGAGGGAAAAAAGGACATACCAAAAACACCCCAATACTAACAAACACAGAAATCGTATAAAGCAACGGCTGCCCCACAAGCCTACTCCCAGTCCGCGAATTCATCGCCGTCGTCGTCGTAGGCAGCATTTTCGTTGTTCTCGTATACCAACAGAACTAGAAAGACGGAAGGAAAAACTATCGAATAGTAGACTGCGCCAACGCAGCATGCAGCTCAGACAACACGGAGCCGGTAGTATACGCAGGCGTAGTGAGTGAAGTGGAGTAAGCCAGCGCGTTGGCTCAGTTTGTTTGTCTGTGGGAGCCGTCAACGGGGCTGCGCGTCTATCAATGAGCGCGGTGACGACGGCGCAGTAGTCGAGATGCCGGGCACCAAGGATATGTAGCCTGAGAGACAAGCTTAAGATGGAAATTTGGAAAATACACTTGGCAGGTTAAACAAACGTGTCGTCGGCCCAGTAGCCGCTGTAAGACTAATACTTGATTGGCCAAGTCACTCCTGATTCTCCACAGCGGCATCACCCATCACCGCCACGAGTCATTCCGGGGCTACTCACGGGTATCTCACACAACAATCAGAAAGAAACATACTTAGCGGACTCATCCGCCATATTTCATCATTTGGTAAAAAACATAATTACGGAATATGCAAATGAGATGCAACTATGCAAATGATTTGATACAAGACTTAGAGACAAGAAAGGACCTTATTTTCAGCCTCTCTCTGGTCTCCGATAGTTCTTGGTCTGTCTATGAGTTAAGAGACTCGTCATTCTCATAACAGTGAGTTCGTAAGGATAGATGGACTGGATTGATTCCAGATAGAGCTTCCAAAGAAAAACGAGACTCAAACCTAGCTTCTTCCTGGGCCTGGGTTGAGAGGTTCACGTTCTCCCGCGTCATTCTGGCTTTTTGACCGACGCATCCAAACAAACGGGTTTCGTGAACCCTCTCCGGAAGCAGACGGCGTTGTAGCCTTCGGCGTCACTCTCCCAACAGTTCCGTAATTGAAAGTGAGGCTAAGAGTGCTTCGACTTCTGGCGAATGAAGTACGCTCGAGCACCTCTTCCTCCATTTCTTCTTCCTCCTCAATACGTTCCTCTGTTAAACAAGTCAGGAACCGCGTCGATCAAAAATTTGTGACTCCGGACAGACCTTCTCCAAACACAGCGTCCATCTCTTCCAGAGGCACTCCCTTGGTCTCGGGGAAGACTGGTTGAAATACGAAACATTGTCAACTAACACGACTTTTCTCAAATGAGTACTTACGGAAGTAGACTGTTTAAAACAAATCAATAACGACGAAAACTTTATTCACGCGTACTGACGTACCAAGAATGAAACTGCAAGTGCAGAAGAAGCCGTGCAATGGGTACAGACGCCATTGAATCGCAGTTTGCAGAATTGGGGTCATCTCACCAACTAATCGGAGAAAACTTAGTCAACAATTGTTTTTCATGTTAAGTCACATTCACTAACCGAGGAAATTGAATGCCCAGTTTGTCGCCGTGGAAATAGACACACCCTTGGCACGAACTGTTAAGGGCATAATCTGATTTCACTACGTGAGTAATCATTTGCTATGAATCTATTGTTTCCATAGCGTACCTCAGGCGGATACAACCACGGAATGGGTCCCCAACTGTAGCCAAAGGCAGCATTGAAAATGATGACACAGATAACAACTGCTTGCGGAGTTTTGGGAACATCAATGTACATCCACCATCCTGTCAGGATCAACGAAATGGCCATCTATAATATTATGCGCAGAGATTCTTCAAGGACCAAATTGTCATGCTTACCGGAACAGCACCAGACATCAAGATTGCACGACGCCCCCAGCGGTCAACCAAGAACCAGGTTGGAACGGTACTCATTAGATAAATTAGAGCATTGATTCCTGCCATGAGGATAGCATCACGACCAATCCAGCCAGCCTCTGCGAAGACATAGAATCAGGCGTGAAAGACACCAATCAATGCAGTACAAACCTTCGAAAACCCGAGCTGTATGCAGTGTAAGTAAAGTACCAAAGCAGGAATTCCGAATGACTTACGGGCGTAATATGAGATTACTTCCAGTCATAACGTCAGTTTCGGATTAGAGGCGGGCGCATCATAGATGGTCATACCGTTAATACCATTCTACGCGTCAAGATCAGTAAGATGCCAAATGGATTAAAATAATGCGCATACCAACTGAGCAAAGGCCTGTGAAGACATAGCCAGAAGAACGCGTTTCTTGTATTTCTTCCACATTACCATGTAAGATCTTGCCTCGCCTGATTCACGCTGGTAGATTGCAATCAGACTACGTCAAGGATGAATCACATCGCAACTTATTACCTCGAATATGACTCTGTCTTTAATCTCCTGGAACTCCTCTCGTGCAGTGACGTTGTTCGGGTCACCACCATGCAAGTCGGCAATTACGCGCATGCCTTCATCATCTCGGTCGGTATCTATCAGCCACCTGCAACGTAACATGAACATCATGTTTAGAAAGACAATGCTGTGGACTTACCTCGGGCTTTCTGGCATAAGCAATGAACCTCCCGCAAGAATTCCACCGATAACGCATTGCATAAATAATGGCAAGCGCCAAGAATAGTCAGAGTCGATGTATGAGCAAGCATAATCCGTCCACTGTAAACGAATAGTTAACGAAAATTCTCAACGTCAACTATCTGCGACGAAAGACGTACAACAGAGAAAGCATATCCAAAGATGTTTCCGGTGAATTCCATGCAAGCGAGCGCTCCTCTCTGACAAGAAGCACAGTGAATATGCAAATAATGTGAAACAGGGGATCTCGCAAACGTACATGATTTGGAGGCGATATTTCACTCTGGTATATAGGAACAATTGTCCTGAACATAATAGGTTAGAAATAGCCGTAATATGGATAGCTGAGATACATACGAAAGCAAACCGACTCCGCAACCGCTGACAAGTCTGCCGACGATCATCATGTAGAATCCTGTTGTGAAGGTCTGGATAGCACCACCGATAGTGAAGACGAGTGCACCCCAGAAGAGAGTCATCCTCCGGCCGATTACGTCCCCTATACGGCCAGCAGCGAGAGAAGTAACTAAAACGCAAAACACATATGAGATTCGCCAATTCAATGAAGAAAGAAGCATTGCGAAAGAACATACTAAAGGCACCGATTTCCAGAATTGCGACCATAGTACCCAACTGAAAGTCAGTCAGAGTGAAATAGTTCTGGAAATATGGGCCTGTGATGATCCCGGACATGACACTAATAAAAGCCAGATGAGCTGATGGATGCGCGAGTAACTGATGGTGGCGAGCGCTCACCCTTGGTCATAGCCAAACTGGAGATCGAACGGGATTGAGTTGATGAATGACGAACGAGAGATTGAATTGATATACAGACCAGAAATACACCAAGACTAGCGAAGATGGAGATCGCATAGAGGAGCGAGTTGCCCACAAGGCGGGAGCCTCGAGGAGGCGGAGCAGCCTGCGGGACGTCCATAGTGCATGCGATGAACGTGTCGACAGACCGTGGTGGATGGAGACGAAGAAAGGACAGTGGTCGCCGTGATGGAGGAGGAGTGTGCTAGTGTTGGTCTAGTAAACGGGGTGAAAAGAGTGTGGCGAAAAGGGATTGTTTGTTTGGAGCTAGAGCAGTCACCGCACGACCACATGATTCATTTCACGTAAACAATCTCTCGGACCTTGGCTCTATCACCTCTTCTTCCTCGTCTCAATAACATTAAATGGCACCAGAGTCCGTCTCCTCCCTCGGCGACTCAGACGATAGCGACGACGCCTACGACTCCGACGAGGAGTTCCGCATCGCTCAGCAGGAATGGGAGGAAAATCTCCAACAGCTCCAGCTCCTCCTTTCCGTCGTCCTTCTGCCCTACGTCGGTAAATGGCTCGGACGGAAATGGGCTCATAACAGTACGTGTACTTATTCTAAACTATCTACAATACCCTCACTCACTGATCTCCTCAGTTTACGATCGATATTTACAAGTAGGCTGGAGCCGCGCTCTTTTCTTCGGCGGACCGTCATCATAATAGAGCACTCGCACACATACCATGTCATGCATTACAATGCAATGTATTCGTCTATAATACTACCGATTCCCCGCCTCCCACTCTTCTATCCACTTAACCATCTCCATCACGCCCCACATCGGTTGAAAACCAGAACTCAACATCCGGTCCTTCATCTCCTTCGCCAACGTCCAGGCATCCCTCCGTATCAACCCATTCAAGATTATATACCACGTATCATGCCGGAATGGTATCCCGCTTCTAACTAGCATGTTGTAATAATCCATGAAAAAGTCCATTCCTTCCGGGTTCGAATTCTCCAGACAAGCCTTGAACAGGACATGGTATGTGCCCAATTTGAGCTGCACACCACGTCTCTTCATCGTTTTCACAACCTCCGACGTAATCAATGCAACCAACTGTTTGTCCAGCTCTTGGCTCCGGTGCACTCCTGCAAGGAACGATGTATACGTGACGATGTTCGGCCTTGTATCCTTCATGCGTTCCATCTGCTGCAAAAGCTCCCAAGCAGTCTTTACGCCCTCGCGTGTACCCTCCCGCACTTGCGAGTTGATAATCGCGCTGTACGTCGCGACATTCTGCTTCACACCCATACTGTCCATAACCTCTAGCAGTCTCGCCGTGCCATTCGGTATACCCGCTTTCAAAATAGCCGAAAGAATCGTCGTAAACGTGAACACATCCGGTTCGACGCCCGCCTCTGTAAGTTGTCGCACGAAGTCCGCAACACCATGTAAATCCGCCCTCTTGGCATAGTGGGCAATAAACGTATTGTACGAGACGATGTCCGGTTGCGGTCCATGCTTCTTCATTTCTTCGAATAGCTTCACAGCATCTGTTAGACGTCTCTCTAAGAGGTATCCGTTCAAGATCGTGTTGAAGACAAATATCAACCCGTCCTCCTGATTCGGGTGCGCCCTTTTGAACTCTTCAAACGTTTTCATCGCAAGTGTTGCACGACGAGCTTGAAAAAGACATGCTATCCTTGCACCATACGAAGTAGCGTTGAGAGGTATACGTTCCTTCTTCATAACGTCCCACGTTAAAAGTAGTCGCTCGACCTGGTGCGTATCGCGGTACCCTTCTAGCAAGGAATTCCATATATCAATGTTTGGGCTATACCCGATTCGCAGAATCGTTGCCCAGAGGTTTTCCGCCCCGTCGTCCATCCGCGCGACAATGAAAGCGTACATAAGTATACCCCACACTTTCTGCGAAACGGTAACCAAATGGTGTGTATCCGGATTCAACTGTGATTCACCCGTCACCGCCCATCGAGTCTTGCCATGAAAGCCGTTGGATAATATCCGTTTCACATTTTCCAACCGCCTCTCTACCATCTTCTCCTTGAGTAAGTTACGAACGTGAGCTTTGAAGACTTCAGGTTTTTGTACGAGCTTCGCCATACCAGTAGCTTCTGCGTACCTACTCGTCTGCGCGAGTAAATGATCCACATGTGGGATTTCGTAAGTCGTCAGATCACGTCCCAAATTCAAAACGTTGTCTCGTGTAACTCGATGAGAAGTGCGTCGTAAGACTAATTGCAAGGCATCGTTAAACTTGTCGAGTTGAGCATGAGCTGCGAGAGTTATAGCCATGATATCCGCAACGTCCACGCGATTTATATCGGGATTCTCTATCCTGGGCTGGGTGGACTCGCCGTCTATTTCGTGCGATGCAACATCTAAATTGTCCGTAGCTTTCTCTAGTCCAGATTCATCCAAATCCAGTACAGTGCGTTCAAGCCGTTCATAAACCTTAATCACCCTTTCCGGTTGCCCCTTCGCAAGCAAGCAAAGCAACATCTGACGGAAACCCTCCGCATACCCAGCCCCCACACATACAAACGCCAATTCTTCCATCACATGTAGCTCATGCTCCTTTCGTTTCTTCAAACCGTCAAGGTCCGAAAACGCGTTGAGCAGCATGATAGACGTAACACCATAGTGTTCAGGACCAAGCACCAATCGAGGATACTTGTTCTCGATATGACGGTAGGCAGCCCACACGCCGAGGACATCTTTATCCAGCGCGCATTTGCGCATTTGAGAAGCATAGTGGCTTAGGTCATTTTCTGGACCCCCGGTAAAGTCGAGTATTGACGGCTTTGCATTGGTCGTGCGTGCGGTCGCCTCAGCAGAATAGCAGCGCGTTGAGGAGGTCGGACGCAACTGCCGAGAAGACTTTGTGAATCGACATGGGTTATGTGTAATGAGGAGACGAGGTGCAAGAAAATCGAGTAAGACTGGCTGCGATGGAGTCGCGCATTTCAATAATGCGCGTCGCATTCCAGAGTGCCTTGTTCAAGAACACAGTCTACTTTTTAACTCTCGAAGATCTCTGTACATGGCTTATGTAAACACTGGTATTAATTTAAAAATAGCTTGAGAGGGGACTGTATATTTTTTCTAGCTATTCAATGCATGTACGTTGACGCGTGAAATGTCTAAAGATACTAGGCTGAACCGCTGGACTGTGTAATGTTTTCCCGGTCTACAAAGCTCCGCTTCCACTTTTCCATATTCTCAACAGCATATGAATCCCTACCAGTGCCCTTAGAATCTCCAAAGAAATATGTTGAATTACCGTGACCAGCAGCAATAGCCTTCAGTTGTTCGAGTCTCCGCAGCTCAAGCAGTGCATCTAGAGCCTTGCGCCTCTCTTCATTTGTCGGCGTCGCATTAGGCTCAGTCAAAGCCGCTGCAAGTATGTCCACCTGTTGAGACAGCGCTTTACCTTCGTTCCTTGCTGCTTCAAGTTGCCCTTCTGATTCGAGAATAAGCTTCTGCTTCTGTCCTGCAGACGTGTTGAGCTGTGCCTGTAGCCCTGTCATATTTTTGTCAACAAAAGGTAGTTTAAGTACGAGACGTCGGGAATACTTACGCCCTTCAGATTCCAGAATAGCACGCTGCTTGTGGCCTTCTGCGACGTTTACCAGAGCCTGCGTGTCGAGAATTTGCTTCCGTCTTTCTCGCTCCGCAGCCATTTGAAGCTCAAGTTGTTTCTCTACTTCTCGGTTGGATGGGTGAAAGTTCTGCACCTCAAACCGCGTGCATTCAACGCCCCATTTCTAAGCACACTTTGTTCGAACCGTACGTATCAGAAAGGAAGAGGAATTGTAGACGCACACTGATACTATTACCAATAGTTTCGTGCAACTTGCCGTTGATTTTATTTCTGTCCCCAATGACTTCGTCGTACTGCAAATCATCGTATTAATACAATATTGAACCAACAAAAGTGACCACTCATATTAAACTTACCGAGAAATGACCAATAACAGAACGCATAGCCGACGTGCCTATATTTGCGACGTTCTTTTTGAAATTATCCACGGAGAAGCACGCATCGTACGAGTCCTTTACTCGGAAGAAAAGAGAGCCAGAAACAAGCACAGGAACGTTGTCGCTTGTGAATCCAGTGAGGTCCGTGATATTCACCTATGCATGGTACGATAAGTTAGTCTACCCATATATTTTCACAATAGTTATACGGTAGATAGAACTTACTGACGTCTCACGCATGTCAACTTCTTGTATGGTGTGATATAATGGGACCATAAGGCTAAGGCCAGGTTCTAGCTTGACTGGATTCCTTCCGAGCGATAATCTCCATCCCTCATGTCCTTGATGAACAATCGCAAACAACGTGCGAACCTGTCCTGCGCTCCGAGGTGCAAAAGTACGGGCGAGTGTCGGTCTGGATGCTCGCAGCAAGTGACGAGAAGCTGGTGTAATCATGCCCATGGTCGAGAAGTAGCAGGAAACTACTAAAGATATGTTCCCTGGAACCACACAGTACGAACAGAAGGAAAGACTTATAGAAGAGTGGAATTTATTTATGAAGCAACATGGTGGTCCGGCAGCAAGTGACGCGTCTGAGAGGCAATAACACAAAAGTAGTCTTTCAAAATCGACGCGTTGATTCGGCAACGAAGTGTGGGTCCTTGTATTAGCTTATTTCTCTCAAATGTAATGGATTGAATGTAATAAATTAATGTCCTCCAAATGATAAGGATACACAAGAGAAAGCAAATCTATGCAACGGTATAGACCAGCCATGCAACAGTAAATAAACAATTATAAACGGTGAGTAAGCTGATATCTAGACTTTCGCTATTAGACGACGAGTTTCCTGTGGAGTAAAGTGAAGGATAATGGAAAGAACGCGAACAAGGTGAGGCTGAACGTGCAAAGAGCGTCAGTATTCACGGACTGATAATGCTTGGTGACAACTCACTCTCATATCTTTATGTTCTAAAAATTGCAGAATGACGTTTCGGAGGTACTCCAGGTTAACCTCCTGATCACTTGTTGCGGGTGATGGGGAGCCTACTCGCGACGTCGACGCAAGTTCTGGTGTGGATGGAGTGGGGGATGATAGAATTGCTTCGGAAGAATTCTCATGCCGTGCGACATTTCCCCAATAGCCTATGCCAGGATTTCTCTGTCGTTCAAGGAATGCGGCTGAAGTCTGTACTTTTCGGAGCTCTTCCCGCAGAGTCTAAAAGCAAGATTGTCATCATGGAATGGATTTGTGCGGGACTTTGATGGCCTTACTTTGTTCGATGCCCTGACTTGCCGTTCTCTTTCCTTGGCTTCGGCAACGTCACGTTCGTACTGCTCTGACCGCTCTTCGAAATCGGAATTTTGCTTTTGTAGCCTTGCCTAAGGATAGCTGGTAAGCAAGGTAGTCCAAAGTCATCCACCTACAATGACCTACCTCAAGCTCATTCACACGATCCTTCTGACGATCCAACTCGACTAGTTGTTCTTTGTACACGGATGTCTCGTGTTGAAGGGCTTCGATCTCACGCCGTAACTTCATCATCTCCTCTTCCGTAACCCCCTTCGTCTGAGAAGACGTGTCTATGCTCTTTTTGAGTGCTTCAATCTCTTGTGTCTTCTGCTGCAGACTCCGACTAAGTGCAACTTCCGTGTCGTTTCTATCGCGCTCAACCTCCGTCAATCGGGCAGTTAGCTCGTTAATCCTCGCCTCATACTTCGCTTCCGAGACAGCACGTAGGCGGACATCATCATTTGCCGGCGCAGCAGGCTTCTGCAAGCGATATTCAAGTTCCCTCTGCGCGTCAGCCAGCTCTTCTGCCAAGAGTGAGTTGCGCTCCGTCAATTCTCTAAGCTGGAACTGCAATTCCGATGTACTGCTCTGTAATGATTCAAGAGCTGACTGAGAAGATTCGACTTCAGCCTGTCGCATTTGGAGTTGATCGAACAGAGAATCGCGTTCGGAGTTCAAAGATCGGACGGAGTTCTCGAGCGTCTGGATTTTTGCGTTCTTCGCAGAGACTTCCTTCTGGAAAGCTGCCTTCGAGTGTGTCAGACACCAATTCTTCCCCTCAGAGGTGAACATACCTTGATCGATGCAACCTCCAGCTCTATTTGACCTTTGCGAGCGGTAAACTCCTTTTCCAACTTATCCCTCATACCAGCCAGTTCCTTGTCAAAATGAGACTTCAAGCCTGCGATATCCCTCTCCTTTTCGCCACGAACAACTTCAATCTCATTTTCGAATCTTGCTTTTTCAAGCCTTTCCCGTTCCAATGCCGCTCTCTCCTTTTCCTTCAGGGATTCAACTTCCTTGACGGCATCATCCCTCTCTTTCTCCGCCTTGGTAAGTTTTTGCCGTACGGTTTTCAGAAGACTAACGGCCTTCACCCGTTTCTCCTCTTCGTCCTTAGCGGTATTCCTGAGTTTCTGCGCCTCTGCACGAGCCTGTTCAATTTCCACTTGTCGAGCCCGGGCGTCCTCCTCTGCCTGCATCGTCGAAACTTGAGCGGCTTTTAGAAGAGCCTCGGATTCTTCAAGCTGTTTGCGAAGATTGTCAACTAGTTCTGTCTGTGAGCGGCTTTCTAGACGATGGGTATCGCGGAGTTCGTCAATCCGCTCGTCGTACGCTTCACGAGGAACATAAGAAGTGTGCTCGTAGGATAAATATTAACGACTAACTGCTCAGCTTGCCATTCAAGCGTTTAATTTCTTCTTGCGACAGCTGCACGCCTTTGTTTTAAAAAGAATATATTGTGTTGAGGATTGAGCATACATACGTTTCGTTGCTGGTTCAGATCCTGCAGACACTTCCTAAGTTCTTCTACGTCTTCCACGTTTCGAACTGGGGTGAGTTCCGCAAGCACGGCGTTTACGGCGTCTTGGCTTGCAGTTAATCGCTTCAGAGAAGTGCTTACGTCTGCGCGATAACTATCAGAACTAGAAAACAGTTCAGGCCAAGCAAACGCATACCATTAAATTGAGCCTCCAGGAGCTTCAGTCTGGTTTCTAGACCTTCAGTATCCTCTTCCGTTCCGCTTGGTTTCGCAGGGCTTTCCAAAACTGGAGAAGCAGAGAGATGAGACGATTGAGATGACTGCGATGCCGACAGATTAGTCGGTACAGGTGACGCGAGAGGGAGCGGAATATCCGCTTCTGGATATCGAGGTGTAGGCGAAATCGTAATCTTGAAGTCCCTGCTCTTTGCAGTACTATCCCCACCATTACCGACTGAAGGTTCCACCACATCTTCCGCCAATGGATGGCTTTCTAACGGTACATCCATAATCTGAAGAGATAATGGGATGGGAGCTGGTATATCAATTGGTACGGGCGAGGTGGGTACAGAATCGGGAAGAGGGACCGATCTGGGTGACACAACTTCGTTCGTTGGTGCTGGCCGGTGAGGGCCTGGTGAGGGTGCATGCGAGGGTGTCGGTGTTGGAGAAGTAGATACATCCCCGATAGCAAAAGACGCGCGCAATCGCTCCTCAAGTCCGGGTTTCGACACTGGTCTAAGCTCGCGGTCTGGCTTCGGTGAAGAGCTACCAGCACGAGGAGACTCTGCTGATGGCGAAGTAGCTGTATATGGACGCTGCGCAGCAAGCGATTTACGTAGGTTACTAAAAGCTGACTCGGCGAGAGTGCCTGTGGAATGTGCAACGCTGGACAGGTCAAAGGACGCGGAACCACGCGCATGCTGGTGATTCAACCGCTCCGAGTCTGTTGCGAGTTCCTGAGATTCAGAGCGGCCTGGATGGCTTGGTCGAGGTTGTGGTTGTGCAAGGTTTTCCATCACATTTCTGAAGCCAGAAAACATGATGCTACTGGAAGTTGTCTGAGGGAGTGTGTGTGCTGGAACCGGCTAAGGGACGTTTGTGAAGCATTAATAGATGCGTACGTAATACACCTTATTTGGTCTCATTCACATTCAGAGAATTATACCGTTTGTATCCAATTTATTTTTGAAAAGCACGAACGATAGCAGCGTGCCGTAAAAATATCTAATTAATGAGCAGAGTGGGATTGACATATACAAATGCTCAGTATATTAATAGATAGATGCAAATTTCTATGCTGTTTCGAGGATCTTGGTCACGATACCAGTGCCAACTTGAAAAGGCACGTCAGTAAACAAGCATACAACACACATAAAGCAGGGACATACCCGTCTTGCCACCCTCGCGGAGAGTGAAGCGCGTGCCAACTTCAGCAGCTGCATCGTACAGAAGGTTGCATACCATCTCAACGTGGTCTCCAGGCATAACCATCTTCTCCTTGGCGTCAGGAGTACCCTCCGGGAATTCCAATGTAACAGTAATGTCAGCGGTACGCAAGAATAGCTGAGGTTTGTAGCTAGCCATGAAAGGAGTGTAGCGACCACCCTCGTCCTTCGTAAGTACCTGTACGAAGTAATTCAGTAGCCTTCTCAACAGATAGCATAAGGACGGACATAGATCTGAGCATGGAACCTCTTGACAGGCTTGATGGAGCCAGGAGCAGCGAGTACCATACCACGACGGACTTGCTCTTTCTTCACACCACGAAGAAGCGCTCCCATATTGTCACCAGGTTCTCCCTAAGATAAGCAATTCAGATTTAGCTCGCAGTGTCAACACTTGATCACACACTCGATCAAGCTCCTTGTGGAACATTTCTGAAAAGAGGCAAAAAAATTATAATCTACTTGCCCAGGTTCCCGACATGCCAACTTACCAATTCCCGTAAGCACTGTCTTGAAGCTCGAATTCAAGCCGACAATTTCAATTTCATCACCTTTGTTCGCGACTCCACGCTCAACCTAGATGTGCATGTTAGCTGTCGCACAGAGTAGACTAGCTTCAAACGTACCCGACCAGTAGCAACGGTACCACGTCCAGAGATAGAGAAGACATCCTCAACTGCCATCAAGAACGGTTTGTCGAACTCGCCTATTCAGAAAAAAAGATTCAAGCATGTGTTCAGAAGTCAAGTACGCGAATGTTAGTGACTTACGAGGAGGCAGCTCAAGCCATGCATCGCAAGCCGCTACCAGTTCACGGATCTTGTCGGCACCAGTTTCGGGGTTACGACCTTCCAAAGCAGCAAGAGCAGAGCCCATAATGATCGGAGTATTTTCGCCGTCAAAGTTGTAAGTCGAAAGCAGGTCACGCATCTCCATATCGACAAGCTCAAGCATTTCCTTGTCGTCGACCATATCTACCTTGTTAATGAAAACAACCAGTTTTTTAATCCCGACCTGACGAGCCAATAGCAAATGCTCGCGCGTCTGCGGCATTTGTCCATCCGTAGCAGATACAACCTGGAACAATACATGTGTTACGAAAATAAACTTGCAGAGAATTGTAGACTCACAATGATTGCACCATCCATTTGAGCCGCACCAGTAATCATATTTTTAATGTCTGATCGACATTAAATACACAGTTAGCTTCCATACGAAGAAAACTCACAATCCGCATGTCCGGGACAGTCAATATGGCCGTAGTGTCGTGCAGCCGTCTCGTATTCGACGTGAGCAGAGTTGATAGTAATACCACGAGCCTTCTCCTCGGGAGCCTTATCAATTTCCGCATAGTCTGTGAAGGTTGCTCCCCCACTCTCAGCAAGGGTCTTGGTGATAGCTGCAGTTAAGGTGGTTTTGCCATGGTCGACGTGACCGATGGTTCCGATGTTCATGTGAGGTTTTGTGCGCGAATATTTGCCAGTTGCTTCGGCATAACCACGACGCAACACTGACAATATCCAAATGAGTAAGATATAAATAACTATTACGTATATAGAAATACTTACATAAAGATCCGGCATGGGTTTTTGTGGAAAGAGGAACGCTTGAGGGGGATGCAAGAGCGTTTTGGAATGAGCGTGCACAACTGAAGTTTTGCCGGGACACTACAAAGAGATAAGCACGACGTATGAAACAAACTCGCCGAATTTACCAAGAGAAGAAAGTAGACGGCGGCCCGCCATAGCTGGGGCTGCCCGCTGGAGACCAAACATGGTGATGAGTGCGAGCTGGAATGCCTGGAGAGAGTGCTACGTGAAGACTGGATTTTAATACGTGCTTAGGTAATTTCCCACGATTTTTACGCGAAACAGACGCGAATTCAGCGAGCGAGTATCTTTCACGTGAGTGAGAGGCGCGCACCGGCTCTGCTGCCTTTTAACTCCTACAGCCATGGCCTCTCCGGAACGAGCTGAACTTTTAAAAAACGCACTTGCATTTCTTTCGGATCCCAAGGTTGGTGGATATTTCGTTCTGCTTCAGTGACTTTTTGGCTGATCCGCTCAGAGCCAAGAAGCTACCCTCACCCAGCGCATCCAGTTTCTCGAGGCCAAGGGCTTGACTCCTTCGGAGATTGAACATGTTTTAAGACAGGCATCTTTAAAACAGAATGCAAGCATGCCATCCCCTCAGTATCAGGTTCCGTACCAGTATGGACCTCCTCCATATCCTGTATACGGCCCGCATCCGTCTCAGCAGCCATTGGACTGGAGGGACTATTTCGTAAGTCACTTCGCTACTTAGAACATTCCCACTCATCTTAATTGCATACTGCATTTAGATCATGGCTGTTGTTTCCGGAAGTCTGGTATATGGCGCAGTCTCCTTAGCCCGCGTAAGTAGGTCCATGTACAAGTATTTTACATTCACTGAGGTGTGCACAGAAATACTTGTTGCCCCATTTAAGACCACCGACATCGACTGCCTATGAAGCAGACAGAGATGCTTTGTCGGAGCAATTTGACGCTGCTGAGAAAATGTTGAAGGAAATTCAGGCTGAAACTGCAGCAGTTCGCCAAGCGGTTGAAGAACAGAAGGTTAAGGTTGAACAGACCACACAAGATGTCGATGCATGCGTAAAAGAAATGCGCGAAGGGGAGTCTCGGACTCGAGACGAAATGCGGGAGATCAGGGAGGAAATTAATTCCATCCGAGAAATGCTACCAAAAGTAGGTGCTGCTCGTGCAAAGGGAAAAAGAAGCTGGCCATAGATTAACACATCATTGTCTTCTAGATGATTGAAAAGAACAAAGAAAGCCAGTCCCAATCCTTAGGCGAACTCCAGCAAGAGCTCAAGTCTCTTAAAGCTCTTCTCTTGAGCCGAGGACCAGCTTACCCGACCGCACCATCTCCTTCCTTACCAAGTTTCGTCGGACGACCTTCAATACCTGCATGGCAACTTACCGGAAATGGGTCCTCAGATCCTCCTGTCGTACCAGCACCGTCAAATAGCGCCCCTCCGAGTACAAACGGGATAGGGAATTCTATAGATGATAATGCGAAGAAGGAAGACTGAAGGCTGGTAAAACGGCATGACTGGATTTTTTTTACGCGCAAGTTATATTGGGGAACGTAGTACATACAATTTTGCAATCACTATTTTATATTTGCGCAAATGAGTGTTAGATGAGGAAAGGAAAGCGTGCAAGTCAACTGAGAGATAACGTATGTCATAGTTGATCGGCAGCGTACGTACGTACAAATAAGTAGCTTATGTCGGAGCGCGGAACGGAGCGCGTCCCGTGTCCGCTCCTTCATAAAAAACCATGTCAATGCTAGCAGCCTTACGAACAGCGTCGCGCTCAAGTCCAATCCGTGCAGCTGCTTTAGCTGCTGCTCGCCGTCCGCAGAGCTTTTCGCCTTTCGTGCGGACCCTCGTCAGTAAGTTCCATGCCATCCTAGACATTTTTAGAAACAATCTCATTTAGGAATTCGCACATGGTTTTACAGCGAAAAAATACACTAGCGACCATGAAACTATTTCTTTTGACGACGCTACAAACATTGGTACGGTATCCATAACGGATTATGCACAATCGAGTCTTGGGGATGTCGTTTTTGTTGAGTTGCCTGCGGTTGGCACAAAAGTGTCTAAAGGCGGTGCGTATGCCCTCGGCTACAATAACAACGACATGTCAGTTCCGTTAGTCTGACTGGCATAAACAGACCAAATTGGTGCAGTTGAGAGTGTGAAGGCAGCATCGGACATCGTTGAGTTCATCCGATTAATACTTCAGAATACCATGGCTAAACTTAAGGGTTCATATTCCTTCCCCAGTACTCGCCCGTCTCTGGGACTGTAGAAGAAATTAATAGCGGACTTGCAGACCAACCTGGTCTGATTAACAAATCTCCTGAAGACAAAGGTTGAGACACACTCCGAGTGGTGGAATTTTCACTAACAGTTCTTATCTAGCATGGCTTTGCAAAATCAAGCTTTCCAACCCGAGCGAGGCAAGTTCCACAATTCGTTCACTTCACGCCCAAACCTGATTGTTTGCATCCCAAAGGTCGAAGGGTTGATGAACGCAGAGGACTACAAGACACACTGCGAGTCCTCGTGAAGAATCTCGCGATAAATTGTGGTTACCGTAGTCCTTTACGATATGCATTATATAGTTATTCGCAAAAATGGATAGCTTCAACATGCTAGACGGCTTCAACATGCCCAAAACAGTCCATGCGAGTAAATAAGCGTCTTGTTGTCTATCATCACATAATAGAGTTGATTGCGCGACGTAGTTAATTGTGAGTGGTGGTGGTACTACGATGATGGCTTATATTCGACCTCCTCGCCGCGCGCTTCCATGCGCTGCTTCGCCTCCTTCAAGGCCCAGCTTTGTATACTGAACGGGTTCATCAATATTTATCCTTTGCAGAGAGCACAGTTGTTGAGGTTGTCACGAACCTAGTGTCGGGCTTGTAGTAAAGGCCAACTGCCGCAAACACCATGCCTCCGAACATTCCCCAATACCACAACATCTCCCAGCCTTCCCTTTGGCGTGATTGACCAGGTGGTAAAGGCTTTTGCGCGATAAGACGTTAGCGTGATTAACGAGGCATAAGTAGATGGCATTGGGGTAAACATACCTTCTCGCCGAACAGATAACCAGACGGTTCATTGTAGTGCGGCGCACCTCCAGCATTTCGTCGTTGTTGCCTCAGCACAGGTTGGGCATTAATGCGCGGCACACGCCGCGCTACTGTGGACAACATTGATGGTGGTACTTTGGTAGAGGTAGAGTAAGTTATTAAAAGGTGATGAGTTGCGAGTGCCCCCAAGTTGTTACATTTATTACATAATCGCGCAATTTCGGGTGCGCTTTCCGAAGTCCCAAAAGACTCAGTGGGTGACTTCCTGTAGACTTTTGGAAGGATTTCCAGGTTAAAAAGGTACTAGAAAAGGAGTAGTATTATGAGATGATTAGTTCATCAACAGATGAACCATGAGACAATGACTTCATAATGTCTCAGTTAGAATACATACAATATAAGGATGAGAGACACTGAGCAGTCAATTGTCACCTCACCCCTTGTCTATGTGTGCCTCCCTTAAGTTTTCCCTCTTAACAGGTTATGAGCCTTAAGCTCCCTGTATACATACATCCACTATACACTCTAAACTCTTTACTTGCATACATTTGCACACATTCACATTATGGTTCCCTCATGTATGGATACACACTGTAAACCAGCTGATGTACCTAAATACTTTGGTCAAAACATTACAATGCTTAAGACTGAAGTGAACTACAAGATGTAGCACTACTACATTGTTTCTAGTGTTACAGCTACATGCTTCAAACACTTACTAAAGGATAAACTGTAGAACAAAGCTGAGAGGGAGATGGCTAAGACTATTCATACATGTATAGTTAATAACATTACTGACACAATATTGGCAAACTATATACACTTTGATATGTCTATCTCTCAGTTAATGAAAGTGCTTAAAGAACACTTTAACCCCTAGACAGTATGTAAAAAGGTTATTAACAAATCAGCACTGTTTATTTGTAGAGACTATGTAAAACATTTCAGACATACATTAGACAGACTTAAGGAAGCATACACAACTTTGTCTGCTAACAGTAATCTACTACACAACTCTACATACAAAGCAGCAATATTGTTTACCACTCCTGAGCAATATACACATGTAGTAAATACAATAATACAATCTACTAATGCTCAAAACAAAGGCAAACCAGTTGATAAACATAAGAAAGTCAAACTGAAGTAACTAATCCTTACATTACAAAATGCTTACAACAATTACTGTACTAAACAAGTACAAGATTCTAATGATTGGACAAAGAATAATGTACACACTAATACAATGTATAAAGCTAATAAGTAGAGGAAATTCAATCTGCCAAATCTGTTCAATCTAACAAAAGCAAAATGTTTCAATTGTGGAAAAACAGGACATTTCTCTAAGGAATGCTGTAAACCTCCTACTGAAGCTACAAAGCTTGCACACACTAAACATCAAGCTAACATTGTGTATAAAACAAACCAAACTGTAGAAAACATGATGAACACATTTATTATTTAAACCCTAAACAAAAACAACATTAAATTAAAGGAAGGCAATGTTGAAATGAACAATAACACTTATACTCTTATTCTAAGCAACCAGGACAAACAATTTCAAACATACACTTCCTAAGTATGTACT